GTGTTCCGGGCGGCGGCCTGGGTGGGTTTTTTTTTGTCTTTTGTTCGGGGGGGGGTTGGGGGTGGGTGTTTGGGGGGGGGGGGGGGGTGGTGGTCTATAGGATAGGCCGACACGGAGCATGGCACGGAAAATTCAGATCTGATAACGGCGGCCACGAGGATCAGATAATTATTGGTGGGCCGCGATCTATCACGCTATTAGGTACTCCGGGAACGACTGCGCCGATGAGCGGCGTCAGAGCGAACTTTTGACGGCGAGATCCACTCGGAAAGATTGCTTCATTTGCAAAGTCCCTCAATGTCGAGTCGTCGACGCCTTGGGAAGCGAACCCTGTCCAAAGCCCTTGGCCGTCGTGAAGGTCGAAAATGGGGCGACTCTCGGTATTGTGCGTAATATTTCCGTATGTGAGCCAGCCTCGGTGCCTCACACCGAAATGAGACAAGACACCTTTCTTGCTGCGGACTTCTCGTGCCAATATTTGGCCAGGCCGTCCGCCTGACCTTGGCTTGCTCGCCTAACGTTAAGTGATGCAATCAGTGTAAGCGGTCTGGCACCGCGCACGAGAGCAGACACCTGCGAGCTGCAGCAAGACGTCGTTTTGAGACAACACGGACGTCGGTCTCACATTCTCAAGCTTGGGAAGGGCGCTGCCCAACGCGGTGACGCTACGGGACTCGATTGCAGCACACTGCCCTACGAGAAATCAGAGAATTCAAAGGACAATTGCTCCGAGAGAATTGCTCAGCACCTCGAGACGAATGAGAGACTGCCATATGGCGGGCTACACCATTTGTATCGGCGTGCATGCAGCGTGCATGAGGCGTGCCTGGGACACAGCTTCCAGCACTCGTGTAGAAGCCTCGACCACGCAAGACCTATCAAGCAGAGGAGGCATTGCCTTGGCGATTAGGTGCCGATGATGAACTTGAGGGCATCGTGAAGTCGTTGGGCTGGGTGGTCAGGCGTCAATGAGACGGGATTGGGTCGATTTGTTGGCGTCGCGCTGCGACCGTGGTAAGAGAGGTGAGGGACGCGGGATGACGATGAGTGGGCATGCTCTGGTGGTTGGTGGTGGGTCAGCAAGGCGGATCGACGAGTGGGCAAAACAGGACCAAGTGAGCGGGTTGATATGAGGTTCTGACGAGAATGTGTGTGTTGTGTCCATGAAATGTGAGGTGATGCGACGTGACGAGGTGAAGCTGTTCAAGCTTGATAAGTTGATGATCCAGATTCCAGGCAGGAGACAAAAACTGTGCATAATTAATATAATAATGAACCAGGAATATCTCGCATAATTTATGCACTCGCCGCAGCCCATGCAGGCACGTGTCAGGGAGAGGGCCGGAAGGAGCGAGCCAGCGTGCTGCTGTCAGGCGATTCCTCCCGAAACATCGTCACATCACGTTGTTTCGATCCTTGACCCTCACCACCATTGCTAATCCCCTCGTGAAAAAAATTGATCCCGAACCAAAACCACGGCGGTCTCCTCCGATCAAACCATATCGTGACAGAAATCCAGGGTCGTCCCCGCGGACCGTGGACCGTCACTGCTGCCGGCCATCGTCACAGCGCCGGTTCCTACAGCGTTCCTACAGTGAACCTTGCATCAGAGCTGCAGCACCTCCATCGGCGCGAACAGATGCTACGTCGAGCCAAAGGGTGGGGTGGCAGTGGGTGAGGCCTTTCCATAGGCATGGCCCTGCCCAAGACACGTATTCTCGTCATTTTTTCCCTTTGCAAGCCAAGATGAGCGGTCGGCCCGTGGGCACCAACGAGACTCCTGATGAGGCATTGTTGCGCTGCGCTGCGCTGCGCTGCGCACAGCACAGCAACACAACCAGCCGTGGCGTGACCTCGCGGGCTGATTAGACAAGGAGCTTAACCAAACAAGCCACCTCTTGGATCGTTCCCCACGTACTTCTTGACAGTTAGTCAGGCCACTGAGTAACTACAGTACGGCGATCATCCGGCGGCTGTCCACGTCCATTCTGCCTACTGCGCGGCCGGGACGGGGAGCGGCTGCACCCGTTTGGCCGACTGCTTGGGTTTCCAGAATAGGCCAGCCGTTAAGCCCCTATGCGCATTGTCACGAGGCGAACATGAGTCGGAGGCAGAGCACCCCTGCCTGCCTTTATTTGACTGAGACCCCATCAGCCATGACACGGCCCTGTGGCTTTTGTGAGTGACATGCGAGTGCACGCTGCACATTGGCCAGCTGCCTGCCGGCCTGCGTGCCCAAGTCAACAAGTGACTGGCGATGTAAAAACAGACACACACCCACGGGGCTGTCACCATGTCTGCCACATGTGCTTCTCTGCCTGATCAATTTTACCTCATCCGTTGCGTTTATCACATCGCCCTGTCCCGTTACTGCCTAACGCATCCACCCCATCTTGATCATACTAATAACCCCCCCCGGCGCTTACCACCCACCATGAGCAAGAGCAACAGCATACACCGACCTTGTATAAGCATAGCGCCGTGCGACTCATACTCGACTACAGAAGCATCAACATCAGCATCAGCTCACAGCTCGGATTGCTCCTGTGGTTCTCATCCAGCAGGTCCCTCATCCATGTGCTCAGGCCCCAGTCTCAAGCGTGTTCACCATCACGTGGAGGGGCAAGCACGGCCACAGACAGAGCGTGATATGGCGCGGCCACGCACATATGCCGACGACTATCCTACTCTGTCCTCTGCCTCTGTCGAGACCTACAACTCCGTCTTCTCAGACACAGACTCCCTGGAGAGCACCAATGTCGACGACGAGGGTGAGGCGACAAAGAAGGATGAGCCCCCGGTGCCAACAGACGATGATATCCCCCCGGTGCTGCCGCAATATCAAGCCGATATCATCGACCCTCTCGTTCGGCCATCGACACCAGATTCCTTCAGCCGGCTCTTCCCCTCGTTAGATCGCTTGTCGATACGACACGACGATCTGACGCCGGACGGGAACATGAATCTGCGTATCGACACCATTGTGCCATGCACTGGTCGCAGGCCCATCACCGTACAGCTCTTCCACCTGCGCATGCACGACCTGGCCCGTCGCGAGTTCTCCCTGCGAAGATATTGCCGGGACTCGGGCCGAGAAGTGTGCAACTCGAAACGAGCATACGCACAGGCGCCGCCCACATCCCGACCTGGCTTCCAGCGATCCATGTCCTCCGCCCTCCACTCACTGAAGCACCCCTTCCGTCGATCAAGCATCAACTCGAATCACACCCCCGCCGGGCGTCCCTCGACGGGGAGCAGCGCGACAACTTCATCATGGGATGCTGCGTCGATCCGCTCCATGCGCATGCGCGCCGACTCGTGGTTGAGGGACAACCCACCACCGCCCCCGGCATCGTCTCTGGTGCCCACCAATTCGATCAAGCTGGAATTCAGCAACTACGCCCGTGTGGACGTGGATCGCATACACGACCGGCACGGGACGCGTTACGGGTTCGAGTGGTGGGGGCACAAGTACGCATGGAAGCGTGTCGTCGATGAGAACCTAGACATCACCTCGTTCCACCTCATCCGTGACGGCAAGGGCCATGGCGTCGCGCACATCACGCCTGAGACGCGCAGCCCGAACCAGGTCGAGGCGGAGGAATGGGCTGGAGGATGGGTACCCCCTTGCTTCATGTGGATCAGCGACCCCAAGATTGTAGACGCAATGACCGATGTTGCCGAGTAAGTTTTCTGCCATCCATTCACCCTGGAATCAATGCTGACGATATGTAGCGTAATCGTCGCAACTGGACTCATCGCACTGGTGGACGACTCCATCAAAGCCCGCTGGCACGTCGTCCGGCCAGCCTACAAAATGAACAGAGCCCTGTCCGGTGATGCGCAGTCGCATCGCGGTATGGCGAAGGGGGTGTTTGGGAGGAGGCGGTCCGAAATGCACGCAAAGACACCTCTACGGACACACCGCTCGGTATCGGTGTACTAGAAGCGCACCAGGAAGCGGATGGCCGTGTCGCGTCTACGACACGTCGTTAAAAGAACAGAGTAACAGACAACGCTCGTCGGAGAATGGCGGAGCGGACTATGTACAGCATATTCGGGAACAGACAGAACATTGTGGGATGCAGAGTATCATCCAAGCGAGCAAATGAGTAATGGTAGATTTAGCAACCACCTATTCCATCATGTCGTTGTGGCATAATTCATCATATCATACTGGAGTATTGCCGTATCACTAGCCAGCGATGAGAGTAGACGGTGTATTTCTGGTAACCAAGCAATTATTATATGTAGTGAAACAGGGATCATCCCTTGACGGGCCGTCTATAGTCTATACTGGGGCTGACACACTGCACACACCGCGTTTCTTTGTATAGCCCTGCTCATGCCACACCACCGCTGCATACGCGGCAGGCATAACAGCTGATTTGCTCAGTGTACGTCACCTCTGTACTGACCTTAGCATGGGGGCTGTGGCAGTTGGTACTTACAAGGATAGGGCTCCAGACGTTGCATGGCGGCTTCTCACCGATGCTTCTTCTCGAGTACGACTTTTACCATGGGCCGTTGTATACGTGCACAGGATACACAATGTATGACGAGTGTGGCTTAACAAGCCGCACAAATACCGTCTGTATCGTATCGTTGACCCTTTGCTTGCCAGCCCCTTGTCTATATCCTATGCAAGGACACTTGTGTCAGTAGTCACTAATATCAATATACAACCAGGAACAAGGCATGATTGCAATGCTCCTAGGATCAGTGCTCTCCGTTGTTAGAAGTCTTGTTGTTGTTGTTTCATTCGCCAACCTCCCCCTTTTTAAGGGACCATACAGACTTGGGGGGCGACGTCGGTGCCAACGCCTTTTTCTGGGGAAGACGCCGTTAGATGGATGGAAGTGAGCAAGATAGCGCAGAGTCAAGTGAACACTGTTTTGTATACGACGGGACTAGGGAGAAATTCTGAAGACCAATTGCGAAGGCTTGTATGGCCTTTCATTATCTTTGCCCCAGGCGCAAGTATCAGTGTAAGCGGTCGGTTGCGCCATCCTCACTCATTGAGGTTTAGAATCTCCCACCACCCATTAATACATCATGTTCTCTGCCCTTGTGCGCAGCTTTGAGCCCCTAACCTTCTCCACCAACCCTTGCTTCGCCCATCCTTTCCTGACGGCTCAACTCGATCGCGGGAGCGCCTAGGCTGTGAAGATGTCAGCTCTCTTTTCTCAGGACTGCCACCGGAAACACCAGATTTCAAATCACGGAATGGGGAGGCAGACGTACCCTGGCAGATGGTGTTAGGGTCGTCTCCGCCAACACACTTGCCCAAGCAGTACGATCCCTCGTACACGAGCTTGTTGGCCTGACCGCACTCAAAGAGGGCGAGCTCGGGCTTGACGTCCTTGTCGCCGAGGGCGGCGACGAGGTCTGCCTTGGTGTAGCCTGCGCATTGATAATTAGCATCCCCTTGACGATCCAAAGACACGAACGTAGGAACAGGAAAACCTACCCTGCTCAGCAATCAGGGCAGCACCGCACTGAATTTGGCCTGGCGTGCAGGTGCCGGCGGCGGCAACAACGCCCACGAGGGCGGCGAACATGACTTTGACGGACAGCATGGTGAATGTTTGGTGATATGATGGTAGTTGTGTTTGTAGATGTGATGTTTGATTGTTGGTGTGATGCAATCTTCGAAACCTGACTCGAGGAAGGGGCCTATCCCGCTATTTATACACAAAGGCCGTGATGGCGACTCAATTGCAAGCTGTCTGCCAGATCTGGTATCCCAAGCTGATTTTCATAGCTGCTGTCTTGACGTTGGGGGCCGCACAACTCGGACGAGTGATGATCGCAGCTTGGGCCACGCTGACATGCAAGGCGTACGTCGTTGCGTCACTGTGCTGACCCTTGCGGGCAACATACGCCCGAGTCCAGAGATGGTTCTTGAAAGATCGCTGATCCAGGCCCGGCAATCGTGGAGGTCCCCATTGTATAGGCCTCTCAACCCGTCTCCTGCCGCCCGCGTTCCGGAACATCGCTGTGTACGCGGACCGGGTATCAGATCCTTCAAGAACCCTGCGTCAATTCACGATTGGCTCGCCAGGGTACTGTACCCCAAGGTACAGTACCCCGCGTAAATACAGTTGTAGTCGTGGCTCATACATCATGAAGGATGACCGTGGCGAGCTACTGATCACTCCCAGTCCTGCCTTTGCCGGCCAAACCAACCCCCAAAGTCCAGCTTCATCAACAGCCGACTGATGCCCCCGACGCGGCTGGGCCTATAGGACCTCTCCTCCTCATCCATTTCGTCCCCATCGAGCTCCTCACCTTCCCACCGGGCCATGAAAGCGGCATCGCTCTCCAAGTGCCGCAGCCCGGCTATGACATTGCCGATTCCGTCCTTCACTCTCTTCTCCACGCCACTGAGAAGAGCGGTGACCTCTGCTTCTTCTGTCGGCAAGTCGGCAAAGGCGTCGACAACCCCGGCGTCGGTCTCCAGATCGATGGATGTGAAAATTGAGTGTAAGCGGTGAGTGTGGGTGACCAAGTGGTCAATGTGGACGAGCAGACTGTGTAATGGGACTGTGAACGACGGCTGCGTCAGGAGGAGGCGGAAGGCGAGAGTGGACAAGTAGCGCGCATGCGCGGTAGAGATCGTCTGCGGGTCGTGTGTAGGCTTCAGACCGGACTCATTGGGGCGTGGCCGGGGCGAACCACAGTCGAGCCAGAGGTCTTCGTCTTCATCTGTGCTGGCATCTTCAGTCTCCCTCTCTCCTCCTTCCTGAGTCGCCCTGGTGGGTGGTCTTGAGGGCTGACTCGTTTGCTGTCCCTGCAGTAGCCACGCCAGAAACCCTTCCCACAGGACGGCTACCACTTCCGTCTGGAAGTACGCTTCAGTCTCCCCCAGGAAGAATAGGGCAGCACTAGCCGTGACCCAGACGCTGCGCATCGTCATCATGCGCGTGGACCATCTCTCTCGGAGTTCAACAGCATACTGACTGGCTCCTTTCGGGGCGGGATGGTGTCTCCGCAGCGACGAGATCTTCCACAGGTCTGTGAGTCGGATGTGAGCTCGGCGCATGGACAGCAAATATGCGTTGGCGCAAGAATAGAGACGCAGATCTGCAGGTGTGAGAACCATATCCAAGGGGGAAGGTAGTCGGATTGACAGATCCACGGGGGCAGAGAAAAGTAAGTCCCGAAAAGGCGACTGTTCCATCAGCTGCAGAGCCTCAGCGTCGAGCTCCATGCCTGGTTCTATGCCCGGGTCACGAGATGCTGGCGCAGTTGTCTTGCCAATTTGGAGGCGTAGCAAGTCCCGTGCCAATTCCTGCTCCTCATCTTCCTCGGCGTGAGCGCCTTGCATGGAGGTTAGCACCGCCCAAGTCCGTGCCAGCACAGCTGCTACTTCTCCATCCTTGACGGTAATGTTCCTGAGCGCATCACCTTTCTCGTACGCCAGATTGTCTGCTCTCTGCCATCGATTCCGCGTTCGCTGGTCAGCCTCCTGTATCAAGGCCATAGCGAACTCGCCACGCCCAAGCAGGAAAAACTGCCGCAGGAGCTGGAGCATTTCGGCCACCTTGCTCAGTGGAAGTATGTTCTGCAATGTTGTCTCGGAAATATCCAAGCGCATGGCAGTAATCGTCCTCGAGAAGGCCGCCCTATCGAGTGGATGCGATAGACTCGACAGCTGACGAAGCTGCACGGACAACTGGCCCAGCCCTCGGAGCCCGGAGTCGATCATCTTCTTGACCTTTGGGTGGTTCAGGCACTTTCCAATGAATAGCATCGATGTGACGGTCTTGGTCGTCACGAATTCCGGTAGCATCGTCTTCTCCGCAATGAAGTCACCGTCGTCCGCCATCCGTACAAAGAAGTCGTGGCCTCCAGGACTGGGCAGCTTCCCGTACAACAACCACGCAGAGACCTGCTTCAGCCACGCCTTCTCCGCAACTGCCACAAGGCTCATGGCTGTGTCTTCAATGTCCCTGTAGCCGCTCTGCACCTCTTTCCGGAGATGATCAATGACTTGCGCCGCCTGCCGCCCCTCTCTGTTGGCCATGAACTGCATGAACTCCCAGAGCCAGTCCATCCGCCTTGTCCATTGTGAGAACTCGCCCACCACAGCTGTGAGGGGAACGATATTGTGCGCGCCGACGTAGCTCGGGTCGTCGTTTAGAATCTTGGCCTCCACCTCAATGACCTTCCTCCGAAAGGCCCGTAGATGGACATCTTCCACGGCGGCGCTGACGGCTCGCACAATGATGGAGCCTTGCGTGTCTCGGCTGATCTCCCGCGTAGCATTGATGATCTTGACGTGCGTCTGGCTGAGATGTGCGGCGGCGCTCAGCAGCTGTCGCTCAGACGGGGTGATGACCCCCGGTGGGAATGTCGCGTCGGGCTGGAGGAGCGGGGAAGGGTGCCCTGAGAGGGACAGGAGGATTTCGTGCAGCATTCTATTTCCTCGCGGCGAGAGCTTCGGGCGCTGATGGCGTCGGCAATGTCGTGGAAGATGAGGATGATGGCACCTAGAAGCTCGAAGCGGCACATGGGGGCGGGCGGTCGAGGGGTGGAATGTGCGGTCACGATCGGCAACGAACCCAGCTGTCGGTGTCAAGGAGCCAGCGCATAGCAGGCAATCACTCAAAATGATGCTGTGAGGGGCGCATAGTCCAGTCTATGATCGAACAATGTCGGCGTTGTTGGGCGTTGCACAAGTACAGATACCTTTCGGAAAGCGCGACTCGACGCGATTGTCGTTGCACAACCCCACCCTACCCTAGACTGACCTCGAGTCAGACCAACTAAGGGTGAGATCGAACAATGAATATCGTTGTGGTATCATCATCCAGTCTTCTTAAGAATAGGCCAACAGAGCATATCCGACTCAATTCCGCTATATACTATACCTCCTATTGTCCAAGATTGTTGCCGTCCTCCTCTAGCGGACCATGTCCCTCTCTTCCAAGCTCAACCACCTCGCCCTTACTGGGTCTATTTGTACGGCCCCATGGCCGATTTCTGCGACGACTGATTGCGATTCAACAAGGGCCTTCCACTGGCCATGCTCGCATTGTCCCCGTACACGCTCTGGGGCGGGGACCGGCCGCTCTGCTTCCCATCCGGCGTAGCGCCCTCCTCGCCCCCGACAATGACCTGGCCACCACCTTTGACATTGCCGACCACCATACCCTTGGCGACACTCTTCAGGATGGCGCGACGCGAGACGCCCGTGACGTCGATATACACGAGTCCCACGTTCTTGAAGCCGCCGCCGATGTGACCAGCCACCTCGCCAGCCTCGGGACCCCATCGATGGCCCACGACTTGCGTGGCAGAGGACGATGCGCCCGTCAGAAGATTGCGCCCCGCCTGCTCCACGCCGTCCACCACGGTGTTGAACGCCATGAGCGACTTGTTGAGCACGCCGGGCTTGTAGGTATCGATCGGATTGCCGTCCTTGTCGTATCCTCGTGCCGATCCGTCCTTTCTCTTTCCGACGCTGGCGCCAAAGTTCTGCGCATACTTGGAGATGGTGCCCACCGTCGCACTCGAGAGACCAGCTGCCTTTGTGGAGAATGTGTTGATGCGCCGTATGTGCTCGTGGGTGGTCGGCTGGAACGTCACCGGCTTAACGGGCTGTGTGCTCTTTGTAAAGTTGTCTGCCTGAGTCGACATGGTGCGGGTAACAAAGTCCGACGTCGTGACAAGCAACTGCGACGCCTTAGACGCACCGCTCACGATGGTGGACTTTTTGTACGCCGGGTGCATGTCCTTGCCCACGTACTCCTGCGGCGCAGGACCAATGGCAATGTTCTGGCTGCCGTCCTGGGGGAGGGCGACCATGACAGGGTCCTTGGATCCAGGCTGCACAGCGCCATCCTCGACGACTTGGAAACCTTCACCGAGCTCGCCAATGACGCTGCCGTCCTCCTGGTCGACGAGAACGATGCGACCGCCCTGCTGCTGGGCTTGGGCGCTGCTGCTGCCCGCCGCGTAGGCTTGCCCTGGCTCATAGTCCGCCGGGTTGTATGGTGGGAGCTCCTCCCCAGCGGCTTCCCTGGCCTTGGCACGTGCAGCGTCACTCTCCTTCTTCTTGCTCGACACGGGCGCCTGCGCGCGCTCGAGGAAGGCGGTGCATTGCGCAAGGATAGTCTCAAAAGTGTCAACGTCTTCTTGCACGCCTGGCCTGCTCCCCACAGCGGGGAATTCTAGCCTGGTGAAGGCACCGCTTTCGGGACCCAGATCCCAGCGGGGGATGAGGTAGCTTGTAGGCGGCTGGTGATAGATCTGAGTTGTGGCGGGCATGGGCAGGTCGAGCTCCGGCGGTAGGTGCAGATGGAGATAGAAGTCTTCCTCCGAGTTCACAGTGTTTGGATCGGCGAAGCCTGAAGAGGTAGGGACCATCAACAGGGAAAGGGTCTGGGGACCTGAGGGCGTGAGGGGTTCCTCGCGGCCATTGCCGAGTTGGTAGGCGCTGACGCCCTCAATGGCGTAGAGAAGCTTGGGGTCCTGCATGCTGTTAGATAAGACAGATGGGAAAGTTTGTGGAACGCACGCTGTGCCCGGATGACATGACTGCGGTTGAGATTCTTCGTGTAAGTGTCAGTAGCACGGGTGGCCCTGGACGGTGGTAGTGGGGGACTGGAGGGGTAGAGGTGACGTGAATCCGTGACGACCCTGAAACAGACAAAAAGACTTTAAGACCCAGGAGATTTGGCTCAGAAGCAGTAGCACGAAGTCATGCAGAGATAATGCGCAAGATGAAAGATGTGCAGATCAGTCTGGGATCCGAGCGATCAAATAAGTTTATTTCTTCGGAACAAGGTGGGCGGCAACGGGTTGCTCTGGGCTAGCTGAAGCTGGGGCAGGCGAGGCCAGGGTGTGGCGAGGTGCCGCCTGGTTGGTTCAACAACCATGGCACGGCGCTTAAGACGCGGTTTCCCAGCAATTAAATTAGACTGAGCCCCTATCAGAGCCTGCTGATGATCACAGAGAGGGACGAGGACCATATGCGGCTACTTTTTCACAGTCTTCAAATTCTAGGCCTATGCCAGCTGTGGCTGGTGCGCTGCTGAGCCACAGATGATGAAACCTAAATCTGTAGCGTCGTCAGCCCGGAGGCTGTGCAGACCCGCGGCCTTGCTTCCGCCCCGCACATGACCTCAGTGGAAAATGACGGTTGAAGATCACGTGGCTTAGGGACGCCATGCTCTAGGGTAGGCCGAATGCAAATAGAATAACGGCACCCCAAGGCTCAAGCATCGGTATTTGTCTCAGCATCACACAGTCACACTGATCATTGATCAGCCAACAGTTGGCAAACGGCTATTTACGGTCATTAAGTCTGGTCATCTCCAGTTAATTAACTCCCCCTCTCCTCGTTGTGTCTCGCGCCAGGAACTCGTCTCATGTCCTCGTCATCGACTGCACCTCCGCACCGCCGACTCCACACCAGCTCTGAGCTATTGCTTACCGTGCATCCATTGATTCCAGTCGCATCCTAAACCTCAGGCGATGGCTCGAATTTGACAATTGCCATGCTTCGACAGGCGTGGTGGCCATAGGCCAGCAGGCTCCTGGGATCATGTTCATGCACGACATGCTGTCCTGTCCCCCCATCCTGTCATCAATCTCGAAGTCTCCCAACTCACTCACTGCCTTTGCTCTGGATGTGACATCAGTCCAGTCGCAGGCGGCAAATGCTGCCTCCTAATGCGAACCAAGTTCCATTATTAATGAAACGGCCTCCGCGCCGCGCGCGGGGTGCTGGCAGCAGCTGCTGCAGCTGTCACCCGTGCGCCCTTGGTTTGGAATCACGGTGCCGCGGATGATCTGGGTATGGCTGTGACGCACCAATGACTTGCAGTCTCACGCACGGTACCTGTCCCCGGGACGGGTGGATCGGGTTGTGAGTAGGTTCTGGTAGTAATAATAGCTCCGATCAGGTACCTCCCGATATTACGAAAGGTACTCGTACTTACATCACAGGGACTGGCAGCTGGATTTATATACAGATAGGCATCCTCGGCCACATCGGCCCTGACGTCTTCCCTCCTCATACGCCCTTGGAGTTTGACACATAGACTCACTTCTGACCCGTCATATAACACACCAGCAGATTGCCGTATTGTCATTTATAACGTCTTCACTGCCATTGCGCTTCACATACAAGCTGGTACTGCACGATGCCTGCAGTCAAGAATCCCAACGGCCAGGCCGACATTATCGACATTCGTGGCGATGCAGTCGAATTTGACCTTAAGGCTGATGTTGAGACCATGATCGCCGGTGACCCGGGGGCGCGAAAGTTGCCCACGATGCTGCTGTATGACGAGAAAGGCCTGCAGTTGTTTGAGGATGTACTGCCTGCGCATTGATCTTCCTGGTATGCTCCCTGCGCTAACAGAGGCAGATCACCTATCTGGACGAGTACTACCTCACCAACAAGGAGATCAAGGTGCTGGAGACGTACGCACAGGACATGGCAGCGCAAATCCCCAGCGGCGCCATGGTTGTCGAGCTCGGCAGTGGGTACGCATGTCCTGCAAAGACTACCTTTTCTCACTTTGACATGATGCTGACGAGCCAAGAAACCTCCGCAAGGTCAACCTGTTGCTCCAAGCCTTTGAGAAAACCGGCAAGAAAATTGACTACTACGCGCTCGACCTCAGCCTGGACGAGCTGGAGCGAACGATTGCCCAGCTACCGGACTTTCGCCACGTCACCTGCCACGGTCTGTGGGGGACGTACGACGACGGCCAAGCTTGGCTGGAGGGCAAGCGTGATAGGGTGAAGTGCATTCTCCATCTGGGATCCAGCATTGGTACGTCGTATTGGCACAAGTGAAAGCGAGTAGGTGAACTAACCGGTCCGTCCAGGCAACTTTGATCGCAAGGGTGCGGCCGAGTTTCTGGCTGGCTTTGGCCGGGTGATGAGCGGCACGGACATGATCTACATTGGTGTCGACACATGCATGGAGCCAGACAAGGTCTAGTAAGTTGCTGCTCAAGACGTCCCATGGGTGCTGTCAGATGTGCTGACACTCACAAGTCATGCCTACAATGGTAAGTTGCTGAGGGTTTGGTGAGGTATAACAGTGTCTAACGCTCAGAAGACTCCAAGGGTATCACCCATCAGTAAGTTGCCATTGTCTTTCATGGATGAGGGTGCTAGGCTGATCACCCAGATTCATCCTCAATGGCCTCACACACGCAAATACCCTCTTCCCCACGCCCGTCGTTGATCCGGCAGACTGGCATGTGATTGGCGAGTATGTCTACGATCAGGATGGTGGCCGCCACCAAGCCTTCGTGGCACCGGTCAGAGACGTCACTGTCCTCGGCCAGAAAATCAAGGCCTTTGAGAGGGTGAAGATCGAGGAAAGCTACAAGTACTCCGTCCCAGGCACACGGAAGCTGTGGCAGAACAGCGGCCTCAAGCAGGTCAATGCCTGGAGGCAGGATGATTACGGTGAGATTCCTCAAAAACGCAACCCCCACGATGGCGTGATCAGCGTCTGATGCAAAGAGACAGGTATATACCACCTCACCAAGCAGTCCAAATTCGCCTTCCCCCTCCACCCCACGCTCTATGCGTCGCAACCTCTCCCGACACTCGACGACTGGGCGTCGCTCTGGGCGACCTGGGACGTTGTCACACGCCAGATGCTCCCGCAGCCGTCTCTGTCCGAGAAACCAATCAAGCTGAGGAACGCCTGCATCTTCTATCTCGGACACATCCCCACCTTTCTGGACATTCAACTGGCCAAGACGACGGGCGAAAAGAACACGGAGCCCCGGTCCTTTGTTGACATTTTCGAAAGGGGCATCGATCCCGACGTCGACAACCCGGAGAAGTGCCATGATCACTCAGAGGTGCCCACCGAATGGCCGCCATTGGACCAAATCCTCGAGTACCAGTCCAAGGTCAGGAGCAGGGTACAGAAGCTATACGAGGGAGACATCTCGAGGAGCGTGGGCAGGGCCGTCTGGCTCGGGTTTGAGCATGAAGTCATGCATCTGGAGACCCTTCTCTACATGATGCTCCAGAGCTCCAAGACACTGCCACCTCCGGGTATCGACAGACCTGATTTTGCGAAGCTGGCAGACATTGCTCGAGAGAACAAGGTCGCTGACGAATGGCACGACATTCCTGCGCAGACAGTCCATGTTGGCCTGGACGATCCAGAGGACGGAACGGATCAGTCGAAACACTTTGGATGGTATTTTTGCGTGCAGATAAAACCAGATCATGTTGACTGACAGACCACTCAGGGACAATGAGAAGCCGGCTAGAGAAATCAGCGTCCACGCCTTCCAGGCCAAGGGGCGAGCCATCACCAACGAAGAGGTAAGCTTCCATCATGTGTCTACTGGTGCGACTGACTGACACGAAAAGTACGCCACCTACCTCGTCGAGACCAACACACAGAGTATCCCAGCCTCCTGGATCAAGAGTCCCAACCACACCAACGGCCACGCCACGCACAGCAGTCCCCTGCAGTCCTTCATCAGCGCCCACTCCGTGCTCACAGTCTTCGGCCCCGTGCCCCTCCAGCACGCCCTGGACTGGCCCGTCATGGCCTCCTACGACGAGCTCGCCCCCTGCGCGGCGTACATGGGCGGCCACATCCCGACATTCGAGGAGGCCAAGTCCCTATACGCGCACGTGGAGCGCAACAGATCCCTCCTGTCGTCCACGCTGACGGCACGCGTGCCCGCGGTGAACGGCCACCTGTCCAACGACGGCGTGGAGGAGACGCCCCCAACGCCGCCGCTGTTCATCGACCTCGGCGGCGCCAACGTGGGTTTCCAGAACTGGCATCCTACGGCGGTGACCCATACCGCGGCGCTGCAGGGGCAGGCTGGCATGGGCGGCGTGTGGGAGTGGACGAGCTCAGCGCTCGCGCCGCACCCGGGCTTCGAGAGGATGACGCTGTATCCGGGGTACACGGCGGACTTTTTCGACGGCAAGCACAATATCGTCCTGGGCGGGTCGTGGGCGACACATCCGCGCATTGCGGGCCGTAGGAGCTTTGTGAACTGGTACCAGAGGAAGTATCCGTATGCCTGGGTGGGTGCGAGGGTCGTGAGGGACATGCCGCCAGCCAGTGAGGGAGCGTGAAGCGGAGTGGAAGATGCTGGAGGATGGACGGGGAGAGATGGCTAACGCAGGTTTTCGTTTCGCATACGACTCTCTTTTCTTTTCGCTCGCGCCCAGGACCAACGCTTTCTCCTCACGTACAAGGACGGATCGATCGAACAGCAATCAAACCCACGCTCTCTTGGTGCGACGATGGAACACGCAACTCTGTACCAGACCCTCGTTAACAGACTGCTGTTCTGGCCCTTGGCCAACAAACTGTCCCAGTTCGCGTGCATGACAAGTCCTGCCGTTGCAGCAGACGCAGAACCTGCCTCTACTTCTTCTCTCTATTCGTGATAGCGTAAACTTTTTGTCTAATCATGTCTCATGTCCCCAACGCCCAGACGCCTTTCCCATGCATTACCCAGTGCCGGGTGCTTATCTTGACCGTAGCCTCCCGTCACTCACTCGCCCATGCGTACCCAGGATCTCTACCCATCGAAGCTGCCATAGGTCTGGTAAATGGTCGTGCTCACGTGGTTCGGCAGGTGAAGTCCCCTCTCGGTGATCAACTGATGCACATAGTCGTGCGGCTGTGCGGTGGTCAGTCAGCGTGTACTCAAATCAACATCAACCACTAGAAAAGGGGGCAACTCACCACCCACTCCACAGGGTCGTCCGTCGCCGGCCTCTCCGCATCCTCTGTGCCAAAGTCCAGCAGTTTCTGGTCAAAGCCAATCTCGTTCCACCACGGCATAAACGCCACAAACTTGTGCTCCTCGCCGCAGACGAAGACAGGGATGCTCGACTCGTGCGCAATCTGCGCCACTTGCGCCGCACCCACGCGGCTGATGACACCGCCGCCCTTTGTGATGACCTCCCCGCCAAGGAAGACAGCCGAGACGCCTGGCTTGGCGGCCTTGACAGCCGTGAGGACGCTCGCGCCGTCGATCGGGGCTGTGGGAATGCCGAGCTTGCGCAGGCGTGAGACGACGCGCTCCGACTCCTTGGGGTTGTAGTGGTCCCGGACGTAAATGACCTTGAAGCGGCCGGGGATAGCCTGTTGCGCCCGCTCAATGAGGCCAAGGACGGCGCGCGAGGAGCCATGTGTCATGACCGTCTGGCCGGGCTTGATGACGCGGAAGCCGTGCTCGGCGACACCAGTGCGGGCGTGGATAGCGCGCTGGGCAAAGACCTGGCCATTGTCGACGAGATGCCTGCGGACGTTTTCAAAGTTACCGCCTTCGTCGCGCAGCATCTGTCGAACGAACCAGAGGAAGAGGTGTGTGCCGGCGACGAGGGGCACAGGGTTGCGGACCGAGTTGGTGAGGCGGTCGGCACTGGCCTGGAGGACGTCCATGGTCTCGTGGGCGGTGACGGAGTTTGTGTTCTCGAGGAGGGAGATGAGGGCCTTGATGGCGACGACGGGCTTGGTGAGGTCGCGGTTCTGGGCGAGGAGGTCGTGGTACGTCTGGACAATGTCAAAGGGGGCGCCGTCGGCGGCGCGGACGGGGAGGTCGACGGGGGCCCCGGAGGGCGTGGGCGTGTCGGTTGTCATCGCGTCTGCTGTGGTATGGATGCTGAGGCGAGCGCAGAATGATTTTGGTGCTGGTGACTGGATGCTGGTGATGCAGGTCGTGGTGAGTCAATCGAGAGTTGGTGGGGCCACCTCTCAGGCACTCGGACTGGCTGCCTCGTCGTTGGAGGGGCTGCGGGGGTGACAGATTAGTGCATGCTTATTTTGGCAGGCCTGTCCAAGTGTCGAATGATGGAAGACGCTGCAGGGTAGGTAGTCCGCTCCCACAGCTCGTGCTCTGGGACTTGACCACGAAGACATCAATTGTTGCCTTCTCAACATGAAGCTAAGTGCCTAAATAGGTCAAATAAGGTCTTCCTTTCGTCTATTCTACGGGAACTCGCGAGAAGTTCACAACCGTCAGTAATCAGAACCGCGTCTTATGTTGGGTTACATCAGTATTTCCATGATACATTTCCATGATACATTTCCATCTCAGAGCCAGGCCAGACACCCTCGCGATCGATGCCGCGCCGTCCTTCCGTGCGCTTGTAGGAAGAAATCCAAAATGCCTCCCAGCATATCCCTGACCAGCGACGTAATCAGAGATTATTGATAATGGGTCATTTGCTCGAAGTCTTGGACGGTGGCGGAAGGATTCGACTCCTGCTCGGCCGATGACGTATTGTCCAAGCTGTTCGGAGCCGAGAAGATGCAGGGTAGGCCAAGGTGCAGCCATTGGGACGGAAGTCACAGGTGACGTAACAGGACTGCGCGCTCGAGGTCAGAGCATGAATCAAAAGATTGAATGTATTAAAACGATAGAGGTAATCAACCGCGAGAGAATCGACAATGGGCAGCACCATCATGGGCTGGGGCACCAGCCTCTCAGCATTCTCCCAAACATAAGCATGTAACCCACGGCTCTTGGCGCACTGCCATGCCGTCCACAGAGACAAATGAACCAACGCCAGAACTCCTGGTCAACGAGTGACTGTTTCACGAAAGCAACGCTGCATTACGACCTGGGGGTGCCCAGTGATGGCGGTACAAGTACAACAGGAGAGCTCCCACTCACACGCCGCCCACAGTAGCCACAGCCACGCCGTTGGTCTCGGGCTCAGCCAGCATCACCTCGTGCACCTCCGAGACTGGAATCCCCGACGTCGCCGCCGGGGCTGGCACCGGGGCTGGCCCCGTTCGCGAGATGACGAGCGCGGGCAGCTCGGCAATGGTCTCTGCGCGCATAATGTCCGGCACGCGCAGCGAAATGTTCTCGCGCATGAGCGCCTGGAAGACGCGGATGGCGGTGAAGCTGTCGCCGCCATTCTGCGCGAACCCGCGCGTCTGCACGAGCTCGTCGACAGACGTGCCGACCGCCGTGGCGATGATGCGCATAATCTTTTCGTCGAGAGATTCCACGGGGGCCTTGGAGGTGGGTGTCGGAGGGGGTCCGTCGGCGTGCGCCTCCATGAGCAGGCTCTGCCTCAGGGCGACCTCGTCCACGGCGCCTGACGGGTCGACAGGCAGGACGCTGGGGCGTGACCACTTTCTGGGGACGACGGCGCGGCCTCCGTCGTCGCGCATCCTCTTGACGAGGGCCTTGCGCGCGGCGCGCAGGGCGGACTCGTCGGGCTGCTGCACGTCCGGGCTGAGGCAGATGGCCACGACGAGATCCGGCTGGGGCGCGTCGGCGGCGGCAATGTCGACAATCTTGGCCTGGACGATGGCTGGGTCGGCGAGCAGACTGTCCTCCATCTTGCGGACGAGCTCAGGGGTGATGGCGATCTGGCTCATCGTGGCGGTCTGATTTGATCGCTGTGAATAGGTAGGTAGATGGTTGGCCGGGTGTGAATGACAATGCTGTAAACGTATCTAGTCTTGAAGAGACGGCAGTTGGTGAAGAGGCGTATGGTAAGGACAGATGGACGAAGCGAGCAAGTATTCAAGACTCATTCATATACGCCTTGTCGAGAACGGACAGACAGACAGACAATCCGGGGATGAAACGTGCTATATAGGGCGACTTGGAGGGTGTGGGAGGCTGACGGGACCCGCTGAACCGGCCGTCGACCCCTGATGGCCGTCGATCCTTTCTCCTGGGCGCGTCTTGGCTCGTGGGAGAGGCGAATGGGCATCTTGGCCCGAGCACGATCGTCACTGTCGTCTGGTACTGGCGCATACTGTCTTCACGATGGCTACAACTTGGGACTCGCCCACTTGCGAGCGTCTCTGCTGTGTAGATTGACACGCCTGCCAATGTTTGGCTGACAGACTGCCCTGGGGATCGAATCGCCATGCCCAGCCCGCGTGGCCCCTCCAGCCGCGATCCTGCGGCTGTTGAAGGCTTGGCCGCGCCTGCGATCGCGGCACGGGCAGGGCTTTGAATTCAATGTTCGACTTTTGCCTATCGTGCGTCCTTGTCTTCAGTCTTCACGAGCACAAGGGCCGCGAGGCCCACTGTCGATTTGTCAATCAGCTTCTGGTCCCATTACAGTGCGTCGACTGCCATGTAACATGTAACGAGCCAGGCTCGTGCGGCTTCTTGCAACGTGCAACTCCTACTTTTGGCGGTGATCGTCGTCGCATCCTCGCTACAGCGCGAGAGCAGCGAGGGCTCTGTCTACTTCTGGCAAGGGGCCCGACATCGTGGCGAGCGGGCACTTGGCAGGCTGAGTTGTGAGGTTTCCAAGTGCATCTCTTGTCGAGACAGAGATCGTGGAAGCTGTAGGGCAAACTGGACGATGGGGTTGCTGGCACTTCTGATTCTTGAAGAAGCAAAGGTTGATACCGCTTCAGCATTCTAAGTTAAGCTTGCGGACGAGATTGGTCCAGGTGTTATTGGACATATTTGACAATTTCTCTTCATCCATAAAGAGAAACTGTGTCCCACGACCGTCTGCTCTTGGCAGAGAGACCTCCCATAACAGCCTCAATAGACGTCCTCATCCTCTACTCGAATCCCAGTCATCGCAAGAGACAGTACTTGACCAAAGCACAGCCCGACTGAGGCTCGACCGGCATTCCTCTCCGATGATGCCGATCCTCCCGTTGCTTGCATCGATTCCAGGGTCTCGGACTCCCGGTCCGGCCTTGGCTTGGCCTTCCTCTTTCCGTACCTCTGCGGAAGGCCAGGCCTCGCCCACCCTCCTTTGGTCAAATGTCGAAGGAAGATGATGACAGTGAGTCTCGGCGTGCTTGGCGCTTGTTTCATCAATCTGGGTTTCCGAATTCCAGTTAGTACCTGCAGAATGGATGCTGCTGCCACAAGAGATGCCCTTTTACACCATGTCGACAGCCACCACAGGCTCCCGTTGATCAAAAGTAACAAATTATCGTATATAGGGTATCGTGGGCGTCGATTCACGCCATGAATGATTATAGATAAGAATCAATCGCCATGTCCTTGGTCGTATGCTGTTCACACCATGCAATGTCTCGACATCTCCAAGCCGCAATGTCCATGCTGTCCTGTTGTACCGGCGAAGCAGAGCTGTCCTGCCCTCTTCATCGTACCTACTACAACTTTGGAGCCTTGCCTCCAAGCACCGACGTCTGCGTGAGTCCGCCCCGGCCATGATGCCACGAGTCGCCGCCTACCTCCTGGTCGCTCGAGACCTGGTAGGTCGTCTGCACGGTCACAGCGTTGGGATCACTGCCGCCGCCGGTCTTCATATTCCCAATAATGCTCTCCTGACTACCATTCGAGTCCGAGTCCTGCCTCTTGCGGCCGAAGCGGTTGCCCTTGTCGATGCTGCTGGCGAGCTCGTAGGAGCCTGTGATGTTGCTCGGCTTGGTGCCGGTGCCGTGGGAGGCACCGGCGCCGCCGTGACTGCTGGGTAGCTTGCTGGTCTTGCGGGACCAGAACTCGCGGCTGGCAATGGGGCGGAGGATAGGGATGTTGACGGTCAGGATGCCGACAATGGTCTCGCGGACGCCCCAGCTGTTGATGCTGACGGATGAGGGGTTGGCCGAGGTGGTTAGGACGACGCGGATGATGGCGGCGGCAATGACAAAGGCGCCGGACGAGAGGAGGAGGCCGATGACGAGCTTCCTGTGGTGGTGACGGTGGTTAGTTGTGTTTGGGGGAGTAGGGCAGAGTAGGAGGCTTACTTCTTCAGGGGCACCTGCAGTGTCCACAACAGGGGCAGAGGGATACAGAAGATCATACCGTCGGTCCTGGCGGTGTCAGCTGGGGATCTTGTGAAGCAGAACCAAGACATACATGACGTTCAGAACGGTGGTGACGATAAAGTTCTGCAGCTTAAAGGTGCACTTGGCCCCGGGATCCGGGAGGACTCTGCGAGCGAAGACGTTAGTCAGGAGATCCTGGCGATGACTACACTGTTGGACACTCACTGCCAGTTGTCGTGCGTGGGAAAGCAGCCAAAGGTGATGGTCAGGAAGACGGCAATGTACGCAAGGGCACACAGCCACGAGGCCGTCTTGACAAAGGTGTTGTGCCATGTGCCAATGGTCAACCGCGAGAAGAAGCACAGCATGGTGCCCTTGAGCGACCACAGCAGGGCCGTGTATGAGTACCAGGCGATGAGCTGCAGCTTGGACCCCAGTTCGTAGTCTCGAATGTCCTTGTCCGAGAGGGGCCCCTTTTCCGCCGCAACGCCCGCCTCCACGTTCGTGCCCAGGAAGTCTGGCACGCTGTCAGCAGGGGGAAGACACAAAGAGTCGGACAGAGAGCCCTACAAATTAAGTGCACCGTCGACGCGTCCATGGCGTAGAAGATCCAGACGAGCATGGAAAAGAAGTCATCGCCCTGGAGGCCCTTGATGCCCACGGCACGCAGGCGCACCACGAAGCGTCCCAGCAGGATCAGACAACCCACGCCAAAGAGGGCCCATACCTCGTGCAGGAACTCGGGCTGGTCTATCGAGACAGGCATGGCTTGTGTGTTTGTCGATGCGAAGAGAATGACAAAAGAGAAATGCGCTTGACAGTGACTGGGGGCGAGGCGAACAGCAAGAATCAACGACGACGACGACGACGACGACGACAAGTCAGGCCCTGCTGGATATATAAAAATGAGAGCCTAGCGCACAAACTGGAGAGTATGTAGCCTTGTCGACCAAGTGCATTCTTTTAGATCTGCCACACAATGGGGCTTTGCCAGATACTACTGAGTCGCGGTGCCTCAACGGGGGGTGCCTTGAAATCTCCATCCATGCAGAGACCTTTGGATCGGCTAGTCCACAGACGGTGCGCTCGCTTAATACTACGTACGTATGTTTATTAGCACGTATGGAGTCCATGGACACTTGCAAGGTCCAGGTCTGTTCGTGCGGGCAGCCAACTGCTCGCCAGCTGCACGATCGCCAGACGGGGGCCTCTCCGACCCGGTCTGTTGGTGCCATGAATGACTCGGGGGGCCCAGGGGCCGCGAGACTTCCGGGCGCGCCCATGAGCTGCTAGTCCTTGATTTGTGTACAAGAGGTGGCGATGTGCAGGCCTCGCTTCCTTCCAGTCATCTTGGATGAGTTTATCCACGAGCAGAATGGAGGGTGAGACATCACATGGTTAGCGTCGACATGGACATTTGCATGCGGAGGATCTGCAAAGAGCATTGACGACGAGGATTCCGTCGTCCGAGCGTCCATTTGACGCAGGGCAGCGAGTGTTGGACTGTGCTCTTGGAGAGGCCAGTCGGGCAGAGGAAGAAGGATAGGGCACGCGCGGCGCGTCTCGTCTCCGCTCCGCGCGCGCGGACGCTATCGGGCGCCACTCAGATCCAGTCCGTTTCGAAAATTCATCGTGTTGGACTAGTGTAGTCTAGTCTTGTTGGCCTCTCAACTTAACGCAGGCGAAGTATTTCGGGGCCTGCTGACCATCGATGGCCAACATTGAAGGACCAAGGTAGAGCGACGTGTGGCCGCCTCACTCACGTGGGAGACCCTGTATGTGGAAGGGCGGAGACTCTCTTCTGAGTCCTGGCGCCTTGACTGGAAGTTTGGAACCAGACTGGACTCTGTGGTTTCTTCAATTTCGCCCCTGGAGAATGTCACTCGCTCTCCACTTGGCCCTTTTCACGAAGCTGCTGGCGACCCACGACTTGACGTTAGGCGCTTCCACGACTCTGCTCACATCAGACAAGCAGTCCATCCGTCTGTCCGTCAGCACGCAAGGCTACGCCGTTGGCGAGTGCAGTCAGAATTGACGGCGTCCCTTCAATTGCGATGTAGAAACATCTCAGGTTCCAGATGGTCGAGACAGCAATGAGGGCGCAAGACACCATCACGCCTCCTACGTACTGTACTACTACTTACTGACTCGCGTCAAGGTCCAGGGGGGCGCGTGCCCAGGCACGCGCATGAACGCCAAGCGGATTCCTCTTTGCGGGCGACGGTGACCCTCGCATTTTGCTGGGACTCGCAAGCAGACAGGTCGCTGTGAAAGGCGAGCAGCAAGTCCGAGCTTTGCAAGTACCGAGACAAGCCACCCATCAATCGTCAAGCCCTGTCCAGACTCCAGAATGCAGGGCTGCAGGGGCTGGCTTCTGTATAGTCTGCGCAGGATTCTGGATCCGATCAATCATTATTGGCGTGGAGTCCGAGTCCGATCCGCGCGACCGGTGGCCTGGATCGGGCCCAGATAGATCTTGTGATATATGATCAAAACTGGTCGACTTACAAGGCTTTCATGATGTCCATGTTCATGCCATAGTCTTGGGAGGACGATCGGCAAGGACATGGAGGCCAGGCTTGCCATTGCTTGCCCTTATTTGCAATACACTAGGGAACCAGTCTACTCTGTGGACAGGATCATCACCACATGACTCGGACATCGCACGTCTGGCGACCCAAATCGACATGGAAAAGGCCTGGCGTCTCCGTCACTCCGACGCCCCCAACACCACACCAGACCGGGACCGGGACCACCACCGGCGTCCGCTGGGCCCATAGTCCAGTCCACAGGGCGCTGTGGGATGGCGACTATCGATGGGAGATGTCATCGTCTCATTTGTTCGCTCAGTGGCCAAAGGCATAATGACATGGAGTAATTTAGACTGTAGGCGGCGGCGTATTGCCCTTGGGCTTCTTTGGCCTTGAAGATGGTGACTTCTGGTGGCCGAGTCGGAATGTCTCCAGATTCGCCCAGCCACCAATCCACCAAGGCTACTTCTTGTAGCGTATTGTGTACTGCGTACTGAAAGGATGTGCTTCTCGCTCGGCACCGGGCCAAGCACCCGCTTCTGGGCCCTGAATATCACAAGAGACTATTGTCTGGACCCTGGGCGACCTATCGCCTCAGCCTAGAGGTTTCCAACAGCTCGGGACCGGTTAGGACCCCAGTTATGCATTGCTCCCAGTCTAATAAAGAATACTTAGAAGTCTTGGCTGCGGGCCATCCACGTGCTGTTGGAGTACCACGTAGCCCCTGACATTCACGAGTATGGAGAGAAGAAGCGAAGTCGCGGAGTATGTACGTTCCATTTGCAATATATACGGAGAAATAGGCAGATCCTGCCAGTGTAGCAGACGAACGAACGGCCAAGAAGCCATCCCAATTTGCGTTTGACGGCGCCGTCATGAAGCGAGTGACTGAGTGCGTGTAGCCCTCCATTCGAAGCGTGATATAAATGAGCGTCGGTGTCCAAACATAGCGAGCGACAGCACACCAGGTGCAAGGCAATGTGACGAAAAGAAATAAATCCGCCTAGGCAAGACCCTTGCGGATGTTGTCGTACTGCGAGTCCGGGTAGTCGAGGCAGTTCTGCGTCGTGTCCAACCCGCCCATGGCATCACGGGCCGTGCTAATAAGCGAGTCGGCGCCCGTCTTGTCGGCAGACGCCTCCCAGAACATGCTGCCGCCGAGACTGTGGTCCTGAGCATACGAGACCTTTTGGCGGATCATGTCGGGCGTGTCAAAGGAGACCATCTGGCCGTTGGCAAAGGTCCAGGTGGCGCCAATCGCCTCGTCGTACTGCACCGTCGCGCCGTCGAGGGGCAGGTCCTTGTAGTCCCAGATACCGCGCTCCCAGCTGCCCTGGCCCTGGCCGGTAAAGGGCGTGCCGGGCCCCGCGGTGCCGGTGAAGTCACGCCCGTAGATGGGCATGCCGAGGACGAGCTTCTCCGAGGGGATGCCGCCCGCGAGGTAGGCGTCGACGGCGACCTGGGTGCTGAACGGGGTCGACTTGGGGTTGTCCTTGCTCGGGTACAGGTTGGCCTGGTGGCCGGCATAGTCGCTGAAGGACCCGGCGTAGTCGTAGGCCATGAGGTTGACGTGGTCGAGGACCTGGCCCAGCTCGGCCAGCTTGAGTTTGTTGAAGTTGGTCGGCCCTGCGGGGGCGGCGATGGAGAGCTCAAAGTGGTAGCCGTTGGCGTGCTGGGCCGAGTAGTCGTCGAGCTCCTGGCGGACGCGCTTGAGGAGGAGCACCATGTCGCTAGCCTCTTTGTCATTGGCCGGGTACTCCCAGTCAATGTCGATGCCGTCAAAGCCCCAGTCCTTCATAAAGGCCACCGAGGTCTGCGCAAAGGTCGCGCGGCCCTGCTCCGTGGAGGCGGCGGCCGGGAAGTTGGTGGACCAGGTCCAGCCACCGATGGAGAGCACGACCTTGAGGCCGCGGTTGGCCTTTTTGAGCTTGTACAGCTGCTTCACGCAGCCGTAGGCGTTGTTGCCGACGTCGTTCCAGGCTAGCCGTGCGTGTTAGTGGTGAGCTCGATGCTTCTTCCAACGCTGCGTCACTTACAATCGTCGGCATAGTGCTTCTCAATATCGGCATAGGTGTCACCGGAGTACCTATACGGGTCAGCCCCCTGTCTCTCGTCTCAACAGCTCGCTCTGCCAACTTACACGGTGCCATCGGCGCGGAGGTTCAGGAATGAGTAGAGAACGTGCGTAATATCCGACGCAGGGAGATCCGCAGGCTGGAAGTTACGGCCGTAGATGCCCCAGTTGGTGAAGTACACCGAGTTGACGGGCCCGTTGGCGCGCTTGGAGACCTCGAGGGCCTTGTCCTGGACCGTGGGTATGGCCAGGCCCGCGACGGCCTGGATACCGGCAAGGAATGCCAGAGACTTGGAGAGCAGGGACAGCATGTTGACGGCTGGGCTCGTGAGTTGTTGTGTGGTACAACTGCTGTTGTGGAGGGATCGACTTGGTTAGTATCTCTAGCACCAGGCTAGGTAGTGGGTGCCGCGTTGGCGAAGGAAGGAATGAAGAGAAGGGGAAGGACTGTCTTGGTTGGTGATGGCAAAGGGAGAGGATGAGAACGGTCTGGACGAGCCAGACTCTTATACAGATGATGGACATCCTTAGCCGTGGGCGTGCCGATCTGACATGCTCCATAGTCGTAGTCAAATGAGCACGGAGAATCCCACGTAACCCTCAGTCCATCCAGTCGTCAAAGGGTGACTGGCCGTATCTAGCAATATCAACGTTGATCGTCGTGGGCGCGTGCAGCAGTCTTCACCCCCAGAGATGTCCAATGTTACTTCGCCGCTGGCTGGGTGCCTTGCAGCGGCCGCTTCCGATAGTCCGCCCATGAAGAACGACGATACATACACATGGCCGGCTATTAGCGAGAGCTCTCTCCGTCCGTCTGTCCGTCCTGTTGGTTGGCAACGTTGCTCACTCCTAGTCCAGGGCTTCCCCATTCGGTTCAACAGGGACTCCGGGATGAGGGTCGAGGGATCCATGGCCAGTCACATTGCCGGCTGCCGCTCAGCTAGCTGCGCTTCGAACCGGGGGGGGGCAACATCTTGTCGGGGTCCAGCAAGATGTAAGTGACACTTGCCAGGGAGTGGGGTGGGAGACTGGATGTTTCGTTTCTTTTCGACCCAAGTGGTGCATGGCAGCAAGATGGGCTCGTGGTCAGAGCCTCAGAGGATAGATACCATTTGCCTGCGACGAAATGACCCCTGGATGGGTCCATGTGATCGGATGCGATGCCCGGGCCTATCAAGGGGCATAGTAGGTCAGCTGGATACAGTGATATTTCCGCGCCATCCTAGGGATGTGAACGACTTCCACGAGTCTGTTTCGTTGGACTTTCAACCCTAATTACGGGTTGGACCCCTGAGGCCACGGCTCGCTTTCGAGATGCCACTGGCGAACTGGAGTTGGTTCATCTCGGCCGTGAACCAATGAGGAGGCGATGGGAATCTCCAAGACGGCCGCGCCGGCTACTTTACTTTTAGTGCCGTGCGAAGCAGGTACCCGGCTCATGGGCGCGCGGCAGCAGAGTGCCAGAGTAGGCCATCTACGTCTAGGGCCACCTGCCAGTTCCAATCGGCCGCTACCCTTTCCTGATCCTTCGCTCGGGGCGGCGAGCGTGTGAGCTGCCAAATCTGGACAGGACAGGTTGCGCGATCAGGAGGAGAGTGTGGGGTCCGACTCTGGTCCGATGCGACACTGCGAGACATTGGGGCTGCTGCCAAGATCCCCTGACCTTGAAGGAATCCACTGATGATCAAGTGGTTCCTTATCTTCTTGTTTTGCTGCAGTGGTTGCAATGTCTTGTGAACTGGGAGAAAGGGTGCGCGCGTCTCGCAGGCTCGAGGCGACTGCTGACCTGGTCGGGGACGCGTGAAGCAACCAGACACTTCTGCCTGAGAACCCCTATCATGTCTCCCGTTCGGGCAATAGATACCTAGTGGCATCGCAGCACATGCGACTAGGCTCGAGGCTATGACTGAATCGGGCAATGCTCCTTGGGCCAGATGCAGACAGGGCTGGCTCAATTGCGCGTGGTGAGGTCGTGACGGGAGGTTCTGCAACGTTACTGGAGCCTGGAGGCGCCTAGCAGGCACCACTTTACGCGCTCTGCATCCGTCAGGGGCAGGCGCGTCGGGCGCGTCGTCGATTTGGGGACCAAGATAATTAGTCTGATCATGGACGAGAAGATGGAGGAAACTCAGCGTTAGGCAAAGCTCATATATGTTTCCAGGCCAGCGTCGAAACGTCAAGTCGGGATCTGCACCGATACGAGATCTACTATGATCTGCTGGCGTTGCTGATCTCGTGCGCATCATTCCTCGTATCTGTCAAGAGACTGAGACTCGTCGCGTGACGATCCGGCTGCGTCCGTGGATACGTGCTGCGAGTCTGAACGTCGACGCGAATCGCAGGGTTGCGTTCATGTTGCAACCGTGAATCCGTGATTGACGAGAAGAACTTGGCGTTGTCCCTCGAGCTGACTAGGAAGTTTCATGTGCCAGGATTCCCGGTCGGTGATGAGCAGGGTCGACGACTCCACGCCTGATAGGCTCATCTACTGCATGTCGCTTGCCCATCCGGAAGCGAGGCGGATGGGGACGAAATTGATCTTATATCCTTGCTTCCTTCGTCTTCTTTTGGCTCTTGTTGTCTGTTCATTCGAATGCGATTAATATTAATTAAAGGAAATTAAATTAAGTCCAAGTTGAGATGTGATTTTGGTCCTTCCTTTGTATTGTTTCTGCCTACCCTAAGCAATTTCTGTGTCAATGATCGAGCCTTTATAACGAAGCGCGACTAAGCTACCGGGCAGCAATCGACAGACGCTAAATAGAGGAAAATTATCTTATCTTAAGACTTAAATTGTCACAGGAAGCAGTGGCGAATCGCGTGCACTGTAATGGACTACGAATCACTCCGTTCTAAAGACCACAGCCGGAAACCAACAACAGCACCAACTTTCTACATTATAGGCTACAAACTCACATGACCAGGACGTATACTCTATGCATCACCGCAAAAAGATTCTCTTTGGGTCTTGTTGCTGATAGTAAAGGTCTCAAATACACTGACGGGGGTGCCATGCGTCTGAGACTTCAACGCGTGAGCCTACTTGTCTGTTTGTCAGAGATCTCAACGAGACTAGCCATGTTAATTAGTCCCCAGCTGCAAGAAGGAAGCCCCAGAAGTATGAATAGATAAAAAATCACCGTCGGCAACCGCAGCAAAGCAATGTGCTCCATGTACCCACCATCTTGAAGGTCTGAAGGTTCTGTAACGTTAGGTGATGCGTCCTGGTGATGAGGGAGCTGCAGTGCACCTTACGCAGCTTGGGTTGCATGACGAATGGGTGAAAGCAACATTGGAGCAATCCATGGTACAGTATGCTAATACACTATCTGGTCAACGTGAAAGTCGGACATCGACGTCCCTGGCAACGAGACATACATTCGATGCCAACTATCTAAGGGTTATGTCTAACAGCATAGCCCTGTGCTATCCATGTAACATGGCTCTTCGCACGGCTTTCTCCACGGATCGAGCGTTGAAAACTGCAAGGAACGTGGACTTGATGGTGAAGGAGATCCCGAAAATTGACCTTGTGGCAAGACAAGCACAATATCTCTGGCACTATCGAAAAGGCAACTAACAACAGACTCTAGTATAATTTCTTTACTTCTCTTTCCCCCGGGTCCCGGAGCGACTGAGACCCACATGGCCGATGAGCCGGGTCCGGACTCCGGATTCCGCTCCGGCTCGAGTTACACCTTACGGCGCTTACTCTTGGCCTCACTAATTTGATCGTACTACATGAAGTCAACGCTAGCTTTTAATAATTTAAATTTACACAAGGTAGTAGCACTCCACCAACTGCTCGCACCGAGATACCATACGTGTGATAGTTCAACGTGCCCGACAACCTGTGACTGGTCTCACTATTACCTTACCATAACACTGCGAGATGGCAAGTCTCCCGAATTGACGGATTCATGTATCACAAAGACTTCTAAGAGCGGGCATGGGCCACAAATACATTTCTACACAGAGCAGAAAACTTACCGACGACACGACGAGGTCAGTGCCGCACAGTTGACTCAGCATGTAAGCAATCTGCATCCTACGCTCGCACTCACAGACCTGGTCTTAGTCCAATGAAACTAAATGGGAAACGGGCACAAGCCTTCTGGTTGTACACACCACGAATTTCCGGGTGAGCTATTCAGATCGTTCAACGTCAAAGCTGAACGGCAGATCCAATTATCCCTAGCCGCCTAAGTGCCATCTCTGCCGCTGTCTGGTCTATTAATTTCCACCAACACCCTGCCTATGACGAATTGTCTCAAGGAAGGCAACTCCTCCGCATAGAGGGCCGCAAGATCTGATGGTGTCGAGTATAAATCTGAATCAATAAAGTTCACCTCCAGCCACGCTGTGTTCCAATCCTCCACCTCATCCCCCGGTCTTGACGGGGCACGGTGGGTCATGTTCCCATTCCGAGTATAATATAGACAGCCCCGGCTCTGGTTGAACCACACGTGCTCCTTGTAGAAATGATGCCATGACCATTCAGGACCGCAGTAGTCGGCGATGTACTCGTCGCCAAAGATGGCCAGTCGAGTCAGCCTCTTCAGTGGCGAGAGCACCTTGGCTAGCTTGGCATGGGAAAGACGGATGCGGCCGCCATGGCTGGGGACGTCGTGTGTCGTCTGGCTGAAGATGACAAAATTGAACGCGAGTTCCTCCAAGGTCGGGAGATGCGCACCGATCGCGTCGAGGAGCTGATTGCCGCCGCCAAACATGGGCCAGACAAAGCACAACGACCGCAGGTTGGGGTAGTTTTCACGGCGCACATGATTCTCTAGTGATGTTTTCGTCCCTTCGGGCGCGTACACAAATAGCTCCTGGATTTTAGAAGCGTACTCGGCTGCGAGTCGCAAGATGTTCTCGACGCGACGGCCTCCCATGCCAATTACGTGCGGTATGGCAAATGTGCGCAGGCCGGGTAGGGGATACTTGCGGTCCAGCCCGTTCTCCAGCATAATGTCGCAGATTTTGGGCGACGGACAGAAGGACTCGAGAGGCGCGGCCAGGAAGTTCTCGAGTGTGGCCGGGCTCATATGGTTTCCGTCATCCAGTTCAGACCAGAACTTGCGCAGGCGCGGAAAGTGTATTGGTCCGTTTTGGAACGAAATAATGTGACGGTCTAGCTCATTGTCCTGGCCACGAGTTCCTTCAAATCCAGGACTCCAAATGAGACTCTCAAGTGTAGACGCAGAATTACGAAGCAGCGTCTCGGCCAACAACTCAATATTTCCTGATCGCTCGGGGTAGTAGTCTTGATCGCACCCAAAGCCCAAGGAGCGCACTCGGAAATGACAATCCGGAATCACGGGGCGGCCATCAGCCTCCTCCAGACCCGAGAACAGTTCATAGTCGTCGAGCCAGAGCTCTTGGAATACTGGACAGGTTCTCAGCCGGGAGACGAGGGCGGGCACCAGCTGGGGAAATACGGTCAGGCCTGCTGTGTGGTCCCAGTACAGGCGATCCAAGTTGGGCATGCAGCACTCCATGGCCTGTGCAAGTTTGTCGATCAAGCCTTGCCATTCCTTCTTGTCATTCCCGCCATCCGTCTCGGGCGCGTCGTCTTCATCATCTGTCTCCATGTCCCACGGATCCGGCGACTCCGAGTCGTACTCCCTGTCCAGGACAAGATGCAGGGTTCGGATGCAAGCCCCAATGGTGGGCTGAACATGGCTGTATCGCTGCGAGGCCTCTTGGAGGATATATTTCACGAGATTCTCGGACAACCGAGAGCGGACAATGGACACGTCCGAGAACTGATGCGGCCTGGCGAGCTGTCGGCACTCTCTGCTGACGAGCGCAAACGGTGAGAGGTAGCGACCTTTGTTCGGTTCTGCGATGAAGTGTGTCACTCGCCACAGCACCTCGTCTGGTAGGTCAAGGAGATTCCGCGATGTGGGATGCGGGGATCTCCTGTCGTGGAGAGTGCGATACCATGGAACCACCTTGGGCGCGCGCGTCTGCGCATACCGTGGATCCAGCGGGAAGTTGGCGGGCGACACGACTTTGCACTCGAGGGATGGCGGAGCGTCTGTCATTTCGTGGAGCCTGACCGTCTGACTTGGCCGGCATATATCTAGACGACAACTGGGTCGCTGCCACGCTGGGAGTCGTGCTGGGTCTGGCGAGGCTGGGGGGATGAATGCACGTTTGCATAAATTCTGGCATAAATGTCCGCTTCTACAATTATGCAGCCAAGCCTCAAGAAGGATTAACCTCGTGCGGGTGGCTTTGAATACCCGCCAGCCCGTGGCCCACCCAACCCTCTCCGAGTCTCCCTCTCCAGTGTCAGTGTCCACCACCTGCTTCTCGAAGCCAATCTTGTCTGCTTCGACTCGGCTGACGTACGTAACTCTCGATAAGCATGCGGGATCTCCTGCCAAACGAATAGCCCGTCCAATTGCCGGTGGTGGCGTGCGGCAGAGCCACTCTCCATCGTACGAGTCCGTCATGGCCGGGTTCCGGGCACCGGGACCCGCGGGATACCGATCTGGGGATTTGTCCATTGCGTCTGCTTCTGCTATAAGAGCTCGTGTAAGCCAGTCTACAGGTATCTCGATCTCGTCAAAGACATCTCAGGCCAGTGTCAAATGACCATGGCGCCTCTACATGTCCCCAGCTACACCACAGTGTGCCTCGTGGCAGCAGTGCCCGTCCTGCTCTATGCCCTCTACCGGTTCCTCCTCCCGAGTCCGTTCCCCAACATCCCCTACGACAAGGAGGGCGCCCGCAGTCTCTTTGGCGACATCCCCGCCATGCTCCGTAAGGGGGGCCAGGCACCGCTCGACTGGCTCATCACCCGCGCCTACACGAGCGGTGCGGGTCCCCTGAGCCAGGTCTTCCTCGTGCCCTTTGGCAGGCCCGTGCTGCTCCTGATGGACTTCCACGAGAGCAACGATGTCATGATGCGCCGGAAGGAGTGGGATCGGTCGGACTGGTCCATTGACTTTCTCAAGGGCGTTCTCCCCAAACACCAAATCAACCTCAAGACGGGGCCCGAGTGGAAGGCCCACCGACGCCTGCTGCAGGATCTCATGAGCCCGAGATTTCTCTATGACACGGCGGCGCCCAACCTGTACCGCAGCGTGGAGAAGCTCGTCGCTTTGTGGCAGTGCAAGGCGGACATGGCGCAGGGCAAGCCGTTTGACGCGGCCCTGGACGTCTTCTTCACCGCGCTGGATGGCGCGATTGAGTTTGGATACGGCGAGGGATTCAGCCATCGCAGCATTGACCCACAGCTGGCGGCGCTGCGTGACAGCAAGGCGTCTACTACCACCATGTGCCAAGCCGCAACGAGAGAGGGGCAAGGCGTGGTGGAGTTCCAGCAGGCGCCCGTGGACGACACTGTCATGGCGCTCCTGCATTCCGCGGATGCCATCGAGGAAGTGGGACATTGGCCCTGGCCCCGTCTGGGCTGGTGGTGGTACTGGTCCAAGCCATCTTCGCGCCGCGAAGCCGCTCTCCGGAAAAACCTCAACGGGCACCAGGTTGAACTGGCGGTGCAAAGGATGCAGGAACAGAAGGAGAGTGGCGGCGTCTTCCGCTCGGCGGTGGACTGCATGGTGGACCGTGAGAGACGGTTCGCAGAAAAGGAGGGTCGACAGCCCGTCTTTTGGTCCGAGACGATGGACAACGAGGTGAGTCTGCTCATGACACGACACGCGCTGTGGGCGGGTCCCTGATGATGAAGGGTTGGCTGACACGGCTGATAGATGACCGGATTCATTGTTGCCGGCCACGACACCACGAGCACGACGATATCATGGGGCCTCAAGCTGTTGGCCGACCACCCCGAGGCGCAAAGCCGTCTTCGCCAGGCACTGAGGGACGCCCATGCACCGGCCGCTCAGGAGGGACGCGCCCCCACGCACAGCGAGATAGCCAAGGGGAGTGTGCCGCTGCTGGATGCGACAATCGAAGAGATTCTCCGTTTGGGCGGCACAACCACCATGCTGGAGCGTCAATGCAACAGCGACACCACCATTCTCGGCCACCACGTTCCCAAGGGCACGTTGCTGATCATGGCCCAGCGTGGACCCAGCATCACCGCCCCGAGCCAGACTTCGAACGCCAGCAAATCGTATGGCTCAGACCAGGCGGCGGGAGGGTCCTACCAGGTCCCCAACTGGAACGAAGAGGATGTTGCCCAGTTCAAGCCAGAGAGGTGGCTGACCAAGGACGACAAGGGGGAAGTGGTGTACGACAGCCAAGCCGGACCGATGCTTTCCTTTGGCGCAGGGCTGCGAGGCTGCTTCGGGCGACGGCTGGCCTATGTGCAGCTCAAGCTGCTCGTCACCATGCTCGTGTGGCACTTTGAGTTCCTGGCGTGCCCGGAGGAGTTGTCGAGCTATGCGCGGGTCGAGGGGCTGACGCAGAAGCCAGAGTTCTGCTACGTTCGGCTGCAGAGGGCGGTCTAAGACTTTGAGGGGGCAGGAGAGTCAGAGTACAGTAGATGCCGGGGGAGCACTTGGCCTTTCTTGTTTGTTAGTTCTGTCATAGCAAGTGAATTGATGCCTCAAGCTTTCAAGCTCGCTCTGGGCGCGACGACAATGTGTGCATGGCCATTTGGGTCAGACTGCTCCTTTCCGCGCAATTAGGGCGCCTAATACATATCCCTTAGGCTCTTGATTCCTCATCTTGGCCATAGGATGAAGGGGAGAGTGATTGATGACTGTGATGAAAGACGACCAGTGCTGTTCGGCTGTGAGCCGACGTCGGTTGACTTGGTCCGCGATCCCCACTTTTCCTTGAGGCATCCATCCAATGATGAGCGCGCCTCAGCCCATGATCATCGTCATTCCCTCTGCCAAATCTTCCTCTGCTCTCCAGCTCAGCTCCATGTCCCAGATTCCATCTTCCAAATACCACGCTCCTTACCACACCATCCTGCGGTCGAAATGTCTGCGCCAACTACAATCGTGGCCGAAGCGCTGCCCAAGTTCCTGCTGCCTCGCCTCAGCTGGAAAGCAGCGGCGCCCTTGTCCTCTTCCCCCTCGCGGATCGTGGGCCGAGAGCAGACGCGGTCCTCCTGCGCATGGCAAGGACAAGGACAACGAGCCTCATACCACCACCACGCCTCCTCACCGACGTCGACACGGCCTAGAGCCCCCTTCCGCCACCCGAGTCAGATCCTACAGCGGGCCACGTTCCACACCACAGCGCCCCTGTCGCGCGACCACCACTTTGACACGCTGCGGTTCGTGCAGCGCCTCCAGGATGAGGGCTTCACCACGGAGCAGTCGGTGGCTATGATGAAGGTCCTCAACGACGTCATCGAGGAGTCCATCCAGAACCTCACGCGGACCATGGTCCTGCGCGAGGACGCCGCCAAGGCCACCTACACCCAAAAGGTCGACTTTGCCAAGCTGCGCTCCGAGCTGCTCTCGGCCGACTCGACAGAGTCCAACACGACGCGCAGCACCCACGAGCGCCTGAGCAACGAGATTGCCAAGCTCAACAGCCGCCTGCGCGACGAGATTGGCCGCACCCAGGCCAGCGTCCGCCTCGACCTCAACCTCGAAAAGGGCCGCATCCGGGAGGAGGCCGTCGGCCAGGAGCTCAAGATCAAGGAGACCGAGACCAGGATCGAGCAGGAGGTCGCCGCCCTGCGCGAGAAGCTCGAGCAGGTCAAGTTCCAGACCCTCCAGTGGCTCATGGGTGTCTGCACTGGTTTCGCGGCCGTCCTGCTCGGTGCCTGGAGACTGCTCATGTAGACATGGGACATGGAGGCAATTTGTGAGATGGCGTTTGGCGTGGTTTTTCGGACCTCTTTTACCTTGCATATAGATATTTACTTTGTCTTTGCATAGCCATATACTTGATTCATCGCCTGCGCCAGGACTCTTCGTCTCTGTACACAGTGTACAGTCCCCCTAAAGTCCTGTAGACCGCTCGCTCAGGCGACGATCGCCATTACCAGGCCATGTGCTCTGCCGGTTGGCAACCGTTGGACCCCAGCCCGCGACATGGAGCCCCCACCATGACGAATGAGTGGCAGCACCTTGAGCGCCATCGGAGGGGCAAGCAAGCATTGTTCAAGATAAGAAGCTGGCTGAGAGCTAACGTGCCAAACCCTCATAACTAAAGTCACAGCTGAATCGATAATCTGTTTGCAATCATGAGCTCTGAAAAGCCCAAGGTCCTCCTACTAGGAGCCATTGAAACGTCTGCTATTCCCAAACTCCCACAAAGCGACATGCTAACACCACATCCAGCGCCTACGATGCGTGGGATGAGCTGAAAACACACGCTCAAGTAGTCACACCCTCCTCGTCCTCCCGCGAGGCCTTCCTCAAAGAACTCCCCGACATCACCAACCTCTTCGCCATCTACCGCACCTTCCAATCCGCCTCTGTCACAGGACCCTTTGACGTAGAAATTATCGCCGCCCTGCCCGCCAGCTGCCGGTTCATCTGCCACAATGGCGCCGGCTACGACCAGATCGACGTCGCCGCCTGCACCGACCGGAAGATTTGCGTGAGCAACACCCCCACGGCCGTCAACGACGCGACCGCCGACACGGGACTTTTCTTGATCCTCGGCGCCCTGCGCAACTTCAACCAGGGCATGGCCAACCTCCGCAGGGGACAGTGGCGTGGGTCTGGGGACAAGGCGGCTGCCCTGGGTCATGACCCGAGGAACAAGGTGCTAGGTATCCTGGGCATGGGTGGGATAGGCAGGAACATGGCCGACAAGGCGAGGGCGTTTGGCATGAAGGTGCAGTATCACAACAGGACGCAGCTGAGTCCCGAGCACGAGGAGGGGGCCAAGTACGTGGACTTTGAAACCCTGCTCAAGACGAGCGATGTACTCAGTCTGAACCTCCCTTTAAACGTGAGTTCTCAAGACATTGAAAGTCTTGATCCAAAACTGACAGCACACCAGAAACACACCCGTCACACCATTGGCAAGGACCAGCTCGCCCTCATGAAACCTACAGCCGTGCTCGTCAACACGGCGCGCGGTGCGGTCATTGACGAGGCGGCCCTCGTGGACGCCCTCAACGACGGTGTCATCTTCAGCGCTGGCCTTGACGTCTTTGAAGACGAACCCCAGATTCACCCTGGCCTCCTGGAGAACGAGAGGGTCATGCTCGTCCCGCACATGGGGACGCACACCATCGAGACGTTGGACAAGATGGAGCGCTGGGCCATTGGGAATACCAAAAAGGCCGTCACGGAGGGCAAGCTGAAGAGCATCGTCCCCGAGCAGAGGGATCTGGAAAAGGAGCTGTAAGTGCCCGGCGTTTGCATACAAAGACCTCTCTGACATACACACAGAACCAGGTAGAGACAGCACAAATAGAGGGTCATCAATATATTCGTTGGACCGTGTTAAACCCAAGTCCGTTCTAGACGCTTTCTTCAAAATTCCGGGAGATCATGTGTCTCCTCTGGGTGTATAGCCCCTTTCGCCATGCAAAACTTTTCATGCTGTTGAAACCACAAATTTTGCCCTTATCGCCTAGTTGAGAGAACAAAGGAAAACGTCGTTACACGTGGGCCCCCGTTGAGGGGTAACCGTTAGATTACATACAATTAGTAGCGGTAGCTGCGATGCTGTTAATACGTGTACATATGTGATAAAAATCAGGATGACTTACATGTCGCTCTTGAAGGGACCCTCGACCGTGAGGCTGAGGTACTCAGCCTGGACCTTGCTGAGGGTGCTGAGCTCGGCGTTGACGTGGCTCAGGTGCAGACGGGCGACCTCCTCGTCGAGGATCTTGGGGAGGACGTAGACGCCGACATCGAGCTTGCCGGCCTTCTTGAACTCGACGTACTTGTTGCCCCAGGCCGCGTCCGAGGCCTTGTACAGCATGATCTGGGCAAGGACCTGGTTGGTGAAGGAGCAGGACATGACGAACGAGGAGTGGCCGGTGGCACAGCCCAGGTTGACGAGGCGGCCCTCGGCGAGGAGGATGATGTGGCGGCCCGAGGGCATGAGGAAGCGGTCGACCTGGGGCTTGATGTTCTGGACCGACTTGGCGTTGGCCTTGAGCCAGGCAACGTCAATCTCAATGTCAAAGTGACCAATGTTGCAGACAATGGCGTCGTTGGGCATGGCCTCAAAGTGGGTGCCGGTCAGGATGTCACGGCAGCCAGTGGTGGTGACAAAGATCTGGCCCTGGGGCGCGGCCTTCTCCATGGTGGTGACCTGGTAGCCGGCCATGGCAGCCTGGAGGGCGTTGATGGGGTCAATCTCGGTGACCAGGACGCGGGCGCCCATCTCGGACAGAGCCATGGCGCAGCCCTTGCCGACATCACCGAAGCCAGCGACGACGGCGATCTTGCCGGCGACCATGACGTCGGTAGCACGCTTGATACCGTCAATCAGGGACTCGCGGCAGCCGTACAGGTTGTCGAACTTGGACTTGGTCACCGAGTCGTTGACGTTGATGGAGGGAACGAGGAGCTTGCCCTCCTTGAGCATCTTGTACAGGTGGTGGACACCGGTGGTGGTCTCCTCGGAGACACCGTAGCAGTCCTTGAGCATCTCGGGGTACTTGGAGTGGACGAGGGCAGTCAGGTCACCGCCATCGTCGAGGATGAGGTTGAGCTTCTTGTCGTCCTTGAAGGCGGTCAGCTGCTGCTCGAGGCACCAGTTGTACTCCTCCTCGGTCTCGCCCTTCCAGGCGAAGACGGGGACGCCCGAGGCGGCAATGGCGGCGGCGGCGTGGTCCTGGGTGGAGAAGATGTTGCACGAGGTCCAGGTGACTTCGGCACCGAGCGAGGTGAGGGTCTCGATGAGGACGGCGGTCTGGATGGTCATGTGCAGGCAGCCGGCGATGCGGGCGCCCTTGAGAGGCTGGTCGGCAGCGTACTTGGCACGGGTCTGCATGAGACCAGGCATCTCGTTCTCGGCGAGCTCGATCTCCTTGCGGCCAAAGGCAGCGAGGGACAGGTCGGCGACCTTGAACTTGGAGGCGGGGGCAGACATGATGGATTGTAGTGGTATGGGGGTATCAATTGGGAGGAGAAAAGGATGAGGGAGGATGGAAGAGAAGAGAGAGAGGGAAGAGGAGAAGGAGAGGAAAAAAGTCGAGGTTGCACGCAAAGTATAAAAGCAGCAGGCAGAGCTTACTCGCTACAGGACGGGATGGACCTAACGGCCAGTGACTGGAGGTAGCAAATGCCGCAGCCTCATGCTACTGGTCGAGGTAGAGCCACTGTTGGTCGATGGAGGGGCATCTGGAGGGGTTCAATAGAGGGGCAAAAGTTTTGGGCGGTGGGTGGCAGGAGCGGGCGGGGCGCCCCTCAGGCACATCCACTGGCAGTCCATGATCCGACAGCTCTTTCCCATCCTATTGTGAGGTAATCTGGCGGCGAATGGAGCCACCCAGCGGCGGCTGGACGCGGGATTGCACAGGCGACTGGGGAAGAATACGTGGCACGACTGAGTTGTCGTAAAGCACGGCACTGACAAGTGAATTGAATGGCTTTGAAGATTTACATAGTCGAAAACAGAACGTCGCTGGGCCTGGCGTGGTCTGCAAACTTAACAGAGACCCCTATCTTATCGCACACGTGCACCCCGCAACGGACCCTGACTGGGCTTGCCGCCTCAGCTTGCCGCCTCACCGTGGGCCTCACCAGTGGCCAAGGACAAGGATTCTCGCCTAGAAGTGCGTGATCGACTCCAATCCGTGTAGAGGCAATTAATGAAGGCTAGGTTCGTGACTCTGTTCTGCTTGCCAGTTTGACTCAGCATACAGACTGACGCTGTATCCTCATCCAGCGTTCAGCGGGGTCATGTCTGGCTGCGGACATCAAGGGACTGCACTGGAGCACCCAGACCCGGGCAGGCTCATGTTTTCTCGTAGTGGAGTATCATATCGTTCGCAGTCGCTAAGTCTACCACTGGAGTGAGTGACGGAAACACGTCACCTGTATGTATAAGAGCCTATCCCACAGTCCGGAACGCCACCAAATGCAACCAGCCAGCCAGCCGTGGCCGGCCTTTTGTCCAAACCCGCTTCCTTGGTTTTCTAAAAGTCTCCTCCATAAACCTCCCCGCGAGTTCCTATGCCGACCATTACTGAGGCGCCAGGTTCTCTCGCACGGCGAACATCCGGGCACTGATGCCGGCCGTGAAGCCGTCCACCTGCTTGCTGTACTGCTCCACCTGCTTGGCGTTGAGCATGCCCTCCAGACGGCTGGGCTCCTGGGGCAGCTTGAACAGACGCTGCCACTCGTCCTCTGGGAGAGGAGCCTGCTTGGCGACGGCACGCTGGGCGTTCTCGGCCTTGCGCTTGGCTTGCCACTGCGAGATCTTGGTCTGCTCGCGGCCCAGTTGCCTCTGGTAGAACTGGAAGTTGTTGAGATCGGTGTAGTGCAACTCGATGCTCTCGAGCAGGAGATCGCATGTCTTCTCCAGGAAGGGGTCGATGGCCAGGTCCAGCATGTCGATGGACGGGTGCAGGGGTGCCTGCACCTGGTCGCGCTCCAGGTCGGCGGACGACACTGGGGGCTCGATGTCTTCTTCCGACGGCAGACCAGGTATCTGGTGCAGGAACGAGGTGAGGAGGTGAGAGTTGTGGATTGTCACGGGGAGCTCGGCGAAGATATCCTTGTAGGACAGCTTTGACTTTTGAAGGCTTAAGTGCATGTCAGCATAGCTCATTCTGGGGACAAACAGGATGGTACGAACATGTCAGTGGTGAACTTGCCCTCCTTGAAGGCGGTCATGAACGAGGCGGTCAGGCGGAAGGCCCTGAGCGCCAGGTTGCCCTGCGAGCTCTTGCTGGCGTCATACACAAGCGCAACAGTCGCGTTGTTTGCAGTCTGGTAGTGCACCTGGTTCTCGATAAAGTTCATGTTGACAAAGTTGCCCAGGGTCGCGCTGGTGTACCATCCGACGTTGTTGGCGTCGACGTTGACCTCCTTCAGGTGGCGGATCATCTCGCTCTGGTACGTCTGGTTGGCCTTTTGGCGGGGAGCAGCAGCCGCGGCGGCGGATGCGTCGTTCTGATGCGAGTCGGAAGAGGTGCCATCGGTCGAGGGGAAGCCGAAAGAGTTTGTGATCTCGAGGACGCCATTCTGGTCCATGCCGACGATGGCACCGGTGGCGGTGGTGGGGAAAGCAGACGAGCAGTGCTTGTTGATCTTCACAGCGACCTGCAGCTATGTTAGCCCTTTCATCATCCTCAAGGCCTTCAGTGTCCTCCATGTCGCGCGTGTTGTGCGCCCGTGATTGACTGTGTGGCTCATCATGGTGGGGCACACTGACCAGAGCATCGACCTGTACCGCCTGGAAAGGCGCATCCTTGAGGGCGTCCGCCATATTGAAGATCTCGAGTTCGGGAGAGTTGGGGGAAATGCGATCGAGAATCGTGAGCAGAGCGGCGCGCGTTCGTGGGAGTCGTCGGGAGATTCGTGACACGGCTGGCAGCTTCACGGCGGCGCGGAGGGGAAATTGTCCAACTTTTGTCATTTGTGGGTGTTTGTGGGAGTGGGCGGTGAGGGCTGGCAGAATTGCCTCATTGGGCGGTTTGTGGTTCTGCACTGCTCAATCGAGCTTCAACATCGGCAATTGACGTCCCCTAATCACCGCCCTCATCAGGTACACTTTGGCACGCGCTACTCAGGAATCGTGCTTCACTATGTCCTTTTCTTTTGTCTAAATCGGTCTATTCTTGTGTAATCGCTTCGCTCGGGTATAAACGCCATGCTCCATACGGAAGCTCATGTTCCATCAAATTTCTAGTCCAAGGATGGATACACTCAGTCCCACTGGCTGATCTCCCAGCTCTCAGCGTTTTCGCCAATTGTCAGACGGTGCTGGTCAATCTTCCAGTGTGAGTACAGTGACCTTGTCGAGCCAGCTGCCTTGCGGTGCGCTGGGCCCCGGCCACCAGCAATGGCATCCTCGCGTGAGCGCCAGAGACACGTAGCCAGGTTCCTCCGGTCAGCATTCGGGCGTCCAAACCAATATCTGTTTCATGTCAGCAAAGCGAGTTCCTTCGGCTGCAAGAGGAAACATACTTGAGGAACCCGCCGCTAGCGACGGCTTCAGCATGAGCCGCTTTATCGAGCGCTCCCAAGTGCGAGGTATCAGTCTCAGCCTTGATTTGTGACCGAAAGGCCACGACATAGAAGCTCGTCTGCTTGAAACCCTGGCCTTCTTCCATCACCAGCCGCTTCAGCTCCGCGAAGATGTCGTCCCAGTTGAAGGAGTCCTCGTATAGCGCCGTGGCATAGTCCTCGCGAGTGTGTTGCATCACTGTCAACGCACGTGCGAGCAGGGCGTTCTCTCGATCTAATGTGTCCAGATCAAGCAAATGGTCCGCGTCTGAGTATGGTGACTGGATGAGGAGACGGCTATGCTGCGGTGTGCTAGCGCCGCTGCTGGAAAGAGATGCCACTGTCATGTCCACATCGTCCTTGTTGGCTTGTACATGGACCGGGACCGTGTCAATGACTTGCACGGCCATTGCGCCGATGTCTGGTGCTAGTGGCTGCTGGTGATGGTGGATGAGACGATTGGGGTTGTCACTTTGGATCTGATGGCCAGGTCTCGCGTTGAGGAATTGAGTAAGGTAATAAAGAAAGAGTAAGGATACTTCAGTAGGTGACCGGCTGATGTACAAAAGGCTCAAGTCCCAGTTCAAATCACGCAATACCAAGGACAAAGGTGTAAGTTCTGTAGTCTGTCAGACTCACACCCGAGAATACGCGTGGCCAAGGCCAAAGACGGACGCAGGACCGGTTTAAAGCTTGCCAAAGAGGTCTCTCTAGACCAAAACTTCTGTGTAAGCCACGGCGATCTTTAGTCAGAACTTGCAAAAAGTCTTCGCTCTGCTTACGAGTCGTCAAAATCCACAAATCCTCACTTGGACACTTGAGACCTTCGAACAACCGTCCTCCACAACACAGCCATTGTCCGCTATTTCTCCAGATTAGGAAAGACGGGTGAAAAAGCACGCAAGCGCGGACCAATGAGATACTAGACTGATGAGGATTGTCGCTAGGGTTTCGGCCGTAGTTCTGGGGAAAAGGAGCTTGTCTCTGCTAGTACATGTGAGTGCCTATCCTGCTGTGATCATTGACCTAGCATCAGAGGATCGCACGGGGTTGGAAGCGGTGTAGCATGACCATCTTTCGTTTTGAGAGATGATTTTCGCGTATTGTAGAGGCTGGGAAATCCGCAAATCAGCCATACTCCTTGGATTGCGCGAGTCAATGCCGACTTGCGCTGCTCAGGAAGATGGCGTGCTCTGTGCTTGACTAAGCCCGGACCGGCCGTCGAGGCTTCACGCCAGAACCTTCCTTCGCCCTCTGGCTAACCGCGTGGCGTACAATGTTGGCTTACGCTAGTCTGGCACTCTCTGCTTGCATTTTGAGGCGTCGATTGTCTCTGGTTGTCCGTCGAATCGCTGGGTGACGCTGTATCAAGGCGTAAGGTGTGACACCCTCCACCAATCCTTCGCAAGCAGCCTCACGGGAGACGTGCGTACCTTGCATGTCCCGCGTGAGGTGGCTGCATCCTCAAGTGATGGTGGTCAAGTCACGTTCTCAAAAGGTCTCACTGTCATCACTGCCGCCATTACTGAAAATTGGTGTTGAGATATTGAGGGAGCTCGAGGCTGACCCAAACCTGCTCCGATTCAGGACTGCATATCTGTCCAGGCGTCGTTAATTGCCTTCGCCTATCCGAATCGTATGCTAACCAAGGCATAGCTCCACCGAGGTACGTCGCGGTGACCATTACCGAGATACCTGAAAGGAGCACAGAGCACCCCTATAACACTCCCATTTGCCATACCCTCAAACTTTCCGCATCCCAACAAAAACGCATCTTCATGTTTCCCAATGGCTCCTCCCACTCGGTACCGAACTGTTCGCTAGGCAGATGACTGCCAGTTCCGGTTCGCCTCCCTTCGCATCTGCCAAAGAGACACGGGGTCAATGATGCCCTCTGGCAGTCGCAGTGCATGAATAGCCTCCGCTTGTGACGAGAAGGGAGTGCTTGGTAGATGCTCGTTGATTACCTCTATGTCCAACGCGCCGTACTTCTGTGCGACCCCACGCCAGGTCGAGACAACTTCCTTTGGCAGCTCTGGCAGGTCTTTACGGCGCCAAGTAATCGACACTTCCGACCGAACATCGTATTCCAAGCTGTGGCGTCGATCAAAAAGGAACGCACAAGCGTCCTCAGGAGTAGCCCACCAAAGCACCAACTGTTGCAACTGTGGCATACGCCGAACAACTCGCGCAGCTGTCAGCAGCAGATTAGACCGGCGAGTTTGCTCTGGCTCTCCCAAGTCACCACAAGTCAGCATGAGCGAGCGGAGATCGGGCCAGGTCCATGTCGATTCCTTGGCGCATTGGAGGAAGAATCTGTCCGCATCTATCACGAAGGACACGGAGAGATGCTCCAGCTTTGTCGAAAGTCGGCCGAAACCTTGTACGCTATTCATCTTAGGCTTTCTTCCCATTGGTGATATGTAGTCCACGACCGAGACAAAAGCTTCCAGGTATGATTCGTCAGACATTTGGAACTCTACCAACTGATGGTAAAGCGTGAACCTCTTTAGGTGAATGGTGTTGTTGAGAAGCTCAAAGCATGTTTGCTCATCTGAGAATGATACGTCAGTACTTTGAGAAGCTTGACGATGAAGAGAAAGATTGGACTGCTCACCTGTTTCCAACATGGACAGTACAACTGACCCCCAACTCTCGAAGACCACCTCTTTTAGTTCAGGCAGATAGGGAAGGATATGTAGCAAAGCTCCCAATTTGTATGAGCGGAACTGTCGTCGCTGCACTAATTTGGTCACTGAGCACATACGGGCCAGCTGTCGAAGCTTGGAATTGTCGCACTCGAGTAGTGAACTGCTTACCCACGTTGACTGACCCTCGATGAGAACCGGGTCAGGTGTTCCATGCGTCCATCCGTGCGTTGGGTCATGCCAGGTGGATGTGTCGATTGATGCGAGAGGATCCTGGCCGTGGGCAACGGCATGCTCCGCGGTGTCGTTATTACCGAAGCAGATACGTCCACCATAGTGATCATCGACATCCAGCGGTTGCCCACTCAGTTCAAGAGTCAGGCCGGAGACTGTACGAGGCCATTGGCACACTGCTTTGGACAAGCGGCTTAGCGTGTGTCCGAACTTTTCAAGATCAGATCGGGAAAACCACGCTTTGACTGCCCCATCGTCTTCATTACGATAATTCAATATGTCGGCGGGTGAGTCAAGGCAATAAACACAAGCTTGGGGCGAGAAGTCATAGTCGAGCCAGATGTGCTGCACGCAACGGCGATGGTCTTCGGAAAGGGCCGCGAGCATGTTGATATCATGGGCCTTGACCTTCAGCCGACGGAACGTCCTGCTTTCGAAGAAAGCCTTCCATTCCTTGGAGACGGCGGCATACGATGCTGCACCAGACTCATGTCCTGCTGCGTTTTCGAGAATCAGGTCGCGAATCTCTCGAGGGAGACAGTGCCAGTCAGTGACGGCCTCTTCGCGTTGTGACCCCGGCGCCATCGTCGCGCCGGGTGACAAGACAGAACGACGCGCTGTAGGAGAAGGTGGTGAGTATTTTTGGCCTCGTTTCAACGCATGAAGGTCAGAAATCTTTGGCATACCGTTGTTCGCGTACACAATCGTGATCGTCGCTCGAGATCGAGAGATCAGTGCTTGGCTGAGGGACGTGAGAGAGCAAACAGCTTCACTTGAGTATTTTCCCAGATGCAATGGTCCCAGGACAAGCTCCGTGTTCAACAATATAGTAGGTGAGGTTGGTGAGAAGAAACATGAAGCACGAGTGTGCGAAAGAAGAGAAGGGGGAGGGAGGATAGAGGAAGAAAAACGGGCTGGTCCGTTCACTGGAGGCAGACACGAGTCCACGACGGTCCTCGTCTGAAGTTAGACCTCACCATTTGTTATGATAGTCATTGGCTGACGACTTCATCCGATTTGGTCCGTTGCTGTGGTATCGTCGTAAAGCCTCATGATAAGCTTAGCTGTAGGTGATTGATATGTATACCTTACATGCCGACTGAATCGTCTAGATCTGGTTTCCTCCTCTTGAGCCACACTTTTGACGTCTCGTACGTCCCCAAGTACAATCCACTCCCAAGTGCTGTCCAGGCAGACCTGAAGAGCCCGCCCCGGAAGAATCCGCGCAGGCCTCTTTCGTTCCAGACTTGCCGCGTCACAGCCCATGCGCCTCTCTTAGTCTTTCCAACCGTCTCGCTCGCTGACTTGCCCTCTCGATCTTCGCCAGCAGACAGCATCATCCTCGTCTTAACGACGTCACTTGGTGTCGTGATCCATGCCGCAAAGGCCCCTGCTGTACCTGCGCTCGTACCACAGATCGTTCCCGTCTCGAGAAGACTTTTCTCTCTCAGATCAGGCTCACCACCCCTTCGCTTCCATAAGGTCGTCTGAAGGTGCTCAAACAAGGGGAACTGCAAGGCTGTGAAGGGCAGATTCCGCGCCACAAGCGCAGTGTAACCTGTGAATAGCCTCCTTGTACCTCCGCGTCGCAGTTCTCGAAAGGCCCGCAACGATGTTGACTCATTATTTGGTCCCGATTGGCTGCTTCGCAGCATTTGCGCATTCTGCTTGATGACTTCCGCAGGTGCCAGCACCGCGCAAGAAGCCATCTCAGCCACGGACGACGCCAGCGAGTGGACTAAGGGGTCGGGAATCGGCAGAGCCTCACCGAATATCCTCTTACCCGACTCATAGGTGGAGAAGAATATGCCAGCTGTGCGTCGTTAACATCATGACGTCCAGAGGGGCGGGGGGGCAACAAACCAGCGGGGAGCGTAGCTAGGATGACACTGCCGACGCCCTGGTAGAGGCCTCTGAATGCCAAAGGCTTCGGTGCCTTTGCATCTGTTTTGATAAAGTCCTGACTCTGATATCTCGTCTTCAATGTGTCGAGCGGATAGACCAAGAGGTCGACTGTGAAGGCGGCTACCGCACCAGCCTGGATGCGTCAAAGCTTAAAAGGCTGTTTCTGCCTGCTGAGCATTTCGACTTACCACGTAAATTTCAGCCATTCTGTATCAGAGACGCCTTGGAACATTGCAGATACTGAAAATGAGTAGAATCTTGAGAATCCATTGGCACAGTGATGCGATTGACTGAAGTTGTCCTTGTCATGACATCATGCTGGACATGCCGGAGTTTGCACCGACTCTGGAGTCTGGTCGGCTTTTGTGATAAACCTTGTTACAACTACCCTGGACCATTGTGCGCTAGTTTTATAATCACTGTTTGATATGTCGTCGTAGAGAACTAAGTTACACTCAAAGATACATCTCGGCTTTTTTCTAATGCAAGCAAAAGGTGATGGGTTAATTACTTACCCCTTTTCTGTTCTGTGAATAGTCACGATTTCACGTGCTGCATTTGAATGGGCTTAGACTTCCGATGTGGTTCGACGCTGTCCAACGTGGAAGACCTCGATCCTCAAAGATCTGCAACGCACAAGGTAAGCAAAAATATTTCGCCGAGAATACTGGAAGACAGCAAGGTGCGATATCAACAAAACTGAAGCCTAATTCTCACACCAAGAATCACATATGCTGCACTAATCCGAAGATGAAGAGATCCGGGAACCCGACCTTGATCATCGTCTCACATGTAAACCTCTTACCTGTTGTTGACGTCCGGCTGTCCGAATTCATCCATCAGGAGCTCAAGAGCCGCACGGCCAGAACCGACGTATAACCAAGGTGGTGGGCAATATAATGTCTTTGACAACCCTCTTACGATCGCCATGCGGATGATGGCTTAGCGCCGCATCACAATCACGCTAGGAATTCCAACAAAAATCATACTTAGCGGGATCTTACTGACTAGGCTAGAGGATCGCTCACGTACGTCGTGCCATGCGAAGTAGAGCAGCAGAGATTTCGCTGCTGGCAGCCGAAACAGCGTTTATCATGTGAAACTCATCTATTGAAATGCAAAGTCAGAACGCCTAAACAGATAGCCCAATATGCCAGCTTCTGAAGTCTTGGTCGCCCAACGCCGTCTCGTTATGCCCCTATCCCCCGTGATGTCCCGAGTATATACTTCGAGATCATGAAATGCCCGTTCTATAGATGCAAAACACAATGGTGGGTAACATTACAGCTTGGCCTTGGGGTTGCCCTCCTCGGACACCACGGCCACAACGACGCAAATGTCGTCCACTTTGCCGCCTCTCCAGTTCTCCTGGGGATAGTATTTGCGAACCTCCTTGGCGAACGGCCCGTCGACTCTGGTGTTCATGCTGGCTCGCTTCGCAGCGCCAACGAGGGCTGTGGCGAGCATACTTTGTAGCGTGACTGGCTTGCCGTTCTCGTCCTGAACCGCGTCCGTGTAACGCTTCAATGTATCTGGGATGCGCATCCCGCTCTTCTCAGATGCCTGCCAAGCACCCGTAGATGTCATGACGCGACTAGCCACGCGCAGGATGTCTTGGTTAAATAGATTGTCCAGGACACCATCCGTCGCTAGGATGATCACGTCGCCGTGTCGAAGGTCATGTTTCGAGACATCGGCATCGCGCGGCAGATCGCATAGCTGCTGCCCCCCATAGTTCGCCATGCGCGCAGCCATCGCCGGGGGTACCAGGCTGAGTTGAAATGGCGTATTGAACGCATGCGTCTGCGGCTCGGACACTGTATGGACCGCGTTCAGTCGTAAGTGCAGGAACCCTGAGTCGCCCAAGTTCGCAATGTCGATTGTTCCGCTTGGATCCGCGATGGCAACGCAGGCTGTACTGCCTCCCGCCTTTAGGCTCCTGTCGCGACACACGGCGTCGTACCCTTGCTGCATCAGTTGCCGTGCTGATAGGCTTCGACCTTCTTGTGGTTTGTACCCCCGCGCTGCCTCCGCCATGTAATTGCAGAACCCATGCGAGAAGTCCGCCGGATCAACCCCAGAGTCAACCCAGCCTCCAACACCGTCAGCCAAGCCGAAAGCTGTTGAACCCGAGTCATTGACGCGACTGACGAAGAATGCGTCGTGACCGGAATCGGGCCGCGCGGTAGGCTTCGAAGACGGGAGAGTCTGGCGATGATATGGATTAAAGTGGAAGACGTGCTGCGAAGGGTCGAATGGTCGGTCCTTGCCAATAAAGGATGCCGCGACGCTGTAGGTGAATTTGTTCGGCGCGGGCATAGTCGAGTACGCGTGGCCAGGTCGTCGACGAACGCAGGACGCTGGATGTGCGATACGGCCTGAAGCCGCGGTCGATAATCTTTGCACTGTTCACAAGTCAGAGGATGCGCGGAAACGTCAGCAGATGCAACACCTGCCCTTTGTAGCCATGCGCAACGGGGTTGCGCTGCTTCGCGCAGCCGTCATGCTGGCAGAGTAGGATTCGACGATGCGACGGTTCGAGGTGTATGCGTAAAGTAACCGCCGTGAGGAACAAAGAAGGGCGGCTGACGGTTCAAGTCGTCAATCAGCCTACGTATCGCTAAAAACCATCAAAGAAGAAATGCAGCATCACGGTCTTGGCCTTTCTAACACTCTTGATCGAATTTCCCATAGAAAAGCTCGGACCACGTCCCCAGTCGTCTTGTCTCGCCTTGCGTCGGGATTCGTGACATCAAATCCGCTGGCGATTGAAATCTGCTGACATAAGGGAATTATGCCCCGGGCGGACTGTTAGCCGATGTGTAGCCGGATATCGATAAGCTCGATCAAGGTGCTGGTCAGGCCCAGACTTCACCCGGGCACTGGAGACTTCGCATCGCGCGGCCCCCTTTGTCAACAATGGCACTTCTGTTGAGTTTTTACGTCTAGCCAACCGTCCCTAGCCATTCTCGAATGCACAAGGTGGCAGAAACGCTCAAAACGTTTCACTGGGCTGTCAATCCTTGTGCTTCCTCCGGCCCGACCATAGGAGACTCACCAAGCCGCTCAGCTTCGCGACGAGTTACCAAGGTATTTTGCACATGGATTCCAGAACACAGCTGGAATTAGGCCGCTGGATGCAGGCATGATTCAATATGTATGTGTGGTATGTTCTAAGGCCTGGTAGCCGCCTCGCTCGCCCTGGACCGCTGCGCAAGCAACAAAGGCACTCCACAACCGAGGAGTTCGTGGACTTTAAGTATGTCCAAGATTTAGGGCTTCAGGAACCGACAATGTCTTTCACCGAGAAGGATAGCGGAGACGCAGAGCTCTGATGAGCATGGCATTGCCGCGTAGGCTCTGATAGGCACCGACCTTGAGACTTTCAGGTACCTTGGCGTCATTTCGCCATCTATGTGGTGGACTTCGGGCGTCGGAACCTAGGAGTCTCAACAAGGCTGGTATCACGAGCCGGACCACCGGGCGTCTAGTTGGAACCAAGCTCCTGGCGCCTGCACAAATGCCTCATGGTCAACTTCAATCCGAGTACTTAAGGGACCGAAAGTTCACGTCCATGCTGCCACTGTTCCTTCCCAAATCACCAGACTCACTCACACTTCATTCGCTTGATAACTGTACTCTCTTTTTCACCGCTTGTAAAAATGCGTTACTCACTCATCTTCACCGGCATTGCTGGCCTGGCCATGGCCGGTCCCATGAACCAGCCCAACAACGAGAAGCGCAACATGCAGCCAGCCTGGGCTAAGATGGACTCGGCCAAGTACAACATCATTGGACAAGTCACTGACAAGTTCCCTGATGCGATCCACAAGTGGCTGAAGCCGACCAAGACTCAGAGCACCACGGAGGTTACGACCACGGTTAAGCCCACGAAGCCTTGCACAAAGACTACCGAGGCCTCCACCACTGAGGCTTCTACCACTGAGGCTTCTACCACCGAGGCCACGACCACCAAGCCCACGAAGCCTTGCACAAAGACCACCGAGGCTTCTACCACTGAGGCCACGACCACCAAGCCCACGAAGCCTTGCACAAAGACCACCGAGGCTTCTACCACCGAGGCCACGACCACCAAGCCCACCAAGCCTTGCACCAAGACCACTGAGTCTTCCACTGAGTCTTCCACTGAGTCTTCCACTGAGTCTTCCACTGAGTCTGAGACCACTGAGTCGACGACCGCGAAGCCCACCAAGCCTTGCACCAAGACTACTGAGTCCTCCACCACTGAGTCTGAGACCACTGAGGCTTCTACCACTGAGGCCACGACCACCAAGCCCACGAAGCCTTGCACAAAGACCACCGAGGCTTCTACCACCGAGTCCACGACCGCCAAGCCCACGAAGCCATGCACCAAGAGCACTGAGTCTTCCACCACTGAGTCTGAGACCACCGAGACTACGACCGCCAAGCCTACCAAGCCCACCAAGCCTTGCACCAAGAGCACCGAGTCTTCCACCACTGAGTCTTCCACCACTGAGTCGACTCACCCCCACAAGCATGGCAAGCACACCAAGACCACCGAGTCCACGACCACTGCTGAGTCCACGACCACTGCTGAGTCCACGACCACTGCTGCTGAGTCCACGACCACCGCCAAGCCCACGAAGCCTTGCACCAAGACCACCGAGTCCACCATCGCTGTGCCTACGACCACTGAGTCGACTCCCTGCCCCAAGCACACCAAGACTAAGATGACGACCGTCTGGTAATTACCTCGCTTCCAGGACTGCTGCGTTGAGCATGTCTGGTGGCTTGCCATGGCTCGAATCGTGTCTGCTCGCAAGGGCTTGACGAGACACGGGGAGAGTTGATGGATGCTAGTCCAGACATGCCTTTGAAATATCGGTAACGTAATAAAAGATGGAAAGATACAGAAAAGCTAGTAATAGAGTGAAAAGAGTGTTTTTGAAGAGTCGGGTCTTGATCAATGTGTGATTGAAAGCTATGTATCGACCAATCAATTTAAAGCCTGCCAACATAAGGGCCCTACTACAAACACCCAAATGAAGGAAAAGCCTGCTTTCACGTATGTCCGATAACGACAGTACTATCCTGTGTCGCACTCTCATGAAGGCTTCGAACATCCAGGATTGAGAGCATGGCATCGTCCCATTCGTCTAGATAGGGACGCCAGCTTCCTCGCAGGTGTCCTCCGCCCAGCCTCTGGCCTCAAGTCTGGGAGAAACGTCAGTTTCTGGGCGGCAAAACTTGGACAGGTCTGTACTTACGCTACAGTGAGAGAGCATCCGGATTCAACGAGAACGCAGGTGGTGACGGTGTTGATGTACTCCGAGGAGCCACAGAGACACGCAAAGTCGGAGGCATCGTCGCAGCCAGAGATGGGGACGTTGTCGACGAAACAGGGCTGGGCACACTCAGGGAGACCCTCCAGGTCGGGAGCATCCTGAGCAGCGCAGAGCGTGGCGAGGAATGCCGCGGCGATAATCTGGACCTGCATTGTGATGAAAATGGTGGTTTAGGCTGTAGATGAAGAGGAAGACTCTGTGCTGGTTTGGCTGTGATAATAGTTCAAGTCGGGGAATCGAGGTCAATTTATACTTTTGTATATGCTCCTGTATATGTTGTTGTCCTCGCTTTGGTTCCCCAGACTGCAACCGATCAAGTTGCGTCTCCGCCTCTACCCCTCACATATCCTCATCAGAAGACGACCGACTTGACCTGTTGGACTATCACATGAAGCCGAGTCGACCTTTGCTTGCGATCATGGTTGGTGGTGTGGCTATAGTAGTTGTGGTAGTATTGACATGGAGTGCCTTGTACATATCAACTGATTCGCACCAATCGTAGTGTGCGAACAAGGCGATGCCAAAGTACCCTTGAGTGAACTGCTTTCTATACCCATTTATGTCGGTAGAGCTTTCGCGTTGCTGCAACAGTAAAAGTCATTCGGCAAGCGCATATGATCTGAAGCCTGAATGAGCTCAACATCCCTTGAATGGTCGTTACTGAGCAACTAAACAAGTGTGCAGTGTGCCCTGCCCCCCTGAGACAGAATCTCCGGGGAACCCCTGTCGCCCGACAACCCCACACGGAATGAATCCGGGGAAGGTCAGATACTCCGTATTCAGGGTAGCATTGCATCGCTTCGTGGCCTCGAAGCAAATATGCGCCAAGATTGACAATGCAAGGCGAGGGCAACACGATGGGGTTGCATTAACTTACTCGTTCCGCAAAGAGCCGGAGGCGAGCACTCGCTGGCGACGTTGAGACTGTCATATGCTGCCGAGGGGCCGAGATGTATTCATATGTGAAAGTAATCTTGCAGTATCAATGTGTAGCTGCGCGTGGAACTCGGCGGAGCTGAATGATGCCGTAAAATCGAGGGGTGCTCAGTAGTACGTGGTCGACGGCGCAGTACTTGCACTCCGACTGTAGCTGTTTTTTGTGCCGGGAAAGGCGCCAACAGCAGGCCCTGTCGGACTCAAAACTTCGTCTTCCGAGCTCAAGTCACCGACAAAGTCGTCATTGGGATCCGGGGCACCCTGCATGTTGCTCAGCGTTGCGCGGTCCAGACTGGGCGGCTGAAAGTCTGGTATGGCATGTATCTCGCGCCCTGAGGGTATCTTAGCCAACAGTGTGTTGATCGATGGAATGGGCTTTGTGTTCATCTGTTACTGTTAGCAATTATGCCCTATATTGTACGTGGGTACTTTACTGTGTCATTGATTTTGTTCCACTTGCCGCTCAACATCTCAATGACGCGAGTTTCCTCCAAGCGGCCAGCATCAGCGCCCCATGCCTTCTCCTTGTCAACCCTGCGGTCCTCCATAATTTCACTGAGTTCGCGTTTCAAGCTGCTGAGACTCAGACCTTTTCCTGAGCTCTTGAAGTCAACGCCAAGCTCCTGCAGCCCGGCCTGAAGCCAGCCGATGCCGTCCGCTGTTTGCCCACCTAGCTCGGCATCTATGCCCAAGAATCTGCACGCCTTAGCTCGACTGACGCGTCGGAAATCCTCCATGTATTTGAGAATGTTACTGTCCATTTTGGTGGACTCTTGGACACTAGACTGTGCCAATGACAAGGCTCGCGCAGCATGCTCCGATGCTGCCAAGCACAAGCGCGCATAGAGGAGAGCGCGGACCTTGGGTATCTCGGGCGACTTGAACATCCACTCTTTGTCGTTCTTGTTCCTATCTTGGGCAACAGCTGCAGGGTATGGATCGTCCTTGAGAACTGCGAGTAGGGTGGCTTCGGCATGAGAAAGCGAAGCCATCGCTGATACGGTGGATGGGGCAATGTCAACGAAAAACTTCTGATTGACATCCTTGTGCGGGCTTGTCTTCTCAGTGTGAACCATTGTGTCGCTGAGCCACTTGAACACCGAAGCCGAACTCATGAGATTCTTCGTCGCGGTGGAGATGGCCGTCGTACGTTCTTGCGCCCCAAGAAACTCACTGTTGGTGGAATACAAAGGCTGCAGGGCTGATCTTGCCTCCAAGACGTAAGTGAACCCAATCGCCGACATGACAAAGGCTGACTCTTGCGATAAGGAGTGGCACCGCAGCCGTGACCTGTCCCGGCCCTGCACAAAGTCTCCATTGAGCGTTGGCCTCCATTTGATGCTTGGCTGTGCGGTAGGCTTCACGCGTATCCTCTCGCCCGTTGGGAGCGGAAGGTCGTACAGTCCGGCATTGAGAGCCAGCACGTAGGGAAGATACTCTAGCAGGGCAGTCCTGACACTCGGTAGGTGCCCGACCTGTGATGCTGGATCAAGACGTTTGTGCTTTTTGAGCGCATCCTTGGCAACTCCTCGAAATGTGTTTGCGCGGAGAGGCAAGGATGGATGAGAATCAGATTCGAAGCAAGCTGTGAACGAGAACGATGACGTCGTGGGCAGCGCAAACGGGTATGGCATCTTGAAGAGCGACGGAAACCACAGGGCAGGTTGATGCTGAAGCAAAAAAGTAAGGCTAGGGCCTTCTGCGTGTAACGAAGCCGTCTGGTTGTTGTGAGTATGGAAGACGATCTATGGTCTTCAAGATGTTGAATTAACTGATGTCAGAGAGAGACCCAAGAGCCGTGCAGAAATACGTGCGTAAACGAAATTCACACAGTATGCCGCACCGGACTTCATCCGCCAAATCCGTTGGAACTCAGGGACCAATGTTGGAGGAATCTCGCTTGAGCAACTCGCAACTTCTCCCGGATCGCGAGCTCTCCAATTCTCGTGTCAACGCCATAACGATGGCCGCCCCAAGCCCCTCGACGCGGAAGCCTCGCCGCAAAGGCAAGAAAATCGACGAAGACATCGACCGCGTCATTCGGACCCGAGAAGAGACCCTGGTTCGAACGCCCTCCTTTCCTTTAGCCGCGTTCCTGTGGCCGGCAAGAAGCTCGTCCTCGCAATGGGAGGTCCTACCCTTGATCCTCATGGTGGTGGGACTGTTCCGATGGGCTGCTGGTCTTTGGGGCTACTCTGGTCAGTTCCACTGATGTGAAGCGCGCATGTTCTCAGCTCACCCTGACAGGTTTCGAAAAGCCCCCGATGTATGGTGACTACGAGGCGCAACGACACTGGATGGAGATCACGACCCGCCTGCCCATGTCGCAATGGTACTTCCACGATCTTGAGTGGTGGGGTCTCGACTACCCGCCGTTGACAGCGTACCATAGTTGGGTTCTCGGCAAGATTGGAACCCTCATCAACCCAGACTGGTTCGCGCTCTTCACCTCCCGCGGTTCTCAGGACCCCAACCTCAAGATCTTCATGCGAGCGACCGTCATTGTATCAGAATACCTGATCTACGTCCCCGCCGCCGTTGTCTTCGCTCGCCGTTACGGACGCCTTACTGGGGTGTCGATCTGGACGGCTACCGTGGGGCTGGTCGCGATTCTCATGCAGCCTGGGACAATTCTGATCGACCATGTGCACTTCCAGTACAACACAGTCATGCTCGGCCTAGTAATGGCTTGTATGTCTAGCCTACTCGCTGAGCGCTACAAGTGGTCGGCTGTCTTTTTCGTTGGGGCGCTCATGTTCAAGCAAATGGCGCTGTACTATGCCTTCACAATCTTTGCCTACCTCCTCGGCAGATGCACGTTCCCCAAGGTCAACTTCTCAAGGCTGTTTGGCATCGCACTAGTTACTGCCATTACCTATGGCGTGCTTGTCCTACCGCTCGTCGCTGGTACCATATACGACACGTACCGCGGTGTTGGCTCGCGGCCCGACCTGGACGGTCCACCGCCACCTCTGCCTATATTGGCTGGGCTCACAGAATACATCGACACCGGATCGTTCTACTATCCTGTCGTGGAAATGGTCGTGCAGGTCTTGCACCGCGTGTTCCCTTTCTCGCGAGGTCTCTTTGAGGACAAAGTCGCGAACTTCTGGTGTGCGTTGAATGTGGTGCTCAAGATCAAGAACTACCCAACAGAGCTGCTCCAGAAAGCTGCGCTGGTAGCAACTTTATTGGCAATCGTACCCCCCAACATCATCATCTTCTTCCGACCTCGCAAGGCCACAATGCCCCTTGCGTTCGCCGCTACTGCATGGGGCTTCTTTCTCTTCAGCTGGCAGGTGCACGAGAAGAGCGTGCTTTTGCCCTTGATGCCTATGACTCTGCTCCTTGCTGGTAGGCAAGGCTTGAACAGAGACATTCGATCATGGGTCGGGTTCGCAAACATTCTGGGAGCGTGGACAATGTTTCCGCTGCTGAAACGCGTGGATCTGCGCGTACCTTATGCAGTTCTCACGCTGCTGTGGTCGTATCTGCTCGGGCTTCCACCAACATCGTGGAATGTATACACTGACGAAGGATTTGGTGGCTGGTCGCAAGTCGGCACCGCCACACTCCATACCCTCTTCTATGTCGCCATGGCAGCATGGCACGTTGCTGAAGCTTATGTAGCGCCGCCTCTACACAAGCCCGACTTGTGGACAGTCGCCAACGTAGGGGTGGGATTCGCCGGGTTTGGCCTGTGCTACCTCTGGTGTTTGTGGCGCCTACTCAAAGACAGCGACCTGCTGCCAAGCTACGCAACAAAGACAAAGACTCAGTGAGGCCAAGTGGTCGTGTGGACAAGCTGTCGTATCAACTTGGTGACCCTCCAACAGAAGGATGGCCTAGGTTCGAACGAGGAATTCGGCAGTAATCAGCAGTAAATGATACCCCAAACTTCGCAAATGAATCAACACATAGGTTTCGAGCACACATTTGGTTGTTTCGTAATGAGGTCAAAGCACTTTATGTACAGGCGCGGTCGTGGATTCACTGCGAGAGCCGTGATCTCAAGATAGCGACCTGGCATCAGATGACAGAGCGCCTTTATAACGCCAAGGTGCCCTGGGGAGGCCCGCCAGTACCTGAATGCTGTCACTCGGGTAGAAAAAAGTGACGGGCAGTTTGCCATGGCAGTGGCTTGACCGATGTTTGGGAACTGGGCATGAGGAGATATGGTTCTGACGATCATCGGCGCATAGTGTCGTTCTGGGAAATAACTTTTTTGTTCCAGATATATCAATGAGATCAAACATCACACTAGTGCATCCTCCAGGCTATGCTGGCTGGCCTTTACTCAGTGGCTGACATACGTACGACAATGAGCAGTCCGAGCCCATAGCCTTGCAGAACAATAGCTGCTCAAGCCATTCGGGCGTTGGGCAACTATTTGACAAAGTTACGAGCCGCGCGCACGTTAGTCACAAAACGAGACGTACATAGTGGTCAAGAACATGTGGGCGGCGCGGAAAGTGCCGAGGATCCCTTGAGCGATTTCACGCAGAATATCTCAAATCCGATGAAGCGGGTGTCATTGATCATGAGTCGTATCAAGTAGTGTTCCACCTAGAAAAGCCCCCAATTCGACCAGCGACAAGTCATCCAAACGCCAGTCAAGACGTCGGCGGACAGCCGCGCACCCAGCCCGTAATAGTCTCTGCTCGGAAATTCATTTGACGGTCGTAGCGAGGCGAGGCGCTTAGTCGAACAGACCGAAGCCCATGTCGTCGTCGGACTCGTCCTTCTCCTCCTCCTTGGCCTCCTCCTTCTTCTCCTCAGCAGCGCCGCCAGCAGCAGCACCACCGGCAGCGGGAGCGCCACCAGCACCGCCCGAGGGGACGGAGGCAAGCTTGGCAGTACCCTCAGAGATGAGCTACAGTATTGTTAGCTATAGTTCGCTGGGGAACCTGTTCACACAAAAACGTACCTCGTTGATGTCCTTGCCCTCAAGCTCGGAGATCAGAGTCTCGAGACGGTCGTTGTCAGCCTCAACACCGACAGACTCAAGGACGGCCTTGACGTCGGCGGCCGAGGGAGAGGTGTTGCCACCGAGGCCGAGGAGGAGGTAAGCTGCGAGGTGCTTCATTTTGATGGTTTTTTGTTTCTGCAATTGGCGAGTTAATAAACTGGTCGCGTACTGCGCAGGAGAAGGCAACTCACGGTGAGTGTAAGAACACGAGAGATCAATCAATTTAACCGCAAGTTGGGCGGAGACTGAAACCTTCAATGTTCGGTTTTTGGTGATGGTTACAGAGGGGAAAGAAGTTCTAAGGCAAGCGACTGTGTCAGTAGCGAAAATGTTCCCTTAGCGTGCCCTGCCAATCGCCAATTTTCTGTGGGCGGTCACGTCGGTGTGCCATTTTTTGGCGGGGCAGCCCTACTTAGGTCATCAGAGCACAGCCACATCATGGTTCCGCTTCAGCCACATATAGCGAAGGCCTCTGTGGCTGAGCTAGATAGCTTGACGCGCTTCCGTCTCAATCTTGGAATGCAGATTAGCATCCTCCAGTCATTCTACCATCTTACAATCGAATCCCTTTCGGTCGGCGCACCGCTTCAAGGCGCTCTCTGTCTCCTTTCCGAACTCCATCTGCTTCAAGTGGCAGCCTTCAAGACGCTCGATACCCCCGCAAAGCGAACGTCCCCCAGCGGCGGTCAAGTTTCATCATCAAGATGGCTCCGACCTACGGATACGCACCCCCTCCTCCGCCGCCGTCGGCTTCAACCCAACCATATCCTTCGCAGTCTAACTCGGGACGGGGTGGCGGACCTAGTGGTCGCGGCCGAGGTGGCCATCACACCAATGGACACAACGCGCAGGCAGCACCGCCGGTACACTACGAGTATGCTGCTACGCATCAGCCGTATGCCGGGCAACAACCTCAAGCGTACGGCGGCCCTCAACAGCCTCACCATCCCAGTTATCCGCAGGGCCAACCTCATTGGCCTCAAAGCGCATCTCATGCGCCAGCTCCCATGTCTGCTAATACTTTCCATCCCACGTATGCTTCGCAGCCTTATCCTGCAGCCCCTCATTACCCTCATGAGCCTTCCTATGGAGCGCAACAACACTATGCCCAGCCGTATCAAGCACCTCACGCGGCACCTCAGTGGAGTAGTCAAGGACCTCCCATTCCGCCCACATATGGTGCAGGAAGGGGCCGTGGCGGCTTCAATGACCGCGGGGCCGCTAAGGTCGGCACTCGTGGTGGTTTCGAGCATGATCAGCATCAGCAGCAGCCATCGTACCCGCCGTCATACTCCCATGACCCGCGGGCAAGCTATCCTCCCCCGCAGTATGGCTATGCAGCACCGCCACCGCCGCCGCCGCCGCAGGCCTCGTACTACGATGGACATCAAGGGGGTTCCTTTGGTCGGGGCCGAGGCGGCGGTCACCGGGGTGGCAACAGGGGACGCGGTGGTGGCCATCGTGGTGGGAGACCCGACCAGAAAAGTCGCGGAAATGACCATAAGCCCCATCCACAGCACGACAAGACCAACGACCACCATAACGCTGGAAGAAAGAAGAAGCGCAAAACGAACACCCTAGGCCTGACGCCAGGCATGGAGTCCGAATCGGAAGACGACGAGGGCGAAGAGGCCGCACTGGAGAAGCTGCTTGGGCAAGAGAGATACCAGTACGTCAGTTGAGAGTGACTCCTGTGATTACATGCTGACCTTCTTCGTAGAGTGGACGATGTTGCCGAGTTCTTGGCAGAACGCAAGAAGAACTTCCCAACAAGGGCTCGAGCAGAAGCGAGGAAGAATGCCGAGTTGGCATCCAAGACGGAGGACGAGGAGTCAGCGCTCCACAAGAAGCGCGACAAGCTTCGGCGACAGCTCGCCAAGGTAGAATCCTCCATCAAGCGCAAGCGTGATCTTGGCGATGAGGGCGACGAGATGCGCGACCTTTCCTTGAACGATTCGGAGGAGGACGAGAAGCCCGAGAGCATGACTTCGAAGCCGTCGGCAGCCAGTGCACCGCCACCAGCAAAGAAAGCCGACGTGACGCGGCACTGCAAGTATTTCTCTACAGGCGGTTCGTGCGGGAAGAAGAGCAAGTGCCGCTTCGTCCACGATCCTGCCGTGCGCGAGGCTGCGATCAAAGAGCGCGATGCGAACAATGGTCGCCTCACGATTCAGCAACGTCTCGTTCTGAACGATCAGGAGCAGGAAGACCTGGCCATCCTGCAATCGATCCAGTATCTCCGCGAAAAGGGTGTTATGAAAAAGGAGAACCTGCCGGTGCCAAAGGAGTTTGAGAAGAGGCAGACGCCCGCGCCGCCAGTGGCCGCACCACTGTCTGCTCCTCAGAAAACCAGTCTCCTGCCCGCTGCGTCCGCCTCGCTGCCTCCACCGCCCCCTAAGAGGGAGCCGGTGGGTAGACGCGACAGCAAGAATCATCCCAAGCCCCCTGCCTCCGTGCCCAAACCTGTCGTCGTCGACGCGCAAGCTACCAATGCACAGAATAGTTCCGCGTGGCTGAATACGCCCTACAGCGCCAATGGCACGCAGCCGGACGATCTGCCGTAGTAGCGGCGGGTACGAGACCGGGTTGAACGCATTGTGTCTTATTCCTATACGTGGGTCGATTGTGTTTGAGCCATGTTCACGAGCGTGGCGTTTTATGGCAATATCATCTTTGTTGGTCGGACTGGCGGATATCTGTAGGGGTGTGACGTACAGTAACATGGTGGGAAGCTGGAAGTGAACAATGTTGTAATTGAACTTAAACATTGAATAAGCATTGAGGTTCTATACTGGAGTAATCGATTGCACGGACTGGCAACTCATACTACCCAGTGATCCTTGTCGACATAAAGTCTTCCATCTTCCCCTTTATCCCCCCTGAAAAGTCCAAATGCAGAGTAAGAGTCAAGCTAAGAATTGAAAAGCAAACAAACTGAAAGCACAACACTGTACTCCGCCGCTGATGAATAATTGCAAAGTCAGACCCCCGCAATGCTTCACAAACTGAATGAGAGACGTCTCATAAGTGATTCGCTCTGATGAACAACGCCGTGTGGCTCCCGTTCCTACCGTCGTCCGCCCAACAACTTCTTCTTCCTCTCTTCCTTTTCCTTCGCCAGCTTCTCAAGCAGAGCCTGCTCGCGTGCATCATCCTGCCTGGCCATTCGCTCGGCTTGTCGCTCTTCAAGATCCAATTCATCCAGGCCAGCCTCCATATCAGACGACCCATCCGAGTCGTAGTGGTACCGTGGCCCACCGACTTCCTCTTGTTCCTCATCATCATAGTCAATGAAGTCATCCAAGTCCTCGTCGTAGTCTTCTTCAAACCGCGATGTCTTGTAACCACCAGGGCGAGACGGTGCCCGGTTGAGGAGTGCGCCACCTCTCGGGACAGGTTTCGCCTTTTGACCGGAACCAGACGGCGTAGCAGCTGTTTTGGGGCGAGCCGTGCCGGTATAGCCAGTAGTCGCTTGTGCTGCTTTTTTGAACTTCTTTTCTGGTTCTTCGTTGCGTTGTCCAGGACCTGGCTTCCCAGCGACAGGCTTTCCACGAGCTTGTAGCCTACCGCTCACGGGAGGTCGTTCCCCTGGCTTCGAAGTACCCTGATATCCCGAAGGTCTTGCGCCCATGGCCGGCTTTTTCCCGACACTGCGCGGCTCAGGCTCCGCTGGTTTGGCCACGGCGTTGGGCTTCTTCTCCGCTTTCTTGTGCTGAATCAACCCCACCTTGCCCATCGACGATTGGGCCATTTGTGCTCTCGCCATAATCTCCGCGTAGGATCCCTTCTTTGGAGCTTTGGCAGCTGGTGATGGTGCTGCCGCAGGGCGGGATGGCGCAGCTGGCTTTGTGACCCTGTGCGTTCCCTGTGCGGGTTTCAGCACAGCAGGCTTATTCACGTTGCTATTTCCGTTTCCGTTCGAGGTGCCATTCAAAGGTCGAGATGCAGCCGAAACATTCCCATTCTGCCGGACAGCGGCTGCGTTTCCGTTGGGGCGATCGAGTGGTCGTGAAGGTTGACTGTTGGGGGGGATCTTGCGTGCGATCTTCGGGGCAGGCTCGTGAAGGTCGTCGGCTTTGCGCTTGATCGAGGCAGCGGTGCCAGTATTGATGACCGGCCGGTCCCCGCTGATGGAGGCCAGCAGATCCGTAATCTAGATTGCGTTAGAATCAGACAACAGTATAGCTAAGTTGTGGACCCTGCGTACCGGCATGGTGACTCTTGCGTGGGTGTTTGGAGATGCAATGTCTTCGGGGAGCGAGAGCGATGCGACGTAAACACAACAAGATGCCGTCGCCGATCCTCCACTATCCTCCAACTGAATATCGTCTGTAGGATATTGATGCGATGTTTAGTTCGATAGTTCGAGTGCGATAACCGGGATGTTATCTGTGGCTGTACGACCGCTGACTGTGATACCGTTTGCGATGCGGAGTCGAGTAGTCGGCACGGAGACGTCTCAGTATTAGGTGACAGGGAGCAGAATTAGGAGACGAGGTGCTCTGGAGGAAAGAGAGTGCAAGGAAGCAAAAGTAGCAAGCGTGACCAGACAGCAGCCCGTGAAAGCAGGAACAAAAGAATGACCTGGAGACGAGGCCACCTTCATACCCGTGACTCGTGGGGCCTTTTTTTGCAGAGGCCAGCTCTGGAGTCTAGACTACCTGTGACGCCACAGGTAGCCTTGGCACGTGAGAGTGTGGCTGAAGCTGTGAGCTTCGGGTGACTAAGCAGGCATTGAGCAATAACCGAGGTTTCATCATCGATTTTGAATAGGTGGATCTTCTTGGGTCTTGCAGCCAATCGTAAGCGCTCGATTAACGACTCTCTTGGAGATCACGAGCCGAGTCGCGCATGATACGATGATGAATGTGAATTGCTCTCTCTGGTTTGGAGCAGGCTAGGTATAATCCTACAGAAGTAGCTAAAATCACAATAAGGCTAACAAACGAGAATATTTTGATGACCAATGCCAGCCGCCGTGACGCCTCCCTCCTTCTCAATGTCTAAACATCATGTGCTCATGCTCCGAGAGCCATCTGCTTCTTGATCTCGGCAATCGCCTTGCCGGGGTTCAACCCCTTGGGGCATGTGCGAGTGCAGTTGAGGATAGTGTGGCAGCGGTACAGAGACATGGAGTTCTCGAGGTTGGTCTTGCGCTCGGCGGTGCGCTCGTCACGCGAGTCGGCGAGCCAGCGGTAGGACTGGAGGAGGATGGCGGGACCAAGGTACTCCTCCGAGTTCCACCAGTATGAGGGGCATGAGGTCGAGCAGCAGGCGCAGAGAATGCATTCGTAGAGACCGTCCAGCTTCTTGCGATCCTCCTTGGTCTGGCGGTACTCCTTGCCCTGGGGTATGTTGTTAGTAACCGAAGTCGGCTATATGGTCATCCCGAGGGAACACGTACATCTGGCGAGGGCGTGTCGCGCTGCAGGTAGGGCTTGATGGACTTGTATTGCTTGTAAAAGTGCGTCAGGTCAGGGACAAGGTCCTTGACGACGTAGGTGTGCGGCAGAGGGTAGAGCTTGACATCGTCCTTGGACTCGGTAGGGATGCGGCCTGTACTTGGTTAGCCCGGCTCGTACAGTTTATTTCTAGCCTGGGACATACAGAGACACGCAAGGGTGTTCTGGCCGTTGATGTTCATCGCGCAGCTACCGCAGATACCCTCTCGGCAACTCCTTCGGAAGGTCAAGGTAGGGTCCAACTCATTCTTGATGCGGATGAGCGCATCGAGCATCATGGGTCCGGTCTTGTTGAGATCGAGGGTGTACGACTGCATGCGAGGCTTCTCGCTGGGGTTCTCGGGGTTCCAGCGGTAGATCGAGAAGGTCTTCATCTTGGACTGTTCCTTCTCGGCTGGGGGGTCGTTGACGGTGGCCATGCCGCGCTGGAGCATGGTGCTCGTCGCGGGACGGACAGCAGAGACCCTGCCGAGGACTCGAGGGGCGGAGGAGCGGAGAGCAAACATTGTGGCGGTTGAATCGTCCGAGTATCGCGTGATGCAAGGAGAAACTGGCGTTTGCGAAAGAGAGATGTCGAGTGTCGCGGGAAGGAATGTATCATAGACTCTCCCGAAAATGGATTACGTTCGCCTGTGCCCGGATTGGTGGCGCTGGGGCGACTCGGAACTGAGGGCGGTGAGTCGGCTTCTCGATGACGCTAGGGCGAAAATGGTGGAGTGGGTTAGCGCGCCGCTTTCTGCCATCCCATGCTTCAAGGTTTGGAGCGTTGGCGATGCAAAGTGAGAGGTGAGTTGTGCATATAGACGATCATTCCAGTAGTCCCGTTGTCGCGGTCCATATCTCACAAAGTCTGGATGTGATCGATGAGCCGGAAGTAGACGAAACCCTCTTTTGCATTCGCGCCTCTCAGCGCGCGGACATCTTTCACCATGTTCATTCTGGTAGCGCAAAACCCCTTCAGTATCTTACATGAACACCCCGACTGACAAGTTTCGCTATAGACCAAGTTTGCCGACCTGGTCACTATTGAACCCAAGGACTTCTCAAAGAAGAGCATAGAGGCTATAGAAGACAACATCAATGCGAAATACTCCAACAAGGTGGGATGCGCCCGCTATCTCGAAAGTCGCAGCTTGCTAAGTTGAGTGCAGGTCATCCAGAAGATTGGCTTGTGTATATGTCTCTATGATCTTCTGTGGGCGTCAGAAGGTCTTATTGGCCATGGCACTGGCATGGTGAATGTGAACGGTTGGTCTTAGCCTTTCTTTGCTGTGGCGTGGGTGACTGACCGAGGATGTAGTTGAATTTCGCATGGTTGTCTTCCGGCCGTTCAAAGGAGAGACTATGCTGGGCAAAATCAGAAGCTCGACGCCATTCGGGATCCACCTGAGGACAGAGTTCTTTGATGATATCTTTGTGCCGTATCAAGAGCTGCCGGCTGGCGCGGAGTTGTAGGTCTTCCCACAAGTGGCACGCATTCCGTGTACCGGAGCTGACTCGAGTAGCAACGTGAGTGAGCAGCTCTGGGTGTGGAACCTGGATGAGAACGAGCGGCTTTACTACGACAATCACGAGATGGTCAGGTTCCAGGTGATAGACGAGGAATGGCACGACCAAACACCGGCGGGTCCAACACAAGCGGAGGATGCAGCACTAAAAACGCCGTACAAGCTCAAGGGGAGTATGGCGGCCGATGGGCTAGGTGTTTGTCTATGGTGGGACGGTTAATGAACGTGGAGCGGACGGGAAAGCCGATCTATTTATGTTTGGCCTATGTTCTACGCCTTCTTCAGACTCGCCAGGAGACGGCCCTCGACGTCGTCCAGGACAGAATAGTGGTCCACCACGGCCAGGTTCTCGGCCTCAGCCTTGAATTGCTTGTCGGGGTCTTGGCCAGGACCACCCATCATGGGGTTTGGCATTTGCTGGGCCTGCATCTGCTGGTTGAGCTGACTGGCAGCTGCTCGGAGTAAGTGGAAGTCAAACGAGTGAGGGGCCATGCAGGCACATACCGTTGTCGTTACCCAGGAGGAAGACGTAGACAAACTGAAGACCAAAGATGCACAAGAAGTACCAACTGATGCTAGACATCCATCTGGGATCCATGTCCTTCGTCTGCACGCCTGCCTGAAGCATGCTCTTGAACTTGATGGTCAATGGGAACGGGAGTTTCACTACACTGTTAGCCTAGTCGTATCTCCAAGTGAACAGCGATACCTACTGGTTACGTAGCCGCTGAAAAAGGCGTTGATCCAGCTCATGATCAGGGTGTTTGGGATCATCATGGCCATATTGTTCTTCATCATGCCCATCATGCCGTCCATAGCACCGGGGTCCGACATGGGGTTCGCTGGGGGCTGGCCCTTCTTCTCAGGCTCCTTCAAGAAATCGCCATTCTCGTAGGCCGAGATGAGGTAGTCGCGACGGCTCTCAAACGACTTCTTGGAGAGAGAATGGTAGTTGGAGCGGAGTGCTACGCCGCGACCGAGGGATCGCTGTTCACGCATGGCCGGGGCGTCCTGCTTTTTCGGGGCCGTCTGGAGGAGGACAGAGGCGTAGTGACGCAGGACACCGGTCTGGACCATGACAATCGTGATAGGAATCAGAATCCAGTAACTGTCGTGGTCAGTCGAGATCTCTCCGGTGGTATCTTGGTCGGAATTACAAGAGCTGGGGATCCCTGTGAAGGGTCTGCACAGGTATGTCGGCCATTTTTGCGATTCGATCGGCAGGCGGCGGGAATTCTGGCTGCGAGTTGAATTTGGATCTGGCGATGGTGCGGAACTGTTTCGAGGGGACGTTGCTGAAGCTGCACCCCGTCGTCGTCGGCGGAGGCGGCTAAAGTACGCTGACTAACCTTAGCTTACCCCTGCAAATGACAGCTTTCCACACGACGCGCCCGCGGCCCCACGAACCCTTCACTTATACAGGCCATTGCTGTCCTCAACTCCAACCAGCACATTATTTCCACCACCCAAGGGGCCTGACTACTCAAGTTTTCATAAGAGATGGCTGCCAACAAAGTCAGCCTCGCCAATTTGGCTGGTAAGATCAGCATTATTTTCCACTGACGATCGCTCTCTGACGCTCCCAGACCTCAAGAATGCCTCCGACGATGCGATCGCCAACTACCTCAACTCCCTCTCTTTCAAGCAGTCGCACACCATGACCGATGTTCGCCTCGCCATCGGATATGGTGCCTTTGTTATCGCCGCGGCCGCCGGTGGCTGGGATTACTATTTTGGCTTCGAAAACACCAAGCTCTACACAGCCATCGCCGTCGCCGTGTACACGCTGCTGCAAGGCGCGTTGGCCTTCTGGATTTCTTTCGTGGAGCACGGCACCGTATACCAGGGCCAGGCGCCCAACGGCGGGCAGAAGATTACCATTGCGAGCTTCAACGCGAAAAAACACGAACCCTTGTACAAACTGAAGGTGACGACACAGCCAGCGTCAGGAGGCAAACCCGAGACCATTGAGCTGGAAAGGTCGTTCACGGAATGGTTTGATGAATCGGGCTTGTTTGTCGCAGCGCCTTTCCAGCGGTTCCTCGCGTCAAGTATTCCGGTCGTGGGCAGGGCAGACCCCAAGAGGGTGAAGAGTGAGTCGAGGGACTTGCTCGAGGGCGACTCGGATCTTCTTGATGCGGTGATGAGTGCAGAGGCAGAGACAACGGGCGCCGACAAGAAGAGTGGCGGTAAGAAGCGCAAGGTGTAAAAGGTTTCGCATATTTTACTGGAGTTCAAGCGATATGGCAGGTTTCATACAATGTTGTTTTCGTATCCAGAACGCCTCCAGTCTATGTGCCAAGCCCCCTTTTTCCACGTTACTCGTTCGCCTACATGGATACCTCCCAACTTTCTATGTACCATCATCTCAACTCCTTCCACGCGGCTCTCGCAGCTCGCGCCAACTTCCTCACATTGCGGACTGGGTTGCCACAGGCCAGTGTCAGCTCGCGCTCGACCTTGGGCGCGGAGGGCACCAGGTACCTCGACTCGAACATCCTCGGTAGGCCGCCCATAATTTCCAGCGCGGCTTCGCAACTCTCGGCTTGCGATTCCACATCGTCGGCTGACGCAGACGTGTAGCTCGCAGGCAACCATTCCGGGGTAACATGTGGCTTGCTCGAGAAGGCGGCCGTGCAGATGGCGATGATGCTTGCCAAGTGCGACTCGCCTTTGGCAGAGGCTTCCACGAGGATGTTTCGCAGAACGTGCAAGGCAGCCACCACATCCGGGCCTGAGCCAATGGTCTGCGCTACAAATATGGCTATGCGGAGGATGCTCTCGGCGTCCCCTTCGTAGATGGAGAAGGGCATGTGCTTGACCAACATGAGCGTGCCGATGCTCAGGTTCAACCTGATGACTCGATCCTGTACTGAGGAGTCCTGGCCCAGCGCTTGTGGTGTCATGGGCTTCGCCAGCTCAAAGTAGAGCTTCTGCATCCACAGCGGCTTGACAATGGCAAAGTTGTCTTTTGTGAGAGGCTTTTGAGGGGCGACGACCATCTCCAGGCGACGAGACAGACTTTGGCCCAAGGCCGAGGACTTGGGCGATTCTCTTAGCAGACGCAGTAGCCCTGAGGCCTGTTTGCCGCTGTATCGACGGAGCATGCCAGCTGCAATCGCAAAGATGGATGTTGCTTTGGTCAACGTGCCATTATCCGCCTCATTGGCCAAGATCACCTCCACTTGCTGGTTGATAATCTCCATCACTGGCTCTACTGTCTCAAGCTTGTGCTTATTGGCAAGGATGGTGAGGATAGCGCGCAGAACGAAAGCGGTTGTCGGGTCTGCGGACGACGCGTCTGATGTCACGCTTTGGATGAGGATGGATTGAGCCACGCCAGCGCCATACTACAATTTGGTTAGCAGAAGCTCGTCCATAAGTAAGTGGCATCTCACCAATTGTGCAACGGCCGCAGGACGTAGTGCCTCCAGGATCCCAAAGGTGAGAACGTTCAGCCTGGAGGTAGCTATCCAGCTCCATTCAGATGGTTCAACCTGTGTACCCGCTTGCGGTATTGTCACTGCATCCTCGCGGAAGAGGTGCATGACGAAGGATGATGCTTTGAGCGACAATTGCTCCGCCTCCGAGAGCTCGTGGACCACGAAACCAGCGAGTCCACCCAACAGATGAAGCAGCTGGCTTGATGCCCCTTCTTCCATGGTCGCGAACTCATCGCTCAACTCGAGGCGCGTGCCTGAAGGCTTCGTAGCCCTCTGGTACAGCTGACGAACAAAGTACAAGCTGATGAGCAGGAAGTCTGTCCTCACCTGCCCAGGCGATGCAGCTGCAGTAGCCTTCGCTGGCTGGGCGTGAGGGTCCTCAAGGCCAGGGTATCGCTGTGCGATAGACGAAATCCATTCGCTGTCAAGGGCTGTGCTACCAGCGGTCTCAATGCTGGAGCATGCATCGCGAAAACATCGGACAGCAGCCTGAAGGCAAGCAGTGAAAGCGCACCGAACGGACGCACTGCTCTTCTCCTCAATGGAGGCAATGAGCTCAAGGTACATAGCCTTTGTGATGAGGATGAAGTTGTCGAGTCCCTGGGAAGGGACAGCCGGCAGCTCGGAGCAGCCAACATAGGCGAGCAGAAGGCCAAGCGACTGGACAGTCGAGACTGATTGGGGCGACTCGGTTTTCCGGGCACTGCGGATGATATCCAGGCCACGACGCACATGGGGCACGTAGGCAGAGTTGTATGAGGTCACTGAACGTTGAAGGGCCTTTGTCGTTTCGCTGGCCAGCTCGTCGGAGGCCGTCGTTCGATTCTGGTCTTCGTTGATCCTCGTTTGCTCGATGATACTGAACAGTGTGTCGCAGATAACCAGGCACTTGTCTCCGGGCAATAGGCGAGATGCATCTACATTTGCCACGGCTGTCGATTTCGCAGCCTTTTGGCATACCAGGGCGCCAGCCCCCTGCACCGCTTGCGCGGCGAGTTTGTGGTCGTCATACGAGGCTTCAGGCTTGACGGCTTGCTCCAGAGGCTTCTTGTATACATCATCGTACAGCGACGTGAAAACTGTGTCAATGGCTGCAAACTCGCTCCGCTCTTGTGGTCCCATGTCTGTGCTGACGAGAAGCAGGCGCGTCTCCAGCATGACATGGAGTATCTTTAGTAAATCGCCGCTGTGCCCAGGTCCTTTCGGGTGTCGCAGATTCTCCTTGACATGAGTGATTGCCGGGGATGCCATGAGAACGAATGCAGAGGGCGTCGCGCTCAGCACGCTGACCAGGAGCCGCCCAGCTGGCGCTGTGTAGACAGCGTTTGCGAGATCATTTACACAGTCCCTCGTCACGGTCAAGGCGTAGTCTCTCAGGTTGTCACCCTTGAGGCGTACAGCCAGGATCTTGAGAACCTCGAGGGTAGCCCAGATGGTATCCTCAATCTCGCCATTGCGCACTTCGTACTTGAGGCTGCTCCAGATGGAGTCCACATAGGGATTCACCGTCTGCTCTGGGTTTTTGTAGGCTTCGGCACAAGCCTTGACTGTCTTCAAGATGTCCACCTTGACGTTGACGGTTACGCCCTCCCCTTGATCCAGCTTGCCGAGCAAGAAAGGGAAGGTCAAAGGTGCAAGCTTGTGTGTCGACGTGAAGCATTTGCGAAGCTGTTGCTTCAGCTCCTCCGGTGTAATTCCACTCGTCGATGTGCGCGGCAGCGTGATGGGAAAATACGCTTTGAAGGTGTTGAAGACTTCCTCAATCATTTCCTGGCTCGGCTCATATTCCTGCAGGAAAAAGGCGAGCACGTCGAACCAGACCATCAAGCACGTCGGATCTCTCTCATTCCGGCACAGGGCTAGTAGGTCGTTCATGAAACCGGAGGAAGCACCGTGCTTGTACTGAAGGTCACTCGCCACAGCTGGGTTCGTGATCAGCGATCGCAGGAGCTCGAAGACTGACAGGCGCGTCTTGGCCAGTTGGCGTGAGAAGTCGTCCTTGAGAGTGCATATTTTCTGGATGATATCATCGGCACTAGTTGGCTGGAATGATTTCATCTGTGTGATCCGTGAGAGAGCCGTGGCCGAGGCGAGGACGCCAGCTTTGTGATCGACGTCGAACATGGCACCAAAGAAGCTGATGAGCAGCTTGACTGGCATTGATCAGTTTTGGGTTGTTACCATGAACTCTCGATACACACCTTGACTAGGTTTCAGGACTTCTGGTCCAAGGAAGTCCAGTGATCTTGATAGAAACTCCAGGGCTGTTAATTCGTCAGCTCTGAGGCTTTCTGCATCCGCCAGGTCGCATACCCTTTGCCCTGCCTGTCCAGTCGGGTGTCTCATTATCACCAGTGGCCTCATCGCCATTGCTCCCTGGCATCCATGGCTGCACAGCCTCCACCCAGCGAGCTACTGGATTTGTGTTTGCTGGTGCCGATTGGAGTTCTTCTGCGGTTAGCGCAGACCTTTCAACCCTGGGACTTTGTCGAGCGTTACCTGATGCCGCCTGCTGCGCGAGGGAAGTCTGTTTCGCCTCATCGTCCGCCAGCACGAACTCCAGTGCCAGCTGCCGAAAGTCGGCCATCACACGGTGAGGCTGATCGAGGACGCCGAGTCTGAATGTGGATTGAGGCAATGATTTCGCAGTACGGTTCTGTATAAATGATGTCGCAGTCTGGTGAGTCTAGCGATATCTGAGCAAAGTTCATTGCATTGTGACCGAGCTCGGAGTTGAACATTCTCATAGCGGCCAGTCGATGGTGGGGCAACGATGGAGGGGCATCAAGTGCGGCGTAGATTGTGGTGGGGTGCGAATTGCCAATCTTGTGACTGTGTGCTAGCATTAGTAATTGCACGAATGCAGCTCGTTGATGGATTCCAAGGGGCTATACCGCCAAGGTTGAGTCTTCAAGTATACTATGAAAGCCTTTATTGGAAATACGATATGCAATCAAATCATATGCTGGCTATACAGACTGCCCAGAGGTAGAAGATGATTTCCGTCCTGCTCTATGCACTGTATCGATGCGTCATAAGTATAGGGTAGGCACCAAATGTAGAAACCCCTACTGCACGCCCTGGTCAAACGATTCTGTCTTCAGTCTTCAACCTCAAGAGTGTGTTCCAGTCCGCGAAAGACAGGTCCGAGCCTGCGTCCATCCACTGCCAGTCCATCGCGTCGTCCATCTCCAGCAAAGGGTCCCAGTTGAACACGGAGTCGGCCCCGAAGTCAAATGCCTCCCACGACATTTGCAGCCTTGAACCAGACGCGCCACGCGCACTATTTGTCCCTGGAGTGTCGTTCGTCAGGCTGGGAATGAATGAAGCAGCTCCATCATCCAGGCTCGACGCGTTCTTGGAATCAACCAGAGCCTCACCTGGCATAAGATGGCCACCATCCCTCTCACTGTTCTGACTAGGCTGTGTCTCGCTCACACCGGATTGTCTATGAGCGGCATGTTGATCTGAGTTCCTGAGATCTTCAATGTGTCTTTTGACGTTTTGACAAATGGGTAGTTCCTCCTCATCGGGCCCCAGGGTGTCTGCAATCTGCTGCAGTGAAGCCCAGGCTCGTTTCGACTCATGATTCCAGGGCCTACCGCGGCGCAGGGCTTGCAACGTGAAGAGCATGGCCGACCAGGGCACATGCCCTTGCAGCTGCCAGCGCCAGCATTTCCACTCATCGCACGTCTTGAGTGCCATGGTCGTGTCCATCAGTGTCGCTGCACAGTCGAGTGCTTGGGCAAGGAGGTCCTCTTGATTCCCCCCTTGCGCCAGCCGCATCTGCCGCCGGCACATGGCGAATTGGACTTGTGAAAAGAACAGCAAGACCAGATGATACACAAACTCTTGGAGTTTCGAGTGCTCGCCACTCTTCTCCGCAAAGTACGTCTCGCATATCCGTGCGCGAGCGTCTGGGAGAAGCTGTTGCTGGCTATCGCCGCTGTCCTGAGCCGCGTTTCTCAGGGTATGCGATAACCGCCACAGCTCGCAGCGGATGAGGCAGACTGTGACATGAGTGAATCCGGCGCCACGGCTCGGCTCGTTTACTTCACCACTGCAGGGTTCTCGTGTTGTGCCTGTTGACGGAGAAACAGACAGCTCTGGGACGTCCTTGTATCGAACCCTCGAGTCAAGGACGCAGACATGCCACCACAGCCGCCGTCGCGTCTCATGGTCCGCCGATACGGTTGCAACACGCCTCTCTGCGTCAGCGGCCGGATCTCTGTGCAGACCCATTGATATGGCCCTCCGGACAAGAATACTCGTCATGGGCCCCGCCAGCTTCGCGGCCCCCAGCTGCGGCAGGATCGTGACATAGATCACAAAGGCTTGGACGACAGCTATAGACCCCGTAGTCATAAACTTGGCCGACGCGAGGGCCTTTTCAGCACCCAGTCGGAGGCGCGCCAGCAATCGCGGCTTGGAGACGCCAAAGTTGAGCGCGGCCTCCTCCTCGTCCAGCGACACAATGGCGGCCAGAGAGACGGCAAACATCAGCGCCTCGGTCTCTGGGTCCAGCGCGTGCAGCTTCCCCTTGATCCCTTGCACCGTCTTGGTTGTGGCGGCGTGGTCGAGAATCTTAACAAAGGGGTCAACATTGTCGCAGAAGACTTGCCAAATGAAGAGCATTTGTGAGGGCAAGGGTGAAAGGTCGTCCTCGACGCTGGTATTGGCAAAGACATTGCTGCCCAACACGAACCCCTGATGATGACTCCGTACGGCCCCGTCTACGTGGCAATCAGCTTCAGGCACATCTGCGTGCTCCTCAGCTGCCTCTTCGACGTCGGCAACGGCTTGGAATATGTTGTCCACCTCCGTGCAGAAGATGGACCAGAACCCCTTTGCTACACGCAGGCCCCCGTTCGACTCCGTGACGAGGTTGCCAAAGTCCTCGGTTGGGTCATTGTGTTTCTGCCAAGACGCCGAAGCATCACTTCTCCCCTGCGTCTCTGGTCCCACGCTACGAGGATGCTGGCCTGCCGACAGTTCTGCGTCACGCTGTAGGCGCAGCGATCGCCAGACATTGGGTGTGCCTGCGTCCGCCTCGTCCGCCCCATCTTCCATCTGCCCCGCCATCTCGGTGACGACCGCCTCGAGTCGTCTCAGACGACCCATGAGCTCCGCCTGCTTCTGGGCGGGATTCTTGGACGAGGTAGCGTCCCGACTGCGGCGGGGGATGCGGCCGGTGACGGGGAAGTGGCACTCAATCTTGCTGCGGACGCAGTTGGAGCAGGGCTCGCGACGCTCACATCGAAGTTTGCGGCGGCGACAGTTTACGCAACTCCATATCTTCAGGTCATCTTGGGCTGCTGATGACTGATCTGTTGCGCTGGGCGCTGTCGTCTCTGACATTTCTCGAGGGTGCCCAGTGCCGACTGAGGTGCGCCCTGCGCTATGGCGTCCTTCAACTGGGAAGTCAGACTTGAATCGGATATCAATTCTCGGGCAGTAATAAGTAGTAGAGGGTTCAAATTTTGCGATACTCTGGAAATTGTCGAGTCGACGCCCGCCAGGTGATGTGCGATGAGTGAAGGTGGAATCTCGGACACGGAGCTCGGCCCTGGGTCAGACGGCCGATGCAGGCGCATGTAAGCATACCACATCGGCCTCGGACGCGGACTTGGCCTGCCCAGAGGAGGGAGTGATGATTCTCGCTATTAGCGCACATTTGTCGTTACTGTAAGGCTGAGATTTTGTTCATTTCTTTTCGAATCAGCCCTGAAAGTTGGTGACCCTTCGGTCTCGGTCGTTTTGAGCCGGTCGTGGCAGTCTATAAAAGTAACCAGCTCTGTCTGCGTGTCTTCTTCTTACTAGGTCACTGAAACACTCACCATTTTGTTCTCATTCTATGCCATACTGATACGACAAAGGTTCACAATGCCCAAGACAATCGTCATCCTCGGGGCCGGATGGGCAGGCCTCCCCCTAGCCCACAAGCTCCTCAAGTACACGGCGTCCAAGACAGGCCTCAAAGTCGTTCTGGTGACGCCCAACACGCACTTTTTCTGGAACGTGGCTGCTACACGCGGCATCATTCCCGGCGCCATCCCGGACGAGCAGCTCTTCCTCCCCATCAAGGAGGCCTTCGAGCAGTATCCGTCAGACAAGTTCGAGCTGCTCCTCGGGTCGGCAGAGGGGATGACTCCCCAGGATAGCACTGTAGCTATCAGAAAGGAAGATGGCACAGTGAAGCATCTGCAATACGACCAGCTCGTCATTGCAACGGGCTCTCGCGTCACCAGTGGACTGCCTCTCAAACCCCTCGGCGCCCATGCGTCGACGCTTTCCGCATGGCATGACTTGCAGCAACGAATCCAGGCGTCCAAGTCCATCGTCATCGCGGGCGCAGGCGCCACTGGTGTTGAGGTAGCTGGTGAGCTCGCCGCAAAGTATGGCTCGAGCAAGCAGATCACCCTCGTCATGTCCGAGAGCCAACCTCTGAGCAACCAGGGAGGCACCCTTGCGTCCGTCCGCCGCGTCATTGACGCCGATTTGCAAAAGCTCGGCGTGCATTTTGCGCGTGAAGCCCGTGTCACGGATGTTACGGACAGTGGCAGCCACGGCCAGACCATGGTTCGTTTGTCGAACGGTGCAGAGCTCACGACAGACTGCTATCTGCCTCTTCACGGCATCAAGCTCAACACATCGTTTGTTCCTGATGACCTTTTGGATGCCATGGGTAATGTCAGCCAAGAACCTACGATGAAAGTCAAGGGCACCAAGAACATTTGGGCCATAGGGGATGTCGGATCCCTCGAGACCAAGCAGTTGACGGTCACGGATGCTCAGATCATCCACCTGGCATCGAACCTTGACGCGGTCCTCACGGGCAGTGGGTCACCGACGCCGTACAAGCCCACTGACAAGACCATGCTGTTTGTGTCGCTGGGCACCAAGTTTGCGACTGGCCAAATTGGGAGTTGGAAGCTTTTTGGCTTCATGGTGTCGTGGGTCAAAGGGAGGAAATTGTTCGTGGACACTGCCGAGGGTTACGTCGGTGGAAAGCACCTGCGACATGCGGCGATGTAACTTGATTAAATAGGTAGATTATATTTCTTGAGTATCATGTATAATAAGTATGTCGCGCGAAAACAGATCCAGATGTGAAAAAGGTGATGTGTGCGGGAAGCCTCGCTGATGGAACTAAAAGACGATACAGGGTAGGTCACTGCACCCATGACGCAGACGCGCCAAAGATTTCAACTACCTAGGTAGCTTGACCGATCAGAGACTCAATCTGTTCCATCTCTGCGCAAAGTACGTCGCCATGGCTTCGATACGCACACCAATCCTCCGTCACCTGACGCAACCATCTCTGCGCGCAGCGCGCTTCATCACACACCAGCGTCGCTGGGCCCAGGTGCACGATGTGCGCTTCCTAGCCACGACCCGTCCCTCGCAGGACGTGCTCGACCGATATCGCTCGAAACTCGACGAGAAGGCACAAAGCGAAGGCTTCGAGTCCATCGACAAGCTCAAGTCTGCCTATGCCGACAAGATCCGCGAGGCACAAAAGAGGGACGCGGCCGACTTCCCGATCCCCCAGGCGCCCGAGACGCCCGTGAAGCAGCCATTCCGAGGGCCACTGCCTGGGCTCGAGACACCCGGGGAGGCTGGCGAGGCCAACGGCGGCAGGATCCCACAGGCACCAGAGACACCTGTGACACAACCCAACGTCGACAGTCCCCTGGGGCAGCCCGAGATCCCCCAGGCGGACGGCACACCCGTCACGCAACCGAACAAGGGCCAGGATGCTACGCATCAGGCGGCGCGCAGGGCGTCAGGTGCCGACAAGGCCCAGATCAAGATGCTGGACGACTACATTAACGTGGAGAAGGTGCGCGACCTGCCCGAGCCGGAGCTCACGGCCATCTGGCGACTACGCCACGCGCAATCAGAGCACAAGCTGTGCGCCGTGGCCCCGGCCGCCGCGTACCGGACCATGGAGCAGGCGGCGAGGGAGGCACCGCAGTTTGTCCTCCCCGTGCCGCACGAGGGCCAGGGGGCCGAGATTCACTTTGTGCAGTGGACGTTTGACGCGCCCTCGCGGACGAGCACGGTCCTGTTCACGCAGCTGGCCGAGTACAAGGCGCGCGGGGAGTTTGCGCAGCCCCACACGACGGTGACGCACCACCTCGATCTCGCAGACGATCGTGGCCTGGTGTTCATGCAGGGCCAGGTCATGGAGGGACGGGGCATCCAGCCCGAGCAGGCCAAGTGGCTGGTGCTGTGCCTGCAGCGGTTCTATGGGGGGTGGGAGGCGGGCGAGGCCGAGATCCAGGGCGAGAGGAAGCAGAGGGCGGAGGAGCGCAAGAAGCTTCTGAGCTGGTTTGCGAGTGGTGACGAGCGCTTCACCGTGGAGAAGCTGCTCGAGGAGGCGGAGAGGATGGGCTGATGGGGGAGAAGTGCATAGATCTGCGTCTTGGGCTGCTTACTGCCTGCTAGACGACCTACTAGTAGTACCTAGGCCGCCTTCTGCACATGTACCATAATACCGTAAAGAACATATGCTAGGCAACTTGAATACAAGACTTGCTTGGCTGAAGCAAAGCATGCTCACACTTTACGTTCCCCAACTGTCAATGACGTCCGTGATCGGACCAAGTCATGTATAGGGTAGGTGACGATCATACTCCCTGCTCCCTCCTCCCGAGTCCCCGCATCTCCAAGTCTCAAACTCCAACCCGCCCCCAGCTTTCATTCCCCGTATATCCGTAATCTGGAGAAACTAGGACAAATCCGTGCTCGACCCGCTGTGGCCACGAGCAGTGCCTCGGCTTCTTCTCGATGAACACTGAACAACAGGCAACGGCTTCTATCGGCGGGGGGGAGAGGCTGTCCAGCGGCTCCAGCCATGAGCAATCACCACCCCTGGTCCCCCTCACACACGCCCGATCTCTATTTGTCTTCCCTCCCTTGCTGTTTCTTTAATCCTTCATTCTTGGCTAGAAAGTAAACATAGACAGGCGCCATGGTCATCACATCAAGGTTCGCGGACGTCCACGTCCCAGACGTCGACCTCTGGTCACTGTACATGGACACACCACGAGACTACCCCGACAACCACCGTACGTCAGCGGCAGGCAGAGCTTCTGCTTTTCTTCTGGCGCAGACACGCTGACATCCCACAGCCATCCTCATCGACGGCGACACCTCCATCTCCTACACCCGCGCGCAGATCAAGGAGTACAGCATCGCCCTCGGCCAAGGCCTCAAGCACAACTTCGCCTGGTCCAAGGGCGACGTCCTCGCCTTCTACACCCCCAATGACATTGACACGGCCATTGTCAACCTCGGCCTGCACTGGGCCGGCGGCATCGGCAGCCCTGCCAACCCCACGTACACCGTCGACGAGCTCGCCCGCCAGCTGCAGGACAGCGGCGCCAAGGCCATCGTCACGCAGACACCCTTTCTCGAGACCGTCCTCGCCGCCGCGCACAAGGTCGGCCTGCCCAAGGACAGGATCCTCCTCCTCGGTCGCCAGACGCAGCAGGGCTTCCAGCACTGGCGTGACATAAACGCGGACGGGGCCTGGGTCAAGCCGCGCAGGACACAGGTCGACCCCAAGACCGACCTCGCCTACCTCGTGTACTCGTCCGGCACGACGGGGCTGCCCAAGGGCGTCGCGCTCACGCACCGCAACATTGTCGCCAACTCGGCCCAGGGCTACGTGCTCGACCCCAAGGGGCTGAGCTGGGACTATGACGCCCACCTCGGCGTGCTGCCCTTCTTCCACATCTACGGCCTGTCCGTGGTGCTCAACGTCACGCTCATCACGGGCGCGCCCTGCGTCGTCATGCCAAAGTGGGATCTGGAGAAGGCCTGCGCGCTCATCCAGAAGCACAGGCTGACCTTTCTCTACGTCCCGCCGCCCATTGTGCTCGCGCTCGGCAAGCAGCCCGTCGTGGACAAGTACGACCTGTCCACGCTGCGGTGGATCAACAGCGGCGCGGCGCCGTGCGGACGGGAGCTGGTTGTTGCCGTGTGGGAGCGCCTCAAGGTTGGTGTGAAGCAGGGCTACGGCCTGAGCGAGACGAGCCCGACCATCACGACCCAGTTTGCCGACGAGTTCTTCCGCTTCCAGGGGAGCGTGGGCAAGCTGCTCCCCGGGATGAAGGCCAAGATTGTGGACGAGGCGGGCAAGGAAGTGCCCCTTGGCGAGGTGAGTGTTCTTTTCTGAAGTCCTGGTAGCCTAGCTCGACACTGACATATACACAGTCTGGAGAATTGCTCGTCAAGGGCGACAATGTCTTCTCTGGGTACTGGAACCGCCCAGACCTCCAGGAGGGCACGTTTGATAAGGACGGCTGGTTCAAGACGGGCGATGTCTTCAAGGTAGACGACAAGGGCAACTTCTACATTACGGATCGCATCAAGGAGCTCATCAAGTACAGTACGTTCCCCTCTACATTCCTCTCTCCAAGCGAGTAGTAGCACTGACACCGCACAGAGGGCTTCCAAGTCGCGCCCGCCGAACTCGAGGAGAAGCTCCACGGCCACCCGCAGGTCGGCGACGTCTGCGTGATCGGCGTCTTCAACGAGGAGGAGCACACCGAGGTGCCCCGTGCCTACATTGTGCCCAAGCCCGGCGTGGCGCCGAGCGACGAACTGGCACAGGAGATTGCGAGCTGGCTGGCCGGTCGGGTGGCGCCCCCGAAGAAGTTGCGCGGTGGCGTGCGCTTCCTCGACGAGATCCCCAAGTCACAGAGTGGTAAGATTCTGAGGAGGGTCGTGGCGCAGATGGTCAAGAAGGAGGACGGGGCAGTCAAGGCGAAGCTGTAGATACTATCGATATACACATATACTTCAGAATTCAAACACTGTATAGATGGGTATTCTTCTATCGACATGCCATGATCATCCCAAGACGCCTCGCTGTGTAGTAGGACAACTAGATAGTCTCCAGCCCTGTATTATGCACTCTTTCACTCACTCGAATCATTAGAAGACGACGCGACCTCGTTCGCATCCGGTGACCAAGACTCTACATGCTCACACCCCTTGGGCACCCGCACCTCGTCCCGGACGTGGCACGTCTTCCACAGCGTCTCGGCCACCTCGCGGAACACCTGCTCCTCGGCATCCATGGCCCAAATAACGTCCAGATGCTCATACTCGTCAATGACCTTGCTGTGCACAACCTTGACATGCGGCTCCCGTCCACTTTGCAGCCTACGCAGAAGCTTCTTGCCGTCGACTAGGTCGTCGTTCCCACACACCCAGAGCGCAAACGGCGGGACCTGCTCATTGTACCACGCCGTGCCGCCCGGCGACTTTTGCGTCTCCGGGGGGAGCGTCGCGCCGCTGTCGCCGGATGCGTCGCTGTCGACGCGCTCCTCCTCGCGTATGACGTCCTTTGTGGCGAGGATGCATTTGTGTCGCGCGAAGCACTCCCGGCCGAGCCACCAGCGCATGCTCTCCGCACTCACGTAGACGGGCGAGAACTGGAACATGCGGTCCCGCAGGCCACGGTCCCAGCGCGTGTCGGACCAGTTGAACAGAAACGAAAAGACCTTGTAGCCCATCCAGCCGTACAGGCCCGAGGGGAGGGTGGCGTGCATCGTCATCATGAACGGGATGAAGGCGTGGATGCCAAACATGACGCGGAAGAAGGCGGGCGATATGATGCGCATAAACTTAAAGTACATCTTGCCGATCAGCGGGCCGGCGTAGGCGGCGGGCGCCAGGGCGCAGAACACGGTGATCTTGTCGCCCAGGTCCGGTCGCTGCTCCTTGGCCAGGGCCACCAGCGTCTGCGTGGTGCCCTGCGAGTGGCAGATGAGGCCGACCTTGTCGAAGCCCGTCTCGGTCAGGACGCGGGATATGAGGGCGGGCAGATCAAAGACGCCAAACTGCCGAATGTTCCAGCACCACATGCGCGGGTCAGAGTACTCGAGGAGCACGTGCCGGGGCGTGAAGCCGCAGCGGTTGTTGCCGAGCCAGACGTCGTAGCCCTGCTTGCAGAGCCAGAAGGCTAGGGATTGCTCGTCCGTACAGCAGTACGCCCCCGCGCTCTGGAGCAAGCCGTGGATGAGCAGGACGGGAAACTTGGGTTTTTGTTGGGGGTTCTTGAGGCGTTTCCCCTGCCGCTCAAACACGGTTGGGCCGAGGTGCTCGCGGCTGTCCTCGCTCTGGCGCGTGTACTCCTTGGGGTCGTAGACGTGCCAGAGCTCGATGATGAAGCCGTCCTCCGTCTGCACGCTGAACTCCTCCACGTCGAGACCCACGCGGCGCGCGTAGTAGCCGGCATCGCAGATGACGGGGTCGCGGCCCCCCTCTGTCGGTGGGAACTCCTCGGCCGTACCCTCGCTGTCGTCCTGTGCCTTGTTGTGCGGACCGTGCTGCTTCTTCCACTGGCGGTTCTTCTCGTCGCGTATCCTGGCCCTGCGCATCTCCTCCTCGTAAAAGGGCCTGCGCTTGTCAATGTTTCGAAATGTGAGTTTATAGAACCACTTCTTCATCGCCGGTGGTATGCTCGTGAACAGCGCGCCCAGCACAATGACCAGCAGAAACGCCAAGCTGAGGAAGAAGGACGCCACCCGGAAGAAGACGCATTGGACGTCTCTGAGGATGGAGGAGGGCCCGTAGAGGGGCAGCGGTGGGAAGAGAGGATTGGTAGATGACGGGGGCATCTGCTTCCTCAGCGTCGCGCCCGCTGATTTCTGCAGGTTGTGGCCCTTTTGCCCCTTGGGCACATGGACGACCTTGTGCTGGCCCCTCGGCTTGTCGTCGTCCGTGTTTGACACGCGCTCCTTGGTCTCGTCGCCCTCCTTAATGTCCACCGTCTCGGGCTCGTCGCCCTGGAGCTCCTCCCGCAGGATGTTGAGCTTGTGCGCCTCCTCCAGCGGCACGCCGGGTAGTCGACCGCCATCGGTGGTGACGATGACGGGGTCCTGTGGGGTGACGAACTTGGCTTGTAGCGCGACGGGCGAGGAGGACGAGGCTGGGTGCTCGTGGGACAGCTTCTCCGACTGACGGGCAAAGTGAATGGCCGACTTGGCTTGCTCTTGGAGGGAGAGGCGCTTCGAGTTGGGGCTGGGCGATATCTCCCTGTCGTCGTCTTGGGGCCGTTCAGGCTGTGGTTCGTCTATGCTGTCGCCCATTGTTCTTCGGTGCGCGGCTGTGTGTCGGGGGCTAAAAGAGGAGATGAAAGAAGCAGATCTCGCGACGCAGTCCACAGCGCAATGGATGCGCTAGGACGACTGGATGTATTGCAACATTGTGCGCGACAATGTTGCTGGCAGACGATTTGGAGGATGCAGTCGATCGTTTGTTAATCGTTATCGGGTTGTGGGCCTTTAGGCGGGTGCCTTAGTGGAAGCCTGCGAACGGAAGCGCTAAAGCCACTGCGTCATAGGCGCTACGTTAGCGGAGGGTAGTGTCCCCGCCAGCGGGTTGTGGGGGCTCCATGTCACTGGAGGCTGAAAAGTTGGCGAGAAACTTGGTGGTCAGTTACCCCCGCTGGTGATGAATTGACTTTGCATTCGATTCTGCTGGAAAATTTCGAATGCTTCTGGAAGCCAGTTGGAACACGCCCATCCTGGCTGGCTACTAGTACGGAGAGTGTCATAGCCTCAGAGGGAGCAGCACACAATCACGATCTCTTCGATGTGGATGGTGGGTCATTCCCCAGCCTCTACAGCTGGACTATCGCTGGCTCCAAGCCTCCAACCTGGATGTTCCAAGATATGTACAGTGATGGTGGGTCTGCGTGCTTGCGAATTCACATGTCACGCACGGGGCGTAGCGTTTGCTCCGTGACGCAACAACAGCTGTTGCATTGCTGCCGGCACTACGGCGAATCTCCTGATCCAGTGTTTCGCAGCCAGAGCGGCCTCTCACCGCTATGGATCCCCGTGCACGCAACCTCCGCGCACATGGACAAGCTCCCAAAGCAGAACTCTCTGCCCGTGAGACCTGGCCCGTAGTGAATGTACTTGCCAGAGTTGGTCAGAATGGTCTTGACTGGCTGGGGGATGACGGGCTCCTCGACAAAGCACCAGCACGTGTCCACGAGGAACTGGACACCAAACCTCTCGAGCTCGGACACGTAGCCAGCCTGCTCTGCGAGTCCCCAATGAGAACGCCCACAGGTGATGATGACGGCGACATCTTTGTGCTTTTCGCGGTTGCGCACGAGCTGAGCGAACTTCCCAATCTCCTTGACTGAAAAATGCGGATTCCCAAGTGAGATCAGTTCAACCTTTCGCTGTGACAACCCATGGGAGAAGTGATCCCAGGTGCTGCGAATCATGTCCAATGTCAGCGGTGTTTCCGTGCAGCGTGATGACTGCTTGTTGGGACAGACAGCTTCGAGGGTCGGCGCCTCTGGTGTGATACCGACAATGTGGAACAGAGGCGCACTCGCAGAAGTACCAAACGCAGCCCCAAAGGTCTTCAGGTCATCGAGCGACGGCGCGAGACCCTCCAGACCAGCGATGACGGGAATTCGGTTCTTGGCAACAGCCCCAGCTGCGAATCCAATGACTGGCCAAAATGAATCGTCCACGTCTGTGATCAACGGAAGTGTGATGATGACCTCTGCGAGCCTGTTTTCATCTCGATAGACACCGGCATTCGGCGCTCTGCCAGTCAGGGCAATCGCCGTGTCCAGACCATCCGGTATCTTCAGCGTCCTCGCGCCAATGACGCTGTTGGCAAACAGCACCGCGTTCGATTCACCCCAGGCGATACGGTCCCCGAACCTGGGCGCCGTGTCCTGTAGAAGGTAAGGCGCGCACGTAAACGTCTTCAGGGCGCCCATGTCGACGAGTGCGTTGGCAATCCGCTCCGCGTTCTCACCAAACTCAACGTCGACGCCGAGGGCCCGCCAACGCTTCATGTCGACGCTGATGGAGTTGATGGTGGATGGGACGCGGAACCTGCCGCCCAGGTTGCGCAGTCTCTCGGCAAACGCCACAGTGCCTTGGCCGACGAAGAAACAGCCATCAATGTGGCATTGGGTCACGTCGATGAGTTCAGAAGCCCCCATCATCTCAGCCATCCGGATGATCAGGCGCAGCGCATGTCTAGTGGCCTCGCCATGGATACCACGCAATGCGTCCTTGTCCCATTGCGACAAGTCAAGTGCCGTCTCGAGGTCGTTTCTGGCACAAGTCGTGTTCTTTTGGGATTCCAGTGGGGAATTGGAGACTCGTCCATCGTCAACCCAGATCGTGTGGTCGTCTAGCGTGAGGAGACGTTGGAAGTCAAGCGATCCGAGTTCGACGATCGGTATTGACTTGTCAAAAAACTCCTCCGTCATCAACACCCCTAGCGTGATGATGCTGTCTGGTCTCTCGAGCACGAGGGCCTTGGGTCCCACGTTGTTGAGCATAAGCTCCATCATGACCAGACTGCCACTGCACGAACCCCTTCCGCCAGGGATAGCCAGAATAGTGTCCTTGATGATCTGACCGCTCAGGGGGTGGGACCGGTCAATCACCTCGCCTGTGTGCTGGTTGATGCCGCCCCAGAAGCTGAGCTCGACATCAGCTATGCTGAGGGAACCACATGCGGCTCCGGGCGTCCGGGCATTCCCTTGAAAGACGACACTGTCTTGTGCGGTCGGTGGCATCCTGGGTGCCTTTGTTGGTGGTTGTAGGGGTTGTGTGTCTCCAAGGGATGGAAGCAGCGACATCGGCTTCGGCTCATGCTCCGCGTCCTTCACGCGTGGCCAAGCAGCGACCCCTCATGGCTCACGGCGCGGGTGGTTGGAGGCTTGGCGAACGGTTGCCCTCATTCTCAGTGTTCTATGGGCTTTGTCCATTGAACGAAGCTAAGGTCGTGCCAGCATTGCGGAGTATCCTTGGGCGAACGGTGAGATGAGCGTGTAGCGAGGCTGGGCTGGCCTGTGGCTAGAAGGTGGTGGCTGGTGAGCGGTGAGCCACTGCGTTACCTTCCCTTAGCCACATGGTATATCAGGCAGTCGTGAACCTTCAACTTCCTCCGCGCGACCCATCCAGCACCAGCTCTCCCAACGCGAGATTGCAGTGCGGTGCCACCGTGCAGTTCGAGTTCTTTTTTGTTGTTACTTCAGCCCGGATCGCTGTCCGAAAGATCTCACATGCGCCGGGTGGAGTCGTCAACAAACGACTGAACATCTGCAAGGATGCGGCTCCCAGTATCTCACTCTCACCGCGCGTAACTCGATTCAGATTCCAGCATACTTGTACGAATAGAGGCCTCGCTCGGATTTCCTACAACTCTCGACGAAATGATGGCGCAGTGATGAAACAGCTACGGGACGATCAGTCATGTACAAGCCACCCAAAGCTGTTGAACGCGACGATATGCAACAAAGCCTTGGGGGCATCAACATGATGAATCGACTTCAGCTTTCCGACGCCTCCCCTCCTGCGCTGCCAATGCCAGCTGCTGCTTGTCAGCCCTAAACATGAGCAGCAAGGATCATCAATGCCCCCATGCCAAGCCAATTTCCCCAAATGTGCGCTGGCCGCTGTCAGCAAGAAGCTGAGCATTGCCCCAAAAGGGTAATTGACCTCCATCTCGAAAGTTGACGCTCGATCAGGTATCTAGCAGGTGATGGCATCATCATCCATCCACATGCCAACACCAAGTACAAGACCCGATTACGGCAAACTTGTCTCTCGAGTTCGTTGCGTGTCGCCAGCCCTGATCAGTCCCTCAATTCGCGGCCAAGCCCATTGGGAGCCGTTCTATTTCTATTCTCAGCACACTCATTGTTGTCAAGTCGACGGGGGTGCGTGCCCCTCCCTCCCTTGGGGCTTGCGCTTTGCATTGCATTAGCCCCAACGGCGCTGTCAGCAACTGATCAAATAAGCTTGTGCTTTTTTCGTCGACCTCCTTTTCCGTTGATCCTGCTCACATACGAGGCAGAGGTACGGAGTATCGCAGCAGCCATTATGGCAATGGCCGTGGCGCAGCTGCAAGGGTTACTGTCCAGTGTGCGCCCCATAGGAGTCTAACTTAGGACTCTGCGGTGTGGTGAATCCACGCAGTCACCAACGTCGGCGATCTCGAGTTAAGAAAAACACATGGCCGGCCCTGGAACCGGGGTAAACCGCAGCCTGCAGGTCGCCGTCGGTGGTCCGTGGGCCGATGCCAAGTTCAGCATCCCAGCTTCAAAGGCTGACTGTAAAAGGAGGATCCTTGCGGGCCTGTGCATGTATCATCAGGGTCTGTGCTACTACCTACCTCTCCTCCCTCGCTCGCTCGCTGCTCGGACAGACAGCTTTCTGATTCTGCTCTAAACAATCGCGAAGCTGCAGTACGGAGTCCAGCGCAAGAGAGCTCAGTACCTACCTACTCTTCACCGAACAGACAGTCCCGACTCGGAACAGAGTCATATTTTGGCAAGCATGCCTCTGGCCGACCCCAAGGTCCAGAACAACCTGGGCACCAGCTGTTCCGGAAACGCCTCGTTTTACGTCTGCGATGAGAGAGACACCAAGTTCCTGGGCTGCTGCAGCATCAACCCGTGCAAGACGGACGATGGCCTCTGCCCGGACGACGACTTTGAGTCCGCCTCGTACCGGGACTCTTCACACGCTCTCATCATGGCGCAAGACTGCCAGAGCGATGCGCCCGAGGTGCAGTGGTGGACGTGCCTGGCCAACGACCCGCCCTTCATGGGCTGCTGCTCCCTGAACCCCTGTGCCAAGGGCGAGTGTCCGTCCAAGAACCTCTTCCCGGCCAAGCTGAGCAGCGAAAAGGAGAACGCAAAAGCGTTCCTGCCCGAGGACTACTACGACGAAAAGGGGCTCTCCAAGGGGGCCATTGGGGGCATCGCGGCCGGTGCCGTCGTCGGTGGCCTTGTCGTCATCGGCGCGCTGATCTGGTTCTTCCTCCGCCGCAAGAAGGCCAGGAAGGCGGCCACTGCCGCCGCCTCCAGTCAGAGCTACGAACCGTATGCCAAACACGGGGGATCGACCATGGCCGGCTCCGAGGCGGCCATGAGCCCTCATATGCAGAAGCACGATCCCTTCCCGCCATACTCGCCCTACCAATCGACTTACACGGGCACGCCCAACCCGCAGCATCAGAGCATGGGGTCACCGCCTCCGCAGTGGCACCAGCAGCACGGGAGCCCGGAGATGAACAATGGCGCATGGGGCGGCGTGAGCACCGCGTCGCCGGATCCTTCGCAGGGGCAGTTCAGGGAGAGCATGCACTCGTCGTACGCCGGGTATGGGGGACAGCAGCAGCACCAGTCGTTTGCGTCCGAGCTGCCGGCCACGGCCGAGTACACAACGACGGGCCACACGCATGCGGCCGAAATGGATGGCGGGTCGACGGTGGTGCCGCAGAAGAGGTGATTGGTATGTTCATATTCATGGATTGGTCGGTTGGCTGGGCGTTTATGGGGGGAGCATTTTCATCAGTACCCTCTGTGCGTCAGGGTTTCTACGCATATATGGGGGGTTCTGAATTATTTGTCTATAAAGATTTCTATGATATACTCTAGTCTAGCGAAAAAGTAATGGATGATTCTCACGGTGCTTGACCCGACTGTCGCTTGGTGTGCGTTGTAGGTACGCGATGGACATCCAAGGTTGCCCACCAAGTTCATCCGATTTCAGATTATCATGTAACTAATTGCAGGGACATGCAATGCAGGTCAGATGTATCCAGGGCTGGGGCCAGCTTCTGTGTAAGCTGCAGACAGAAGACAGGGTTGGTCGCTATTCGTGGAACATGTTGATCACCGCTGATACGAATAGACGTATTTCCAATCATAAGAGCTGCATGTTCATTCTTTGATTATTGACACCGTATACATTGTCTATTCGTCGCTGCATGTCACATCTATTTACATCATGGTCTATGCGTTGAACAGCTGCGCCATGCCGCGCTTGGCCTTGCTCGCGCACAGGCCCGTGGCGTTCTTGAGCGCGGCAATGACACCATTGTACGCCGGGTGCACGGTAAAGTCCTCGAACCAGAGCAGCGCGGCACCCTCACCTTCAAAGGTGTAGGGGACCCAGCTGAAGGGGTCGTAAAAGTCCCAGACGGTGACACCAACGCAGGCATCGACCTGGGCACAGGCGGCGACAGCCTACATATCTGGTCAGCATCTTCTGATAAAGCAAGGGGGGCAATGCAATGACTTACGTTCTTGTAGTCCTCCTTCTGCAGCGCGAGGGTCTCCTCGGTCGGGGGCAGGGTTTCCAGCCTCACGTCCAGCTCCGTGAGGGCAACCTCTACACCGAGCGCGGCGTACGACTCGATGACCTCGATCTGCTCGTCGAGGCTGGGGGCCCCACCCGCGGTAAAGTGCGCCTGCATGCCGACACCGTCGATACGGATGCCGTCCTCCTGGAGCATCTCCACGATACGCAGCGCGCCATTGACCTTGGCACCGGGCCGCTCAAGGTTGTAGTCGTTGTAGTACAGCTTGGCCTCGGGATCCGCCTCGGAGGCGACGCGGAAGGCGAGTTTGATGTAGTCCTCGCCGAGGACCTCGTAGAAGACACTCTCGCGCCAGGTGCCGTCCTCGTTGAGCGCCTCGTTGACCACGTCCCAGGCGTAGCACTGGCCCTTGTAGTGCTCGGCGACGGTCTGGACGTGCAGCGTGATGGCCTCTGTGAGCGTCTCGGGCGTCCACTCGGTGGCCTCGACCCAGGGGGCAAGCTGCGAGTGCCAGACGAGGGCGTGGCAGCGGAGGATCTTGCCCTGCTCGGCGGCGAGGTCGGCGGTGATGTCGCCCTCGGTGAAGTTGAAGACGCCCTGCTCCGGCTCGACAAAGAGCCACTTTTGCCCGTTGGTGGGCGTCGTGGAGCCGAACATGTCATTGTCGGCCAGGATGGCGTCGTACTGGGGGTAGGCCGCCTCCAGACCGGCGCGCTCACGCTGGCCGGGTGTGTCCGTGGCCGCGCCAAAGTACTTGAGGCCGGCAGCCTGGGCCCATTTGTTGATCTGGGCCGAGGCCAGCGGCGTGGCGGCCAGCAGGGGCAGAGCGGTGGTCAGGTGGCTTCGCATGTTGGCTGTGGTTGGTTTCGGTGTCCCTGGCCTCACTCTCTGTGTGTCTGCTGTCGAGGGGAGGACGAACGGTCCCTCATATATGCTGTCTGCTTTGTAGCCATAGTGAATACCCGGTGTATTCTCCCGCTAGGCTAGGCACAATCCATAGTGTCCGACTGCCCGTCCGCCTGGGCCGTTGCCATTGACCAATTGGCTAAAAGATGTCTTGTGCCTAATTGCTTTGGCATCGTGGCCCCGTGGGAGGGGAAGCTTATTTGCGGTTGACCAACTGGTAAACACGCAGCAATGCCGACATTGAGAAACCGTCGTCTTTTACCGGCTTGGCGGGCCCCCGGATGGCAGTGCGCAAGGTCGGACCCCGCAAGCCCAATCGCTTTGATTGACGAGGCTGGGGTCTCCGAGGCTTGTTTCCCCTGAATCTGCATCTTGCAAAGGCGCGTGATAGGCTGGTTCCTTGGATGTTGGGGTCATAGATGGACGGGCAGTCTGGTCCTCGAAAACGTGGATTAGCCGCTGAGGCGTCTATGGTACGTACTCTGGATGGTGAAAGCAGCCGAGGCCAAGCGATTCCAAGGTCAAGGATATGTTCATTTTCTTGCGCCGCCACCTTTGGTCTTCTCGCAAACACTTGCGTTGCGGTGGTGTCTATCCATGATGGGAGTACGTACGTACAGTTGTGACTTGCTGCATGAAGCCATGACGCGTCAGTGCCGCCAGCACGCGTCCGTTCAGGGTGCCTGATTTGTTGCGTTTGTTTCCTGAACGGAGCTCTGACCAATGAACACTCGATTTATTCACGACTCGTTGTCCGTAGACTCGACCAAGAGATGAAAGATGAGGGCTGGACTGGGGAAGGAGCAAGTGCCGGAAGGTGGAGATGGGGAGACAGTGCGAATTGATGAGATAGGCTGAGACACTAGGACAGCTCTTGCACTGTACGTCGCTGTGCCTCACTCATCAGTCTTCACCACAGATTGGAGATCCTGCATCAGGATTCAGGCCCCAGAATGATGTCCGCGTAAACAACGTCCAACTCATCGATATTCGTTCGCAATGCAGCTTATGAAACAGTCCCGGATCGTCGTTAGAACCTACACGATCAAATGACAGCAGAAAGCTCTTACTCAGCGTTCGCGCTCTGCGACGACCTGTACGATCTCGAGACATTGTGGAGGAGCACGGTCGCGCTGCGCGAGACATCCAACTCCACTGTTGACATCCTCCCTCAAGCAATAAAGGGGATAGCAAACATCCTTGAAGTCATCGTGTCCACCCTGGAACTCCCCCCGCTCGAAGACTACGAGGATGACGAAGATGACGAAGATGACGAAGACGACGAAGATGACCTGCTGGCAGGGCGGCCGCGCTTCGTCCAGGGTCTCTTCGACCTCGAAACGCACATCTCGACCAGCGCCAAACGGGGCGATCTCAACGATGAGCTGTCCATGAGCCTTGTGCCCAATGTCTACTGGTACCATCTGAAGCTCGTATCTGCCTCACACTCACAGGACTCTGATGAGCTCGCCTACAAGCTCTCCCTTTTCCCCCAGGCGCCATCTCCCGACTTTCTCGCCACGGCACCTCCCCCATTGGAGATCCTCCGATGGCACCAGACGTTTCCTGGGCCGTCTTACAGTGACGGTGAATGGGATTTCCAGTCCTACTGGGCCAACCTGCTCAACGCCTCGTTCAACGATCACGTACCGCGACTGTACGCAGAGGAGTGTCTCTGGGCCGACCTGCGCAATGCAATGGTCCCTGCATACGAAGGTGCAGTGACGGACTGCTTCGTGTATGGAGAGCCTCGCGCTGACACCTTTGCGCTCTTTCATACCCAAGGCCAGCCCTACAGCTACAAGTTGTACCAATGGCTTCTGCAATGGGGCCGCTTGGCCATTTCGTCAGAGTCCGCCCGCTACCACAGCGGCGTGTTCCATATGGCCGACTCGCTCCGCACAGGCAAGGTCACCGCATTGCATGTTGCTGCCGTCCTGGGCTTTCCAGTGGTGTGCCGCCGGCTTCTTGAAGCAGGGTACAGTCCGAACCAACGGAGCCCGTGGGGTCCCCCGCTACACTGCGTCCTGGCGGGCTTCTCGAGCTGGGAAGCTCTCTACGAGTTTTCTGAGTCGGGAAAGGAGCTCTTCCCAAGGACACCGGCGGCGCAGCGCACCGAGGCTGTCAAAGCGCTGCTCGACGCAGGTGCCGTAGGTGCCTCTGCTGCTGCGCCTGGACGAAAGAGCCACTCCTTGGCCGCGTATGCGATCGCCTTCAGTCTCGAAGTAGAGGGAGACGAGCAAGTCCTGCGCAAGGTCATCGACGGTGGCGCATGCTTGGATGAGTATGTGGCAGGGTCCCTTATGAAGTACTGCACTACAAAACCGATGCCGTTCTCCAAAACGCTCATTGCTCGGGTACTGACCTACCTGCATGGCGTGCTCATCGTCCGAGAGGGTACCGTGCTCCTGGGGACCCCTGCGCTCGTTTTGGGCGCGATCGAGACTGTAATGGCCGTGCAAGCCGTCAGCTTTGACATTGGGGAGTATCCAGACCCCTTGCGTAGCCTTTCGGCGCCTCAACAGGGGGCGAAGCGCCCCGTCGAATTTTTCGAGCAAGTTGTGAGAAAGGCGATTTTGGACGCCTCGATCTTTCATCTACGACGACTCATGATCGACCCCCAATTCGACGTCCTTCTACACAACCCCACAGGCGAGCCCTTCCTGCACACGGCAGTGAGTTGCAATGAAAAGGATATCGTGGAATTGTTGCTGGCCGCGGGTGCTGATGTGGAGTGCCGTGACGAGGAGTCCCGTACGCCCATCATGGTCGTGGAGAGCTCGGAGATGCTTAGCTTGCTCGTCAAGGATCACGGCGCACTGACGGCGGCTACGGAAGATAATGGGGGGCGAACTATCTGGCACATGGTGGCAGCGACGGGCGCCATCTCGCTCCTCAAATGGTTACTCAACAACGACCCCCACAAGATCGAGAACATGCGCACGGTCTCCAAGAAGGGACGCACGCCTCTCGCTGAGGCCTTGTTCATGTCTGAGGACCAGAAAAATCATGACCTGGCGGGCATGACCCCACGGGCGGCATGTCTGCTCCTGGATGACCCTAGCATGGAAGCTGAGATGATCTCCGGCACGACACGGCCCTTGACCCATCTGGCTGCCGCATGGGGCGACATTGACGTGATCAATGGCCTGGGCGAATTGGGAGCCGATTTCTCTGCTGTGGACCTACAAGGTCGCTCGGCAATGCAGTATCTCAAACTGTCCGCGCACGCCGACGTGGTCGAGCGCCTTCGAGAACTCGGGGCTGAGTCACGGATGGACATGGCCGCCAAGGCACAGCTGCCTATCGATGTTTTCCGCCAAGCTTGCCCCTATCGAGAGGTCTGCGGCGAGGAACATTCGCTTGAACTGATTGCCGAATCAAAAAATTTGGCCATGCCGCACATTGGGTACAATGCGCTGCTCACCCCGGACGTGGTGGCCTTCGTCGACTCTGATGGGCAAACCCTGCTCGAGCGCTACGTGCGGAATATCTGGGCGGCGGAACCTGAGGAAGCTCGAAACATTCTCACGTCCAATGAAGAATCGCGTGATCTCGCCCGCTTTTTGGCGATACGCTTCCTCGGCGGCCTGAGTTGCTTGGCCGGGAATGGGTGCGTCACGGAACATGAAGCCCATCGCCAGCAGTCTGCGCTTTACGGATTCATGGTGGCGAGTTGCGACTCGTCCCCATTAATGGACAAGCTATTAGCGCCACCGATTTTGGAGAGCGTGTACACGTACGGTAACCGGGACTACTTTGTTGAGTTTTGCCGCCGGAATCCCGATGATATCGTGACACAGATCATGGAGTACCTGTACAGTAATCAGGAGTGGAGGCAAATGGGGATTCTGTTCGAGTCCGGCTATGTGCCTCCGGAACGGTGCGAGTACCGCTTCGCCAAAATGGGGGTGCCCGGCTTGCTCAAAATGGATCCTCACGTCAACGGCACTGGATTCAGAGGTGTCCTAACCGTCATTGATGCAGACGCCTTGAATGCAAGCCATCGCAGGATTGTGGATATGTTCTCGGCCGCGCCGTTGATGAAAGACACAGTCGATAAGTTTTGGGCACTTCAAGATCGTGGCCTTGTTCTCCCCCGCAAGGGTGAGCACAGCCTAGACAGCCTTGTCCGCCGGCTGTTCTCCAGCTCCGATGGACGTTTGGACGGTCACCTGGTTCTAACCCTCCTCGACATGGGAGCAGAACCACGTGTCGACGAGCAAGATATCACAGCTGCACGACAGTCCGTGATGTGCGACCAACTAATCGTCCTACAGAAGCTGGTCACCTTGTATGGTCGCGACTTCCCCTGGCATCAGCCTACGGGAACATATTTATACAAGGGCAGCAATATTCTCTATGATGCGGTCACCAAAGCCGCTGGGGAATTCGTTGAATTTTTACTCGCGAATACGTCGGCAAAGCGATTGATCAATACAGAAATACACGGCGCCACCCCGCTGCATGCGGCAGCGGCCAAAGGAGACCAAGGGATCGACGCTCTTCTCTGTCTGCGCCGTCATGGGGCTGATGACATGGCTGTGGATGAGGATGGACGGACCTGGATGGAGATTTTGGCTGATTGCACGGGCTTGAACCGTATTGCTAAATCGGAGGTGCTTGCCAAAAGGCTCTGCGAAGAATACTTTGGTGAAGCGGAGCTGCCTCTCGTTGAAATGGAGAGGCTGCTCGAACGGGCACGGTCCCGGCGAGAGGCTGCTGGGCATGAGGGCGGCAGCAGGGCCGAATAAGGGTCCGATCTTGTATGTGACAGCGCCGCGACAGAGGCAGATCCAAGGTATCTTGGCATATTGTTGTGGAGGTCCTATCTATCTAGAGGATTTTGGCCAAAATACCCAGTCATAATGTTTCAAACAGGGAGAAAACAGCGTCTGCGCAACCAGCATCTCTGCAGCGTCTAGCTTGCACAGGTTTGAGTACCACAGTAGTGTGTGTTGATCTGACAAGCTCGTGTTTCCAACGGAGGATGTGGACGTTTGTTGCTTGCTATATGGCTCTCTTTGTCGCCATTCAAAAACGACATGCAAGCGAGCAAATGCCAACAAGCACCTCGCTTGACGACAAGTATGGCCCTCCCATATCAAATAGTGCTCAGCTCGCCTCTTGGATGATTCACAATGACCCCTGAGCTACCATCTTCCAATCGAGCATCTCCCCCTTTTCGTCAACAACATGACTCGAGCCCAGCTTTTTGACGACCAACAGGCGCGCCACAGCACCAAGGACGGCTATACTGTCTTCGATAATCCTTACAATACACAGTACGCAACACATGAGGAGTGCTACGCCAATGAACTGGGATACTCATGGCGCTATTCGGACAAGCACCGTCATGGCGCCGAGGCGCACTGGCATGACTACCGCCACGACGGCTCATACAGGCTAGAGGGTTGCCACGTCCAGCAGGACAACTATCTGTACTCGGAAGAGAATGAACACACGCACCGTGGCGCGCATGGGTATGCGGCGGTACGACGTGTGCCGGCTGGGTCGCAGGGCTTCATATGGCCGACGTATTCAGCACCGTGGGATGAGCCTGCGTACACGATTCATGAGAAACCCAGGTACACTTCTCATACTGAGCCAGTCTTCTCCAGGCGTGTCCATGGACGTCCAGAGAGGCGCTCGATCCCTCGCCAGGGGGAAAGCTACATCGGCCCTTGGCTCTTCCCAATAAACACCTCAACTACCCGGCCAAGCACCGCTTCTTGTTCTTGCGTTGAAGACGGCTCGAAGCGATGTCGCAAGGAGAAACGGAAGAAAGAAGCCTGTCAAGGAAAAAGAGGGATGGACGACAAATGGAATGCGCATTACCGGTTCTCAGACTTTGGTGGCACGGTGCATTACAGAGAGTCATATGTCGACGCCAGAGGGGGGTATGGACAGCATGCTGTTGAGCATCAGGATGGCCAGGGCTTCTGGGAATGGTGGCGCGAGTGAGGGTCGGGTTGTACAGGTGCATCAGGGTTTCCTTGTACCTGTAGGACGACATCACTTGAAATAATAATTAAAGCACAGTCATCGCTCATTGTATCATGTCTAGCGTTGATGCTCCTGCTCCCATTCTAACCAAGAAAAGAACAGAAAAGGGGGTATCAACCAACCGCTTCAACGCCATCGCTATGCCCGAAAATTCAACAAGCTTCGTCCCCGTCAAAAACTCGCCCCCTATTCCTCGATATATACCGGAATCCCGTACATTACCACCGCAGCCGCGTTCAGATACCGGAACCGACATGCCGCACGCGCTTTCATCACTGCTTCCGCCAAGCTGCAGTGACCACCCTGCTCCTCTTCGTCGCCATAGGCGCTGGTCCCCTTGCCGTCATCCTTGAATGTGCCGCGTGGGAAGAGTCCCCATTGTTCGAAACACCGACCCGCAAACCGGTCAATGTCTCTGTCCGTTACGTCCCACAGCGTGCCTACTACGCCTGGGCAACCACCCACCATCAGATTCCACACTAGGCCGTATACTTCGAATTCTCCAGCGCGGTTCAACGCTGCCGAGCTGCAGCCCATGAGGAACGCAGTGGAGGAAATCTTCGGGATACTGCGAACCCTTTTTGCGCGGATGTACTGTGCGCCACCGCCGTGTCCAAAGTACAGCAGTATCGGCGATGAAGCGTAGGCCTCCTGCAATGCCGACTCGGTGGGCGCAACGTTGACATGGGATGTCCATGTCGACGGCAGCGTCTCAAAAGAGGACTGAAAGTAAGACTGCGTGTTCTTCAGGTCGGACGAGGGGTTGAGAATGTACGATCCTCCCTCCTGAGGGGAAATGTAGTGACCATCTGCCACATCATCGCCACCGTCGTTCATCTTATCCTTCGAAGCTTTGGCCTCGGTAATGAGCCTCCGAAGTGCCGCCAAGGAGGGGACTCTTGACACGGGAAGCTCCTTCAGACAGGGCATGGACTCCCAGGGAAAGATATGCAGTGCTTTGTCCAGCACGAGGATCGTGTGAGTGCCAGCGCTGCTGTCGTCTCCGTCAGCTCGAAGCGCCGCATAGTATCCTCGGAGGGCATCATAGGTCTCAACGACCATGGCGTCGAAATCGATCTCATCGTACGCGTTGTGCTCGCCGTGAAACTGCAGGATATCCACCACAAAGTACAGCAGATCGTTCAATGCCTCGTCAAAGTCAACAGTCGGATCCGTGGGGTCCCCTAGACCAATGAATAGGTCCAAGATCCGGGGGTCCAGCGTGGCTGGTGTGGACTTGGCTGCCTTCTTCTTGCCACGTCCGCCGCCACCACCGTTGCGCGATGGCAAAGTGCGCTCAAGCAGTTGGTGAAAGCTCCTCTGGAAGCGAGCCAGTAAGTCAGGCCGTCGTTGATGGTGCGAAAAGATGCCCTTGAACCCACCCAGCCAGGTTGTCTCCATGATCAGGAGAAGCTCCTTGAGGCGCTCGTCAAGGGCCTCCCTTTCGGCCCACCACGCGTTGCGGCCAGCCCTAGAAGTCATATCGCCCCCCGAGTGACTCGTGCGGTTAGCATTCGCAATCACGTCTAGCATCTCGTCTCTTCCATGCTGGAAGTTAAAGATCTCGGAATCGGCGTCGCGGGAATTGGCACGCTCCAGGGGCAGTCGTAGGATGAACGGACTGTGCCCAGCCTGAAACTTGGTGATACACAAGTCGCGATGGTTCTCGCTCAGCGACATGGAAATCACATTCCACTTCTTGGGGATCAGCTCGATAAAGTGCTGCTGAAAGCGGCCCATATCCGACTGCAATTCGAGTCCGGCCAGCTGCTCCGCCAACGCGCTTGCCACACCATCAGGGGCATCCTTGGTCTCTTTGCTCGACTCGATGGTCAGTTGCTCACGCTTCCACATCGCGTTGCGCGCAAGCTCGACAGCCACAGTCGTCGATTCGGACCGGATGACAGCGGTTGTTGCTGGGCCAGATGCAGCTGTCAGCGAGATGACCGTGCTTTGTAGCAAGGTTGCGATGCGATGGAGAAGTGCGTTCTCGCCGTTGACAAGGGCTGATTCATGTGCCTCCAGCAATACCTCTTGAGCTTGCTTCAAGGCCTCAGCAAACCCGGGCGACAGAGATTCTCGCTTGCTTTTCTCGGCGACGCCCACCACGGCAGGGAACGAAATCGTCGACTCATGCATGATGGAGAAGACTGGGTCGTCGTTCATCTGCTCTGCGCTCATGCAAAGGTATCGAGTGGCCGTAATCAGCTGCTCTTGGCGAAGCGCGCCGAACAGCTTTGGCAAGCCCTTGACAAGCTCCAAGGAAGACGCTACGTTCTTCCAGTCCTGCTTTTGCATCGCTGCACTGGCGCGACTCAGCAGAACAGAGGCCAACAACGACGCCTGGAAAGTGTCTTGCGGAGCTGATGCTGTAGCTTGAGCCGTTTTACTGGCAGCAGGGGCTCTCTTCACGGCTCTCGTCGTAGTGCTTGCTTTCGTGCTCCCCTTTGCTGCAGTCCGTGAGCTGGTTGCACGGGTGGTTCGTGCAACGGGTGCCCTTCTGGTCGTAGTGCCTCGTAGAGAGGTAGCCGCTGCCTTCACAGCCTTCGCCACCACCTTCTCAGCAATGGCCGGACTGGCAGCCGGACCATGCAATTGGCCAAGTTGCCGAGTTGTCTCCTCAGCTATGGCCAGGTACTCTGCTACCTTCACCTCATCACCAAGCTCACGATGCACCTCGGCGATCTGTTTGGCGAGCTTCACCCGCGCAGCGCACGCCTGGGCTGGCATGTGCGTACACGCAACGCCCAGGTGCTCAAGCCCCTTTTCGGTTTGCTCCGACTTGACAAAGATGGAAGCCGCCCGAGCGGATGCTGTGGCCAGGAAAAGCGATGAGCCTGAGCCTTCGGCGACCCTCATGGCCGTCTCGCAGTAGAACAAGGTTTCCTGGTACATACCCACGTGGGCATGTATGGAGGACAGAAGCATCAAGTTCTCGAACAAGGGTGGTGCCAGCGCCCATAGTTGTGGTCCAAAAGGCGCACGAGATATCTTTGGATGAGCTTTCCCAAGAACGCTCTCAGCCAGCGTGCGATTTTCTGCCGCCACGGCAGCCAAGGAAGCGCCTTCAAGTCTTGTCCATTCATGCGACAGGAGCCGCACCATGTTCCTTGTGGACTCGAGTGCTTGTTGTATGTCACCAGACCTGAGGGCGAGGCCAGATCGAATCAGAGAAGCCTGAGCGGCGGCCACCATATCCTGGACACTCGATTTGGCACCTTGTGCACTTGATGTAGCCACTTTCGAAAGACAAGCAAGTGCCGACTTGGCATCGTCAACCCCAGCCATGTACTCGGCTTGAGCAAGATAGAGCTGAGTCATGGTCATCGGGGCCGGCTGGCGGTTCTGTTGCATGAGATTTCGGAGTTCTTCCAGCGTCTTTGATGCCTCGGTGAAGAGGCCAATATTGATGTACTGCGTGGCGAGCTTGCAGTGGAAAGCAACTACCTCGTCGCTCGATGGACCCGCATAGAGCTTCGCAAGGTGGACGCACAACTCAAGAACAGAGAGCTGCAGGCGGCTCTCTCCCCTCAAGCTGGACAGCTGGTTGACAGACAAAAGATGACGAAGGAGAGCGTCGGGCTCGTCAATCCTGTTGAGTACATCGGCTTCGCAGGAGCAGCCCTGCAACAACTCGGTCCAGCTTGTCACCGAAGTCTGGAGTGCTTCCACAGGAAACGGGTCATCAACAGACGCTAGGGCCGTGGTGGAAGCGTGAAGAAGATGTAGATGAGGGACGAACTTGGACAGGCCAGCATCATCTGCCATGTCCTTCTTGTTCGTGTGGCGCAGTGCCTGATCACACAGCGCAGAAACATCGCGCAGGTTGCCACTCTTCTGACCGATCTGATGCGCAAAGAGCTTCAGCAAAACTCGCAGGCGGCGGATCGGATATTTTTCAGGGGTGTAAATGCGCAGCAAGGCACCCATGCCAGGGTCGTGCAACTTCAACGGCTTTTGTGAGTCCTCTGCGCTAATCTGCAGGAGATGCTCGAGAACAGCCGCGCGCTCTGTTTCGGCCATGAAGAAGGTCCAATCATTCCAGGTATCATCGAGTCGCGCGATCGATCTGAGTGATCGCGACAGTGTACTTGCTTTTTCAGTTTCGGACCATGCTTGTCGCGGAGACTTGATAGAGAGGCTCGACGAGACCGTTGCCAAGACTCCCTCCTCCACCATGCTTGTACAAATCGAACGTAGGGTCTTGGACGCCTGTTCGGGGTGGCCGGTATCTTTGCACAGGTCGGCCATGATTTCCAATTTTACCGACAGCTGCGCTTTTTCCCTCTGCTCCGCCGTGCCATCCTGGACGACGTCGATGGATCGCTTCAATGCCAGCAGCGCCAGTTTCTTGGACTTGGGGCTCTCGATTGTTTTGCGATATTGCGAGTAGATGGAGAAGTACAAGCTCGAGATCTTCACATCATAGGATGCCAACTGATCGAGTTTAGCTTGCGGCAGAGCAGGGTCGTGGCTGTTTCTCAACAATGTCGTACAGTCTTGCAGGACATCGTCAAGCATCTGCCAATCCGACCCGATCTCGGATTTGACGATGATCAGTGTTCCGTCGAGGACCTGGGACAAAGATGGTTGGACTGCCTGCCGCCTTTGATCGAATTGCAGCATCTGTTTCGTGGAAGTGTCTCCAGAAGGTGGTGTTCCAAGCCAACGCCTCACAAATCGAGGAAACTGCAGCAAGAACTTTTTCAGGAGCTCTTTGAGAAGAGATGAGATCCCGCTTTTGCTGTCCCAGTTCTGCATGAGCAGGCCAGCTACCGAGCGCCGCGCCAACGAGAGGCTTTCCAGAAGCTCGTTCACTTCCGCACCGGTGCCGCACAACGGCGCGTTGAAGCTCTCAATGACATTCGCCACGAGTTTCTCTTCGCTTTCCCCCGACTTCTCGGTTTTCAAAATGGCTGCTAAGATCCGGGCTGAGAGAGAGCAAATCCGCACGGACGGCTCCTGTGGCGACTGTAGCACGTCTCGTATCGAGTTGTACCAGCGCACAGCATCAGCGTACTGTCGATGGGTATGCGCCATAGCTCCCAAGCATGAATGTATCACGTACATTGGCGAGTTTTCGGAGTCGCTAAGGGTGTAGCCTTGAGCTTGCAGGCCGTCTTTGATACCACTGAAAGCTGAAGACATGAGTGTATATGTCGCAGGGTCGGTCGGAGCGCGTCGCGCAAAGCAGCGAAGGCACCGCGAGAAAGGCGCCAGAAGCTCTTCCTCAGGCTTGCCTTTGTGACCAAGAAGTTTCCACCAGGAAATTTGCGATTCGAAAGCGATAGTCTGTAGTTGGAAAGCTGTTGCAGGGGAAGGGCTTAGTCGTGGCTCTAGAGCATTGGAATCCTCAGCGCTCGAGATGCTCGGGGCCAGTGACAAAAGCGCGGAAGAGTATTGTGCCAGCAGTCGAGCGGCTTTCTGGGCGTCACTCGGACCTTGCCCAGCGTACCTCTCCAATATTCGAGAGGGAGAGGTGTCGCACTCTTTCTTCAAATACCGCAGCGAGCCTTCAATCTGAGTCGGCTTTTTAGTAGACGCTATCAATTTCAGAGTCTGAACTTGACAATTCGCCACAATTGGAAGTCTCTTTTCGCACATGGCCGTCTGGAAGTGCAGAAGGTCTTCGACTCTCGTCGTATTGTCTGTCGCTTCGCTCTCCACCTCTTCCATTTCGAGCCTCGATTTCAAAATCCTCAGCTCTTGGTATGCCATGTCGGTCAAGCCCACGGCCAGCATCTTCGCAGCTAAAGTGACCATGCCCGTCTCCAACTGGAAATCGACCTGATCCTTGGCGATCGCGCCCTTCATTCTGCGAAGGCATGCAAACGCAATTCGTGCACACTCTGCCACGGGGGCATATTTGCTGCTCGGAGATGCTGAAGTGCTCTTTGTGGGTTTTGTCGCATCAATGGGCATTGTCGCTGTTCGGTTCAATGTGCGTGCTTGGGCTGGGCTGAGAGGCGTAGAAAGAGACCGTCGCAGACCTTTCCGGGGCTCGGGGTTCGACGATTCTGGTTTCGAGGGTTTCGGCTGTGTCTTCGAGGCTTCTGACAGGGTCTTCAATGTACTATTGACGACAAAGGTCGCCAGAGCACTCTGCTCCTTCACATCCAGCGTTTCCTCTTTCGGCGCAGTTTTCCTAGCTCTCGATGGTGTCTTTGGTGTCTTGGCTGGCGTCGCTGTCGTCGTCTTCAGCTTGTCTGTATCTTTCGACTGCAGAAGCCGCCGTAATGTGGTGATTGTTGACGGTGTGCATGTTGACGATGGCGCCAAAGCAGCCTTGACGGCGTCGACCTGCGCTTCTAACGAACTCATGATGGAAACAAGAATGAAATGCCTTTCGCCATGCAAGCAACCGAGACTCGTGAGAAAGAATGCGCACCGCCGCCGCGTAATCAATGGATATCCGAATGCTAAGAATGGTCTTGACCGACTTCGTGATTCACGATGCACGTGCTTGTTTGTGGTGAACACTCGTTAGCGCGGGGCTAAACGCCGGTCGTTGGCAGAGCAACGCTCGAGCTTCCCCCAAATTTATGTCACTTTCGAGATCTTCAACTGTTGAAGATGCGACTTTTGCCAACACAGTCCATCGATTGACTCAAAATGTTGCGACATCCAGCCCGCGTCGCCCTTCGGCGCATTCCTCTCTCGCCGACATTGACGACTGTGCGCCACGAGCATGGCGTCCCTGCAACTGTGGTCGATCGCGGCTTCTGGCGCAGCCTGATCCCCAAGCCGATGCGAAAGGAAAACCGCCTGCCACGCACCAAGTCGAAAGAATGGAATCCGGCCACATTCTTCATCGTCATGTTTCTGCTCATCGGCAGCATGTCGATTCAGATGATCGCCATGCGCAATGCGTTCACGCGATACATGCGGTTGAGCGAGGCGCGCATTGCGACGCTGAAAGAAGTGGTTGAAAAGATACAAAAGGGGGAGACTGTCGACGTCGAAAAGGCGCTGGGCACTGGCGACCCGGAGAAGGAGCAGGGTTGGGAAGAAGGCAAGTCTCGCCTGGCGTGTCTGGAGGGAAATGTGCTTACATCGATGTCAGTTCTACGAGCAATCGAGCAGGACAGTGGCGAGCCAAAGGCTTCCAAGAAGAGCAAACGCCGGGAGCCAGAACCCGAAGCAGCGAAGCAGCCTGAGAAAGCAGCACCGACGACGAATACTGTGCAGTCAACGGGAAAACCATCGTCAGGATATAGCAGCTTTTTCTGATATAATACAAAGTCTATGAAAGCATATCCTTAAACGTCGTCAGGTTCTCCCCAGCCGCTTCGGGCATATGGATATGCTGCTCACGACGCAGTCTTGACACCAGCGCAGGCAGCAACTCGTCCGTGGCCTGCTCAACGCGAACGCCCTCCTCTCCCTGCTGACCCTCCGTCAGGGTCTTGAAGAAGTGGTCCTCTCCTCTCACTCCGCCCATGTTCACTATGGCAATGGGCATGCCTCTATCGTTTGCTCTTTTCGCAATCCTCCATGCTGAGTATGTTGCCAAGGACGTACCAAGGACCAGCAGCTTGCCTGCCGAGTCGATGGCGTCCTCGGCGGCCGTCTTGACCTGCGTCGCTATGCTCTCCCCGAACATGACGACGGCGGGCTTCAGGATCCCTGCGGTGCTTGGCAGCTCCCAGGCACCTTCTCTGTCGGCTTTGACGAGATGTTTGTCTCCTCCCTCCTTGAGTGGCGGTCTGTGCAAGCATTTTGGACACGGCGGGTACCTAAACGTCGTGTATGGCGCGTCGGGCAGATCCACGTCACCGTCTGGGTTGGTCTTGAGGCCTCTGAACCTCTTCTCCATCGGATCCTCGGTATTGAGGGCTCCAGAGGCCATGGCCTCCTCCAGCAGCAAGGCCCATCGTGGGTTCAACCTCGCCAGCTGATTCTGAAACTCGTCTCGCGGGTACTCACTTTTACAAGTAGTGCAGACGGTCGCGCGTAGATAGCCATGCAGCTCCAGCGTCGATAATCCAGGATGTGCCCTGGGATGGAAAGAATCTACGTTCTGTGTAATCACATCTTTCACGAATCCCAAGTCTCCCAGATCTCGGATGGCGTGGTGTCCTCCGTTGGGTTTCGCTTTGTGCAGACTGGACCAGCCCAGGAAACTGCGCGCCCAGTATCGTTTCCGTGCTTCGTGGTTGCTGAGAAACTCGTGGTAGTAAATGGGTCGGTATGTCTTGTTGACTCTATATGTGCCTTTGACACCGCGATAGTCCGCCAGCCCTGAGGCCACCGAGAGCCCGGCGCCAGTCAAGACCACGGTCGAATTGGGCAGGTCTCCAGGTGGTGGTGTTGTGAAGAACCTTGTGAGAGCACTGATGGCACCGGGTAGGGTAGACGCCGAGGCCGGGACGATGGGACCGGGGACGAGGAGATCGGTGTACGGTATCCTCATGATGGGTTTACGCATTGCCATGGCTGCGGACAGGAGCCAGGTCCGGGGGAATGCGCTACCGAGGATTGATGTTGAAGCTCATCGCGAGCCCAAGACACTCCCTAGCATGGACTGTGTGTTGGTGACAGTCGCTGCGTCATGATTCTACGGGAGGGCTCCACTAGAGTCATCGAATTGCTTACCTAATGAGTTAGAGCTCAGGCTTCAGGTCGGGCACAGCGAGCCGCAAAGATTAATAAACCGGCAGTGCACCATTGGACATGGAGGCATTGGAAATGTCCACCTCATCTTGAAACATGAAGTTTTCTGGCAACTACCGCAGCTCAGCCAGAATTCTGTCACTCGGAACAAAAATACGCGTGGCGTGATGAGGCTCAGCGGGTGCCGAAAGCCGGCAAGGCTGGATAGCGCCGTAGGGAGCTGCGCAGTGCGCTGAGGCCCCGATTGACACGCCTGATTCGCCCACTGACCGCTGACGTCCCCCGAAGCGGCGCGCACCGCCAGGCACCTCCAGTCAGCTCATGTCCCGCCCGCGATGAACGGGCGGATCGGACACAACCGGCAGAACGCTGGTTTGTCTGTTGCGCGACTTGATCTTGTATTTTCTGAGAAACATCTGCTCCCAAACCCTTTGTGACACGTCCTCTGTATACCTTGAATGGGAATTCCTCCACCTGTCCCGTCCACATGTATCCCCTGGCCGGGCGACGCTCGGCCATGCGGTGCGGCGTGGCAGGACTAGACGTCGTCGTCAATGCACCACCACAGCCACAGCTCAACAGGGTCATCCTCTCCCTGTCCGCGCGTTCCTCCCTTGGGCCAACGCGACTACTTCAACGACGTGTCCTCACCCAGAGCGCAAAGTCCCCTTCGCCGTGTCCGAACTCGAACAACGCATCGCTCCCTCTGCACTCACCGAACCCCTTCTCCTACCGAAACCGACGCACGCGATACACGCACCTTCCACCCATCGTCATGGGCGCCGCACACCAGACACGCGATGCGCACAACCATGACCATCATGGCCACGGCCATTCGCATGGGCTGGGTGGTCATCACCACCATCATGACACGACATATCTGACCTCGAGGAATCGGTCTGATCCTGGCGTGCGGATCACCAACATTGGCCTGGTGTCGAACCTGCTCATGGCTGTGGCCAAGTTTGTGGGCGGATGGGCGTTCAACTCAAAGTCAATGGTGGCAGACGGGTGGCATTCCCTCACAGATCTGGCGTCGGATGTCCTGACTCTTGCGACCGTGTCGTGGAGCATCAAGCCGCCCACCGATCGATTCCCCCTTGGCTTTGGCAAGGTAGAGAGCCTGGGAGCTCTGGGCGTCAGCAGCATGCTGCTCGTGGGAGGCTGTTACATGGGCTGGGAATCTGCGCTGGCGCTGTATGCACACTTCAATCCGGAAGCCGCGCACTCGCTCGCTGAGCACATAGGGCATGGTCATTCGCATTCGCACAGCCCAGCGGCCCTGGGACTACCGAGCATACATGCTGCGTGGATCGCAGCCGGCACCATCGTCGTGAAGGAGTGGTTGTACCACGCGACCATGAAGGTGGCCAAGGAGAAGCACTCGTCTGTCCTGGCTTCCAACGCCGTTCACCACCGAGTGGACTCTCTAACTGGTATTGTCACGTTGGTGGCGATTGTCGGGGCCAACCTCTTCCACAACGCTGGCTGGCTGGATCCTGTCGGTGGGCTTCTAATCTCCTTCATGGTCATCCACGCGGGTGCCGGTAACACTCTGGACGCCTTCTGCGAGCTCGCCGACCAGAGCATCGACCAGGACGTCAAGAAATCTGTCAGGAAGCAAGCCAGCAGGGCTATCGAGGCGTACGATCTCGAAAAGCAGACGGAACTGCGCGACGTCGCGGGCGTCAAGAGCGGTCAGAACTACCTAGTTGACCTCGAGATGGCCGTGCCAGGATCGTGGTCTGTCGAGCACGTCCGCGAGGTGGAGGCAGCCATCCGCGACCGCGTCGGGCGCAAAGTCAAGGGCGTGAAGCGTGTCCGCGTCAGATTCGTCTCCATGTCGGAGACGCCTGACAATAAGTTTGACGAGTTCATCAACGAGAGAGACGAGAGGCTCGAGCCTGAGGAGGACCCCGACTCCGAGACGGAGGCGAGCAAAGGACGCGACCACAAGCACTAGAGCCGCTAGACGCCATCTCTGTGACTGGGCAATAGAATCTCTGTATATACTACAAATGGAGGGTGGTTGAATTATTCACAGCTGCCCGCCATATGGACAGCAATGATCAATCAAGGATGAGGACAGACGAGTCAAAGTGCATTAGGCGTGACTGGAGGCTGCATTGCATATCTTACGTCGCACCCGCAAAGCTTCAGTGTTGTATCTCGGCAATCTTGGCTTCTTGGTCTTCCGTCATCCTGGGCCAGCCCCAGTTTTCATGCACCAGGGGGCGACACATCTTTCTTTTTTTACTCTAACCTTGAGCAACTATCGTGAAGAGCTTCGTCACCGCCTGCTGGCTCGAATTCGCGACACCGGCACTGTTTGCCTCACAGTCGAGTTGAGCCATGCTGTCAATTAGCCAGCACCTGGCCGTGCCCGGCAGAAGAGTCCTATCACTTCTCGACTAGTTCTTTGTCGCGCGGGTCTAGACTACGTAGTCCGCGTCTCCTCTCAAGCGCTCCTCCACCATTGGTAGGCATATGGTGATGGCGTCCGTCGATGAATATTAGACCCATGTGCTTCAGCATTCCGGCTAAATGCGCTCGCAGCGACTAGACTAGACCCTGATCTCCTTCCAGGGAGCAAACCCCCAACTTAGAATCCTCGGTGAAGCGGTGACACCCTCGAAAAAGAATTCTCGCGTCTTAACCGTGCCATTCTGGTGGTTCGTGAGACAGACCCCCCGCCATGATCCCCCCCTCCCTCCTCCTGTCTGTGCTGTTCTCGACGGCAGCGATCGACCAGCGCTTCCTCGTGTACTTGGCCATTATATCATGATTACATCTATTTGCTTGGTAAGAGAACAACACACGACGAGAGCATGGCGTGGGGGACCTGTCAGGATGATCTACTGCGGACCCATCGTTGTCTCCTCTTTTTTCTCTTCTTTTTTTTGCCATCGTGACGTTTTAGCAGCATCGTGACAACGTGCCTGCTCGTTAGTGCCTGTCGTTACGTCCCTTAGCTTTTGCCTTACCGACTCCAGTCGAGCTCCAGTTCACTCCAGCGTAATCCCGCCGCGTCCACTCCAGTCCGCCCTCCGCCCCCGGCCCTTTCTTAAATGCTGGACGCTAGCTCTTCATCCTGACAACTGTATACTCTTTTGCAACTCACCATTCACTTATTAGCAGTGTCAAGTTGTAGCTCATCATCATGCCTTCCGAAGGCCCTCTGTACTTGGGCTTTGACCTTTCGACCCAACAGCTCAAAGGTACTACTCACCTCCGAACATCGGATCACCTCTAATTACAAAGAGCGAGGCTGACATTGTGCACAGCCATCGTGGTCGACTCTGATCTCCAGACAGTCGCTCAGGCCAAGGTCGACTTTGACGCTGATTTCAAGGCCACATACCATGTCACCCATGGCGTCCACCACAGAGACTCGACGGGCGAGGTGTACGCCCCGGTCGCCATGTGGGTGGAATCTCTCGATCTCGTCCTCAACCGCCTGAAGGACGCCATGCCCGTTCCGATGAGCCGCATTCGTGGCGTCTCGGGTAGTGGCCAGCAGCACGGCAGCGTGTACTGGAACGAGCACGCGGAGAAGATCCTGGGCAGCCTCAAGCCCAGCGAGGACTTGGTGGGACAGATCAAGGGGGCATTGGCCAACGAGTGGAGTCCCAACTGGCAGGACCAGAGCACGCAAAAGGAGTGCGATGCTTTCGATGCGGAACTAGGTGATCGAGAGGCCCTGGCTGAGGTCACAGGCAGCGGCGCACACCACGTAGGTCACTTCCACCCGATGATAAGACGATCAAAGACTAACAATAACTACAGCGCTTCACAGGCCCCCAGATTATGCGCCAGCGCAGGGTCAACCCAGACATGTACAAGGCGTCGACACGCATCTCACTCATCTCTTCCTTCCTGGCCTCGCTTCTCCTGGGTGACATCGCCCCCTTGGACATTAGCGACGTCTGCGGCATGAACTTGTGGGACATGAAGACACAGACATGGTCCGACGGCCTACTCAAGCTCACGGCTGGGTCCCAGGACGACGCGGAGATCCTCAAGAAGAAATTGGGTCAGCCCAGGCGTGATGGTGGCGTCAGCTTCGGCACCGTCAGCAACTACTTTGTCGACAAGCACGGTTTCTCCAAGGAATGCCAGGTCATCAGCTTTACGGGCGACAACCCTGCTACCATCCTCGCCCTTCCTCTTCGACCCCTGGACGCCATTGTGTCATTGGGCACGTCCACCACGTTCCTCATGAACACACCCAAGTACAAGCCCGACGGCTCGTACCACTTTTTCAACCACCCCACCACAGAGGGACACTACATGTTCATGCTCTGCTACAAGAACGGCGGTCTGGCGCGGGAGAAGATCCGCGACCAGCTGCCCAAGCCCGAAAACGGCGCCACGGGGTGGGAGAACTTTAACGAGGCGGCCGTCCAGACACCACCGCTCGGCGTGATGAGCAAAGAGGACAGGGCCAAGCTGGGTCTCTACTTTTACCTGCGCGAGACAGTCCCCAACATCCGGGCCGGCAACTTCCGCTTCACGGCGGCGCAAGACGGCTCCGATCTACGACGTGAGGAGGCTGGCTTCGACGCCAAGACAGACGCGAGAATCATCGTGGAGAGCCAGGCCTTGTCCATGCGTCTCCGATCACAGAACCTCGTGCACGCCCCCGATGCTGCAGGGAAGCTCCCTGCGCAACCGAGAAGGATTTACCTCGTCGGCGGCGGCTCACTCAACCCCGCCATTGCCGAGATCATGGGCTCGGTGCTCGGCGGCTGCGAGGGCGTGTACAAGCTGGACGTGGGCGGCTCGGCTTGTGCCCTGGGCGGTGCGTACAAGGCACTGTGGGCGTTGGAGCGTAAGGGGGGCGAGACATTTGACGAGCTGATTGGTAAGCGTTGGAAGGAGGAGGGTGCCATTGAGAAGGTCGACGTAGGCTTCCGGGACGGTGTCTACCAGCAGTACGGCAATGTTCTCGGTGCATTCGAGGAGATGGAGAAGCGGCTGTTGGCGGAAGAGAAGGAGTAAAGTAATGACTTGTCGGGTATCTAAGAATAACAATAGAGTCTATCGGACGTATTTGCTCATGAATCGCCTGTGAAAGTCCGATCGAATCATGTCCTGCGACCTGTTAGCTTCGTGAGTCCCATAAGGATTATACGACCACTTACGTTGACAAACTCCTTCTTGCCCTTGTCGTCTGTCCCTCGTGCCTGGTTCTTGAAGACAACGTCGTCATCCCATCGCCTCTTCATCGTGAAATCCTGCTTGTTCAAGAGAGGGTTCCCCACCGCAATGTCCCTCTCACGCTCTTCTTGCTCTGCCTTGGCCCTCTGCTCCTCCTCGCGCTTCTTCTTCTCCTCGCGCTCGCGACGGACCCGTTCGAGCTCACGCTGTAGCTCGGCGTCTTCGTCGTCTGAATCCGAGTCCGAGTCTGAATCGGAGGCCTCGTCGGAGTCTGTGTCGTCTGCATCCATCTCCCTCGACTCTTCTAATATCCTCCTTCTCTTTGTTTCGAAATCCTCCTCTTCTCCATCGGCCGGCGCAGTTGAATGTCGTCGTTTCGCCGCATGACCTGCTACAGAGCTTGCGGCATCGTCGTCCTCGTGTTCAGGCTCGGGAAGAGCGCCTCCATTCTTCTTTGCAAAGTGCGCAGCCTCAGCGGCCAAGAGCTCGGCTGCAAGATCGGTGGCAGGCGTGGCTTCATCGTCAAGGCCCTGTGCAGCCTGGCGGAACTTGAGTGTCGTGTGCGCGGGGAGGTTGCGCGTGTGGTAGGCTGGACCGCGGAGGGCTTCCTTTCCCTTGGCGGGATCGAATGTAGGCCTATGCGCGGTCGTCATGGTGGAAAAACTGGTTGTATTTCTGTGCTGGGATGGTATGGATAGTTCAGTCTCACTGTCGCCAAGTTGAATTCAACGTTCGAGGCGAGCTCTCACCGCCTGGCAGAATCTTCCGTATCGGGCTGTCCCACTAAAAACTTCCAGGTCAACGACGGCGTCACTCATTGTGCTCTCACTCACCAGACTGACAGAATTGGCCGATTTTACAATGCCTCGAGACGCAGAACCATCCCTGTCTGAGCGCACATTCGTCACAAAGGCTCTGAATGAGGGTCTGCGGGTTGACAACCGCAAATTCGATCAATGCCGACCAGTATCACTTACGTTTGGCGATGAGTTTGGAGTAGTGGATGTATCTTTTGGAAAAACTAGGTAAGGTTCAGTTCTTTAGCGGTTGCTTATAGAGTTCTGACAGTATGCAGGGTCCTAGCGAGGACGTCTGCCGAAGTCACAGTTCCCTACGCTGATCGTCCCTTTGATGGCGTCTTCACCATCACATCTGAGCTCTCACCCATGGTGGCCCCGTCCATCGAGCCAAATCGCCCTACAGAAACAGAAGTCCTTCTGTCTCGTCTTCTCGAAAAGACAGTCCGTCGTTCTGGTGCCCTGGACACAGAGTCCCTATGCTTGGTAGCGGGGCAAAAGTGCTGGAGTGTTCGAGTTGATCTGCACGTACTGAATCACGATGGAAACATCTTGGACGCAGCATGCCTGGCTGTCATTGCCAGCTTACGACATTTCAAACGACCAGAGACAACATTAGACGGCGAGGTGCTTACGGTGTACACACCTGCAGAACGCGAGCCTGTGCCACTGTCGTGGCTGCACTCCCCCTTCTGTGTCACCTTTAGCTTCTACGGCGAGGAGGGCGACATTGTGTTGATGGATCCAACATGGCTCGAGGAGCAGCTGCGCGTCAGCTCATGCACATTCAGTCTGAATCGCCACGGCGAGATTTGCCAGGTATCGAAACTCGGCGGTTCCGCCGTCGATGCGCCTCTCTTCATTCAGTGCGCGCAAACAGCGCTGAGCAAGAGCAAGGAATACACGGACTTGTTGGAGCGCCAACTCGCCGACGACGCCAAGTCCAGAGACAAGGGAGGGTTAATGGCCGAGTTAACGGCGGAGAACGATAGATGAAATAAAAGAAAAACACAAGATACCCTGCGCCAGACGCCGCCATACCTTCCACAATAACGCGCGTGAGGAAAGAGAACGTATCCTGGCCGTATCACCGCATCACAGGCGGTCGTGATTCTTTATTCCACTGGACTCTTGTCCGCACCCACTCTATGGCCTCTTTGACGCCGTCGCCTGTCAGCGCACTCATGCTGAGAACCCTCGAGTCGCGAATGCTGGCGCCTTTCTCTCCCTCCATGACCTTCTTCACGAGACCTTCCTTGATCCGTATTGTTTCCACGCAGTCTTCCCTGTCTTGCTTGTTCGCCAATATGAGGAGTGGGACGCCCTCTGTATCCGAGTGCTGCAGGACATCTTCCAGGACCGCTCTGCACTCGTCCAGTCGCCCTTCGCCACTCTCAATGTTGCCGTCTCCGACGTCTGTCGAGTCGATGATGAAGACGATCGCGTGGCAGCTCGAGTAGTAGCTCTGCCAGAGGTTGCGCAACGACATCTGCCCACCCACGTCCCATAGCTTCAGGTACATGTCCGGCAGTGTAATGGTAGATACATTCTGGCCCACGGTTGGGACGGTGCGCAGGTTCGGAGGGGGTGCGTCGGGCCCGCGAAAGAGAGACTTGACTTGCTCGTGGAATGTGGTCTTGCCGGCATTGTCGAGGCCGAGCAGGATGACGGAGTATTCTAGAGTGGCCCGTCAGAGGCTTTCGACGGACGGTGCAAGGGACTTGTTACCGTGCTTGCTGGTCGCATAGAGATACAGGCCTTTGGCGAGGTGGTACATGACGGCTACATCGAGCTAGGATACTGTAGAGGGTTTGGTTGTAGGAGTGAAGTTGCGATGCGACAAGGGTGGTACTTTGAGCGCGCATACATGATGTTGCAGCATGCCAGCAATCAAGATCCACCATTTGGCTTCATTCAGACTGGACCATGATGCACAAGCCCATGTCTCTGTAGACTATTGTTATAGTTGTAATTATCATTGCTCACGCTTTCGGTCTATCGTGGCGCATCGTCATGTTTGACTTCTACACGCGAGGAAAGCTACCTACCCGTGTTCAATTTAAAGGTTGCTTGACGTTCGGCATTCCGTAAGCCAGTCTGTTCACATCCGATACCAATGCGACAATAGCCCAATCAGGCAACTACCTGCGGCCGTAAATGAATAGGCAACTCAATAAGGAGGACAGACGACGGCAATATACGCAAACCAATGATTGATGGCGTTTGGGCCGGCAGCTGCACGCCCAGATGGTGCACCGCAGCATTGTGCAGGGTAGCTCGGAGAAACGCGCCGCGACGGGGTCAAATGACGGAAGCCTATTTACGCACCTCGACAAGCTGCCACATCAACCACAGCGACGTGTCCAAAAGACAACTCGAGCCCACTACCTCACACGATACGATCTCGAAGACAGTCGCACGTACAAAACCTGTGATTTGCGACCCTACAAAGTCCTCCATCACCCCGATTGTTCGACCTTATCCAGACTCTGGGCTGGCTTCCCCCCCGATCCATGATCGCATCGCTTGCGGCGTGAGGCTCGTCGAGCTCGAGCGATTTGTCGACAAAACACCTCTCCCACCCTTCCCCCGAACCGAAATCTCGTTGTGCGAGGCTCGCATACTAGGTCGTCATGTTGGACCCCAGTGATCTCGTCAAAGTCAGCGAGCAATTGCTTCGTGCGCATCCTACCCTCGCCTCAGGGGAAACAGACTAACAGCGACCAGGACGAGCGAGCGACGACGAAGATGCCGACCCCGAAGGTGCGTTGACGATCCAACAACACAGAAGATACAATTATAGACTAATGGCGCAACAGAGGGGGACTCGGCCCAGAAGGAGCTCTTTGCGGCATGGGCGCTCTTCATCTCCATCATGCTCCTCATCGTCGCTTTCTTCACCAGCTACCTACTCCAGCAGAAGAAGGTCACCGCTATCCACGAGACGGTCATCTCCATTTTTGCTGGTCAGTGGTCGCCCATTGGCATATTTGTTCCATGACTGACAGTAGCAGGCATGACCGTCGGCCTCATCCTCGTCATCACGCCGGGCGACTCGATCCGGAACCTCATCAGCTTTGACTACCAGATCTTCTTCAACCTCCTCCTCCCGCCCATCATTCTCGCTTGCGGCTACGAACTCCACCAGGCCAACTTCTTCCGCAACTTTGGCATCATTGTCACCTTTGCCTTTGCCGGCACGTTCCTCTCGGCCGTCGTCATCGGGCTGATCCTGTGGCTCTTTGCGCTCGTCCCAGGCAGCATCCAGATGAGTTTTGTGGACGCCATCTCGGTCGGCGCCACGCTTTCTGCCACGGATCCGGTCACCATTCTGGCCATCTTCAACACGTACAAGGTGGACCCCAAGCTATACACCATCATTTTCGGCGAGTCCATCCTCAACGACGCTATTGCTATCGTCATCTTTGAAACGGCGCAAAAGTACAAAAAGGGCGACGCGGACAGCTACGGCATCCTGTCCTTCTTTGAGGGTATTGGCATCTTCTTGATTGTCTTCTTCGGCTCCCTCCTGATCGGCGTGGTTGTCGGTGTCGGGACGGCGTTGCTGCTCAAGTTCACCTACGTCCGCCGTTTCCCGAAGATCGAGTCTTGCCTCATCGTCCTCATCGCCTACGCAACGTACTTCTTCTCCCACGGCCTGCACATGTCCGGTATCGTGTCGCTGCTCTTCTGCGGCATCACGCTCAAGCACTATGCCTACTTCAACATGTCCCGCCGGACGCAGCTCACGACAAAATTTATCTTCCAGGTCATGTCACAGCTGTCAGAGAATTTCATCTTCATCTACCTCGGACTGGCTTTGTTCACGGACAGCGCGCTGTCCTTCCAGCCGCCGCTGATCATTGTCACTGTCTGCGCGGTCTGCGCTGCTCGTTGGGTCGCCGTCTTTCCTCTCTCGAAAGCGATCAACTGGACTATCAAGTACCGAGCCCGACGCCGTGGGCTAGAAGTGGATGACGAGCTGCCTTACAACTACCAGGCCATGCTGTTCTGGGCGGGTCTTCGTGGTGCTGTCGGCGTCGCCTTGGCTGCGCTACTGACGGGCGACAATTCGTACGCCTTGCGCGCCACTGTCCTGGTTGTGGTCGTCTTGACTGTCATCATTTTTGGCGGCACCACCGCTCGTATGCTGGAGATTCTGGGTATCAGGACGGGTGTCGTCGAAGAGATCGACTCTGACGACGAATTCGACATTGAGAATTTTGGCGGTGGTATGCATGCAAAGCGCACAGGCGGAATTGGATACACGCCTCGCCGCAACGGCTCTACCGTGCCCCTGGGCACCTTGGACCCAACGACCGGCGAGGCCGCCTACGTGTCCGGCGCCAACTCTCCAGCGGCACGCTCCCACTCCAACCCGCTGAGCAGGAAGAACTCGGTGCGCGAGTTTGAGCGCGCCGACCTGCTCGGTCGCCCTGGCGGCCCCTCCCACGACGGCGCCGACGACGACGATGACTTTGGCTCCGACATTGATACATCCGACCTGCCTCCTCCGGCACGTCGCTCGCCCTTACCGCCGCGCAACACGGATTCCGCCTTCATGTCACCCGAGGCCTCGACAACACCTACGGCATCCGGCATGACGGCGACGGGTGCCATACGGCAGCTCTGGCAAGCGGAAGACCCAGCAGGTCTATTTCGACAGCTGGATGAGGATTACATCAAGCCTAAGCTGCTGTTGCACGGGGACAAGAGCCATCACGGCGGGCCGAGTTGAATGCGTATCTATACTAGTTGGGAAACGAGGGATGATCGAATAGATGTACATTGTTTCATTGTTAGTACGAGATGGCGTCTTGGAAATAGAATTCATGCATGGTTCAAGTTGGAGCACGCGCATGTTTAGTGAGGCTTTGTATTAACTTGTACATATTCCTTGTTTTGCTAGCTACTCATCCTCATGGTAGCCACCGTAAGGGGGCGCAAAGACGCGACACCTTCCTTCATGGTGTTTACTGAGCAGTCGGCGTGGCAGCCTCGCTACTTTGCCTAACCACAGGCGGCGACTGCTGTTGCTGGCCTGCTTGCTGCTGCTGTTGCTGCTGCTGAGCCTGCGCGGCCTGTTGTTGCTGCTGCTGGGCGGCTTGAGCTTGTTGCTGCTGTCGCAAAAGCTGCGCATACTGATGTGGACTTGTGGTCGCGCCAATGTTGCCTGCTGCGATACCCATCTGCGCTTGGTTGGCCTGGCCACCGCCATTTGAGACGCCCGCCGCGGAGGACATGGCATTCTGCCTCTGTTGGTGCTGGAAAGCCTTGAGCATATGGTCCATAGCCAGCTGTCTTGCTTGATCAGGCTTCACAGTAGGGTTCTTTTGACGAATCTGTGCCTCCAGCTGCTGCAGCTGTGCCTGGAACGGGGCTGGCAGAGTAGTCGCGCGGGAAGCCGAGCCTGGCGAAGCAGTGTACACACTCTGTTGCGCGGCCTGAGGGGAGGCCTGCCCATTAGCGCCGTTGTTCACTTGATTGAACGCCGTCATCATCCCTTGTTGGTTGTTGTTGGCGAAGTTTTGGTAATTCATGCCTTGAATGCCGTTGGCTACGCCATTGACGAGACCGTTGGCCATGTTTGGTGAGGGCGAGTGCTGAACATTGTGGGCAGATGGGGGCCTTGGTGTTCCGCCGTTGCTGCCTTGCTGCTGCTGCGGCTGGCCCTGCACTTGCATATGCTGCTGCTGGGCTTGAACAGCTTGCCTTTGCTGTTCCGATAGCTGCCGGGCCCTCATCACCATGTTCGGGTCCGGCTGCTGCTGACCACCCTGCTGCTGACCCTGTGCCATGTGCTGTTGCTGGCTCTGATGTTGCGGAGGCATCGCAACCCGCTGGGGACCTTGCATGGCCTGCATGTTTTGCATCTGTGGGTGCTGGGCACCACCATTCATATGCGCGACTGGGGCGTGACCACCGACTTGCGAATTGGGCACCATACCATTTGGAGGCAGTGGCATGGCCATGCGAGCTTGAGGCTGCCTCCCGTTGTTCATGCCTGCCTGTTGGGGAGGACGCGGCTGACCGTTTGGACCGCCTTGAAGTTGTTGTTGCTGCTGCTGCTGAGGATGCTGGCCATTAGAACCGGGACGAGATCCAGGTGTGCCTGGAGGCAATTGCCCATGTGCCTGAACTTGTTGCGCTCGGGCTTGCATGGCAGCGGCCTGTGCAGACGATGCGTCAGAAGTCTGTTTAGACGGAAGACCCGAACGAGAGCTTACCCGTCTTGCAGCATTGTTGCTGGTAGCAAAGTTTGACAACTTCTCGGCAAGCTCCTGATCTTTCCTCCAACGCTGCAGGCTGTACTCCTGAGGCGTCTTACACGCTCCACGGACTGGCTGCTGCATCATGTTCGGTCGGTTCGCAGCATTCTGCTGCGCCGTCTGCGCGGCCTGGTCACTCTTTTGCTTGGCCAATTCGCGTTTCTTAGCCAGCTTCCGCATGGCATCAAGCAGAGTCAAATGCTTCTGGTTTCGTCGGCGCTCCACGCGCATGGGCACTGTTGTGCGTCGTCTCATGGGCTGAGGCTGACCACCATTTGCTGCTGCCGTTTGTTCCCTTGCGGCTTGCTGGTGTGCAACGACGCGCTGTGCGGCCTCAATCCTACTTTGGTACGCCTTGAAGTAGACTGTCTTCTGCATGTCGGACGGGAGACCCTCTAGCTGGATCCAACGCTCAAAACACTCCCATGTCGTACGCCTTTCTGCTCCTGAGGAGTAGAGGGACTTACTCTCCAACATGCTCGAGATCAAAGGCCAGTTGTACGAATACTCACGCACAAGGCTACGAAGATGGTCATCTTCCGCTTGCGTCCACATGGATGGCGAACGGTGTTCGTAAAAGCTCTGAAGTGGCATTTGATGGTCGGTGGGTGGCCGAAACTGGTGGCCTGCGTGAATTCTGTCGCGAATAGGCTTCATTTCTGGTCGGAACAGAGCAACTTCGTCGGTAATGGGCGGTAGCTGGGCATACACTGCCGGTTCATTAAGGAAAGGGGCGTCGTCCTCATCATCAGAATCTTCATGGTGGTAGTTGTAACGGCTGCGTTTGCGAGGTGGCCCTTCGTTCGTCAACCTCATCTGTCCCTCCACATATTTGCTCAGAGGCAAAGCTGGTCGTCGCCATCGTGCATCGGGGTCGAATTGTGGCGCCAAAGGGTCGTATTGGGGAATCTTCAAAGGCGGGCAATACATCGGCAGTTCTTCCAGTAATTGATCTGCTGCGGCGGAGCGCCGGAGGCCAAAGACAACGTCATCCTCCTCCAGCGCAAAAATGGCGGATGGCGCCGCGGTTTCGGGGAAGACATCTGCAAGTTCATCAACAACCCGCGGCGAGGCGGCATTGTCATGTACCAGATCAGGCGTTGGCTCCTTGCCCTCAGCCATAGAGATGTCCTCGACTTCTGCATCGTCCTTGGAAGGGATCCGCGCGTTGACCTGCATCGACTTCCTCTCCTCAGGGGTCGCAACACACCACTCAGCGCATGCTTGGGCAAAGTTGCGAGCAACGGCCATCTTCCACTTGCGCTCTTCTCTGAAATCTGTACGCATCCATTTAGCTTCGCGAATGACAACGTCCCACTGACTGGCGGGTCTCGTAGGCTCTGGGGCTCGTTTCGGCTGCCGTAATGTCCATTTATCGCTGCTTTGAAGGTGATAAACCCGGTGCAGAACCTTGCAGGCCTGATGGTCTTGGATCGTCATGAGCGACTCACTCGTGGAGAAGGTCTTATTGGCGTGGTAGAGCATCTTCTCCAAAGGCTGCATCCATTGTGACCCACGAGCAAACCCCTGAATGAACAGGGGCATGTAATAATCATCAATAGGCTGAGCGGATTCCTTGTTTCCGACAGTAAGCTCGCTCTCATCTATTCGCTGAGGCTGCTTCCCAAAGAGCACAGCAGAAACCTGCCCCTTGGGCCTGTCTTTGCGCATGGATGAGACGCGTCGGCTTCGTGGTGTCGGCGATTGCGACATTGATGTAAAGGGCGTGAGCTGGTGGTCGCGAGCCTCCGAATGCCTGTCAGCACTGCTATCCTGTGCAGCAAGGCTGCTGACAATCTCACTGACAGACTTCGGACGCATAGCACCGGATGACACTCTTGTGACAGCGCGCTCTGCCACGGGTGGCTCGTCGTTTGTTTTCGCACTGGCACTGATATTGACAGTAGATGGTGTCGATTCTCCTTCAGTCGCATCTTTGGTGGTTGGAGGCTCCACCCGACTCGTCTGTGGCACAGCCTTGGGTTTTGTGTCTTTCGGTCCTGAAGAGGCATCGACATCCATGCGATCAACGGACACGTCGCGACTGTCGGGGATTTCAAGCGAAATTGTTGGATCTGTGCTCTTTTGTGCAAGCGCGAACTCAAGAGCGGGGGCCTTCGGCTCAACGGGAGCAGTAGGCACACCTTTAACCTCAACGCTGGCCGCTTTGCTAGTTGGGGCTTCATGTGGTGCCTTGCTCGCAGTACCGCTCTCAGCAACACCCTGGCTTTCCTGCGCAGCTATTTTCGCTTCTGTCGATTGTCGAGATTCGCGCAACAGCTGGTCCTCTGCAGACTCCACAGCGTCCTCGGGCCCGGGTATTGTCGATTCCGTTGTTCTGGCTCCGACAGAAGCAGCCGTAGGTATTCCCTTGTCCTGGGCCTGCGTCCTGTCCTTCTCCTTCTCTGGCCCTGGCTCTTCATAGTGGGATGGCTCATGATCAGGACTAGTATCAGTCGAGACATCGTGTGCGGCCGGGGTAGTCGCACTGGGCGCTATGGATTCGGGCGACGAAGGGGCATCGGGCATACGAGTATCGACAACAACAGAGTCGGAGGGCTTCCCGAGTATCGGTTGGGCTTGTGCCTGACTGATATTCTGCGGGCCTGTAGCCGGCGGTGGAGGTGGCCCGGGCCTCTGCGGCGCAAGAGGCTTTGTCGCGTCTGTAGGGGAGCCCTTCGTTCCAGGTGGGAAGCTCACTTGCTGAGGCCGTCGTCCAGATAGCCCATCGGTCGGTGTCCCTGCTCCTTCGCTTCTCGATGTAGCGTGAGCTGCCGGCGATGGCGATACTCCATTCGTGGTGCCTTTCGGTTCAGTGCTGATGGGTCTTGCAATCGCATTTGCGGCTGGCGTCGGTGGCGCTGGTGCAATTGGTCGTGGAGCATGCACAGGTATAGACTCTTTCGCCGCGATCTTCTTCGGTGGCAGTGGCCGCGGCACTGGCTGCTGCAGGGTCGGTATGGTGGTCGTGGCAGGCTGTGGTGGAGCACCAGCGGGTGTGGGCTGAGGCGTCGGCTTCTTATGAGGCTGCTGAACAGACACAGGAGGCGTCCCGGGTTTCTGAGCGAGATGCGCCGGTCCCGTTGACGGAGGTCGGGGCACAATCGGGGTAGCAGCGGCTGCTCGAGGTGTCGGAGGTTTCGCATCGGATGGTCTCTGACCCGTTGGTGATATCCTCTGGGCCGGGGGAGGGGGCGTCGGTGTTGCTGTTACTGTCGAAGCTGTACCAGGCGATACTTTTCGATGCGACCCTCGACTCGTCTGCGGCGAGGCGTGGCGCCTGTGTTCGGTCGCAGGTATGGGCAGTGTCGTGATCGGCGCATTGTATCCCAGAAGTGACAGCGATCGAGACAAAATATCGAACGGAAGTTGGTGTCGCGTCGGGATGCTCGACTCGTGGAACTTCTTGGCCCTACGAAACACATGTCAGTCGCATCAAACCCGGCAAACACCTGCAAACACGCGCCGGATTGCGCATAAGTGGGTGGAAAACAATTGCCCCAACGTACGATGATATTTGATTGTGTTCGAGGAACGCTGCTTCGGCCGGTGTTGAGGCGGACACGTCGTTGTTTGTGGCGACGACTCCATCGTTGGAAGGCTCCGCTGCTGCACCGGTCGCGACCGCGAACAGCTCGCGCAGCTTCCTTTTGCGAGTGGTTACAATTGCACTGCAGGGTGTCAGTAAACTATATGTGGTATCAAACGATGCAGAAAAATCCGGTGCATTGATTGAACCAAATTTTGAGCTTATCGCATCGACTTTGGGGTCGCATACTTGTTGTAATCCCTCTTGCTTTGAAGGAGTTTCGAGAGGTCCTTGTGGCCAACCTCACTCATAGCATCGGCGGCGGCGACATCCGTTTTCAATTAAACGGATGGGCCAGGTAATTCGATGAGCCTAATCGATTCGATAGCCCTCGGTCGCAGTCGATGAAAATCGTGGGTGAGGGCGTTGTATTGATGAGTTTCTGCTGTCTCTTCGCTGCGACGGTCGCCAGATACCAAGGGGACTGCTCAAAGGGGTGCGGTGCCAACGGTACAGGTTGCTTGATTGACAGAATCCAATGAGAGCAAATTTTCGGGGCGTCTGGCCTTTGCGGGCTTTGGGGGGCTCCGCTCTTGCCTGGCTCTTGGAAGACGTGAGGAGATGTCGCTGATCCTCGGACGCTAGTCTTCTGTAGGGCAAGCGCCTGTGAAAATACAGCCCGCTACATGGCGATCCATGAAAGGTAGTGCCAAACTGAGTTTCGTGCACCGGAAGCGGCGGTTGGCCAGCCGCGATGGAGTCGGTATGCGTACCAAACTCTATTCGCAAGTCTACACTTTACACTTTACAGTGACTATCTTGATAACGCGTACGCATCATCGACTCATGAGATATTTGAAATTGTGCACCAAGGTTCAGCATTTGGGCTATCACATCCCGCCTTCTCTCCCTAAATCATGTTGGTTCTTGAAAGAAGCAAGAACGCACGCCCGTCTTGATGGAATATGCGGTGGGTACTCACAAGCGACCAAATCCAATGACGACTCTCTGGCGCAGAGGTATCCATCACTATTGACCCCGAGTCAGCCTAGCGTCGGTGAGGCACCGGGGTCCATAGATGGTCACAGCACGTCTTCCTTTGGTTCTTAGGTTCGTTGCTTTCATCATAAAGTCGTGTGATCAAATTAGTCGCTCCAAACGAAGTGTCCGATTCATTCGTTGGCTGGCAAGCTGTGACCACTGTTTTGGTAAGAACAAAATGTTGGAAATGAGACGACGACCTAATACGCTGGATTCCTGTCTGATCATCCATTTCTTCCCTACAAAGCCAGACGCAATGCACCTACAGTACTCCGTGCTTCTAACAGAGAAGACCCATAAACACAAACCTTCACAAACTGTCATCCTGAGAATTAGATGCTAATAGTATTTGAGAGTACGGAGGAAAGAAGCAAATTGTGACTTACAGCGGCTCGTCACTTGCTCCACTGTGTCAGCCACATGCCCCAGCAGCGCCCCAGCCACTCTTAGCTCCTCCAGCCACACATGACATCTTTCGTGTCTATCAGACATCTGATAGCAAAACTTCCAGACCATCTTTTAGTTTGCACATGCACACATCGCCAACATGTCCGGACCTCCTAAACCACGGATCGCAATCTCCCTTGGATCCTCCAGGCCCGCGCCATCCTCCAAACCTCGTGCGCACCCACCATCTACGTTAGGCAAACGGCCCCATCCCTCATCTTTCGGCCACGACTCCGACTCGGAAGACGATGCGCCGCCCCAACAGGAAGCCATCACAGGCTTCGGCGTGAATGGCGCTGAATCGAGGCACGCGAAGAAAAAGCAAGAGAAGAAGGAGGAGTACGTCATTCCGCGACTGGAGAACACATGGAAAGGCGGCAAACGACAACGCAGCGGGCTGCCGGGCCAGGACAACGGGCACGACGTGAAAGTCAAACCAGAACGGGAAGAGGAGCCGACTATCAAATGGGGTCTGACGGTGAAAGAGAAGAAAGATCCGGAGATGGAACACGAGCAGGACGACCAAGCAAAGGAGGAGCAAGACGCGTGGCCGATCAAGAAGGAAGAGGAGGCGCCTCTGACCGACGACCAACGGGCCCTCAACGCCTTGACGGGCGTCAAAGAAGAGCAAAACGACCTCGTGATACCCACAGAAACAGACGCGTATAGGAAAGCACTGGACACCGTTGGCGATAACATGACACAAGAGGACTACGACGCATTACCCGAGGACTTTGACGCGGGCCGCGCAATGCTGCTCGGGATGGGATGGGACGGCAAGGAGCGCGGCGGTGGAAAGAAGGAGGTCAAGCGCAGACCGAAGCTCATGGGTCTCGGCGCAAAGAAGCTTGACGGAAAGGAAGATCTGGAAGGATGGGATCAGAAAGCTGGGAAGAGGGATAACCGGCCCCCGCGACTCAAGGATCATCGCAGAGAGGAAGAGTTGAGGAAAGAGGCGAGGCGGGGGAGAGACAGCTACAAGAATGAGAGGGATCGTGAGAAGGAGAGCAATGGCGGACACTACAGGGAGGACAGGAAAGATCGCGAGAGAGACTCGGACAGGAGACACCGCGACAGACATCATGACGACCGGCGGCATCGCTCGCGGTATTAACAAATAGATGAGTGATGTATATTGAGAATGGGAATGGTATATCAATGCAGTATAACGCCGACCTATGGCAAACCGCATACGCCGACGCTATGAAACGGACCAAAACGTGTCCCATCAAAAAATGAACTCCCTCAAGTAACAAACACCCGTGCGTCAGCGCACTCACTAGTCCTGGTTCCATTCGCAACGCTGTGGCATAATATCCTGCTTCTTCCCCTTGTCCTTGTCATCCTTCTTCAGACTCTTTGCCCGCTGACGACCCGGGGCATTGCTTCGACTGCGGTCGCGACCCCAGCTGAAGACTTTCTTTCCGCTGGAGCGCCTGCTCTCGCGCATTTCATCCTCTGTTGGGGGATGGATGACGCTCTCGAGCGACTCGCCACGCTTCAGTGCCCCCAAGGCTCGTTTCGCAATGTCCATGTCCTCGAAGAGCATCCCCGTGTCAAGGAGGACTCGGTCGAGCTGGCCCGCAAGGCCTCGCTGCCTCTCCTCGTGGGCGATCGCCCCGCAGAGGTCCCTGTAGACATTGTACGCAGTGACGACGTCCTTCTCGAGTCGTTTCCGTCCCGCCGGGTCCAAAGTCTGCGCCTCCCTCTGTCCCTGGATGATGCGCGCCCTACGTATGAACTTGGAAGGGGACTTTGTCCGTTTTGCTTGCTGTGCCAGACCTTTGAGGGTATATCCCCACGGGCCCACGATGGCCGCCGTGTTCTTGAGAACGAGACCCATGAGGCCCATACCCGTCCCTTTGATCACGCCCACAACGCCGCGACTCTTGGCGCCGCGGTAGGGTAGCCGAACGAGGCCAGTCCAGCCGTCGTACACTCCGTAGACAAATTCTTTTCTTGCGGCTCGGAGACCGGACCGGATGCCTGTGATCCGGATAGGCTTACGCACAGTGTCGTCGCCGTATAAGCGTGGCGCATTGTGGAAGCCTTGCGCCAGAGCCAAAGCGAGATCAACAGGCGCCATGGCGAGAGCAGTCGCGGTGAGCCCGACCCCTTCGGTGACGTCGTCAACAAACTCGCCGTGGAGTTCGTTGGTTGTCGCAGTTCTGGATCGCTGTAAAGCCGTGTCGAGATTCTCGCGCGAAGCATCCTGCTGGGCGGCGATTTGCGCGTTTTCTTCTTCATGCTGTGCCGCCAGCCTCTTCTTCTCCCTTTTTCTGTCCTGTCGCTTCCGGTATCGTTTCGACGTCCGAGCTAGCCTTACCGGGACACTGCCCACGCCTTTGGCGGCATTGCCAAAGGTATGAGTTAAAGACCCAGCAATGCCGGTGACAGGCTCGCCTGGACCTTCAAAGTCGTTCCACTCTTGATGCCGTATCAGCCGCAGGTTCTTCCATTTGGTGAAACCAGCATCGACAAGCATGTCCGCTGCCAAAGGTGACAGCTTGACATCTGTGTGCTTTGGTTGCCAGGCAGCAATCCTGTCCCTGAAAATGGAGCATCGCATCGTCCTCGGTCCTCTGAGGTTCAAATGACGGTGGAAAGCCCTGACAGCATTATGGGCGCCATCTCCCTCCGCCTCAATGTTGCGAGCGATCTCCTCTGCGGCCATCCGTGCCTCATCGGTGAGACAGTATTTGATGCCTTCGGCCAGAGTATCCGCGGTCAAGCTTTTGTAGGGCACTGGCTCGGGTCCAACTTTAGCGTTGGAGATCATGCTCCCCCAGAAATGCTGGTCGCCAAAAAAGGGCACAACCATGGTAGGCTTGCCCAGCTTCAAGGCAATGGCTGTTGTGCCAGCGCCTCCGTGAATAACGCAGGCCTTGATCTTGGGAAACAGCCAATCGTGCGGCGTGTTCTCGAGCATGAAGATGTTGTCGGGTGTGTTCTTGCTCCCGAGGCCACCCCAGCCGCGAGAAACAAGCGCGCGAACACCAGCCTTTTCGACGGCTTCGAAGATCATCTCGGTGAACCTGTCCGCGTCATCGACGACAATGGAGCCAAAGCCAATGTAAATCGGTTCTTCACCTGCAGCAAGGAATTCCTCCAAATCTTTAGGGGGCTTGAAACTCGAGGCAAGATCCAGGTAGACGAAACCAGAGATGTCTATATGGTTTCCCCAGTCACGAGGCTTTGGAACAAGTCCAGGAGACCACATGTATGTGAAGGGTACATGAAGACGATATGTCGCTCCTGGCGCCCAGAGTGTCGAGACGGGATCGAGGGCCAATGTCTTTACCCGGAAGTCGTTGATCAGATCGCCGAGACCTTGCCACACCATCATCTCTACCATGGGGTAGGAGATGAAGTTTGTGTAGCCTGGATCGACGTTGCTCTTCTTGATGCTTGCGAGCGGGTGTGGGAAAGCCTGAGTGGGCGTGTAGGGGAAAGTGAACATGAGATGCAAGGGAATTCCCAATGCTTCCGCGCAATGAACATGCGCAAATGACGGTGGATTTGCAATGATGGCATCCGCCACAAAAGGCTCGCGCGTGCCCATCATTTTCAGGTTCTGCTTGTCCTTCTCGTCATCTGTGGCGTTGACGCACGCGCGCCAGAAACCATCAAACATTTCGGCCATGGCAGTCCTTCGTTTGCCAATGTCGCCAGCGCGTACTGTCTCCAGGCTTGGAATCATGCCTGGATTCTTCACCATGAACGCCATGAGCTCAGAGGGATCACCGCCCACAGAGAAGAACTCCAGACCAGAATCGCGCTCTACGTATTCCCGGAAAGCAGGGTGCGTCGCAAGACGTACTCGATGGCCGTACTCCTCTTTCAAGACCTTACCAATTTTGAGAAATGGCTGTACATCGCCTCGCGAGCCAATTACCATGATAACAATGTTCAGCTTCGGTCTCGGGGAAAGGTCTTCGGTTGTAAAGCTCGACGCCGGAGAGAGGCGGGTATCGGGTGATTTGATTCTTGATGTAAGTGCGTCCCCCTCCTTGGGAGGCTTCATTTTGCTGATGGCTGCGCCTAGAGCTTTGGCGATGTAGCCGGTGCCAGCGGTCTCATTGACTGTGATTCTCAGACGACCGTCTTTCTTGACCTTGCCCTTGCTCTGGTAGTTTTCGTTGCCTACCAAGAACTTTCTGTATCGGTCGTCTGCATCGGCTCCGCCGAGTAGGTTGTCCTTCCTATTGCTGGTTTGATTGCCGCGTTTCGCCTTCGCTCCTCGCTCAGCGCGCGTGGTTGCTGTGGCGGCAGCTTCTTCATCATCGCCACCGTCGTCGTCGGAGGAGGAGGATGAGCTCGACACGTACTCCTCTTCTGTGCGAGACCAGATTGCTGTGTTGAGGTAGGACGTGCCTGCGCGACGGATGGCGGGTGGAGTGTATGGTGCCTGCGCCCTGGATCCTCTCCGATTGATGTCTGTTTGCCAGTCCCGCGGTGCTGATGGTCGTGTGGGCGCACCTCCAGCCCTTCCAGCTGATCCAGACGACTTGACGCGACTCATGACGGGCACGGCAAGCTGCCGATGCCCCGGCGTCGCTGACTTGGACTTGTCAAGCCTCGCAGGCATTGTGCTGCTCTTTCGAGGCGCGGGGGGCGGTGCGAGCTCGTCGTCCGCCGTATCTTCATCGTCATCGTAATCACCGTATCCAACTGCTCGCCCATTCGCCCTGGAAACCTCTCCCTGCCTTGTCCCGTCCTCCTTGAGTGTGTCGCCATTCTCGGGTTTCGAGAGTAAACTGTCCCTGCCCTCTATGATTTCGGGAGAGGTCGTGCTCGTCGGGACGAACCCGGGAAAGGCGAGGTGGCCCTCCTCATCGCGCAAGACGGTGGCCGATTGTCGGTGCTCGTCAGGTCGGTCCACTGGGATGGTTTCGAGGTGAATTTTGCCGTGGTCAGGATCACCACGATGACGCATCATGGCAGTGCGGTCAGGGCGCGAGTACTTCGCCAACTGCCCTGAGGTGGCGTTGTTGATTCCGACGATTCGGTATGTAAACAAGTGCTGATAGATAAGGAATGGCCAAAGGTCAAAGAAATGTAGTCGTACGTAGTTGTCAAGACTTATTATGAAGGAACACGCCAGGCGGAATCAGCTCTCCATGACATCCGAAGGTCTAGACTCAAGGGTCAGGGCCAGGGCAACTGTGAACGTATCACCGACTCTACGCACGAGGTCATGCCTCATTTGTTCTTGCTAGTGTCATTTGGAGAATAGTCAGCCGAAGCTGCCAAAATAGTACGTGATGTCATTATATCGAGACCCGCCCCCCTGCGCGCGGCGACTCGATTACCCATTCAGCACCTTTTTCTTCAATTTTTGCGCAGGAGCAACCGCTCCGGTTTTCATCCCTTGGCGCTGTTCAATTGGCGCGTCCGTCTTCATCAAGTCTAAATTCTACGGTACTATGTACCTTGATCAGGTATTTCCCCTGTCCATTTTCGACTTGCGGACGCGTCGCCTTGGTTGATGCGCTGTCCTCCAAGCCAAGTATTCATGTACGTGTGCGACTATTACTATGCTACGTACCTGCAAACGGTACAACCATACAAGACACATGACATCAATGGTGAGACTCCACAGCCCAGATACTTATTAGATCCATGGAATTCCACCTCAACCCGAGCGCGCGAGAAACGATATCAACGCCCGAACCCGAGAATCCGAAAAAGGGTCGCAATGACTAACGCGTGATATGGGCGTCATGAATGATCAGCGTGATATCACCTGGCGCACGCATCGGCATTGGACAGCGGGCCGAGGGCGCGTGCAGCGTGCTTAATTTTGTTCGGTACGCCAAGGCCTCGGCGCGTTCCGACCGGAAAGAGCAGCTTACCCTGAATCAATGACGAGGGCAGCTTCTTGAACAAGAGTGAAACCAGATTCGCTAGCTACCTTGACCAAGACTAAAATAAAACTACGTATACTACCGTACTCGGTACATCCGGGTCCCATACACAGACAAATATTTGACACTGGAAGATGCATCCCCTTCAATGAAGAGACACGGTCTTCAGGGTATCGGTCAAGATGCTCAGCTGCACTCTGGCCTCGTCTGCGCCCTCCTCGCCAACTTCGCCCTTGTCCACGCCCTCAATGAGGCGAGACGCCGCCTTGAGCAGTGGCGCAGCATAGCGGTGCTCTATTGTCGTGCCCATGCCCGAGGGCACAACACTCTGGAACCCGTCGCCTGTGAACAGGAAGAGGGCAAAGTTGGCGACCTGCAGGTGGAATGGCGACCCATTCGTCCAAAACTCCCACAGAGCAGCCACGTCGGCTGACTCGAGGTGGGTCAAGTCGGGAAAGACGGTGTACTGCAGTTTGTCGAAACATTCGGGGCTTGCAAAGTGAGACTTGCCATCCTCGGCTTTCTTGGCTGCGATGATCTCCTCCTTGAGCCAAGTCACAGCGCAAGCCTGCAAGGCGGCGAAGACACAGTTCTCCATAAGGTCTTCCAGAATGGCCAGACGGTCGTTCTCATTGGGATCAGCGTGGAGGACCGAGCCGGCCATGAACGTCGAGGCGTTACGGACACGCAGATTCGGGTGGAAGATGGACACCAGCGTCAAGAGGTGGTGGTAGCTCATGATGTTGACATCCTCCTCGGCGCCCTCCCTCTTTTCAGACAGCGTGCCCTGGTGAGTATCGAGCCAGATCGCCATGACCACCAACGCCTCAAAGGTGCCTGGGTTCCCCATGATTTCAGATTGCGCGTCTCCTTCCGCCAAATTCTTGAACATGGTGTGTAGATCAGGGAAGATGCTGATGTTGAAGTTTGTGTGGTGCGCTTCAAAGACATCCGTAGCGAACATCTTGTACGCGGCGAGGCAGGCGAATCCACCAGATGACAATGGGATGACCTCGGGGTGTTCCGGGTCCGCATCGTCCATCGACAAGGGATCTCTCGAAATCGGCCCCGTGCAGATCTCCCTGACCTCGTCGGCGCTGATATCAGAGACACCTAGATCGCCTGCAACCGACTGCGGAACACTGTAAGCTTCAACTCAACCCGGATCTGAGAAGGAATGACCTACCACCAGCTGACCGACCAGAGCATCCATGGCCTGCAGCTCAGCAATCTCGTTGTACGCCTGTAGCATGGTGCCTCGCCTCAGAACGATTCTCTCTGGCACAGTGTGTTCTAGCAGCCGCGCCGCCCACTCGAGGCTGTTCGAGTTGACATAGGCCTCGATGATGCACGTGATGAACGACTGCAGCAGCCTCGACATGAGAGCCGGCTCCATGGGGCCGGGCTGCGCTTGATCATCCGCCTCCGGGTCAGGCGCGCTCTGTGCCGGGTTAGTCGCCTGGAACGGCGTGTCCAGCGTCGTGCTCGACTGTCTCGTGGGCAGCGCCGGTCGCTTCTTGCCGGATAGCGATCGGATCAGATCGATAATGGCCGCTGTCTGCGCTGAGCTCGTCGGATCATATGCCCGCAGAACCGTGTCCAGGGTCGTGTGCAGAAACCGTGAAGGCGCCTTGACCTGCAGCCGCGCGTGGAGAATCTTAAGCATGCCCACCAGAGCCACAAACCTCTCATCAAATATAACCTTCCCATCCTCCTTCTCGTGCTCTCTCGTTGCTGACGCCGCCGCCTTGTCCATCACCTCGAGGGTCTTGAGGATCACCTCACGTGGATTCCCCAGCCGGGCGATGCGCTCGAGACATTCGGCGCTGCCCGGCACGGAGATGAGCATATCGACCAGGTCCCAGCCAATGTCGTTGGTCAGCTCAGCATCGTCGAGGATGTCCTGGAGGACAGGTAGAATCTCGGGTGAAAGCGACTGCTCGATGATGGTGAGGTACGTGAAGGCGTCAGTGGCGGGAGGGCGGGACTCGTGCAAGCGCTTGGCGACCTCTTCAGTGGAGGCCATGATGACGGACGGCTGGACTGGCAAGCCCGCGCAAGATGTCGCGCTGATGTCGAGAGCAGCAGCTTGACTGGGAGCTGCGCGAGATGGATGGACGGATGGATGGATGGGCGAGACGTACAGTATCGGATGTTGTGGCAGATGGGGAGCTTCAGAGCTCACGACTCCCCCCCTGGGAGCTTCTACGTTTGGCGTTTCGTCATTCACGTGTGGCTTGTTGGAAGATCGACCCCGCCCCCACCAGACTTCCAGCACTAACTCAGGTAACTACCGGTGCATACAGGCGCGGTTCGTTCGCCAAGCGAGAATAGATGGTGCTAATGCATAACACGCAGCGGATCCATGTTGTACGGTACAGGGGAGATTCAAGCGTCGCAGATTCCGGGTCGTTCGATGATGCAGTTCTTGTGGTGTTCAACCAGGTGGTACGGTGCCAATGGGGTAGAGCAAACAAGCTCTTCACAGGAGGGGTTCACGCGCACTAGTAGCTCAACGTAGAGACGCCACTCTTGACGCGCAAGTTTTGGTATTAACTGTGATAGTGATACGAACCATGTGAAAAAGCAGCTCTGTCCCTGGACGAGCCCATTCTGTAAACCGCCATACGCGGTATTATTCCCATTCCCAAACGCCTGCCCATGCGCCAGAACCCTCCCAATGTAGATGCGCCACCATGGAAGCATGCCAAATAAACAGATCCCCGAAATCTCGATCGCTTGTCGTACAAAAAAACAAATCAGCACCTGCTCCAGACCATAGACCTCGGCGAGCCGAATTCTTCCATCTCATCCATTGCGCGGGAGCGTTTCACCCTTCTCGGTGAGCTCTCGACCTCGTCATCGCACGCCATTCCGCGTTTGCGGTTTCGTTGCGCCAACGCGTCGGGAACAAAGGCTGGCGCAAGCACACTCTTGACCTCGCTGCGGCACGATGTACCAATCTTGGGTGGCGAGCGGAGAGCGGCCTGAGCGTACCGCCACTTTTGCATCTCCTGGTCTGGCCAGGTGAAGCCCACCATGGTTCCGTACTCGGGGTGCTCGTCCAGTACACTCCTGCCCAGGGGCGCGCCGACATGCGACTCCCGTAGCATGACCTGGTAAAAGTCCCTGCCTGGCAGAAACGTCGCGGCGACCGAGCCGTCCTTGTACACTAGAGCTCCACGAGGCGTAGCCGAGGAGAACTGTACACTGGCTACCGCCTTGATGGGTCGCCCGATGACACTAACAGGGTAGTCTGGGACGTACAGCACGTTCTCGAGGCGCAGCGACACGCTGCTTTGGAAGCCCTGCCCAGCAACAGATTGCTTGACGGGTAGAACCACGCTGCCGACACCCCTGACGGGTATGCTGGCGATGGCGGCGCGTGAGTTGGAGATATGCGAGTCATACTCGACAAAGTCGTTCTCGAACCATGTCTTGTCATTCGTGAGGCTTCCCTGTTAGCAATTGGCTCAGTGCGCACACACAATGGGAGACATACTGCATGTTAGACGCCTCTGAATAGACCCAGTCTGGGGTGCGGGTAAGGAACGGCGTGCTCCATGCCGCCGGCATGCTCCCTGGCATGATGCAAGATCTGTGACTGGTGCCGCGCATGGTGAGGGACAATGAGGGAGAGTGTTGAATGAGCGTGTGAGGTGAACTTGAAATGGAGTGAAGAAAGTGCGCTGGAATCTTTCAATGGCACACGATGAGGACCGTGTTCCTTTGGCGACGGAAGGCTAATGTCATGTGAGTGGCTGGGAGAATTTGTGGCTGAAGCCAATGGTAGCGCAGCATATGACCAAGCTCATTAAGAGTGGAGCACCAGACGTGCCGCGACGCGTGGAGCACGTGACATCATGCACGGAGAACGTACCACTTTGAGATTTGGAGGATCGTGAGACATCAGCGCCTCGTCGACGATATCGCTCTGAGGATGCTGCGAATTTGGGTATCGTTGTCAAGGCGTACCGACTCCTATCGCAAGGCTGCCAGGTGACCTCATGTTGATGACTTCGACCTTTTTGTTTTGGCCTCCATCTATCTAACTCAATGGCTGTGATCGCCATCGTCCAGGTTGCCCTGGCCAAGAAGATCAACAATGTTGACATAGAGCTGCCCAGTCGGCAGATTCTGGGTAGCTTTTTGTCCGACGAGGACGACGCAGATGAGCAACATGTGACTTGAAGCGAAGATCTCAAGTGATTCTTCAGCACTGTCTCGCGAGCATGCAGACACTGGCTATCGAGCTGCCTGGAGTTTCTTGTTGTCATACAAAGAATGGCGAGCGTGGCTCTTCTATCCGATATTAATTCAGCCAATTTGAACATCATTGATGTATGGACGTGTTTCACGAGCCACAGATTCCCGCTCCATAGAATGACGTTGCTACTGTCAATGCGCGTGAGATTGGTGAGGGCTAGGATACTGGTGACAAGCTCTACCTCAGCGAGAGGGATACACGAGGCGGATAGGCGCCTGAAAGCCATGGCAATGGGGGGTAACTTTTTTGAGTATTTCCTTTTCTACATCTTGAAAACCTCCCATATAGAACATCATAGCTGCGCCACCAAATCCCATAGCCCCAAATCTATCCGCCCATCCCCGGTCCTCTGGCACAAAAGAGCAAAATGGTATCAGAATTATAAATGTCCACAGCGAGCTCCTCCCCATAGATGAAGCTCCTCCTCCCCTATCGACGCCCATATGCGCGATGCTCGGTGATGATACAATATCGGTCGTATTCGCATTTTTCTCGTGTACAACTCCCCAAATACTCGCCTCCGGTCAAGGAGACTACGGCGCATGTCGCAACCCGCCTAACGGATTCGGCGCCGCCATGCCGTTCGCGGCGAACATGGCATTGTACTGCTCAGGATGGCCCGGGACAGCATTGGAGACGCCGTCACCTTGTTGCAAGTCGTAGGACATGTACCACGGCTCACCGTTCAAGCCGCCCTGAGGCTGGCCTTGGTGGGCATGAGCCATAGGCATGACGCCGCCAGGTTGTGCATGGCCTTGGGCACCGTTCCAGCCATCCATGATCTGCGAGTGAGGCGGCGTCCCGTGATCCAATGTGTAGTTGCCGAACGAGAGATGCTGCTCCATGCTAGGCTGTACGACACCGGCATGCTGTTGCTGCTGCTGCTGCTGCGGTTGTTGCTGCATGTTGATGCCTATCATGTCTGGTTGGAAGAAAGGCTGTTGACCCTGTTGCGCCTGATAGAAGTGCTGATCCACGTTGCTCGAGTTGGCCGGGGACATGGCATGGAACGATGCAGACTGCGCAGGATGTGTGGTAACCATGGGCTGGAACATGTGTGGGCTGTTTTCCTGCCCCACCACAGGCGCGGATGGTCGCCGTTGCTGCTGCTGCTGATGCTGCGATGGCAATGGCGGCGGTTGGTGCTGCGCGTGAGGAGTCGTTCGCTGGTCAGGAGCAGGTGGCGCGCTCTGGCTCGAAAGGGGAGCTTCCCCGTGGAGCGGCGGAGGCGGCGCTGTCTTGATGCTGGCCATGCTCTTCTTGGAGGCCTTGCGCTTGGCTCCCTTGTTCGGCTGGTTCTCGTTCGGCTTCTCTGCTGTTTTGGGCGACGACAGCTGAGTGAAGAACTCCTCCACAGACTGCAGCTCAGGCTTTTGCTCGAGTACGCCATCCGCCCCCTTCTCTTTCTTCCTTTTGGCAGCTGGGTCCACGTAGTCGGCATCCGACACGCCGTGCGGATACCTGTTGAACCAGTCGCCATATTGGAGGATCGGAGCCGACTCCGTCAACTCATCCATCGTCGCCCCTTGTTTCGCTTTATCCAGAACGACGCGGTACTGCATTCGAATGTCCTCCTCCATCCAATGAAACATCCCCCAGTGCTTCATCATCTTGCGCATGAAGCGGATATTCGTCGTTGCGTTCGCCTCGGCAGCCGCCTTCACTGCCGGGTTGCCCGAGGCAATGCCCCGTATGTGCACTGTTGTCGATGAGAAGGCACAGTACGTTGCGAACGGCGCCGTGACCGCCACTCTGGCTTCCTCGCTTGTCTTGAGGATCTCGGATATTTGCGTAGCGGCTGCGAGGGCTTTCGAGCGGGAGGCAACGACAAAGTGTTCCGGTCGATTTGGCGCAGGCTGAATCGCCGATCGGCCGAGGAAGAGGATATTCTGTTGGCAGATGACATGAAGGAATAAAAACATGTTGGTCGTCTGATGGTTCTGGTGGAGGGCAACGTTGTGAGCCGAGTATCGCAACGGCTCAGGGAGAGAATGAGGGAACTCATCAGCTTCGCGACCTAGCCTCGCAAACTGGGAAGCTGGACTCCATAAGGGCTGAGGATCGAGTTCCTTTCCACCTTGGTTCATATGCACGACGATTCGACCCCAGAGTGCAATCGCTCGTATCACGAATGCAGCAACGCCTAGATTCTCGCTCGCATCACCTCCAGCATCCTCTCGAGATGGCGTGGTAGACAGCACGTGACCATTGAGCGTCTCCGTCACGGCAGGCATGTCGAGCAGGAAGTGTCTCTCCTTGACTGGCAAGGGGATAAGGATGTTCTCCTCTTTGATGAACATGGGTCGCTCTGAGCCAGACGAGTTGAACCGGTCCATGATGAAGCACGACCACATGATGCGCCTTCGGATCTCTCGATCAACAAAGCTCAGTTTGACACTGTTGTTGCGGGCCGTCGGGTCGTATTCGAGGTCCTTGTGTAGCTGGAGTGCAAATGCCATCCGAATCGCTTGCCCTCCCAACGCCCAGCTCCTCCCACCCTGGCAAGTGCCCATCTCGTGGAGGCCCAAGATGAGGAGACAGGTGAGTAATGTGATATTGGGCGATTCATAGCGCCTTGTGCAGATATCGCGTGCTGGCGCAGCCCACTCCTCGCCCCGTAGGAATTGCCTGGTGGGAGAGTTGAGTTTTGGGCTGGAGGAGAACCGGGCGGCAACGGCGCAAACCGCGAGGACCAGGACGGGTGGTAAGCTGTTACTTTTGAGCTTGCGCATGTAGCTGGGCTTGTGTAGCAATGGATATGACTGGCCATATACATTGTCAAAATAAACCTCTGCAAGGTGCTCTTGCAGCTCTTTTGATGGCAAAGCATCACTTCCCTCCTGGAAGAGCTGATTCTCGTCGTCCTCAAAAGCGTTCGGCAACGCTGCTATCCCCTCTTCCCCGCTACTATGCCTAGTGGCCCATGCCTCCAGGCTGGGGCCGAATGCCTCTTCTGCGCCTCTTTTCTTCGCAGAGGTTCTGCCGTTTGTATTTTCTGTGCCGGGTATCCCTGGGCGCACGACGGCTCGAGTCACCGATGAGATTGTGGTCGAGTCCCGATCTGATTTCGGCACCACCTTGATGATTCGCTCCTCCATCCGTTTCAGGCGCTTGTCGAGCATGGCCATGTAGTCTGTCCTGGGCGCTGCTTTGCGCGTCGTGACCTTGTAGACGCACGGTACGCGCGATCGCAAACAGTGCTTGCACGCGGGCTTCTCGCCAGAGCATCGAATCTTCTTGCGCCGACAGGCAATGCAAGCCAACGGCAACCGTTTCCGCTCTTTGCCTGCCTTTGTTTTGAGTTCTGTCCAGGCTGGCTGTGCGTCGCCCGTCTTGGCGCCTCCTTTCGCTCTGCCCCCCAAGTCTGTTCCATCAGCTCTGTTGACGTTGGACGGTTCAAAGTGGTCCGAGGCCTTGTCGTCGAGTGGGTCGGCATTGGGAGTATTCCGCTCCTGGTTCGCATCGACTGCGGTCGGGGTTGTCATGCCCGCCTTTTTCGTGACTACTCTGCCGCCGTCCATGCTGCTTCGTGAGATGCTGTCGACCACCACGGCTGAATCGATGGGCGCTGTAGGCGTGGTTGCCATGTGTTGTTGCTGAGAATGCCGCATCCCGTCTGGAGCATAGGCAGCGGGGGACACAGTCGCGGGCTGGCTCTGAACCACCATCATGGCGTTGGGGTCGTGCAGGCCCGGTTGCTGGAAAGCATAGGGGAAAGCAGTGAAGTCTGGCGCGCCCATGGCAGCCTGCGACTGCGGATCGATTGGCAGGGCGCCATTAGGGTCGAACGGTTGCTGGTGTTGTTGGCCAGCGTGAAGGTGACGCGAGTGCGGAGGCTGGCCGTACATGGCTGCCTGTGGCCCGATGCGGGCGTCCGCGAGCTGGAAACCCTGGGTGGACGAACGTCGTTGATAGTGGGAGAGTCAATCGCGTCGTTTGTCGATGGTTCTGACTTTGCACGATGGGGGCGCTACATGGTCGACTGGCGTGCAGGCCGGGCTTGGGATGCGCGCTCGCTCTGGCAGAAGACCAACGCAGAAGGAGCCAGCCGCGCTGCGCACGAAGAGAAGCCAGACAGACAGACAGGCACCTGGTTGTGATTTGACGGTGGAGTCGCGACGACAATGGATCCTGGCAGCTTTCTGGAGTTGCTTGGGGGTTGTGGAGCAGGGAAGCAAGAGGCAGATAGGGACATGGACCCTGGTCTGTTCTGCGAGCGTGGAGCCGGCGATTGCGACTGGACGCTGGCGCCAGAACCAGCACGGTCTAGTCGTGCTCTACGTACGGCCAGTACATATCCCGATGCTCGGAGGACGACTGTGGCTATGGGCAGAATGTTATGTCATGTACGTAGTGACAATTGGGCACTCGGCGAGGCTTGCCAGGCTGGCTGACGACGTTGACGAGGCACTATGGAATGCAGATCCGTGGCTTAACATGGGTAGTTGACGTGTCTCAGACATTAGTTTGACGTTTTGACGTTTGTCGTGAAACAGTCAGTCTGCTTGCCTACTGCAAGTGACAGAGACTGGACATACGGATACTGGAGGCAGACTGGAGTGACGGCCGTCAAGGGTGCTGCAGCGTGTCAATGCCAGTGCTTCAGGTATTACTGTGCTGTTCGAGGCCTTACAATAAGGTCTTACAGCAGGTACATGTAGGCAGCCTGGCGACCAGTAGGCTGTACCGGCGGTCGTGACAGTGGGCACTTCGAGGCTCCATGGACCATGTCTAGCGTCAAGAACATGGACTGGAAGCCGTGGTAGCGGGCCCCACCAGGCTGGCCCCCAAGTCCAGTCCAGTCCAGTCCAGTCCTGCTGACTGCTTTGTAAACTGCTGTGCTATCCTACCTGAGGTACGGACCTATGTACAGGATGCAACAGGCGGACGCCTGGGTGGGAGCTCCATGTCCTTGCAGAGGCCGGAAATCACCAGTACTGGTGGTATCTATCGCGGGCTTTCCATGCCTTCTCTCGTCTTTTGCGGTCGACTGGATCCCATCGTGGGTCAAGAGCTTTGTGAAAAGGGCCGTAAATGAGCAATATCAAAGACAGGACCACGCTTTTCCAGGACTAGCTCCCATTCCGTTAATTATAGACATGGTCCCCGTTGCAGCATATGAAATGGCACTGACAACACAGAACTTTCATGACTAGCCGTGGTGGTTCAGACTTTAAAGATCAGCAGACTGCGAGTCAACCCACACAAATGTGATTCGGAACGTGCCCGTGCCCGTGCCCGCTCAACTTGCTTGCATAGTAATCATTACAAGTCAGGTGTTTATTATCCTACCTCACCCTCAACCAAATGAGGGGGCAATATGGCAGAAATCTAGACTCTAGATTAATTCCCCCGATCAGATCAAGCTGGGCCCCCTGCGCAGCTTCGCTCAAAAGGGCGCTTGGCGACAGCTCTCGTCTGTGAGCTTCACGGGAACCAATGTGAACACAAACTTGCATGCCCAATTGGGTTGTTTGGCAGACTGTGCTTGCTGCGATGACACCCAAACTGCATATAGCATGCATGAGGCTGCAGCTACGCGCTACGGAAGCAGACACCAACAGGCTGTCCACTGGTGTGAAGGCGGGGGGACCGTGGGCTGTTCACGCGCTGTCACTTTTGAATCATGAAACAGACCGACCAGACAGTCTACACACCAGAGGCATGACCATCGGGGCGAGCCGCAATCGCGACGGAACCTTCCAAGTCCTGAACATGGGGCTTGATTAATTATCATTAAATCAGGATACACTTATGTATTATTATGGCAAAGTGGCCCTCTTTGGTAATTGGACCTGGTATGTAACAACGAAGCGAGTCCCGGGCGCACGTCTACGCCTGATCGAATTCCATGGTTGGTTCAACTCGCCATGCAAACACGGTGATAAGGCGTACTTGCGTCGCATGTCACCCTTTTCTGGGGTTCATCCTAAGCTTGACCAAGTTCAGGGGAATTAGCTCGTATTAACCACCTGAGTATGAAGCGAGAATAAGCATACTTGCTGTACCATTAAAATCGCCTGATCGTGGGCCGCGAGGCTCACAGCAATAACCACCCCGGCACACTCCTTGACCATGCTTCGGCCGCCGTTGTTATCGCCGCTGCGGGTTGTGGTGCAGGGCACGAGCCTTGGCGTCGAGCAAGACAACAGCCAAGGTCCCTTCCGGGCCTTCCCCTCCTCCAGCCCCCATGAAAACATGTACAACAGCCTACCTACCTTACAGCAGTGCGATACACTCGTAATGATGAATAACAAACTTCATCGACAGTAGGGTAGTATTGTTGGCCGGTTAGTACTTATAGGTCACACCGGCATCGCAACCGCCCCTAGCCCATTGGCTTGTTGGCTACCCTAAAGATTGAACTAGCCTCAGCAACTACCGCCGCAGTGCACCCCATTCGGCACTGGCACACGCTGATCCACCCGAAACGGCCTGGCTTATTTCCAGTTGATCTCACCCACAAATGCGTGAGGCGCCACGACGCCGCGCCCATGGTTCCGGAATGGACTAGGTAAGACTCCGTAAGAGCAATGAGGATGAAGCGGCGAAGCCGTCAACCGTGTTCGTTTCTGGGGAGCGGATACCGAACTATCCAGGGCCGCGCTCCGGTCCCCCCGGTACCCCCGATCCTAGACCTACGGTTCGGCGCGGCTGCAGATTGCGTCTGGCTTCCTCAGTCTCCTACAATTTCGGTGATTCGAGTTCTAGCATTAGTACGCAATAAGAATTATCTGATAAGCGTTTCAAAGACCAATAGACTCAGCCAGATCGAGTTTTATCACCTTGAGCTATCTGTACGTGGCGGAGCAGGTGTCACGACTCCTGAGCTGTCGTGGCGGAAGTCATACCATGAATTACAACAGGCTCCGGTCCTGGATGTGATTGATTTCAAGCTTGCCTTTCAACATGGCCCACTGCGCCACGCGGTTCTTCGTCATCGCCAGCTTCAAGCTTACGTCCGCATAGACGAAAATAAACCACGAGAATCATCAACACTGTCCACACCGCAAACTCACTGCCGTAGATGACCAACCCCAGAACATCCAGGGTCTCTTGGAAGACGACGGACAGCAGCGAAGCCACATCCCCGCTGGCATCCAGCGCCGCGAAGCGCAAGCTGATGCCTCCGTCCGTCTTCGTCCTGAGCATGTCGACATAGTGCCTCAGCACACCCGCCACAAGTAGCACAGCAGCGAGGACAGCCATGAGCGTCAGTGCCCAGTCGTGGCCTCTGTCGCGCGCCACACGCAGCGCAAAGACCAGCCCGACCTCAATACCGCCGAGGATGCTCATGATTGTGAGAGAGCAGAGTGTGACTTTGCTGAGGCCCCATCGCTTTCCGTAGTATTGGCATTGTGACCACGTGATAAGGCTGAGAAAGATCAAGATTTGTGGTTGAATCTGTAGCGCAATGTTGTAGTCGGACACTACATTGTACACCCCCAGAGGGACGCCCGCTGCGGCCCAGGAGAGGAAAAAGAGAGGCGAGAGAGATTCCGTGTCATGGCGCCTCCAGTTCTTCCAGATCTGCGGGAGTAGCTAGACGGGAGTCAGTCAGATGCCGAACACTCAGCGCTGAGAGACAGGATGACCTACTTGCAGGGACCAGAGGACTGCGCCCAGTGTGCCAAAGACATTGGCAGCGACGGGACTGTCCATAAACGATAGGACCGTTGGAGTTGTCGTCGTTCATGGTCATCGGTTTGCATTCAGAGAGGAGACTTTTAGTAGGAAGCAGCCCCACTAATATTGCGTCCAAACCAACTACGGATAGTAGCAGCTTGAAAGCTGATGGCCAGGTATGAATTTAAAGAGCAACAATAAACAGATCACCAAGTGGCCAGCTAACAAATGAATAGTGTTCTCGCGCGACAACAGGATAGTATTGGCCATTATCCCACACAGTCACAGATGTGCGCTGGACTGGACACAGGTGTCCCAGCTGTTGATACACATGAACTAACCCTCTTTCTGTGATATTCCCTACATGTACTCTATGCAGCAGCCTTGTTCTTCCTCGACCTCTTCCTCTTCTTCTTGCCTTCGCCGACTTCACCAATAATGTTTCCCTCCTCCTTGGTCTCTTGCCCAAGAGGCGCGCCGCCAGCGTCACTCTCCGACACAAACTTCTCAAAGCCATACGTCGGCCCCGTCTTCTCATAGTCCTTGCCAAACACGTCGCGCCGCCACTTTTGCAACCTCTTCTTCTTGCTCAGGCGCTGCGCGTCCTTGGCCTTCTTCTCCTGGTCCCGCCAGTGCGCAAGCTTCTTGATGCCGGCGTAATCGTTCAGCGCGGCGTCGCTGGGCGCCAGGAGAATATCGCGGGCCGTCATGCCAAAGGTGAGGGGCTCTGTCTCGCGGTACTTGAAACCGCCGGAGCCAGAGGATGATGCCTTGTTGAGGAGGTCGTGGTGGGACAGCTCGAGCTTGGAGTCCACGAGGGCTTCGAGCTTGGCGCGCTCTTGACGGACCTTTTTCTGTGAATCGAGCTTGGCACGCTTGTGATCGGTCTTGCGCTTCTTTGACGATGGCGCCTCTTCTTCCTCTTCTTCGTCCTCTTGCTCCCCCTCGCCGTCGGCTGCTTGTTTTGTCTCGTCGTCGCTTAATGAGATCTTGGGCTGTTCCACGCCGTCGTCAAAGTCAGGCACGATGTCCTTAATGTCAATGTCATCGTCCCATTTCGGCTTCTTCAGGCGGGCCTTCTTGCCACCCTCGCCGTCTTCGTCGCCAGACTCCAGGGCGCCCTCGTCTTGCACGGCATAGTAGTCGTCACCAAAGCGCTTGTTCATCTCCTCTTCCCACTTGTCATTGTCCCAGGCGCCGTCCAAGAACTCGAGCCACTCGTCGTCTGTGATCTGCTTGCCAACGGCACCCGCCGCCTGCTTGAGCTTCTTGATCTTTTCTTCCGCCTCGTCGATTTTGAGCTTTCGCAGGCGCGCCTTGTCTTCTTTGCGCTGCTTCCTCTCCTGCTCTTTCTTCTCCTTCTCCAACTCTCGTCGTCGACTACGCCCCGTCTTGTCGTCCCTTCGCACCGAACGGGCCGCGGCGACGTCACGAGCATATGTCTTGAGGACCTCGTTGCTCTTCTCCGGGTCCTCGAAGCGCAGGTTGTACGCTTGCTCCCACTCGTCAGCCTTGTCATTGGTGTCGTCGCCATCGTCGGACTCAAAGGCCGCCCATCTCGATCCATCCTCGGGCACCCAGGCGCGCGCCGCCATAAAATTGGACAGGAACGTCTCGGGATTCTGATCAGCCGTTTCTACATCGACCGTGGGTTTCTTCTTCTTGGCAGCACGAGCCTCGACGGCTGACATCTTCGGTCCCTTTTCAACGTCGATCTTCTTCCGCTTCACCAGGAAGTCATCATTGTCGTCGTCGGAATCATCCTGACCAGCGGCGTGCATCTCTTTCACCACTGATTTCCTGAGCGCATCTTGCTGCTGCACATAGGTCTGTGGCGGCGCATCCTCGTCCTCGTCATCCGACGCTCCAATATCCCCTTTGAGAAGCTTCTCACGATGGTAGTCTTGTAGGTAGACCGGCTTTTCCTTCTTCTCCTTGGGTTTGGCAGCAGCAGCAGCATCGCCCACTTCCTCGTCAGGCTTGTAGAAATGAACTTTGCTGTCATAGACGCGGGGGTCTTTACTTCGCAAGGCCTGGAGCGTGGCGGATATTTGTGCGTCGAGGTCCTCGGTGGCGAGGAAGCCATCTTCGTCCTCGGTCTCGTCTGAAGAGGAATCATCGTCGTCGTTGTCTTTCTGATTCTTCAATTTCTCCTCGACTGTACATGTTAGCAATGACCGCACTCGTTGATTTCTAGCGGCACTCACGTCTGTGTCGCTCCTCGCGATTCTTGTTGTGCTCGAATCGCTTCGCATACTCCTCGTTGACCTTGAGATTGACAGGCGCCCCTCCATCTTCAGACTCGGACTCGCTCTCGTCGAGGAGCTTGCGCTTCGTGGATTTCGCCTCGACAGTAGGCATCGCGGTAGTCACAGAAGTAGCGCAGTCCTTCAAATGACTTTAGTTAGTGATGCGGTGTTCGTGGAACGGGTTGATGTGCTATCCGGTGATGGTCACGGCAGCCAGTGTCTACGGCAACTTTTTCTGCGACCTCAAACTTTTTGGTGGGGCCACATGCACCTGTACATTTAACGTTAGTGCGGATGTTGCGCCACAGCCCGCGCCACACCTCGTGCAGACGCTCTGCGCCTCTCTGGGGTGGCGCTTGAGCTGACCGTGACCATCGCTAGGCACTTGGTGACTGATCTTCGTCATCGCACTTGGTGACTGGATTGCCCGTTTAATCTTCACCTTTTGCATCCCGCCATAACCGCAGGCAACATCGAATCCTACCGATCACTCTCAACGCCTACTGCCACCCTCGTTCAGGCAGCACATTCCCGCCTGCGTAATCGCCATCTCATCACTGCTTCGCACGACGACCAGACTATCGCCCTGCACAGCTCCCTCTTCCCAAATCCTCGCAAACGGCAGATCCGCTCGCCCCAATTCCAGCAATGTCTGAATCCGCTCCCAAACCGAGCAGCAGTGTCAAGCTCGTTCTCCTCGGAGAAGCTGCCGTCGGAAAGGTATGATAAATCTCGCACCCACCGTCGGGTCTCCAACACTACTAACGGTGCCTTCCAGTCCTCCCTCGTCCTGCGGTTCGTCAACAACGACTTTCAGGAAAACAAGGAGCCCACTATCGGTGCTGCTTTCTTGACACAGAAATGCAATCTCCCCTCGCGCACGATCAAGTTCGAGATCTGGGACACTGCGGGCCAAGAGCGCTTCGCTTCCCTCGCTCCCATGTATTACCGCAATGCGCAAGCCGCCCTCGTCGTCTACGATCTCACCAAGCCGACATCCCTCGTCAAGGCGAAGCACTGGGTCGCCGAGCTACAGAGGCAGGCGTCGCCGGGCATCGTCATTGCGCTGGTCGGCAACAAGTTGGATTTGACGAGCGACTCCAAGACCGCAGACAGTGACGAGGAGGGCGCCGACGGAGAGGACGACAGCGGGGATGCCCGCAAAGTGTCCACCGAGGAGGCCAAGGCATACGCAGAGGAGGAGAGTCTGTTGTTCTTTGAGACCAGTGCCAAGACAGGGCACAACGTCTCCGAGGTCTTTACTGCGATTGCCAACGCGATCCCCGAGACGTCACTGAAGAGCGCACGCGGAGCCGGTGCGTCCAACACGGCTGCAGGCAGGGCGAGTGAGGAGCAGCGTGTGAACTTGGGGAATGCCCGAGAGTCAGGGTCCAAGGACAACTGCGCGTGCTAATTTAGAGAGGATGCGAGGAGGAAGTTTTTCTTGATGTTCTATTGCGTGAGCACTGTTCGTTGGTCTTTGTAGAGAAGGGTGCACATGGGAGTCCTTTTGGTTTGGGAGACGCTTGTCATTCTCCTACTTTGTCATGTCCTGGTTCTTGAGTTGGTAGGTTCAGTCAGTATTGCATAGTTTTTGAAACAACACCAACTGTACATGTGAGTCGGCCATATTTGAATGACCTCATGGCACCTGAAGAGAGAGAGACACCATTATGATCAAGATTTCAAACACCACCCCAGGTTTCGTGTTGATTGTAATTTAGCGGTGACAGCAATGAGCTCGCGTGCAACTATCAGAATGCACGGTACTTTAGGGTAGTCAAAAGACATGTGCTTCACCCCCCTTGACAGGACTCACACATTCACAATGTCCTCGTGACATTTCCCGCTGCGTGCACGAGAGATCTTGAAATAAATTCCATTCAGTCATCTGCACTCCTTCCAATGACCTCAGAACAGTCCCCATTCTGGCCCTTACGTATATCTTCATGCCAACCGGGACGACACAGCAATAAGGTTTCGCAACAGTCTGCAGGTTCTTAATGAGGGGCCCCGCTTTTTCTTTTCCGGCGCGTCAAAGTGTGCAACCAAGAGCCTCAGTCCTTCGGCTTCACCACGACCCTCATTCAACATCTGGACCACGGAACCCCGTTCTTGACAAACCGGGGCCGCCCGTGCTACCTCTCTATTCTACTGTTCGCGGATCATTTGTGCTGCCGAACGCCTCTACGACATCGATGCTCGCTACAGGCTCGCGTTAAAAGGCGACGACGGCATGGCTTCGTCCATCACAGATGCGCAGGCCGAGCTCATCAGGTGCGGGCTTCCACATGACTCAACACGTTGAGGAAACTAACGAAGAAATAGCTCTATGGCCCTGGACGACATCCCCATCAAGCTCCGATGCGCAATCTGCAGTAAACTGGCCGTCAACGCATACCGGTTGCCATGTTGTGAACAGGCCATCTGCGAAAACTGTACGTAGCTGAATGCGCGCATACACCATGTACGGAAGGATCAATGCTCACGACTATATAGGCCACAAGGATCTGCCCTCATCGTGTCCCGTCTGCGAACATTCCCCTCTCTCCGCTGAGGACTGTACCCCGAACAAGTCGCTGCGAACGACGATCAAGGTCTTCTTAAGGACGGCTGAGAAGAAGAGAGAGGCGGCCAAGGCCAAGGAAGCTACTCCCGCTACACCCTCGGAAGCAGCGCCAGCTGAGTCGCGTGAGGATGGCGGAGGCACCACTGTGGACGCTGTGGGCACGACCGCTCAGCCCGATGTGGACAGTGACCAGCCTGATCACCAAGGAGCTGGTCGCTCGGAGCAAGAGGTGTGTGACCGAGATTCAGCTCTACTTGCAGTCCATGCTAACGAATCGAAGGGCGGGGTGACCCAAGAACTTGCACACGACCCTAATGCCAATGGCGAAGCGGCAGATGTCCAAGATCACAATGGTCGACCTCAAGAAGAAAAAGAACAAACGGATCATGTGGATGAGAACGAGGAACAGAATCAAGGCGAGAGCGAAGTCGAAGGCGCCGAAAACGATCAAAACAATCAACAAGGCTTTGACCCGAGCATGATGAATGGCTTCCCCAACGCGAACATGGGAAACCAGGAAGAATACATGCAGATGATGATGGCCATGCAAAATGGCATGGGCAACTCGTTCGGCGGCTTTCCGATGATGGGTACGTTTCCCAGACCCCCCACTGCTCGCAACCAATGCTAACAAGACTCAGGCATGCCTGGCATGGGCATGGACCCCATGATGATGCAGAACATGTACATGAACGGTGGCTTCCAACAAGGCATGGGCATGGGCGGCGGTGGTTTTGGCGGAGGCAATAATTGGAACAATGGGTCTTGGAATTCATTCGACCAAAGTAATTTCAATCAAGTTGGTGCCCACGCTGCTGCTGGTGATTATAGTGGCGGATTTAACACGGGATTCCAGAACAACTATTACCAAGGACATCAGAACCAGTATGACTACCGAGGTCGAGGACGAGGCCGCGGGCGTGGGCGCGGCTTCTATGGAGGAGGCTACGGATACGGACGAGGAGGCTACAACAACCAATTCGGCGCCGCTGGGTACCAGGAGCAGCAGAACTACGGCCAAGCAGGGCAGAACATGGTTTCGGAGGGACAGCAACAGGGCGGCAGTCAGTCTGGCGATACTGTGGCAAAGCCGGAGGACGAGAAGATGGAAGGGGCTGCCGAGGGCATTGGCGAGGGCGCGCAGGATGCGCTGTACCCAGCCGCGACCCCCAATGGCCCTCAAAGTGCTGTGCCTCAAGGCCCTGCATCTAGCAACGCTGGTAGCGCTATTCGCTCTGTTCTGTCTGCGCCAGATGTTCCCCTTAACGCTCCCACTGGGCCAAAGGCCATGAGACAGGGTCTTCCCAACACCAGCCTGCACCATCTTCGAGCTCGCGGGCTTGTGCAAGACCAGCCGCCGTCGCAACAGCAGCAGCAGCAGCACGAGCGTTCCCAGAGCAGACACGACGACACGCAGAGGGACGGTGGGCGAAGTCGGAGCCGTGAGCGAAGAGAGGACGTTGGGGACATGCGCGGGGACTACTCACGTTCGCGGTCGCCTCGACGGGACCGCTCACGCAGTCGTAGCCGTAGTCGAGGCCACAAGTCCTCGTCGCGCAGACATCGCCGTCACAGGTCGCGTTCTAGGTCACAGGACACTGAGCGCCGATCTCGTAAACACCGAAGTCGCAAGTACGATGATGAGGATGGAGACGACGTGCACTCACGCAAATATGACGACGACGACACGAGATCGAGGAAGTACGACAATGACGACGAAGAGGCTTCATGTTCTAAGAGATATGAAGACGACAAGTACACGGAGCGTTCTGGTACGCCGTCATCAGAGCACAAGAGATCAAGCCACCGCTCCAGTCGCAGAGATGAGAAACGCAGCCACCGCCACCGGGACGACGACTACAAGCGCTCTTCGCACCGCTCCTCGCACCGCTCCAGTCGCGACCACGAGTCTACATCTTCTCGCCGGAGAGACAGAGACCGCAAAGAGCGCAAGCGGGAGAGTCGTCGTGGTTCAGCCGACGAAGGCGCAAAGACCGAGTCGCACGACCAGCAGAAGGGTTCCGTGCCCGCTACCACGACCACGAAGGACGCACACACCCTGGAACGAGAGGCGAGGGACAGGGAGCGTCTTCTCAAGGAAGCGCAACGACTTGCCGGGTTTCGTGGATCTAAGAGGGGCCGAGACGATGGAGGCGATGACGGCGGCAGCAGTCGAAGGAAGAGAAAGAGCGGACGGCGCGGCGAGGCTGTCAATGAGGAAGAGGACTGAGGGTGAGCGCGAAGCGGGACGATGGGACTGTTCGAGGCGAGTATTTGCGGATGCATGGAAGGGACCGTTTCTCATTCTAGAAGACATCATCTCTCTGCACCATATTTGTATCATTGAAAAGGGGGCCTGATTGGGGGAGGATTTAAGGGGTTTTCTTGGGCATTGCATAGACTCAGGGACGGCACCTGGGGAGCTGAATCTGTCTGCCAACTTGCTCATTGTTGTTTCCACATATTGCAAATCTTTACTTCCGGTCAAGACTGACAATTGGAGCTCCGAGTGCTTGTGACCGGCGGGCTTGCTCTGCGGTACAAAGTCGCGAATCGAGAGGGGTCCGCCGGCTGCTGTTTTCCGGATCGCCAGACCATGTGTGATACTATATATGCAAGGCATTTTGCTCAGTAGCTATTTGAATCAGAATCTGGTTTATGAAAATACAATATTCAACGACTTGGTCAGTATTAATCAAATATCAGTAGCATCATCATGGCTTCCGCTTCCCAGAACCAAGAGCCCTTTGTCAGCATCTCCTTTCTCAAGAAGAGACCAGACATGACGCTGGAGCAGTTCTATCACCACTGGGAGCATGTTCATGGGCCTCTGGTGAAGCCATGGATGGAGAAGCACGGATTCCTGTCCTACACACAGGTAAGCTTGTCACTCATTCTTCGACCAGGCAGTCAACTAAAGACACATTAAAAAGGTCCACGCAACACAGGAACTCAAACAGGCCGCCAAGCCCATCGGCCCTGAATCGTCCACCAATGCCCTCTTGGAGTACGACGGTGCCGCCATCATCCAGATCCCCTCGTTTTCTGTATTTGAAACTGCGTTCCAGGATGAGTACTACAAGACGGTGATCGCAGAGGATGAGCTGAGGTTCCTGGATAAAGAAGCCGGTGTGGTGCGGACAAGGGGCGAGGCCAAGCATATTGTCAAGGTACTGTAGATCATCATGTATCACGGCGCAAAGTCAGGTGAATATGGCTCCGCATTGGCGCCTTTGAATGTAGTAGCTGTATGCAACCCCGTGCTTGGTATCTGGTTATACGCGTGCGTTTTCCTCCTCTTGAATCAATAAATCCCCTGCGTCCGATATTGGAAGGTATCATAGCTATGTGTGATTAGTCTCGGGGGTGAGCCAAAAGTGCGGGCAGGGCTACTCACAGTCGTGTGTAATAACTGCCGAAAGACTTGCCAATGAGGTCCGTCTCGACGAACTGCTCCGCCTCCTTCTCACTGAGATGCAGCTGAAAGCGTTGGCGGAGAGTGTTCGTCGCGTGCGCCACACCGACCGCGAAACAGGGCATGCGCGATTCGTGGCCCATCATGGCGACTAGGTCAATGATGTTGTCCGCTGAGCGTCGGAGAGCTGTACGTGTTAGTCTGATGGAGGGGACAAGTGGTAAGTTGTGTGATAGAGACATACCCTGGAACGCTTGCTTGCACAGCTTCTTGTAATCCTCGAAATCCTGCGACCCAATGCCACCCAGTACATCCACGTACTCGTGTGTCAGCTTGAACGGGGCTGCCTCGAATCCTACAGATCCAGGCGAGTTGGACAACATGAAGCCAAAGTCAATGTGGACAATGTGACCTTCGCTGTCGATCAAGACGTTGCCGTTGTGCCGATCTTTGAGCTGTAGAATGTACGAGATCATGCTGTATGCGGCCAGTGACCGCTTGAATGCCTCAACGCCTGCTCGGTATGGCTTGCTATCGGGATGTCCAAACGCTTTCAGGAAGTGGTCCTTTAGAGTGGCGATGCGATGTCGTGGGTTCTGCCCGGATTCGATCGACGCCAGCGTCAAGCTGCGCTTCAGAGAGTGCAGCGAGACACCATTTGTAATCGTCTCAATCAGGCCAGATGACTCGCCTGTCACAAGGATCCGCATGAGCTTGACCCAAACGTCCACCTCGGCATCGAGCCAGATTTTATGACACACTTGGATAAGCTGGCAAGCAAATGCCTCTTGCCGCAGATCAGAGCCGGTCTTGACAATCACACTGACCAAGTCCCAGTTCTTCATCCAGCCATAAGGGGATGATTTGCGGATGCGTTCTTTTTTGGCTTCCCATGCCTCGCCAAAGACGGCGGCACTTGGGTCATCGCGATCGCCTCGGCGTTGCACGCCACCAGTCTTGAAGTCGTTTTCCATACGCTCCCTTCCGGCACTGGCATTGATGTTGGTGTCCAGTGCTTTGTCGAGGGGCGCGTCCTCATCTAGATCAGGATTGTCTATGGGCGGTGACGCAACGCTGTTCTTGGCGATAATCGTGTCGAACGTCGGCCCTTGATCCTCCGTGTCAAAGCTCTGCTCCTCTAAGCTTTGCATGCTGGCAATGATCTTGGACCGAATGGCGGCTACTTCCTGCTTTGGCCGTTTCCCGCTGTTGGCTTCCAACTGCGCCAGCATCTGCGACGCTGTCCGCATGTGCGTCGCCAGGGCTGAGAAATCCGGTTGATCGGCAGCTTGCGGCACGGGCCGTGGCAAGTTCAGCGTCATCTTCCTTCCTCCTGGGCTGCTTGATCGCGACGCCGACTGTCCCGAGGTCCGCGGCGTCACTGCTTCCAGAGTTGTCGATGATGTGGTTGCACCACTCGAAAGCCGCTGCACGCTTTGCGGCGGTAGGGACCGCGGCGGGAATTTGGCAGCAGGCTCGTCATCAAACGGCTTTAGCATGGGTGAGCTGCCCAGATCACCAGAGACCGGCTCGAAAACACTGTCAAGGACTGGTTCCGCCGGTGGCACTGGTGTTTGAGTGACCTTGGGCGACTCTGAAGACAGGTCAAATAGGCGCCTGGAGGTGCCCCCTTCTCCGATCAGCTTCCCCAGTAATCGTTGGTTATCCGGTGTATCTGGGTTGAACGTAAAGTCGTCCCTGAGGACCTCCACCATCATGAGGTACGGGACCTTTTCCGCACTGTTGAGAACGGTCGACTCGGCAGGATTGAGGCGCACGATGCGATGGTGGCAACTTTTCCCAGGCTGTCCTTCTACCAGAGCGGGCGGACAGATGACTGGGATGTCGACCTCGGCCGGTAGATCCTGCGAGATCAGTGCCAACTCGGCTCGCAGCGCGCTCATGCGGGCTGGTTTCGGCACAATGACAAGGCGATTTGAGATGCCTTCCAGGGCCGTGAGGAACTGCGTCTGCGACCTAAAGTAGTGCTGCCTCAACAATCCCACCTTTTGCGCCACTGAAAGATCACTGTTTATCCCTAGGCCTTTGACGTGATGCGAGTGCCTCCTCTTGATGTTGTCGCCCGGCCTTGGACTAGTACTGCTTACAGACATTGGCGACACGGGTCTCGTGGGCACCTTGGGCGACGGCAGTGGCAGCGAAGCCGAGCTCAGTCTTGCCTCGAGCGACGACAACTCCAGCGCAGACGGCCGCTTGCTCTCACTTGTGCCAGGTCTCGACTTCGACTTTGGGCTGGTTGGCTTGGAGCTCCGTGGTCTTCCTTCCTCGCCGTCGACATGACTCGAGGCAGACGTTGCCTTGGGCCTCTTTGCCAATTTCGAGCTGGATGCCGTGACTGTCTTTGCGCGTTGCGGCTTGGGACCGTCCTTGTCCTTCGTCTCCATTACCGGCACCAAATCGTTCTGCGGTTTCCGCGCCTGCGCAACAGCCAGGGGCCCAGCCCACTGGGGGATCATGGGCAGCGCCACACTGGCCAAGACGAAGCTGGACAGAACCGTCACGGGGAGCACATTTTCCTTGATCTTCTCGTGTCGCCCCGCATCCGCCAGGCCGAACACGATATGCTGGACCTTGTTGTACACGCGGCGGCATGTCTGGAATGCATTTGTCGAGGGATTGTTGGAGAGGTCGTGCAGGTAGGTTTGGAACAGCCAAAAGGTAAGCAGTGCGGCGGTGACGGACTCTTCGCATAGATCGAGCAGAAACTCCTCCAGGGCCATGGACTCATTGTCGACGGATATTATGAGGTGGCAAAGTTGCGGCAGGAAAAACTCAATGTCCTCGTAGGGGAACTGCCGGAGCTTGTTGCACAGGACATAGTGGATGCCGACATGGTCGGCATAGCGCGAGAGGTAGGAGACGGGGAGGAAGGGATTCGAATTGAAGACGTCGGATTCGAGGAAGCGCTGAAGCAGGTCCCACGACATTGGGTTGTCTGGCTCGGGAGCTGGTCGTGTAGGTACGGTTGAGGACGGGATTAAGGCGACGAGGAGACGTGGGAGAGATGGCAGTGGTGCGTCATCTGAAGGAGTTCACAGCAGCAGCGGCGGCGCGTTTGCATATCTCGTGGCAATTCGGTCCGTGGTTCGTGTGGCCTTCCAGCGGCTGTGTCATGGGCGTGCGGTCCAAGGAGAGGATGGGTGGCAGTTTAAATGGTTGTTGCGGGCAAGTTGGGGAAGCAAGGTGTCTTGATGCTAGTACGGGGTGGACGTATGTGGCCACTCATGGCGGAGAGTCAGAACCCCACTAGTACCTGGTATGCATTCAGTGAATACCCCGGGCCTCTGACTGCTTTAACAAGGTGCCTAACCGATTGACAATGCATTGACGGAGCGTCTGCTGTTAGAAACTAATTCTCAGACATCTTTGTCCGTGTGTGGGCGGCGGTGATCACGAGCTCGACGCCGCTTCATGTCATATTAATCACGTAGTAGCTCACGACCGCGTTCCCGGATATGTCTAATTTACTGGGTGGTCTGCCCAGTCTGCTGTTGTATCACCGGAAGAGCCCCAACGCCTCATGATGCAGTAACCCCATTCGCCAGACGTCGCGCCTCAAAAACACGCTCAAAGGGCACATTGCGCGCTACAGGCGCATCCGCTACTCAGCGGGAGCCTTCTTCTTTCTCCCTCTGCCTTTCTTCTTGGGCTCGCCGGTTTCCCCTTCGCTTTCGGTCTCGGCCTTTGGCCTCCCCTTGCCCTCCTTCTCCTGCTCGGGCACTTTGCCAACAATCTCCTGAAGAAAGTCCCACTGAGGATCGTTCTCGACGACATGCTTCAGCATGGGCGCGGTGACTCGCTTAGTGCCCTTGGCACGGGCGATCTCTGCGCTCTTGGTGACGAGTTGTGACATGAACAGCTCAAGAGCTTTGCCAACGGCAATGGGGGTTTGTTGCGCCACCTTGCCTACCTCCTCGTCTGCCTGCATGATGCGCTTGATGCGTGCTGTAGGAAACTTGGTGCGAACGGGGCCAGCCTCGATAGGTTCCAGTGTCCTAGTATCCGGCGGAATGGCCGACGGGCCACCTGCCGTGCCATCGTCGGCTTCTACTTTGAAGTCCCTGTCAGCCTCGTGATCGCGCTCTCCTTCGGACATGGATGGCTCTGAGGGCATTTCTGGAGCAATCGGAAACGCCTCCTGCTTCAAGGCGTCGCGCGAGGCCGCAGCAGCCATCATGGCAGCCTGTCTTCTAGTCGGCATGTTGGGATCTTCCAATGGTTGTGGAACTAGTGGAAGTGGTTGATGCGGATGGTTATAAACCGGGTACCCTGCCGGCGAGGGATGGCCGTATGGTGGCAGCTGTGGTTGACTGGGTCGATGATAGGGATGATGTGGTGTTCGCGGCGATGCTTCACTGAACTGTGTTGCGAAGTTGCCTGACGAGGCAGAGCTCGACCGTCTGGGTGGGATGTAGGATTGCGGTGACGATCCGTACGGATACGATGGTCGTGATGATTGAGGTGTTAGAGGCGGTAGATACGGCGTGCGCTTAGCAGCCGCAGTGTTGGACGAGGTCTCTAGAGTCAGGTGGGATGGTTGCAGTGGCGGATGAATGTTCTCCTGCTGTGGAGGGTACTGATGCCTTGGTTGGTGATGCTGGTATTGCTCGTTTGGTGTGGGGCCGCCGCGACCAGCAGCGAAATTGATGGCTGAAAGGTCGGGAGACTTTGGAGCGTACCCCGACATGATGAAGAGGGACGGACGCCTGCCGCCTTTATTTTGGCCCTGTCTGCTTGGCTCGACGCCGTTTTAGTGGGTTCGCGATAAGATAAGAGCTCCTTGCCGGATTTGGAGGGGCAGGCTAGGCTGATGATGCTTTCTGAAACTTGTATCCGTACTCCGTGCTCTGTAGAGGAAGAAGAATGTTGTCAAAAACCCGTTGGTCGTTGGTCGTCCCCAAAGAAGATCCTGAACGGCCAGAAACAGAAGAGAACAAGTCGTGCGTCAGCTGCTGCTTCCGTTCTCCTAGGGCAGGCAAGTCCTGAGTGACCGGAAGGAAGGATCTCCAGTCTGTGGTGCTTGCCGTCTCCAGTCGCTGAAAGGAATAAGGTTTGCCGAGCAACAAGCGGCGTCAAAACACCGACAAAATAGATAAGTAAGTAGGCTTATGAAGGCACTTGATCAATCGTCAAGCAACAAGCAACGGCCGTGAGTATCTGTTGCTTCTGCAGGCAATGTGACAAAAAAAGATATGTTGGTCAAGGCCGATATAGGTCAAAGGGAAGCAGCCGATTGGTTAGACTGGCAGCAGGGCGTAAAAAGCGTGGGTGGGTGTACAAGACGGCGACGGCGACGGAGTTGGCAAGCTGTCGCGGCAGGGAACGCCGGCCGTTTATATGCGCGTCGCGCTTCCCCCTTTGTCTTTAAACGTGCTGCCCTGAGGGGGGGCCACCACCAGATGCCATTTGGCCCGAATAGGAAAAGATGTGGTCATCGCAAACTCAGCCTCCCCGTCGTCCATAGACGGCGTTTGATACACGTCCACCGTTGGACACCTTTTCTATGTACATACTTCACAAGTATGATTTTTGACCTGACTGTGTTGCAATTCTGCCTCGCTCGCTCGGACTTGAATTGACGTGTACCATTCTCCACGTAGCATTGACGATGCGCATCATGACGCGCCCTAAGTTTGGTGCACTTTGCGATTCATGTTGTGATGACTCATCCGTGTTGCAACGCGACCCAGGTAGTCCAACTACAACTTCGCTGCTGATTTTTCGACGTTGCCTCCCAGGCTCCAGCACCACTAGTCTAGTACGTACGTACACGAGCACTGGCTGCTTGCCCGCGACTTGTATCCTCGATTCCTCGCCCTCCAGGCCCTGAAATGTGCAGCATTGCTGACCCTGTCGCGTGGCCTGCCTCGTGCCAGTGAGTCGCGGCATGACCGGAGACATTCTACCTGCCTGTGTTAGGCATCCACAAGGTGAGCAGACGCTCCAGTCTTCCAGCATACCATTGCCTACTTTCATGAAGAGAAACATCCGAGCTTTTCAAACCGAGATGGTAGCGCAACCAGAGAACCGAGTTTCTAGGCTAAGGGTCTTTGGTTTGCTTCCAACTACCATCGATGACCATTTTTAACTTGATCTAATCTGACCTTTTATTCCCGTTCATCATCCCGTGTCGATCCATTCTGCAGTGAATCTCATTAACCATGCATCGCAGACCATGGAGCCTCCTCTCCCGCGTGTTCGACAAGAACAACGATGCCACCGGCCAGGCGTGGATGCCCGCCTCGATCTTCTGCCCTCTAACCTCCAGGCCGAGCCGTTTCAGCTCCTGGAGAAAGTGCTCAATGTCAGGTGCAAACACCTCTTCCTCGCCGTACATGACGTGGTAACCTTTCTCTGGACATGCCGCCAGCCAAAGCGCATCGTCTATGCATGAGCCTGGCGAGGCAGGGGACTGGTTGATCATCGATTCCCCAGCGTACTCGTGTGCGTACTTCCACAGCGTCTTACGATCCAGAAAGTCTACCTTGGACTCGCGGTGGCGATGCGTCATAAGTGTCACCCATGGGGAGATGAGCGTGGCCATACGTGGCAGTGGCAGCATGGGTGGCCGCGGACCTGTCAGGCCGCCCTGCGACGCATTGCGCCTCTTCTGTGTGCGCTTTTGATTCCCGAGTTCGTGAAGTAGACTCAACACTATGCAGCCGCCGGCAGAATCGCCGGCCACGCAGACCTTGGAGGCTGATTTGGCGTAGTCCAGAACGTGCTGGTAGCCGCTCAGTGCCTCGTGGATCTGACGCGGGTAAATGTCGTCAGGCACGAGTGTGTACTCGAGAGCGAAGATGGCGGGATTCTTGTAGCCAGCCTCGAGCAGGAGAGCGTGCCAGACCATGAGGAACTCCAAGTAAAAGTAGGCCGAACCCATCGCGAAGCCACCGCCTATGTAAATTGTGAGTGAAAGTCCTGCAGATGCAGCCCTCCATACGTACCATGGAGATAGTAAAGCACCAGATCAGGAGGCTGCTCGGGTCTATGCATGACCCATATGCCTCTCATCTGATCTCGTCCCTTTCCGGACACGTACTCTTTGTAGCAGACTGGGCTCCTCACAAAGCCGTGCCTCAGCATCCTCCATCTGAGAAATGGCATAGCCACCCATTTCGAGAAGAATATCCGACCCACACTGTTGGGGACATTGGCAAAGGCATAGCGCACGCATCGAATGACCAAGTCTTCAAAGAAGGTCGATGACGCTGTCCACGCATCTTTTTGACGATCTATAAAACGCTGCTTCACCAATTCAACAGGTAACTTGCATACTGCGTAGCGTTAGCGACAGGAAGGGAACTGGCCATGGACAACGTACTTAGGAAAGGGAGGCAGCTGCCTGCGACGAGAACTGTACGGATGAGGCCGACATGTAGAATGAGCTGTGGAGCAAGGAAGACGACGAAGACGAGGCAGTCGATAAGACTGACAGGCCCGAGTATCATGATGGGTGCATGCGGTTTTGCAGAGCTGGAGGACTAAAGAGACCTGCCACGCTATCACAGGGGTGCAAAGTCGCTGAATCTGGTCTTCGAGGAAAACTGCGACGGTAGTGGGCAGAGGACATGGATCCAGTCGATTGCTGAGGGCGGCGACGTAAGCCTCCAGCAGTACGTAGTGACGTCGTAGAGGGATGTGTGGAGGGCTAATAGCGCCCTATTACCTCAAACGGACGAGGTGAAAACTACTCTAAAACAAAATATGCCCACATCGTTCAAATAGTGATCCATATCAAGCGTTTCCTTAAGGCTTATACCTCGTCAATGTTCGTTGTATGCAATTCTGTCGATCGATGATTCCCAGGTTCCGGCCCCACGTTAGGTCGCCTGCCGAGAGCCTGGCGATATTCAACGCAGCACTCTGCAATTATTGAGCCTATCCAGGTTCACTGGACGACTATTCATGGCGCGTTCAAAATCTCGATCATGTTGCGCATTTCAGTCCGCCCACTGGGCACACGCGCCCTCACCAGAGTGGTCGAGCGCGTACAAGTGAAAGGCTCATCACAGCGCCTCGTTTATTGTGTCACCCACCATGCCCCTTCGCATCCAGTCCCCTGCATGAGTGCATCGAGTGCCTCTCATCGCGTGGCACTGCCAGTTTACCTCACGTCCTACTCGCGAGGGCACGCTCGCACAACTCGCACTCACCCTGAACAACGCGTTGGCTATCATTGGCATAGTCGTGACGGTACTATGGGCGATAAAGGCGATGAGGGGTCAGACCCTCCATTCGCGCTTACGGACTTGGACAGACAAGTCCTCGCACAAACAGACGAGGAATTTCAGAAGCACAGTTGGGAGGACATCAAGCGCATTATTGGTGAATGAGTTTCATACCCCACGTTCTGACGGAAAGCTAACGGGACAGACACCAATGCGCTCGACGCCTTTAAGCGTACACCTTCCGACCTTAGTCGGTACCTGGCTTGGACTAGAGGCGTCAAAGCACAGTACGGCACCGTGACCTCGTACATACTCGCCAACCGGCTGCCTGAATCATGGGGACAACCTCCCTTCACGCCAGCTTCCACTATCCCATTCGCCGACCCCTCGGACTACAAAGTCCTCATCAACGACTGGCCGTACGGAACGGAGCCAGGCATTGTCCATCTCGTCGTGTGGACACGAACGCCCATTGCTACTACGCCCGAGAAAGGTGACATAACGCCCGAGAGCAGAGCCCACATTGCCAGATTCGTTGAGGAAAACTTTGTCAAAGACTTGGGCCCTGGTGGTGGTGATAAAGTCGTATGGTTCAAGAACTGGGTCGCCTTGCAGAGTGTGCGCGCCTTGGAGCACTTCCACATCATGGTGCGAGACGTTGACGACGACACACTGGAGCGTTGGTCGGGCGAGCGGCCGAGATGGGGCGCTGACGGCCGACAAATGTCCTCAGCATCGTAGTTGCCGCAGAGCGAATAGACTTGTTAGGCGGCGGCCCTGCGCGAACGGCGATTGCCCTGAGGAGCTTGCTGGTCTTCACCGCCCGCCCCTTGCATCTGGGCCATCTTGGATCTGCCCATGCCCAGCAGTCCCGATCCCAGGTACAGCCCGTACGCGGGAAGAGAAGCCCAGAGAAGCCAGCCCCAATTGCCAAACAGCATGACACATACCAGCGAGGCCCAGGTCACCCAGACGACGTCGAACATGTACTCTGTCAGGCCAGGCGCGTTGAGGTCCTCGCCCGAGGTGCGCAAGGCCTTGGTCTCAGGGTCATATTTGGGGCGACCCGAGGACTCCAGGATATATTCGCAGATGAAGCTGGGTACTGACAGGAGCCCGTAGGCGAGCAGTGAGCGTGACCTGAGCAGGAAGTGAAAGGCCAGGAAGACAGCATGGACAGTCGCAGTGCCAATGTGCAGATTGTTGAGTGCGATGCCGTTGGACTTGGCCCTGTCCTTTTTCGCCTTTTGCGCCATAGCGAGGGCGAGCTTGAAAGTGATTACTGAGGGTTGAAAAGATGTGATCGGTCTTGAGACTTGACCTGTGGTGAAGTGGCGTGAGTTGCGCTGATTCAACGCTGTTGCTGGGCAAAGCTTCTGTAGCGGCTGCGGCGGCCAATCAGCAGCGCCGTTCAGCCGCAACAACAATGTAGGTCCCTCTTGCAGCCCATCGCGACTGCAAGGGAAAGCACGCGCCTGGTCCTCGAGTCCGTTCGTTGCACTGCACGCACGCTGCCCCCTCACCTTTATCAGCACTTACTTGGTGACCCAAGGCTCAAGACAACAACTGGAAGCCTAGAAGGAAGACTTAGCCATGGAAGCAGACCTGGCTTGAGACGCTACTTCCCCCTCGAACGACCTGGCACATCACTCTCGTTCACCTAGAATTCCGACACTACGTTCACGACGGCACAGTCGGTCAACGCCAGCATTTCCATCCAGAGGCTCTCCTATAACGACGACATCTCAACCGCACTTTGGATAGAAGCCAGCGCTTCTGCATTGGACGAAGTTACGCACCGAGACCATACAACCGTGCATACATCATTGCTGTCTTGTTGTGCATCCCGCTTCACGATCAACAATCCCACGCGACCCGACTGACGGTGCCTCATGGCCCACCAAATCCCATAAGGCCTTGCCACTATACGAGCCGAGATTGACGGCCTGAAGATGGCACCGACGCCTGCGGCCGTCACGGGTCTACTACGCCAATCCGCCCAATACCATCTCGACAACGCTAACTACGACAATGCCCTGTTCTTTGCCGAACGACTTGTCGCACACGATCCCAAGACATCAGAAGGGCCATATCTATTAGCAACGAGCCATCTTCTACTACGGGACTACCGATCCGCCTACGATACATCGAGAGTGGCTGCGCTGAGAGGCGGCCATCTGGGCTGCACTTGGGTGTTTGCGCAAGCATGCTTGTCACTGGAGAAGTTCCAAGAAGGGATTGTCACCCTGGAAAGATCTAAGTCGTCTTGGAGCTACAAAGTCAATGTCGGAAAACATTCACCCACCACAAGGGCGGCGAACCCTGATGCGTCTGTCATGTTATGCTTGCTCGGCAAGCTGTATCGAGCGTCAGACGACAGTAAAAGGGCAGCTGCTTGCTTTGAGCATGCGCTGAAACTCAACCCGCTCATGTGGGACGCCTTCACGATACTCTGCGACATGGGCGTTTCGGTCAGGACACCCGCTGCCTTCAAAGGATCGGAGCAGTTGCTGCAAAGCCTCGGACAGGACCACTCCATGGTGAACGAGTCCAAGGAGAACGGAGCTCCGATCGATCCTCATGCCAGAAAGGGACTTAGCAGACATGCTACCGCCCCTGCTGCCATGGCAGACCCCTTTGGCCCAAGCTCGACTGCGGATGACGATGTAGAGATGACCGCCGCGCCATCCAATGGCCTCTTGTCTAAGATCCAGGCGGCCAGGCTGAGGATTGTTAACGGCCACACAGCTGAAGCCGCGCACGGCTCTCATGACGATGTGTTGGCCCCCAGAGGCCAAGAGCCGCCACGCGCCCCTGCCCGGCGCACGCGTGCTGCGCAGGGTGTAATGGACGCAAGTTTGGAGCCACCTCCCCGGGTGAACTATCGGGTCGGGGCGAGGAGAATCCGAGAGCAAGAGAAGGAGGAGCAAACACGAGCTGTGGTGGACGCTGTCTACCAAGAGATGGACCCGGCGAACGGGCCCGAGAGGCAAAGGTCGGCAATACCTGGAGTTGAGCGTAAGCGAACCGTGTCTGGGCATCCTGTCCCCCGACCAGCGAACGCGGAAGAGACTGCTCCACGACGGAGTGGGCGGCTGAACACATTCCGACCGACTGCAAAGGCAAATTCAACAGCAACAAGCACTGCCCAGCCCGCGGCACGAGAGCTGAAGAAGGCTAGAACCCAAATCTCGCGCATTGTCCGACCAGGCTCGAGCGGATCCAATGTTGGTAGAGTCGTCAGTGGTAACCGCAAGCCCGTCGAAGATCGTGGAGACGACCACCATGGCGAGCAACCTCGCATCCGCGAGGTGTCGCATACGGCCCCGCCCCAAAAGCATGCCGAGTCAGATACGATCAAGATCGAGGAAGCGTTGCGCGTGGTACTTGACCTTTTGAAGAAACTGGGGGCTGCGTATTATCACCTCTCCAAATACGAGAGCGACGCAGCGCTACAGGCACTGAGCTCGCTACCGGCCGTTCACCAGGGTGCACCATCAGTCCTCGCGCTCATGGGTCGCGCGCACTTTGAGCAAGGCTCGTATCTGGAAGCAGAGACGCTTTTCCGCAAAGTACGCGACAAGGCGCCTTCGCGGCTGGTGGATCTAGAGGTATACTCTACGGTACTTTGGCATCTCAAGAAAGAGAAGGAACTCGCATTTCTGGCACACCAACTCATAGAGTCATCATGGGAATCGCATCAGGCATGGTGCGTGTTGGGAAATTCGTGGTCGCTGGCCAAGGATCACGACCAGGCACTGCGGTGCTTCAAGAGGGCTACCCAGTTGAGTCCAAATTTCGCCTACGCGTGGACGCTCCAGGGCCATGAACATCACGACAACGAGGAATTTGATAAGGCCATTACAGCTTACCGAAAAGCACTCTCGGCCGACAAACGCCACTACAACGCTTACTATGGGCTCGGAAGGGTGCAAATGCGCCTCGGTGCGTACGGCAAGGCATTAACCCATTTCAGGACGGCCGCTGAGCTTAACCCTTACAATGCCGTCCTGGTTTGCTGCGTCGGAAAGGCGCTCGAGAAGCAGAAGCAAATCGCGCCAGCAGTGACCGCCTATAGCAAAGCGGTAGAGCTTGCACCGCAGGCAGCACAGATGCGCTACATGAAGGCCCGTAGTCTCTTGTTCATGGGAGAGACAGAGCTCGCACACCGGGAACTCATGGTGTTGAAGGACTTGGCCCCCGAGGAGGGAACAGTGCACTTCCTGTTAGGAACGATGTATCGCAACATGGAGAAGAGACAGGAAGCTGTACGCCACTTCACCATCGCGCTAGCTCTGGATCCCAAGGTATGTGCCACCACAGCCGTCAATCAGCACTGGACTAACATCTGCAGGCCGGCCCTAAGATCAAAGACGCGATTGAGAGGTTTGAGTACGATGACCCCATGCAAGATTCTATGATTGAATGATCAAGAGGGAAGATTCCTTATTAGGAGGCAGTACACCGCGTGGATCAGGGTCACGATATCATGTTGCATGGCACGGCGTTATTGGGTATGATGGGGCGAAGCATGCTTTGACCGGCGGCTTCGAAGATGAATGTTGTGTACAAGTACTAAGCGAGCGAGGGCCGTCTAGTATATAGGACGCGGACAACCTCGTGATTACATAGGGCATGAAACAACTGCGGTTGTATCGACGACTTGAACGCATGTTGCCACCGCGCGCTCTCAAGAGGGTTAATGATTATCAGGCATTCTATAACTGAAGTTACCGAACGTGCAACCGATCTTTCAATGTGTACTTAGACACCAGGTACGGAGTAGTACTACGTACGTCGCGCCTGTTACTTCCAAGGCCTCCCAACCGCGTAACGTAACGAGGATTCCCCACCCAGAAACGGCGGCTGTCACGGTTGGCATAACGGTCACGGAACTGCAGCCCAGATCAGCCCTCCAGAAATCAGTAAATCGCACGCCCCCTCAGCCAACCAAAAATCGCCAAACAGTACCAAGACGCGCTGCAATCCGCGCGTCCCAATTAGGCCTAGCGCACTGATCCGCGATGTAGCAGTTACTGATTGCGTGCCACCTTATAGTTGTCGCACCCCCCGCATCGACTTTGGTCCTCCATCCTCCGTAACGCGTCTTATTGTCAGCATCCGACAACGTCATCAACAACACACAGTTTTCAGTAACATCACTTCTTCATCAACATCATGACTGGACGTGAGTAGACCTTTGGTCTCTGCATCGATGACTTCCATACTGACAATGCACAGGCGGCAAGGGTGGCAAGGGCCTCGGCAAGGGCGGCGCCAAGCGTCACCGCAAGATTTTGAAGGACAACATCCAGGGCATCACCAAGCCTGCCATCCGTCGTCTCGCACGTCGTGGTGGTGTCAAGCGTATTTCAGCCAGTATGTTTGACGCGTCCCCTGTCAAGTAAAACGCGACTAACAGACGCGCAGTGATCTACGAGGAGACCCGCGGTGTTCTCAAGACCTTCCTCGAGGGCGTCATCCGTGATGCCGTCACCTACACTGAGCACGCCAAGCGCAAGACCGTGACCTCGCTAGACGTTGTCTACGCCCTCAAGCGCCAGGGCCGTACCCTCTACGGTTTCGGTGGTTAAACACGTTACCAAGCCATCTTTTGCTTTTACTGGGCGTTTGGGAAGGAAGGCTACTAGGCGGACGGACAGATCGGGCGTTAGATGGGATACCAATGATGATTTGTTGAACAATAATCCATGTTGTGATGCGCGCTCTGATGAATGTGACCATGTGCGGAAATGCTGGAATGCCGCGACCACGGGCGCGTGGCTGACTCCCCAACGCCTTGTGAACCCGCCACCAATCTATAGATATTTACGCCCCGCTGCCGCCACCCTCTGCCGGAACACTGGACTCTTGACCTCCATGTTGTTCTGGTAAAAGGGACTCATGACTGCCTTAACCCAGTTTTCGTAGACCTCTTGGAAGAAGAGCTTGATCGCTTCCTCTGTCGCGGGACTCGTAGGATTCGCCCCGATCGCAGTCGAGCTCCTGCTCCCACTGCCACCCGTATTGTTGAGTGGGTGATGCAGCAGCAGGAACTTTACGTTGGCGCCTGTGACGAAGCACGAAATGTAGTTGTCGAAGAACTTGTCAATGCATTTGAGATACATCGATCCGTGCGCCCACTGTACTTCTTCGGCAATGTCGAGCGAGGAGTGCAGGATAAACTGGTTCAGATGGCGGACTTGGTCGGAGAAACGCGAGAGGCCGTCGTGGCCTTGCTTAGAGGTGCCGAACTCGTACTCGAACAGGGGCGCGTCTTGGGTGCCGACGATGGCGAAATAGTAGCTCATGATGTTAACGGCGGCGCACGCGCACAAAGGCGCTTCAGTCTTGGTCGAGGTGCCTGCCTTTCTTTGCTTGGTGGTGAGGTGCAGCACTGTCGGAGCCAGCCAGGCAGCCCCACGATGCGCTAGGACGAACCGGGCGTCGCGATATTCCGCTCCACTCAAATTGATGCCACTGCACTCTCCTACTACCAGCCAAAAAGCTGCATCGGCCGGTTTTCACGTCCGGGTCCCAGGAGCATTCACGATCCACGCCGGACAAGACGACGCGACAATGTTCGGCCCCTTTCGCATCACGAACCCCCTGTCGGGCGGTCTCCTCTGGAAGATCCCCTGGCGCCTGTCGAAATTTCAGAAACGCCGCCACAGAGAGCGCATGCGCGCAGTTGACGGGGTCATCGCGACGGTCGACGCCGCACTGGCCAAGCAGGGCGAGACATTGGAAGCTCTGGAGCGGTGGAAGAGGGAGATGCCGACCGAGGCGGAGATGCTGCCACGAGACAAGTACACGGTGTTTGATCGCAAGGCGAAGCGGTACAGGAAGGGCATCCACAGTGAGTGGCACCGGCAAGACTTGGGCCAGCATCGTGGACTGACACGTAGCAGAAGTACCAAAGTGGACAAGAGTCAGCCAGAGGGTCAATCCTCCTGGTTACTAAACGAATGACATGCGAGGCGGATTCTCAACCAGCGGATAGCGAGGCAGGCGACAAGAGCACCGAGCCAGATGGGCACGCGAGACGAACCAGAGAGGTCTTCAAAGTCAAGAGATCTTCTATTCTATTGACCCCCCAAAAACTGTACAATAATGTTTGATCTGGAATTGGCAAGGATAGATGGTGCATTTGGGAAGCAAGAATTGGCATTGTACACTTCTATTGGAGCTCGTAGCCATCGAGCATATGACCTAGCAGATGTCAATTGATCTGCTCATAAAGTGATCCTGGGTATGCCCTTGATGTGATAGCCTTGACAGCAAACTGTGTCGGCTGTCTGCCTTATCTCACATATCTTCCCTCTTCATCGTAGTCTCTCATCCTCTCGTCCTGGATGGCTCGACCCACGCCACCTCGCCCCTCGTCGTAGTCCTCGCGATACTCATCTCGCACTTGTCCGCCGCTCTTACCGCGTCCGTACTGACGGCCCTCTTCGAATCCAGGGTCTAGATCCGTGCGAATGATGCGCTCGTCCAGCTTTGTCCCGCCAACGTACTTCATGCAATCCAGCGCGTCCTGGTGGGTGTAGTATTCCACAAAGCAGAAGCCACAAGGCGTCTTGGTGAAGCGATCAAGGCCCATGATGAGGCGCTTGATCTCGCCGCATTTCGAGAAGAGCGCATAGACTTGTTCTTCGGTTGTGTAGAAGGAAAGGTTGCCCACGTAGAGGGTCGTGGCGTTGGCGAGAGGGTCGACCTGGGGGGCTTCTGGCTGGGTGTCTTCTTCGTCGCGATTGCGGCGTTTGTTCTATACTGCGTCAGAGGGCATTGGCAATGAGGCTTAGAGACCTACTCGTGCAGTGTAGTATGCGCTGGGCTTGTCGAGGCGGTCGACTGTGTTTCTGAAAGGTCGCGTTGTTGCCGCCATTGTGGCAGATCTGACGGCGAGACTCTGTGAAAAAGGGTATATAGAACAAAGATTGAGGCTTTGGGCTGAGATTCAGGGCCGTTGGGGATGTTGTTTCGAGGTTGGTTTGTTGTGTAAGTTCGAGTTCATGTCAAGCTGCACAATTGCGTTGCCGTTCGCGAGGCTAGCACGCGCTAAGGCAGCATTGCCTTTTTCCCAATTCCCAGCCTCCAAGCAAACAAAGAGCTTCACTCACCTCGACTACCAACTTTTTTTCTTCCACGTCCGTTCACATCCACGAATACCTCAATGGCGACACTTCAATAAGCAGTGAAACTACAAAGTACTTGATTACATTTGCTATGCCCAAGGTGCAAAGCTATTCGACGTCCTGGCTCGGCCAGGATGCACCTGGGCACCAGCTCTTCAAAGCAGACGACACTGATCGCGGTCGCACGTACGCCTACAATGCCTCGACCGACGAGCTTCCCGGTCCTCGAAGAACGATCGCGACCCTGGGGACGCAAGCATTCGTGGCGAATGGCCGTGACATCCGATGGGGGGACTTGGCTTTTCTCAAGGACAAATGGGAACGGTCACCACGAGCGCGGTCCGGCTTGAAGAGGGAGGCTTCCTTGGCTTCGGTGATAGAATCTGTTGAACAAGAGCCTGGTGCTGGTGTCAGGGTGCGTATCATTTGCTTTACAGCCTGAAGACCTCTCTAACCACGAATCGCAGACCCTCAAAACACGATGCGCCGAAGATATTCGACAGCTTGTTGTGTCTCCCGGCGGAGCCTATCTTGCTATTCTCACCACTCACACCGTCCACATCTGCATTATTCCCGATCCTTCGCATCTGACCTGCGGTGAGACGAGTCCGCTGAAGCCTCAAATCCACACTCTCGGACCTACTACCCATGTCACCTCGCGAGCGCCCATTATGTCGGCCCTCTGGCATCCTCTGGGCATCAACGGGTCGTGCCTGGTCACCGTCACAGCTGACGCTATTGTCAGGGTCTGGGAGTTGCAACTCGATAGCCGCTGGAGCTTTGACAAACCTACCATGTCCATCGATCTCAGAAAGCTTGCCGATGGAACGACCATGGACCAGGACTTCTCTGCATCGACCACCGTGACGAACAATGGATTCTCGCCCGACACGTTCGATATGGAGGTTGCTGCGGCGAGCTTCCCCCACAGGGATTCTGGCGGCTGGAATCCCATGACCTTGTGGGTGGCCATGCGTGGAGGCGACGTCTATGCCTTGTGCCCTCTGCTTCCAGAGAAGTGGTCGCCGCCTCCCATGTTGATCCCCTCGCTGTCGGTCTCCATCGTGCAGACGGTAGCCAGCATCCAGGACAACCCAGAAGTGTCAGAGTATGAGAACCTCTTGGCACAACAGCAGTTCGACTGGATGGGCGAATTGGACGCGCAAGAGCCTACGATTGTGGAGGATCAGCTTGGCGAGCCTATCCATGAGATTTACAACCGGCCTTCTCGACCGAGTCTGGTACCTCGACTACAAGGACCCTTTGAGCCTCTTTCCGAGCCCGAGGCGGCCCAAGACTTTGAGATCACCGACATTATGGTTATTGGGAAAAACGTGGATGCCGAGGACCTCATGATGGGCGAGGAGGAAGACCTGGAATTCGACGACAATGACAAAGAGGGAGCCTCGCTCACGGTGATCTGCCTGCTGAGCGCTGATGGGCAGACGCGCATCTATCTCGACCTGGAGGGCGTGCAAGCGGAGTGGCTGCCCCCGAAGAACAAACCACGCCTCGGGCGCCTTATTGCGCGCCTCGATCAGCCGACATTATTGACGTATCAGGCTATCGACACGATGAGCTCGAGCGAGATTGATAACCTGTCGGATGATAGCTGGCCCGTGTTCAGCCCAGATGCTTCCCACCGCTACTCATTTTGGGTTACTACCACTACTGGCATCTCCTTTATTTCTTTGCTGCCTTGGATCACCCGCCTCGAGAGCGAGCTTGCGGGTAGCCTGGATGCCGGCACTGACTTCCGGATGAACCTGGTTGTGCACACGGCCTCGACGAGAGATAAGATCTACTCGTGCCCGAAATCACAGGACGTCATTCTGGCTGCGGCGACATCTATTTTTGATGCAGACCTTGGCTACCTCCTGCTGTCCGCCACGCCCTACGAACCCATTGCCATGGCCTTCGACACACCCGAGTCGAGTCGGCCCCTCGCGATCGAGGATGTACCCATCAAAAGAGAGGAGGATGACCAGCCTCTCCTGGACTTCTACGAACCGCGCCCTGTCTTCAACACTCCGCACGCCTTTAGCGAAGATTCGCTGTTGCCGCAATACCTAGACAACCTGCGCACATCACGTCACAAGACGACGATTACGCAAGACGTGAAGCTCAGCCCGATGACACTTAATGTGTTCACGGAGGTTCATAAATTGCTGAGTGATGAGACAGCGAGGCTTCGCGACGCGGCTGCCGCGGTGTTTATCCGATGCCAGAGTCTGACGGGTGAGCTGCGTGAACAGATCCGCAAAGCGGGCGAAGTGCAGAGGCGAATCGACGGCATGCTGGGAGACGGCGAAGAACAGTCCGACCGAGTCCGGTACGATCGCCGCATCGAACAAGCCAATAGCCGTCAAGAAGCGCTTAAGGCACGCATCGAGAAGCTCAAGCAGACGGTGGGCCGCTCCACGACCCGCGAATTGAGCGTGAAAGAGCGCGTCTGGGCTGACGAGGTTCGCTCGGCGGAGAAGAATGTCTGTCTGCCTGGGGAGGATGACGACGAGGACACCGTCGCAGCGAACGACTCGCCGAATCAGCCTAAGAAGTTGTGGCAGCGCTTTGAGGACCTGAAGGAACTGCAAGATTCGCTGACGATGCAACTGGAGACGCTCAACGTCGGCAAGGACGGGGAGGAGAAGAGAGAACAGGAGCAGCTGAGGGTGCCGGACAACATCAGGAAGAGCAAGATGCAGCAGGTTCAGGGCGCACTTGCGCGAGAGACGGCGCTCGTGGAGGCGGTGCGCTTGCGGCTTGAGAAGTTGCAGACTGATGCGGGCGTTTAGATGGTTGGATGCGGGTCTTTCATTCGCTGTACGATGCGTGGTGGGCGGAGGGCGGGGAGAGGGTGATAGTCAGGCGGTACGAGGAATTTGAATACCTACTTTATTGTATGACTGCTGCTGTGTGTTCATGCTGTCCCTTGTGGTAGTGAAACAGGCTGTGCCCGCTCTGCTTGTCACCACCGACGTTAGGTCAGACGCGTGTGCTGGACCATTGAATGGACCAGAATGCTGCGCGAGCAGCCTCATCGTCAACACAGCAGCATTGGGAGGGACCAGGGCGCAGCTTAACTGGTCGGATCATGAGAGACTCTTATGCCGTGTCACAGGTCACGATACGCTCCCATCCGCGATAAGAGAAGAAGAGTGAGACTTCGTGCCGCTCCGGAAGTTTGTTGCCTTAGACAGCATGTCGATCTTGATCTTCAGCCCTGTGTATCATTGTTGCCCATTGAGCCGCAGACAAGGATCCACGTCCACGATCCTTTTCTACAAGATACAAAGATGGAACAAGGCTCTCGTTGCCTGGTCGGCTGACACCTAGGACAGAATACAAGACAAGGCACCCAAATCACATCACGCGCCTCACTATTCGCATTGATGGTGGTGTAGTACGTTGGCACCAGCCCCTCGTTTGGCTGCAGCAAAAGTGCATTTCTACTTGCGACTGTGCCGCTATGAACAAGTTCACTGTAACATCTCGACGTCCAAGGTCAATGAGCGGCGACACATGTACCCTTGTGAAGTGTTCCACAACAAGACATAGGCAGCCATCAGCCTGGAGCGATACTTCCACGGGCGGGCTATCTGCCGTCGTTTGAAAGCGAGTCTCATCACTAATGCAGAGAGAGTCGCACGCGTGGTCGTCTCCCATCGCCAAACGGAAGTATCGCTTACCGTGATACAAGTTCATTGTGCTCTCATGTATATAAGTAGTCCATGGTGCTCTTCAACAAGATGGCTTTGCTCAGACAATTCAACTCTGCATTCTTCGAGACTGTTCCAAACATCTTGACGACACTCCATCACGAAGACGCCCAGCAACATCAAATCCAAGCAAGCAACATGCCCAAAGCAAGTCCATCAGATTCCCCAGACTTCAAGTCTCTCATCTCAGGTAAAATTCATCTCGAGACTCCGTGCGAGACTAAAGGAATGTCCAGAAAACTGCCACATTCTGTACAAACGACCGGCATCACACTTCATCCTAGCGACAGTCCATGACCCTGACGCTAAAACATCAACCCCATGGATGTCAATCATCACCTTGAAAGCTTACGGGGGCTTTAAATCACCCCTGTTATCTGGCTACGGGCGTACGTTGATCGAGTCGCTCCAGGACCTCCACTTTACCTCCAGCGAAGCCCTGGCCAAGCATATCAACCAAAAGGGTTGGGCGACTGTCGGGGAGGACGACGAGACGAGCGAGGATGATGATGACGAGATAGACGATCTCGAAAGCGTCTCCTCTTTCAGCTCAGTGAGCACCGTCCACAAGGACGCCAAGGGCACCAAAGGCAAGCGAGAACCATCTGGCACGAAGCACACATGCCCTCTCTCGGTGCCACGTTCGAGCCCCGGGTTCCCCGTCTTCCGCATGCCTGAACCCGCTCACGGCAGCTCTGAGAAACTCAACCGTCGCTTTCCCGTTGTGACAGGTCCGCCTGCCCCTGTCTGGAGCCCTCCCCATGCTCCGCCGCCAGGGGGCGTTCCCAGCAACGCACCCGCCCCGTACCCTCGGGCCGTGGGCTGCCCAAAGCCCACCAAGATTACGGTCAAGGACGGAACAAGGCTCAGCTATTCATTCGTGGAGATGGTCCCCCATCTGTGGGAGCAAGTGACGCAGGCCGCGATGAGGGAGTTCTTCCTCAACAAGCGTGGCCAGAGCCCAGGCGGGGCAATCGCAAAGGTGACCTGGGTGGTGGAAGGCGGCATCAAGACGGGTCTCAAGTGCGTGCTGCATGATTTGAGTCCCGTTGTGCGCGGTGGACAGGGCATGGTGGAATTTGTCGTGGAGGTAAGTGATAAATGACTTCCACGTGGTCATGCCAGGGGGAACGTTGTGTTCTTTCCTGTGGGCGGGGAGATGTTTCGATGAGGGCTGGACATTCGGAGCAGATTGGGAGTGTGAAATGGGGTACCTTTCCTGATCAGTCTTTGAACCATTCAACATGGTGTTCATGGTGCTCAGGGGGGTGATGCAGTCTCAGGGGGAGGCGCCAAGCTTTGCTTCTGTTTCTTATTTATGTCTGTACGCTCGCAGTCGATGACTGGAAGGAAACATGCAATTATGTTTCTTTTAAGGGAGACTTTTGTCTTTGAACATGGCAAGAGAACACTGTTTAGAGTAACACCAATAAGCAATGTTCACAATCAACGTTTCATCCAGAAGTGATAGCAGCCTGTTTCGACCTCTACCGCATGTATTCCAAATACATCTCGCTTCATACACCACAGACCATCAAATATTCTTTCTGCTTCCTTCAAGCTCCCTAGACGCCTTGAACGCATTCGAGATGGCCCCAACGCTGTCCCAAAGCAACCCTGCGCTCGTGTCAGCTCACCACTCATACGCCACGAGCAAGTAGACTCACAAAATGGCACAGTAGCCCATGGCGCGTTGAAGCCGACATAGTACACCCAGTAGTACAGAGCTTCCGGCCTAGAATAACTCGTGACATCCATCTCGCTGGTCGCATAGTACAGTGCCACGCCGTACAGATGGGCCGTGCACACAATGATCTGCAGCGGATGGCGAAGATCATGCTTCTTGATGATGGCGAGGAGCGTCAGTAGGGACAGGGGCCCCCAGCAAATCTGGGCATTGCGGTCAGCACACAGCACGGGAAGAAACGAAAGCTGGACGCACCAAGGTGATATACTCGATACACACAGTGAACGTATCGAGTGTGAGGTACCGCGAATCTGAAAGAGTGTACTCCTTCCACAGCTGGGCGAACAGAGTGTTCATGCCTGCAATCTCGGCTCTGTGGACGACGTAGTATCCCTCAAAACAGAGGTGTAGGAATGCGCCTGTGTGTATCCATTGTCAGCGCACCACTCCTGACACGGAGCACAGATGCGTACACAGGGCGAACCAGCTCGCGGAGAAGCGATCTATGAATCGCGAGCCCGTGGGGAGCACATTGTATGCGACGACAACGACGGCTCCTACAATGGCCCCAAAGATCGCGATTGTCTGAATAGTGGGTGTGGCATTGGGCGTGTACAAAGGGATAGCTGCCGTAGGTGGGTAGTAAGGATGAGATGCCATGGCCCAGGACGTTGAATGTGAGGCTCCAAAGGTGCAGAATGTTGGTTGTTGACAAAGCGCTGAAGCTCGCCTCCTGAATGCTAAAGTCATAATTAGTCGTAGTCACGGTGAGATGAATGTGGGTCTACGGTGCTAGCACTGACGTTGCCCTTATAGCTACAAGCATTACCACTGTAAATACAAGTAAAATACATAATTCACGTAGAGGATCAGCGAAATGATTTGTTGTGCGTGTCCACGCAATCGGGGGACGATTTGTCCGCCTAATTGACGAGCTATCATGTTCATCTTCATGCTTATATGTCAAGTATAGGGTATGCAGCTGCCCTGCTCCGTAGAGTCAATGCCAAGCTTCTCGCGCATCGTGTGCCGCGACGAGCTGTCTCAGCATGGCTTCCTCATCACATCCTTTAACACTCCTAAGTTCTCCCAATGGCAGGAGCTCGCATAGATCAAGCTCGTTCTCCTCATCCTCTGCGTCTGCCGGCGCCGCGCCTGAGCTGTCGCCCAAGGTCACGGCCGCCAGGTCTTCAAAGACGGCAAAGTCCAGCACGGTGCCCTTTTGCGCGTTGGTAAAGGTCACAATCGCGTGGCCTACCATGCACGTCCACAGCAGGAGCGGACGCACGGCGGTTGCGTCAGGGAGGGGGCTCGGGCTGGATTCTGGGTATGTCTTCCTTTGTAAGATGATCCGTGACTGGTGTATGAGGGCCGTGAGTAGAATGGTGTATAGGTCCACCGAATGGGCGTCAGGTAGTAAGTCCTCAATGTATAATATGGCTGCTATCCGCAGTAGCGGGTCTAGCGGGTTTGCCGCCACTCGCAACAGTGCCTCTGTTTCGGCCATGTCGTCCCGCAGGGCTTTGGGGTTGCGCACAAGCTGATGTTCGACCTGCAAACAATCTTCTGCAAAGCTTGCTGGGTCGACGAGGATCGACTGCGGATGCGTGCCGTGCCGCGCCGCAATGATCGTCTGTGTAAAAAATGCCAGCCCCTGTATCGACTCAATGTTGGCAAGAGCAATACTACACGCTGAGAGTAGGTGGTGTGCGCGGACAGCAAGCTCTGCTCGCCTATGCGGCGACAGCGCATCCGATATGGGCGGGAACATTTTGGAAAATTCGAGATAGGGGCTGCTCCCAGCATGTGCAGCGCCCTTGACATCGGCCTTGTGCACCTTGTTGAGGATGACTCCCCACTCCGGCCTCATGCCACCACCTCGATCCACCATGTCTCGCAATCCTCTCATCAGGACGTGCCAGTGGTCCTGCCGCCCGCTATATGTGGCCTCCAGGGCCATGGCGGCGATGGACTCCACGACGGCCGCCTCGCTCCTCGAGCCATCCTCGTCGCCCAGCAAGATGTCCTTGTTCATGGAGGCGCATACCTGCGCTATCGATTGTCCAAGCTCCGACGGTGGTACGCTGCCCCCTCCATTGGCCAGAGAGGCCACGAGGGCGATTGCCTCGAATGTGTAAGACCGCGGGGGCACATTATGGAGATACTGCTGAACCAGTCGCTGAGCCAGGGGCGCATTGTGGTCAGGTGGCGGAGGCCAGCCCGTCAAGCCAACTGGACTCTGGCTTGGTTGTCCCTTGGGCACAGGCGGCCGCAGATATGGTATGTGTAGCGACTGCTGGTGCTGACGTATGGTGCCTGGCCTTTGCTCATCCTGCTCGCTCACGTTGCTCATGGGTGTCGAGGGGACCTCTGCACTTCTCCTCATAATGGGCGCTGGCGTGGCGACTGAGCTCGGTGTCGTGGCCGTCTGTGGAGGGGTGTTCAGATGCGCGTGGGCCTGTGATGTTCCCTCATGGTACCGCAGCGCCTCATCCTGCGGTTGTGATTTCGAGTGCCATCTGTCCGGATCGGCTGGGGGCCTGGTCGTGGCAGGTGCAAAGGTGTTGACGAAGCGAGTGCCTTGGTGCTGGGACTTTGATATAACCATGCCCTTGCGGGTCGAAACCAGGGCGCCGTTGTGGATGGTCGCACTACACTGCTTGTCCATCAGGGGGCGATCGGCACGTCGTGCAGACGGTCGCTCGGTCTGCCCGGCGTCGCGCTATGTGTCAGCACCTCGGCGTGGGCGATGGGTTGTTCGTTATCGGTCGCTGCGCGGTGCTGTAGACTCGCAACGAGGGATGGTGGCGAGGTTGTCGGATTCGGGAGCGCTACAGGGATGCGCTATGGTAGCCAAGTCGCCTTGGCGCTGCGTGAGATGCGAGATGCCCTGTCGATGGCGAGGTGGGACGTGGAAGTTTGTGGTAGCTGGAGGTTTGACGAAACGAGGGCCTCGTGTGAGGTGAATGAGAAATGGATGGCAGGCTGACGCGGTGGCGTGCCCTCAAGGTGACAGACATGGACTGAACCGTGGGCGGCAATTGATGAAGGTGAGGACCAAGGTGCCACTGCCACGCAAAGGCCATACTTTACCTGAGCTGGCGTAGCTGCGACGGCAACTGCCGGCGGGCGTCCATCCCACTTTTGATTTCATCATTTGACTCGAGACTGACCCGCTATTCGGACTTTGAGCATGCGGACGACTTGTCTGGCCGTCCATCTCCATCTGCCTTCACAAGCAAATATCAGCCAGGCAACTAAGAAGACGGAAAATCAAGCGCACATGTCGATCACATACATATCGGAAAACGCGATCGAATATATCTGCAGGGTCCAGGAGCTGAGACCAGAAGGATCACTAGGCGCCATCGCCTTGCTGCTGCCTCGGGCTGACCACCCCTCGTGGCGCCCCACGTCTGCAGGGTAAGTCGCCGCATCTCGAAGTCCCACCGCACGAGTCCGAGTCTAGTACAACACCTGCCCCTTCATCATGATCCTCGCTGTCCTCAGGAGCTCTGCGCTGACGATTTTGCCGTCTTTCATCGTGGTGCCAATGTCCAGTTTCCCAGTCGGGTGCGCAATTGTCACAGCCTCCTTTCCGCTCTCTCTCAGCAGACTCGCAGGGATCGTACCAGGTGTCTGGCACGCCGCGCCCAGGCAGAGCGCCAACGTGAGCGGTACCGCCTTGTGAGCCTGGCCCATGGACAAGGCCGCGCATCGAATGTCAGCTGAGGTGTCCTTGGAGGGGAAGACAAGGACGATCTTCGGTATCGACTCAACCTCGGGGTTGAGGCCCATCTTCGTGGCACCGGCGCGACGGATCTGTTCTAGCCGCCTCTTGAGTGCGGCATCTCCCTCGATGGCATCTGGTGTCAATGCATCCGCGTCGATGCCCAAGTCTGCGACGTTGACAAAAACGCCTGGGTTGCTGACGTCCATGAGTGTGGCCTGAATGGTGCTTCCATCCTCAAGTGGCAACTCGTCCACGGCATTTCCCGACGGCAGTGCCTTTCCTGTCTTGGCGCCCGTGGGATCCATGAAGCTCATGGTGATGGGCGAGGCCTTGCCGGCAACGCCATCGAGCTCGTATGCACCTGAGGGAACGTAGTCTCGCCCCTCCACCCTAAACCGCGCAACAATGACCTTGTTGGTGTTCCGGTTCAACAGTCTCATGGAGGCCCACGCCTGGCCGTGACTGTCTGTTTCCACGGCATCATCTTTCCCAAGACCCCATTCCCATGCGGTCGGGCCAACAGCAGAGCTCATGTTGCCGCAATTTCCCTCCATGTCGAGATTGTCGTCCTTGATCCTCACTTGCACAAATGTGTATTCCACGTCAACGTGATCCCGGGTAGGCGGATGCACCACAACCACCTTGGACGTGGATGATATACCGGATCCCATACCATTGAGCTGACGCCCGTAGGGATCGGGAGATCCCATGGCGGCTGGAAGGACTGTCTGCCATTGATCTCGAGCCGGCAAGTCCCTGTCGTGAATCATCAAGCCATTCGAGGTGCCTCCGCGTATAAAAAGGGCGTTCAGCGTCCGGGGCTTGGTGTGAAGCATCCTGCTGAAAGATCGCGTGACAAGTCTCGCTGAAGCGGGACAAAGACGTGCAGACATTGCGGCGACGTGTGTTTTATACTTTGCAATGCAAGGAAATGGGCCGCGCACCTTCACAAGAAGCTAGATGGAGAGCGGATAGGAAGAATAGAGGATGGAGATCGGTCCGTCCCAGATGAGCGGAGCTTGTCCGTCTTTGCCCTGGGGATTTGGTCACCCGGTACGGATAGGCCCTCGGTAAATAAGACTCGGCAATACTCGCATTTACGAGGACTTGCACAAATTGTCGGGACTCTGTCTATTCATTTCGTTGAAATATGCTGTTGATTCTGAAAAGTCGTCGACTATAATGACTTTGACGTTGAATTGAATTTCGGCTGTTCCGCAACTACCTGATATACCTGTCTCAAATAAATGGTGTGAGCAATAATGAGGACACTCCAAAGCTCCCGTGGAAATAATAGCATTGCCACATAATATAACCCTGGCCTTCCTATAGCCTATCGTCTCGATAATGGACTGATTTACAAAGCGGATGCCGCAGAGTGACGTGGTGAAGCAATGGCAAAATAGCACGACCCTTGAAGACAGTTCAGAACTCGAGAGCTAGAACAAGCGGTTGCAATCCCTGATTCCACTACAATTTATTGCCCATTACATTCCTCAAAAACCTAACACACGTAGAATCAAGACTCTACTCGCATTTGTCCTTCTTCATCCAGATCTCACCGACAGGATCCCCTTCGTCTGCCACGCAGACCCATTCCCCTATGCCATACTCCTTGGGCGCGTGTCGAACGCCACGACCACCGCCGCCAATAATCAAGTTCCCCGGGCGGTAATTCTCATCCTCCTTCATGCGGCGAATAACACTGCCGTGCACGCGGACATCATCTGGAATGTCACGGACCTCACCCCTGGGCAGCGGCCAGCGGATCGGCTCCCAAGTGCCATCACTCTTGAGATCCATCCTCCGGAAGGGGAGGTACTCCATCAGCTTCCACCCAGTCACGGAGAAATGGTTCAGACCACCGTGGTACGCGAGGGAGTCGTGGATTCGGGCGGTGTGTGCACGACCCATCAAGCCGTGAAAGTGGCGCTCGTCCTCATCGGTGGAGCAGGACGACGCAGAGGATGCCGTCGAAGACGCTGTCGCAGGACGCGGCTCCCGAGGCGAACGATGGCGGTACTCGCTGGGCGACTCGGGGAACGTGGGCGTGCCTCCATTTTCCATGCGGATGGCCGGTATATCGCCAGCAGTGGTCTGTCGGTTCTTCCCCTTTTTTCGCAACGCAGCAGGCTTCTTGGCCGGGTTGTCGGCGGACCACTCGTTGGAGCATGCGCAGCCCAGCTCGGCGACCTTGTCGGGGTCAAAGGGCAGTCCAGCTCTCATGGCCTCGCGGACCATCCACGTCAGCGGCACGTGGCTGGCGCTCTTGCTGTCTTCCAGCATCTCCCAACCTCCACCGACGTCAGCATGGCCTCCGGCAAACCACACCTCGTCAATGTCCTGGCCGCTGTCGTCGACGGGCTGTATCTCTGACGGAGGAGGGTTCGAGTTGGATATCTCCGATGGAGCAGCCGACTGCGCAGACTGAGGTCTTCTAGACGACGACCTGGCACGGTACGGGGCGAAATCGTCCTCCACTCCCTGTTGAGCTGGCTTCTCCTCTAGAGGGCGCGTCTGTGAAGATGCCTGGGGATCGTTGGGCGAGAGATACTTGTCCTTTGACCTGCCGCGGTCCTCTGGTGCCAGGTTCTGATTCTGCTGCTCCGGTTCCTGCGTCTTCTCATCCGCACCCGGATTCTTCTTTTTTGTGTCCCCTGCCTTGTCCATCTGGGGAATGATGTTCTTTTGCATGTTCCAATGTTCCCAGCCAAACCATTTCTCCATGTTGTGGCGTTTGTGGTGTTCCCTCACTTTGCGGTTCCCCTGATACATGAGATCCTGGCGAAACTTGGCGCGGCGCTCGTCGATGCTGACGGCGTGGCGGATCACCTTGGCGCTACTCTTGGCCGTGTAGGGAAACTTGCTCCTCTGCATCCAGGCTGTCTCGAACCGCGGCACGGAGTTGACGGTGTCGAACAAGCCCAGGAACTTGATCCGCCCGACGGGCCGCGAGAAGGTCTCGCGGAACCCCTTCATGAACTTGTACATCTTCCTTTTCTCCTCGTCGGCCTTTCTGATCTCCTCGGCAGAGCCGACGCTCTGCTGCCGGCATTGCCACTGGGCGAAAGCTTTCCACGCGAACTTGACCATCTCCTCGTTGCCGTGGGAGAGGAGGCCGATGTAGTCGAGCATCTCGGCCAGGAAGCGAGCAATGTACGAGCCGCGCGAGAAGCCAAAGAGATAGATCTCGTCGCCAGGATTATAGAAGCGCATCAGGAAGCGGTATCCTCCGACAACATGCTGATCGAATGAAGAGCCAACAGCTGAGTCTTTGGCCTTGGTGTACCAGCTGTTGAATCGCGCGCGAACGGACGTGTGTGACAGCGAGCCTGACACGACGTACGTCCCGATTCCAGCTGGCCAATTTCTTCAGCATGTCTGTCCAAAATTCATCCAGAGAATAAGAAACTCACGTTGATAGTAGTGGTATTGGTCGTCAGCTGTGCGATCCAGCATGCGGAAGATCTTTAGGATGTTGCTGTCACTGTCGTCGCCGTGGAATTTATTGCCAGTGCCGTCAAAGCACAGCACCAGCTTCCGAACCCCTCGGCTCGCGGCCGCCTGCGCGGCATTGCTATTCGTGTTGATAGCGTCCTGGTTGCTGTCGGTGAGAATATTGGCTGCGCTCGCAGAGCCGGCGTGCTGCGTGCTGCCTTTGGTGGCCATGTCGTCCGCCATGGCAACTGCTACCAACGCAGAGATTCGAGATCAAGAGGGGAGAGGTATAAAAAGTGCGTACGGGCAGATAAATAGAAGACCATCGGTTCTACGGCACTGGAGGAGAAGCAAGGGCCGGACCGGACCATCGCGTCCATTTGCTCCCATTGTGCACACCCTGGCGTCAAGTAGCCATCTAGCATCATCGAGCGCGCTATTCCTCCCTAGGCGTTCGTGCGACGGCTGAGCTCTCATGAAGATCATGGCCGCCCTTTTGACCAGTCGCTGTCGTCGTGCATGTCTTAGACTTATGCCGTGGTCATGTCGGCGGAGAGAACGGACGCAGTCCAAGGGAGCAGCCGGCGCTGGTGGAGGCGCTAGAGACGCACGCTTGGTCTGTTCAGCTTCCGACACGGGCGGTAGGGCGCGTCGATCATTTCCATGATCTGCGCAGACATTGGCTGGGATGATGTAAATCGTTTCTGATAGGGTTCTCGGGTGGTTTGGGCGATCGCGAAATCTGACGATGGCAATCTCGGTTTGAAATGAGCGCGCCGTATGGTCTATCGGCACAATGAGAGTATGAGACCGATGGATTGAACATGTTCATATTCCAGCCTCCAATCATGATTTGAACTCTCGCGAAATTGCCGCTGCATCGTCATTGTCCTCGATTGCTCCAATGCGTGCCGGCCGCATTGTTTGGCGCACATCTCGGGCACCGGCATGAATATTGCTCACGAGTCACACACGCGAAAGGCTCCTAGCTTCCCACCGGTCTCGTCTCTTACAGACCACGCTCGAGAACACGTATTGACCAGTCAGATGCGTGTGGGAGCGCCACGAGGGGAGGACCTCGAATCACGGTTCTATTTGATGTTTGTGTGTCTCAGAGGTAAGATGGCGGCAGGCTGGTTTTAAAGACACAACTTTGTTTGCCTTTACCGTGAAACTCCACGGCCACTATCGCAATTTTAATTCACTTCTTCTGGTAGCTGGACACTAGTGGTGATTTGGGCGTTTCTTGCTGGGCTGGTTTGATGGCCACCAACTTCATTAAGGGGTTAGTGTAGGGTAGGTCAACACAGAAGATTGAACACGACACTTTCACCTCTCTACTCTTAAGATGTATGCAGTGAATAAGGGAATGACTCGAAAAATATTTGGCTTAGTCATGCAGAAGACACATTATGGCTACAAATAGTGAGTATGGTTGGGACGTGATCCCTTGGCAAACTAAGGCTAGGAATCGCGACGACGACACAAGTTATACGACGACGTGGAGGCTTGATTTTGAAAGCTTCAAAGCGCGCAGAATGTCGACCAAAGGAACAAATCAGCCAAGAGAGACAATAAAAGTGTATTCCAAGGAGGATGTAAGGAGACAAAGCGACATCAGTGCCGCAAATCTACTCGAGACTCGAGCACAGGCCGCTCAGGGGTCCAGTCAACAACAAAGCATCCATTGTTGAAGAAAGCCTCGAAGACGTGCACCACCAATTCATGTTTCTGAAGCGAACAAAGTATCACAAAGTACATATAGTGACTTGAAGGACCTGACGTCTTGTGTGTTCTTACAAACCGGTCATACAGCCTCTCTCACATGTGTAGATAGATGGTGCTGGAAAATGGACGAGTCAAATTCTTACCGCCCTACTGGGACGAGCAGGAATAACAATATTTCTCCACATCATTTGAACACTGTAAAGATCTGCCCTCCCTTCAGCGGGACCACGGCTAGTGCAAAAACCGCCTTGTGTTTCCTTGCTCTCTCAGCGGATATCGGAAAATGATGAGTTTTATCGTGCTGGACCGTGATATTGAGTCTATCGAGGTTGCTAGATCTCAACAAGAACACCCAACTGTACCACGACTAGATTAATGGTCAGAACAATTACTGTGACTGTGGTCCATCAAAGTGGTACAATTGGGGTCAGCCGTCAGAGACAAGTAGGTATTCAAGTGGATGAGTCGCCCCTGATTGCTAGGGAGACGTTAGGTCAAGTCCAAGAGCTGTCAATTAAAGAGAACAATCAGACACAAAGATAGCGCCAATTCGTCTTCGAGATTCAAGGCCCATTGTTACGATAGTCTGCAGTTCTTGTCTTGTGAGACTCGACTAACTGACAATGAGGGAAGCATTTGGTCAGAGCTTGCAGTATAGACTGAATGACCTCGTTGTATATTGTCGACATAAAGCCTTACCCAAGAACCGCCAGCTTTGTTCCCATTATGGCCTCGCAGACGCATTCTTACGAGTCCTCTTGTAGTGCGGATCAGTTGAGAGTATAAGAAACACAATGTCCGCGCATGTACAGTCGACTGAGCGACAGAGTCCAGCCATCAACCAGCAGAAGATCATCTATCAGACATCACCAAACCTGAAAGATATATTCAGCAGTACGAGTAAGACCAGCGATTCTTTCCAGACGCCCATAATGAACAACGCATTCATGCCCTGGGCGGCGCCTCCGCCCGGGCTATTTCCCTTCCTGCGTCTGCCCCCTGAAGTCCGCACCTTGATTTACGAACATGCCTTCGTCCTCAATATACACATTGAGCTGGCCATACGTGACGAGAACGCACCTCGCCTGTCAGCCTTGACACCCTACAAGTGCCAGTGCGCCCAGCATGCCGACGAGCGCATGGCCCCCCTGCCACGACACTTCCTCGCTCTGCTCGAGACCTGCACGCTAATCAAACGGGAAGCCGCGCCTATCCTGTACGGAAAGAACGTGTTCTGCTTCGGCGATGGACTCATGTGGGAACCTGATTATCTCTTCATTGCGCACAGGAGTCTGCAACGCATCGGTGCGACTAACTTGAACTTCATCAAAGCCATCGGTCTACACGTGGATGCACTGCCCAATGTAATTGCAAGAGACTACACCGCACCCCCTGGGGTATGGCCTGCTTGGAGAATTCCAGCTCCCTATCCGCAGGGCGAGTTGGTGCGCTACATTGCGGCCATGTGCCCCCGGATCGACACAATCTACCTGGGCGACATCGGGAGGCTGAAGACATGGGTGCACTCGCTGGACATGCAGCATCACTCGGTAGGCGACAGGACAAAGAGCATGGAGCTCATATCGCGTCTGTTCGGGGCCACGACGAAATGGCTCAAGTCGTCTGGGAGTTCCACCCGCATCGTCATAGGCTGCTACGCGCCACTTCCACCCGGTCACAGAGTGAGCCCCCGCAACCGCGACGATTGGCCTGTCTATGAGGCCGAATGGCAAGCCAGATTTGACACGATAGACATGGACTGGGTGGACGGGGAGGAGGAGGAGAGCAATGTACCGTGGGCGGAAATGAGCCGCGAAGAGTTGGAGAGGTTCATGACGAATGAGCATGTCAATGAGGATCAACGTTTCAAAAGAGCTGCCCTCGACGCGGGATGGGAGATTCTACCCAGAGGGGAGTTGTTCGTCGAGCCCAAGGAACAGAGGCCACGGACGCATTGACCAGTGTAGGATATGGGGTGTGTTGTGACAATCTCTTTGTTCTGCTCAACATCTTTGGCATTTCTGATAGAATAGACGTGCAACATCCCTCCCAGAGTGACTGTACTTAGAGCTTGCTGTCTCTCCAGACGGGCTTCCTCCTCTCCACAAAGCTCAGCACGCCCTCCTTCATGTTCTGCGCGCCATCCATCTCCTTGTAGATGCCAAACTCGACTCGCCTCGTGGCGTCCTGCGGATCCTCGGGCGCCCAGCCACTCAGGATGCCAGCGCGACTGACAATGATCGAGTCGGGCGAGTTGTTGGCCACCTCGCCGGCCCACTTCAGCGCCTCTTGTACCACGTCCCCCTTGACAATCTTGTTGATGACGCCCCAGTCCAGCATCGTCGTGGGCGGGTACGATCTGCCCGTGAACGCCATCTCTGAAGCCCTCGCCCGTCCCACAAGCCTCGTCAGCCTGGGCAGTGCACCCGCGAGGGCGACAACGCCAATCTTGGTTTCGGGGAGGCCGAACTGGGCGCTCTCGTGGGCAATGACCATGTCACAGTTGATGGCAATCTCCATGCCTCCTCCCAGACATAGGCCATTGACAGCTGCAATGACGGGTTTCTTGCCTCGTCGGTTGCTGAGTCCTCCAAATCCATTCTCGTTCCACTTCTCCACTGTTTGAGGCTCTTGTGTCTGTCCGTCTTTGTGCTTGTCGTTCCACTCCTTTAGATCCGCGCCCGCGCAGAACGCGCGTCCGGACCCCGTCAGCACAGCGACGCGGAGCGTTGGCTCGGCATCAAACCAGGACCACAGCTTGTCGAGGCGGTAGTGCATCTCGCGCTGCATGGCGTTGAGGGCCTTGGGACGGTTGAGTGTGGCGAGGAGGACATGAGGGACAGGCGAGGTGATGAGCACGTCGGGGACGGATGGGGGCGGGCTACTAAACGTTTGAGACATGACGACACTTTGGGGGAAGATGTTGTGTGATAAGGTGAGGAAATGAGGACCGTCGCGGAGGTGATACAGTCGTGGCATGGAATGAATGGCTTTGTAGGTATGAAGGTGAAAGCGTCTCGTTTGAAGCAGCTATGTTATTAATACCCCAGATTATCGGATGTGGGGGCGACAGGGATCTCAACCTCGGCACTCCGGCTGTGGACGTGGCGTCTATCCCCAACGAATCGAATCTGTCCAAGAACAAGAGGAGGCAGAAACATTGAAGCATTATTATATGTACCTGGAACCCCAAAGCGCCTTTTCCCTGCGTTTCCAAGCCCAGCAAAAGGAGGTATTCTTACAGGACGCGTGCGTGTCCATCAAGCAGGTAGACCACGCTTCTCGCACTCGGTGAAGAAAATGACCATGCGCCATAACTTCTTGACCAGATCCTCTGCCTCGTCGTCCAGTGCCTAGAAAGAAAATGTTAGCCAGCTGTAATCTCAGATCGCATTTTAAAAAACTCACCCCTTCCAGCTCCTCCGCCAGAGCCGCCGCTGTCCCGTGGTTGCGCAGGTGCTCCTCCACCGTCTCCACGAGCATCTCTTCCTGCACGCCCAGATACTCCACAATCTTCTTCTCGACAAACGGTCTCAGCTTGTCACGCACCACGCCGGCGTCCATAAAGTCCCACTTGACCTGCCAGTTCCACAGGCCGTCCTTGTCCGTCGGGATCTCCTGCGCGAGTGCACGCACAGCCAGCGCAATCTCCTCGTCCGTCATGTTGGCCGCCGCCGACGTGGAGTCGTACTGGATGGGGATGAGCTGGCGCTTGGCGCCCGTGTCTGCCTCTTCGTCGTCCAGTAGGCCTTCCACTTCAGCAATGGTCCGCCTTTGCGTGACAGCCTTGGAGGCTTGTGCTTTCTGCGCAGCGGCGCCGAGGGACAGCTTGAAGGGCTGAGGTGCCGACACGGACTCGGAAGGACGCTGCTCCATCTCCTCGGCCTGACGGTCCAGGAACGAGTCGGCCATGCCACGCGCACGATCCCTGTTCGCCTGCTCGCGCCGGCGCTCATCCTGCTCTGCTCGTCGGTCCAGGTCGTCTCGGTGCTCCTCCTCGGCTCTGTCCATCTCACGCTTGCGCACCCAGCCGACATGGTCGCGGTAGTACGGGTGTTCCCTGCGGTTCATCTCCTCTTCATCGTCCCACTTCTTCTCCCGTTCGAGCTGCTCTCTCTTGCGTTCTTCAAACGTCTCGGATTGTTGCTTGTCTCGGTCGTTCTCGCGATCCAAAGCGTTCTGTCTCGCTCGCTCACGCCCAACCCACTTCCTCTCTGCCTCGGCAAACGCTCGATCCGCGTCCAGTTTCTTCTTCTCCTCTTGTCGCCTGTAGAGCTCATCGTCGTCGGCATCCGTGTCCTCGTCCTCGCGGTTGATTGAATACTCGGCGTTCGATACACCGCCATTCACGAAAGCAATACGGTTGGGATCGTGACCTCGAGGTCCGGATGGCGCATTAGGCACACCACCTCGGGGGCCGAGCGGAATGTTATTCGTGCTGCCGCCATTGGCAGAAGGCTCCAACCGTGAGGCGCGGGCGGGATTGTTGCGTTGACGCTCCATTTCCTCCGCTTCCTCTTCCTTGCGGAGTCGCTCCAAGTCTCGCTGAATGCTCCGCTCGCGAAACGCAGCAATTTCGCCTGCCACAACCTCGCGCATCTCGGCCGGAATGTCGGAAAGCTCATCGTCCTGCGCAAGCGTGATGTTGACAACCTCCACATTGTCGCCCGACTCGGTCTTGGGGGCATTGCCGTTGCTGTCTGCGCCAAGACCGGCCGGTGGGTAGAACAGCTCCTTGATGACCTGCTTGAGCGCACTTTTGCCGTGACGGTATCGCTGTGTGGCCTCTTCTTCGTCTCCCTTCTCCTCCTGATATGACTCTAGATAGCTCTGCGAGCTTGGGTCGACGCTCACTTGCAGTCTGACCTTCTCCTTGCCCTCGAATGGCTCGTCCTCTTCGTCTGTCGGGGGTTCCGTTGCCGTGGGCTGAATTTTGGCCGGGATCTCAACAGTCTCGTCGTGTAGAAGCTTGATGGCGGTGGACAGCGATTCGGGGTCATCGTAGAGCGCAAAGCCAAATACTGTGCCCTTCCTTTCCTCGAGGACGCTGGCCGACGCATCCCAGCGCCTGAGCTTGCCCACCGATCCTAGAAGCTTCTCAACCCCGTTGCTCGTGTTGAAGGACTCGGGTACACCCCACACGAACAAGGTCCGCACCCGCTCTTCGCTCGTCGGGGGCACAACCACCTGCGTAACCTCCTTGGCCTGTGATTGATGATGGCTACCTCGGTCCATCCCAAGACCCGGCCGCTGCCCTGGCCCTTGCGGTCTGTCGTTGTCCATGCCTGGTGTTCCCGGCTTGCCCGGCCCCGTCCCTAGTCGGATGACCGGCGCATTGAAGTTGATGTTGGGCATGTTGGTCGGCGCTTGAAAGTTGCGAGGCATCCCGCTTGGACGGTTAGCTTGTGACGGGTCATGCTGCTGTAGCCCGGGAGGGGCCATGCCTGGAGCGGACGACATGCCTGGGGGAGGTGCTGGCGACGTTAGCTGGGAGTGATGGGGCTGGGAGGCAGGTCTGGTACCTAGTCCAGGAGGAGCGCCCACGCCTGGAGGCGCATTGCCGCCAGGGTAGCCTCCATAGCCCGGTGGCGCGCCATACTGGCCGTATTGATTGTAGGACATGTTGCGTTCGTGCGCTGGCGCTGCTCTCGGGGGATGGTCGTGCGGGCGCCCGCGCGTGAAGGATTGCCTGCGACGCGGCGAGTCGAGCTGGGAACGGTGTTCGCAGTGGCGATAGATGGGCACGAGAAGCGACGCTCGTTCTTTCGATAGGCAGCTGAGGTCGTCGAAGCCTAGTGGCCAGCGTTCATCAAGTACGCAGATAGCAGTCGGTCGGTCGTGGTCTGTCGCGAGAAAGTTTGGCTGCTGGACCACCCCACATCGAATTGGAAAATGCAGCGCTAGCTCAGGTCGAGAGCTTGTCGCGCAAAATGGATGACTCAGCAGGGGTCCACGAGTACACGCGCGCGCGTGTCAGGTGGATGACGATGCTCGCTGCAAGTTTCGAAACTGATGCATTGCTTCAATACATTGGCTAGGAATGTCTCTTGATTAGAGTCAAAACATGCAGACAATTTTACATAGTCTCAACAGTATCGCAGTACAATGAGCGAGTCGCATCACGTGATGTCCCGTCGCGCCCAGGCCATGCCAGGCCCGGCCGGCCAGGTGACGCGCCAAAATGTCAGGAGGTGGGATGTTTTGCACTGGAATCCAATCCAAACAAAGGCATGCAGCAACCGCCGCCACAGTCGCTTCGACAGTGTCGCATGACCAAGCGACGACGAAAGAGGTCGAGCGTCCAACTTCGCAGATCAGTGGCATCAATCGCAACACACCATGTCTTCCACCGATGCGAACCCCAACGCCAGGCGGTCCTCGCAGGCCTTCGCTGCGGCCAAAGGCGACGATGATTTGTCCAGCTCGCTGCAACACCTCTCCATTTCCGCCAGCGATGCCTCTGTGGCACAAGACTCGAAGCCCCCGCGGCTGAGCAAGTCATCGACACCCCTCCAGCCACCACCTCGCCGCTCCTCCTCGCAAGCTCGAGCCCCTTCTCGAAGCCCTTCCAGCGGTCCTCGTTCTCGCGCTGGCTCGCCGGGTCTCCATCGCAAAGCGTCCATGAACTCGTTACGCTCGGTCAATGGCGGTGAGGGCCCTCAAATTCCACTTCGAAGGTCAAGTTCGAGCCAGAATCTCTCTCCAACATCCAAGACATTTGCAGTACCAGTGCGACCACCAGTCACAGCCGGCAGCATTGCAAAGGACTGTCTGCAGGCTGAAATCGAGGCATTCCATGGGGATTCGACGGCTCTGCCCACCGAAACAGTGGTCATCCTCAACGATGCTGTCTATGGCCACCGCTTTTCCCGACCACGCACGTCCAAGGGGGCATTGAGCACAATTGTCGAACGCCCAGAGCGAATCAAGGCTGGAGTCTTGGGCATTTCGTTGGCTTACGTTCGCCTTGGTGGCCGTCATAGCGAAGGACCTCAGCCATTGCACCCATATCGTGACATTGAGGGGCTGCAAAGTATACCTTTTAAGATTCAGAAGACGACGAGAAGGCTGTCCCTTCTTTCGCCTGCAGTGACCAATGTACATGGGACGAAATGGATGGAAGAATTGAAGATGATGTGTGAACTGGCCGAGTCTAGGCTGGCCATGGGCGGCAAGGAGCTCCAAAGGCGACCGCGAAGCCGGGCTGGGGACGAGGCTACGCCGACCAAGCTACACGAGGGCGATCTGTATCTATGCGCGGAATCACTGGATGCGATAGAGGGTGCACTCGGTGCTGTCTGCGAGGGTATCGATACCGTCTTCGGCCCTGGACCCAACAGAGCCTTCGTTGGCGTGCGACCGCCGGGCCACCATTGCTCAGCCGCTCATCCGTCCGGATTTTGCTGGGTCAACAACGTCCACGTTGGCATCATGCATGCTGCCATGAACCACGGCCTGACGCACGCGGCCATGATCGACTTTGACTTGCATCATGGCGACGGCTCCCAGGCTATTACGTGGGCGCATAATGCTCGCGCAAATACTGCTACGAAGAATGCTGCACCTTGGAAGAAGACGTCGATTGGGTACTTCAGTCTGCACGATATCAACTCCTATCCCTGCGAGGGTGGCGACGAGAACAAAGTCAAGAATGCAAGTCTTTGCATTGACAATGCACACGGCCAGTCCATTTGGAATGTCCACCTGCAACCGTGGGGTTCGGAAGAGGAGTTTTGGGAGCTGTACGAATCCAAGTATGCGGTCATTCTGGAGAAGACGCGCAACTACCTGAAGCATCAGGCGGAGAGATTGAAGAGCCTGGGCCAAGCACCCAAGGCTGTCATTTTCTTTTCTGCTGGGTTCGATGCCAGTGAATGGGAGAGCGCGGGCATGCAGCGCCATGCGGTCAATGTGCCTACTGCATTCTACGCACGTATTTCGCAAGACGTGGTCAAATTAGCCGGTGAAGAAGGCTTGGGCGTTGATGGTCGCGTCGTCAGTGTGCTCGAGGGTGGCTACAGCGACAGGGCGCTGTTCTCGGGAACGTGCAGTCATCTCTGCGGACTCGCTGATGGCCCAAGCACGAAGCCTCCACCGACCGGCGTCGACGGCCTGGGCACGGAGATGGGCAGGAAGATTGGGACAGTGGCCGAAGAAGGACAGCCCGAGCCAATCTTGGGCTCGGCAGATACGTTTGATCCCTCATGGTGGTCTAGCCCGGAGCTGGACAAGTTGGAGGCAGTGATGGCGAACCTGATCGGAGAACCAAAGAAACCGCGCCAGTCCGGCACGCCAACCTACCACTCGCCGACGCAGGCTTCAACAGCAAAGGTCACAGATCCGATCAAAATGCGCCGCAGTCTTTCTGGACTCTCCGGTGCCTCCAAGGCTATGGCTCGCCCACCGTCGCCGCCACCCCCCGAGGTCCCCTGGACTGTTGCTGCCATCGAGCTGTCCAAGCTGCTGATTCCCTCTGATCGTCAGGTCGATAGCTGCCAGGCCGAGGATCTGAACGCCGAGGCGACCCGGGCACGCCAAGCCAAACAGCACTCGCTGGCTGGGACCACGCCCATGACCACCCCCGAGCGACCGTCCTCCAAGATGTCCTTGCGAGGCAGGAAGCCAAAGCCTGCCGCGCTCGCTGAGGAGAGCACAGTGGATAGGCGTAGAACTATGGGCGCAGCAACCGCCACGCCGGTCAAGGCCACGCCGCGTGGAAAGCAGGCGGTGCCGAGCGCGCCTCAGTCCGCCAGACGTAGTAGTAGGCGAACTAGTGGCGCCTCCGCCCTTGTCACGCCCACTGAAGAAGTGCCTCCGCTACCTGCGATCGAGCAGAGTCAGCCTGGCCCTGCCGAGACGGCACGCCCAGACCTAGTCACTGCCGGCAGGTCTATGAGTACCGGTACTCTGCCTGTCAAGAAGACTAGGCCGATGGCCTCTGCTCGCAAAGAGCCCAAGACCGCTCGCGCCCCGAAGACGACAGATGCGTCGTCCAGCTCCCAGGGAGAGCCTTCGCGTGCTGTCGATGATGCGCTGGACAACATTACTACTGGCATGAAAAAGATCAAGATCAACCTCATCACGAAAGCGCAGAGGGAGGCCAAGGAGAAGGAGAAAGATAGGGCACAGGCGCAGGCTGCCTCCAGTGCTGCAGCAACTCCTTCTGAAACAAGATCAATGCGCTCAGGACGCTCGACGCCCCTCCTTTCGCCCACGTTGGAGGTTCAGGGAGCGATTCGGGCGACCGAGTCAAGCGAGGACCATCCTGTCAAGGATGAGAAGCCCCCAACGCCCACGATTGTCACCAATGCCCCGGATGAGGACGTTCAGCCCAAGGTGGAAGAGGGTCCAGTTGCAGACACGCCGGATGTTTTCATTCCCTACCAGCCCGAGGGCCCAGCCCCCGAACCTGCGGCTGCCTCCTCCGAGCCCTTGCAATGGCTTCCACCGAACTTCAACACGCCCGCGCCCACGCCCTCTCCTGCGAAGCGCAACAACAACCTCTTTCATTATACCCCAGGCAGTATCCCGTTTGCGCCTCGCCCAGCATCGCCCGCCAAAACAGATCTGCCACCCCCCAAGGAAGAAGACGAGCAGGCCAAGCCTTGAGTGGGTGGGAGTTTCTGGATACTTTCATGCGTGTCTGTGCTTCATGATACCCATCTTTGCCGGCGTCTGCGCTTCTTTGCTTGGGGACGACGTGTAGCTTAATCGTATATTGTTTAATATATCTAGTTCTATGCTGAAAATCTCTCTCGGAATGCCGTGAGTGGCACTGCCACTTCCTCTACCTCGCCTCTAACCCCCTCCGTGATGCCAGGGTGTGTCTTCCTCTTCAACGTCCACACCTCCGTGACGCCCAAACTCTCCAGATACGCCAGTCCCCTCTCATAATTCGTAGCAACCTGCGCAATGCCGTGGCTGTCATCGGACATTGTGAACTTGCCGCCCATCTTGATCCATTCCTCCGCAATCGGTCTCGCGGGGTACGGTTCATCAAGACCTTTTCGCAACGCGGCGGTGTTGCACTCCAGCCAGCCATCCTGCTCCCTCGCCACCTTGAGGTTCCGCACGGCCTTGTCCCACACCTTGCTCCACGTCCTCGGGTCGTGGCCCGGTGTCTCGTTCATCAATCGGATCAGATCAAAGTGTCCTACTACCTTTGGTTCGAGCGCCGTGAGCATCTTGTACTGCAGATCGTAGTAGTCCTCCCAGAGGCTCTCCTCGGTCTGTCGGGTGCTCTTCTGCACGGCGGCGAGGTACATCTTCTTGACGTAGTCGATGGGGATGCCGTGGACGTGATGCACCGAGCCGATGAAGTAGTCCACCCTAGGGTCGGCGAAGAGGGATCGTACCGGGTCTGCGTACGCTTCGCGGATGAACTCGGCCTCAAAGGCGATGAGGATGTGGATCTGGGAGGCATAGGCTGCTTGAAGACGAGAGGCTTCTGTGAGGTAGGCTTCATGGCGAGTGACCATGGTAGTGAATAGGTCTTGCTCATTTAGCTACAGGCGATGTGTGTGAGTATCGTTTTCCATGAGACATCAGGCAAGAGTAGGAATTACTTCTTCGGGATAGAGGTCAGATTGCTCGTAACGTGGCATGTGCTCGGTGAGACCAATGGTTTTGTAGCCTTGGGAGATGGCATGCTGGATGATGGCTTCGAGTTGGTCTTTGGCGTGTCCGGGGCAGAACTGCCCCGAGTGCGAGTGCATTGTGAACGCCATGATGATTGACCTCGCTGAATCACAGGCACGGGATATTGAGCAAAAGGAATGTGTATGAGATTGAATGAGTGAGTGTGGTGAGCAACGTGGTTCAAGTTTGAAATGCCCCGCGAAAAGCTTCAGTGGGGTAAAGACTAATAAAGAAACATGTCGCATAACCCACGTGCTCGTCTAGTATAAACTCTATTGAACTGCACCAACCGGGTCAGTCCGTCGGTCCGTTTTGTTGGTCGAATTGTCTCTCTTTTAGATATCTAAAGCATGTCCCGTGGCTTGCACAGATACAAGCATGAATGTCCTCGTCAAGGACAACGACGAAGAAGAGCAGAAAGAGCATTGCCTCGGATTCTCTGTACATGTGATCCGTAGTGTGCTCGAGTTAATCAGACAAGCCCTTGCACCGCCACTCGTTTTATCGCGGTGGCCGCGGACAACGTTCAGATCTCCGGCTTGATGTCGTCCCGGCCCTCCGACGGGGGCCGACCCTGAACTCGCGTCTCGCAGCCGTTTTCCGACTTGACAGGATCCATTTGCACTATCCCCAGTGACCCCGTGTCATCCAACTTCAACCTCTCCGGCCAGTGTTGTGCAACAAAGTCGCTGCATCCGACGCGGTCGTAACAGTGCAAAGCGGTTTCGGAGGTGAATTGAATGTGGGTGTTGACACTGTTTTCAAACACCCACTTCACAACGGTTAGAAAGGTTTCTTCGCGAGAGGATGTCTCGTTGAAGGATTTTTGGCTAATCCTCAACGCAGCGCCGCGGGCCTCGAGGAATGACTGCAACGTGGCGGCGTCCAAACAGCTTGCCAGCACTTCCAATGCCTCCTCTGTCGCTGGAAGTGCGTCGGGTTTCCATTTCAATGTTTGGCGGACAGACTCCGTTATGTTTGGTACCGATGTGCGCATGATACCGAGGGTTACCTCACTGAATTGGACGTGGCGCCGGCAATTTGTCAGGAGCATCTCAATGACATCCGGCGATGCCCCGTACATCATGGCTAATTGCACGACGCGGGCGGATATAGAAGCAGCGGTTTGTTGTGGTCTGGCGTAAAAGAGAAAGGAAAGACAGCCCTGGGGGTCTTTGCCGCATGCGGTGATGAGCAACAGCTCCTCGGTGATGGGCAACTTGTCCCCTTCCTTATGGAGGCATCGGGCAACGGCGCCGACACGCCCTTGCATGAATATTTGCCATATTTGATGGCTGAGTCCTGGTTCCGTATCAAACATGGTAGGTCTGTGTAAATACCCTGGTAATCCGAGTTCGTCCGTGTTTGGAGTATCGGTATGATGGTGCGCGCCTCGAGTCGAAGAGAGTTCAAGTTTGATTGTTGTGCCTTGTTATATGAAAGGGTGTAACAGAGACCGACCTGGGATTCTTGTTGGTAGAAGATGGTGCTCCAGGCAGATGTGAGGCGTGAATGATCTTTATACGCTGAGTTACTGGGAAGGTGCACATGACATAGGCTGAAGCTTCCCAAGTCTCTGGGCACAAGGCGTTTGTTTTATCAGACGATGCCCATGTGGCTGCCCCAAGCCCGAGAAACTCGACCGAAGCAATTGTGGGATGAGGCTTCGCGTATCACGATGAGGCTCGGGTAGAATGATGACGATGCATCCAGAAGGCGAAGGCTGCGAATGCCTCCTTTCACTCAGCGAGGCATCCGATAAACTACGTTATGCTGGCCTCCAGTCTTCCCTAATTCACCCGTCGAGTTTGATGTTATGGTAGCACATGGCGTCTGCAAGGTTGCATTCTCCTGGCCTGCAGCGCCTTGTACGACCGTTGCCCCCGCTCAATGTCAGTGAATACGCCTTCTGCGCTGATATTGTTCACAAGCCACGCGTGAACCCCATCTTGTCGCAGCAGTGCGGGGAGATTACGCCATGCTTTTCAGCCTGTTGCTCAGGCTAAGTCACCTCGTACGCACCGGTCCATTGTGCAGAAGAAGTCAATTCCTGATATTCCGCTAGCGCCAGAACCCAATGTTTCCCATAAACCGAGATGACAGTGCTTCACACCCCAGTTTTCATTCCTCTACTCCAAGCTCTGGATCAATGAGACATTGTCGCCTTTTAGTAGAATTTGCCCTGTTCATGTCAGTCATGCCGCGTAGGAAAGCCAAGGGGAGTCAACGTACCTAGCGATCGTCGCGATTCTGTGGGGTTGGTCTTGGTGATCTGCTTGACCTCAACAGCGTCGTCGAGGACAATGTTCATAAATTCGTCAAAGCCCTATCTAGTGTTAGCCAGGAAAAAGGGACAGTGAAGCCAGAGACCCTACGCGGATCTTGCCCTCAATGCGGATCGCAAGCTGCTCATAGAGCCAGACGCTCACGGGTGTGTTCTACGGTTCGTCAGCATTCGCCATGTGGTGTGTTTCGGGCTTCGAGATCGAGATGTGAAGGCGATAGGAGCTGGCAATTGACGTGCAGCAGTACTGAGCAGCCTCGCTTCGCCGGAGCGATTCCCCCGTCCTGACCCAACTGCAACGACCAAGGTCCAGGGCCTAGGCACATGCTCGAACTCTGGACTTGCCCTGGGTCGTCGAGTCGCAGTCGCAGTCGCCGTAGGGCATCGATCGCCAGCTCCCATCTCTTCCAATTGGTCTTCGATCTCCGACCAATCCACCTCGGGTTCGTATCGGGGAGACTCACGCTCTGTAGCAGTCTGAAGATGAACTGACTATCCAAACATTAGCATTCCGCGCTTTCCCAGGTCTAGCAAGTGGCGCAAAACGTACATGGGAGGCAGAAGGACCTTACGGCCACCACCGCCTGGACGACCCGACATACTGGATTGCTGAGTAAGGGGGTTGGGTGAGTCTGCAGGGAAGAGGCGCGTCGGATGTCGTGTGGTTCGCGATGCCGGGCTTGGTGGCATGCGAGCTGTGGTGTTGTCGCTGGGAATTTTTGGCGGGACGCGGATGATGGTTCCGCCGGGCCGCGATCTGACGATAGCTGACGTTTGTGAATCCACCTACCCTGTGCCAATGTCATTGATCAATTGCCCACTACCTCAACACGCGCTATCAAGCTGTTGACTGACGGGTAAATAGCAAGTTTGCGCTCATGGGAGGCTTTCCTAAAAAGGGCTTTCTTGTGCCCAGTGATTGGGAGGACAATTGATTGAGCAGATTTACCCTTGACAAAGCTAAAACATGATCAGTTCTTATAAGGGCACTTGATTGCAACATCGTGTTCTTACACTCAACACTCATGTCCTCTATACAAAACATTCGGAACATTGATAAAACTTGGGCCTCTGTTGCGGAAATGGATCTTTCAGCTCAAGACCAAAGCCGAGAGGCGAGCTCCCTGGAGTCTAGAACCGACGAACTCTCTACGTAGTGAGTCACGCAATGCCATGCCAAGGGCGCATCATGACAAGTGGGCTAGTTTCCCGGAGGGCAGAGAGCGGAATCTTGCAAATCAAAGTGTGGATTCAGCGGGAGAATACATCTCACGTTGAGGTTCCCCGGGGGGTTCCCCGGAACCGATGTCGGGCTCGACGACTTGTGCTGGCTCAGCTACAATGGCAACATGTGATGGAGAAAAGATCGTGCTCGAAGGACTGCCGATTCAAGAATACCCAAGTTCGGCGATAGAAATGTTATATCGTGAATCTTGACGCTGCTGGATTTTGTGAGCTCAGACAGGTGAAGATCTGGGCCAAACATGCTGCCGCTTCTAAGCTGTGCTTAAGCAGTGCCATCGCAAATCAAGCCTTGAACAGTTGCCCGAGTACGGAGCTGATCTGACAAAAGTTCTTGATGCCATCTAGACTCAGTCCATGTCAGACTTAATGTCGTATGATGCAGCCACAATGTCAAGATCCAGTCATCAAAAGGCGTAGCCATGATGTCGGCCGAGGCGCGCTCCGAACATCGGCTCGCAGCCGCTCCCACACTACGGTGATTGGCGCGACAGACAATCAGATCTGATCGACAGCGAAATCCGGGGTGAGAAGCTCTTGCGTCATTTGAGTGTAAGTATTCTGGCAGTGAGGCGTGGTGCAGGTGCAATTACGGCGTACGTACTCGGTTCGAGTCTGCGTGTGCCTTTGCAAATAACCTACTGTCACGTCCTTTGCCGTAAGCAAGCACTCAAGGTGCCGGACGCCGCCGGGCAGGTGGGTGTGCTGGCCGGCGCGGATCGTGAGGACCGGCGCCGCCTCAGGGTCTTTTCTCTTACGTACGTCCCGGTGCGGTGGCCGGGGCACGGAATGTGCTGTGGGCGCGTGTGGTCCGACTTCACTTCACCAGCTCGGTACGGATGCCCCAAGACGGATGGGGTGCCTGGCTTGTGGCTTGTGATGTGCCTGTGACGGATACGAACTATTACTCCTCCTCCTTCTCCTGCAGTGACCGGTTCGCGGAGATGTCTAACTTACGGGGCTGACTGGCCGTCTGGGGGAGGGGGCTGGGGGTGAGCACTTTCGAGAAAATTCTCCTTTTCCATCCTTGGGCCTTGGCCATCGCGTCTTGACGACGACCATCGCAGCGATCGTGGTGGTATGCACATATCGAGGCGAGGACGCTGGGGCCAAAACATCTTCAAGAGGCTGCTGTCCAACAGGCCTTGCAGGGCCGCAGGGCCGCATATGCGCGCTTGACACCATTCATGCGGCTCTGCGCCAGAACGTGCGTGGTGCCTGGGCAGGTGCGTGGACCACGCAATTCGTTTGGTGAAATGATGCAAGCGGCCACCATCGGCAAGATGTGGACGACCCCGTTTTGGGTAATGCAGAGGTGACTTGACTGGTGGTCATTGCAGGCCAGAAGCAGGGGACATAAGCAGGAAAAGTTTTCGAAAGGCCTGGCGGCACCAACCAAGCAGGTGAAGCGCCGGGTATATGCAGGTATCGGGGGAGTAGATGGGCTCGATCCGGAGACTCCACCGAAAATTTGCTGCCGCCGTGACCTCGACGGTGGAGCTGTTCGCTTCGCTTCGTGTCGTGTCGTGTAAGACGATGGAATTTTTCTCGTGCATGCCGGGGCATTATGACGGCGGCGCGCTGAAACAAGTCGAGGGAGGCGAGGTGAGTTGTCACCGACAGGTCAATGCAACTGGTTCAAGGGCAGTGCTGTGTGTTGGATCGGAGACGATCGCTTGGAGTCAAGATGTCACACTATTCAACCTCAATTACATGTTGATCGCATCAAAGATCGTCATCCCGAATGGACGACAAGACATGAAAAGCAGTACCGTATCCGTGAGACCATGGGATTCACGGATACTATCCGTCCATGGAGTGGGCACCATCGGCGGCATGCATCGGGGGCCTACGTGGGCCTGCCTGTTGCAACGCACGCCCATCGGCGGTCAAGCAAGTTAGCAAGCAACAACAAGCGAGCACGCCTTGAGGCTGCCCTGGCCAGCTGTGGATAGCATTGGGTAAGAGTATCGATTGTTTTGGCATCGTGAAAGGAGTCATCCATCACATGGTCCCATGGATGGAGCCATGTCGCGCCTTACGATGCGTACGTGGTTTGTCTGATTTCAGTCACCAGCAGTAGTCACTAAAAGTCAGGACTTACAATTGAATCAATGGCACTGAGTTGGTGACTTTCAAGAATGCTCCTCGACAAGCATGGAGGATATACGTCTTCCAGTCATCAGCAAAACATCACCATGCCCGTCATCAAGAAAAGGAGTCAAGCAACAAACAATGGCATGATCATCAAGGTATTTTAGAATGGACCGTGGGCTAGTCTAGCACGCCCTACTGGTCGACATGGACTGGACCTGCGCTGGAGTTGGCCGACCAGCTCCACAGGCCGCTGGCTGTGACGAGCCGGAAAAGTTTAGCGGTCGCTCGGGGCATCGAGGTCGCTGGATCGTAGCCGGATCCACTGAAAAATTGCTCGACAATGCTGTAATGACACATAGTTCGGCCAAGGGGGCCGATGGGCTTTTCACGCGCGCAGAGTATTAATACCGATCGTGCCCATGATTCTTGTAAGTTGTTTTTGGATCGTATAGTAAAGAAGACTAAATCCAGGGCAACTATTCATCCCACTGGCTGTTAAATCATCGTCGCAAGCAACACCACCGAGCGGCACTTACACAGATACCTTCCCAAGAACTCTGTGCACACAGCATCAGCCAGCACTTACACCACATTACGAATCACTCTTCGTCAGCATCAGCATCAGCATCGCGATTCAGTGTACTCTGGAACGACCTTTCATCAAAAGACGGACTGGACACAAAGATTGAAAGAAAGCATCTCAGTTGCGCCAACGACATCATCCCGCAGCGGGCCTCTATTCGAAGGATCCAGCCCCAAGGGCGCGCGTACGACCAAAAGCCAGTAGCCGTTCTAGACTACCCTGGCCCCCCCTCCCTCACTCGTCCAAGGTGGCCGATGAGCTCATTCTGGTCACGGTGACTTCACTAGTGCCAGCTGCACAGCAGGACACCACCCCGCCGGAAGTACCGACTACCACATCGACCTCGCAGCACAAGCGCGATCACCAGGTCACTTGGGATTGCAAAAAGCACCCCGGAAAATCACCCCAGTCGAGAGATCACGCCAGACATTCATCAGAAGCCCAGTCATTTACCCCGCAAACTGCGAAGCTGGGATTTCCACGGAGTGCTCAGTTTACAAGAATCAGCGGCTGGCCGCTCCTTCTTTCCCAGCAGATTTCGGTCTTACTACCCTTTTCACCATCCCCTTTAGCGCCAAGAGGAAGGAAGTGAAGCGACCGTAGTCACAATGCCCGGCCTCATCCTCCCCGGTTTCTTGCGCCACCCTTCCGGCCACTCCACACATCAGAAGAAGCACAGCCGCTCGCAACATGCCAGCCCGGACGTGTCAGACGGCGAGGGCGATCACGACCAGCGCCTCTCCTCGCACCACGCAAAGAAGATGCCCGACTTGGCCGATGCCGTGGCCAAGGCCAACAAGCGCCTGTCTTTCCCCTTTGGCAAGAAGGAGCACCAGTGCTCCGCACTGAGCCTCGAGTGCGAGCTCGAGAGCCCGCCCATTGTGCTGCACGGTAATGCCGAGGACAGCACCGGCGCTCTGCTCTCGGGGCAATTTGTTGTCGACGTCAAAGAGGACAGCATCGATCTGGAAGCCTTTGGCGCCGCCCTCAACCTGCGCGTCACCCACAAGCGGCCCTTCCAGAGCCACTGCAACGACTGCGCCAGCCAGGTCACAGAGATCAAGCGATGGAACTTCCTCGCCTCGACGCCCCTGAAGGTCCACCGCGGACGACACCTCTTCCCCTTTTCCATGCTTGTCGACGGCCACCTCCCCGCCTCGTCCTGCTCTAGCCTCCTGACGGTAGCCTACGAGCTCAAGTCCGAGGCCCGCGTCACACCCGAATGCCTACCGGCCCAGTCGCACAACACTGTCAAATTCGCGCGCCCCATTGTTGTCAAGCGCTCAATCCGCCAGGCGGAGCTGCCTCACCACTCTGTCCGCCTCTTCCCGCCGACCAACATCAAGGCCAGCGCCCACTATCAAACCACCATCCACCCCACCGGCTCCAACAACGTCACCCTCAAGCTTGATGGCCTCATGTCCCTCAACGAGAAGACAAGGACGCTCGACATCTGGCGACTCAAGAAGATCTCGTGGAAACTCGAGGAGCACACAAAAACCGTCGCCCCGGCCTGCCGGAAACACCAACCGCTTCTCGCGCCCGAGGCCGAGAGCACCGCCGAGGCGAGCCGCCTCAAGGGCCTGCACCGCCAGCAGGTGCGCCTCCTGGGCGAGAAGCACATCCACGACGGCTGGAAGTCTGACTTCTCCGGCACGGATGGCACCGTCGACTACGAGTTCGACTACACCATCACCCAGCGTCGCTCCAAGGCAGGGCACCTCAAGTATGCCTGCGACGGCAAGACCGCGGACGGCACGGAGACAACCCACACCCTCTGCCTCGAGCTCGTAGTGTCCAAGGAGTATGCCCCGGAGGGCAGGCCCGACCACTCTGCGCACACCGGCACGGGTCGCATCCTGCGCATGAGCTTCAACGTCGTCCTGACCGACCACCCGGGCATGGGCATCAGCTGGGACGAGGAGAGCCCTCCCACCTACCAGGATGTGCCTCCCAGCCCACCGAGCTACCTCCAGCCGATTGACTACGAGGACGTGCCGATCACCGAGTACGAGGATCTGCAGTGCCTCGAGGGCGCGCGGATCAACGGGGCGCCGCCCTCGCGGCGGCCGTCTGGGTCTGCTTGAGTTGCATGGTCGTGATTGCAAGGCGAATTGTGGAATTATGATACCCTCAACAAGCGTATGATGACTGGGTTGCTATACTATTGGAAAGGCGTTTTGGAAAAGCGGATATATACATCATTACATAGCATCGGATGATGATAATGATATACAACTTTAATCGGCTCACTGGTGTTTTCCCTCGTGGTTTGTGTTGTGATGCCGGTGCTGTTCACATGCAGTCACGTCCATCTCGACTTTGGCAGCACATATTTTCGGCGCAATGTTGCCATATGAACCGGGTTCACCTTTCATGTGATGCTGGTGACACAGACAGTGTCACAAGACCAAGCGCGTAATAACTTGCTCTTGCAGCACAATCCGTGGATGATGCATCCCCGTTCCGCAATCCCCGCAACACCCGCAAACATGAAGACAAGCTTTCGGGCGAATGGATCACTGCGGAGGTGGCCGATGCCCGATAGGCACAGGATTCTTAACAAGCACTACTAAGTTAGCATGCCTAAGATGAAGCCATTGTGCGCAATACTATATGAAGACACCTTTAAAAGACAAGCGTAACTTACGCCAAGCCCAGCTCATGAGATCAAGGAGTAACACGTTATTGGTCTGCTGGGACTCCGCGTAAGATGGAGCTCATGACGCCTCATCGGCCTTGGCACGCGACGCGGGGGCGGAGAGTCCGAGAGCCGAACTGCGTTGTCGGGGTTGATCCGACTCGGACCTATCTTGAGCATCTTCACGTCTTTCCACACATTCGCCAACATGTCTTCAGTGCAAACGACGCAGACAGCGGCCAGCGTCGCGCAGACCGACAGCCAGGGCCAAGCACAAGCCAAAAAGACACCCTTGGAGCTCAACTGTCAAGGGACACCTCTGCCTGGCATCCCCAAGCATCCTACCTTTGCTGCCCAGAGACAATGGCTCCTCGAGCAGATGGCCCTCGCCTTTCGCTGCTTCGCGCGCAAGGGCTACACAGACGGCATGGCAGGCCACATCTCCGTCCGCGACCCAGAGAATCCACATACCTTCTGGACTGTGCGTCTCACGTGCCCTGCAGCTCCAACGAATACTAACAAGAGGACCAGAATCCCCTTGCTGTCCATTTTGGCCTTCTCAAGGCGAGTGACATGATTCTCGTGGACTACAACGGCGTGCCTGTCGGAGGTAACATGAGCCGACCAGCCAACGCGGCCGGCTTCCTCATCCACAGTGCCGTGCACAAGGCACGACCCGACGTCACCGTCGCCGCCCACATGCACAGCCCCCACGGCATGGCGTGGAGCGCCTTTGGCCGCCCGGTGGAGATGCTCACGCAGGACGCCGCCTATCTCTACGGCGACGCCCAGGCCGTCTACAAGGACTTTGGCGGCGTCGTGCTCAACGAGGAGGAAGGCCGGCGGGTCGCTGCGGCGCTGGGTCCGCGTGGAAAAGCCATGATTATGCAGAATCACGGGCTGTTGACGGTGGGGTCCACGGTGGAAGAGGCGTGCTTCCTCATGACGCTGCTGGAGAGGGCGTGCCAGGTGCAGTTGCTCGCCGAGGCGGCGGCGGCGAACGGGGTGCCCAAGATTCTCATCGCGGAGGAGAGTGCCCGGTATACGTTTGACAACTCGAGTGATGCGAAGACGTTGTACTGGGAGGGGCAGCCTGACTTGCAGTATGAAGAGTATATGGCAAAGGGGGAGCATAAGGGGTGAAGGAGGGCGAACTTCCGTCTGGGTGCATAGTCAAGCTTCTTGCGTACTTGCTTCTTCCAAACGGCGAATGATACATTTGGCAAACAGCAAGTCCACCTATACGATTTGGAGTGCTACTGTTGGCTATAGTCGTGTTCCTTGCCTCGACGGAGTGTAAAAGACATGACAGCGGTCACTGAGGCACAGGAGACCCGTTCGCATGTTTATCTCGGGGGTGAAAAGAGTTGCGCCTCTGGCTACTACTGCCAGAGCCTCTCCGAGGCAGTTGGTAGTCTTTGGATTACCCTCAACTGCCCGATGCGGTCAGCAGTCTTTGGCTACTCTGAAGGGTTAGTGTCCCTAATAGGGGCACTTTTGCGTCTGTGCTGCCAATGACATGCACAGACAGAGCTTGGAGAAGCCCGGCAAATCACATCAGGGGGCCTAATCTGCCAGATCTCTGCACATTCTACTCCGTCACGTGCGACCAAGGAAGCAGGCAGCCTGTCAATGTAAAGTCCACCCGAGGCTAATGCGACGTTGAGTAATAAGGTTGCCCTTGGTGCATTGGAACCTGAAAGCTGAAGGATCTTGTAGATCACGGCCGCTAGCAGTGATCGTGTCTTTGCCGCATTTTCTGACGTCGAATGGCGGACAATTGGGGGCCAGGCCGGGCGCGCCCCGGTATACTAACATGCAGATCCGTGCCTGTGCCGGGCCAGATACCGGATTTGGCAGCTTGTGATATTTATAAACTCAGATCGACAAGACGTTGGACACCAGCCGACTGGTCTGACGGTTTAGTATGGGGACACATTGTGCCTTGCAGCGTCCATGACGCAGAGCTGAACAAAACAAAGCCTCAGAACCATATCGTGAGGCTTGGCGATGATCACGAAGGAAGATGACTTACACAACTCCTCCGACATTGTGCGGGAGAAGAGACTGCGATGTTGAAGAGAGTCAGGTGTCGACGCCTCAAGAGCCGAGCAATCTTGAGGTATAAGAAGGACCACAATCCGGCGCGAGACGAGAGATTAGAACACTCACCATCAGCAGCAACACCAGCATCAACATCAGCAACAGCGTCTTTCAGCACTCCAGATAAACCTCTCCCATTTATTCCATCTTCAGATACATCACACTAGCAACCATGGTTCGCGCAATTTCCCTCTTCTCCGGTCTAGCTCTGGCCTTCGCTGCTAGTGCCGACGTAATCGGCCACAAGGATGTCCAGCGCTTCACGGAGAGCGCCCCCGAGATATACCTCAAGTTCAAGCCGTTCCTCGACGTCGATACCGGCTGCGTGCCCTTTCCAGCCGTCGACAAGGATGGTAACATTAGGTAAGCTACATCTCCTCCCCATAATGAACCACAAAAGAACACGGCTGATCCGTGATACCTTCACAATAGCGGCGGTCTGAAAGCTGCCGGAGACATCTCTGGTCAATGCAGCGAGAGCGAGGGCCAGCTCTACGCCCGCGGCCGCAATCATGACGGCAAGTTCGCCATCATGTACGCCTGGTACTTCCCCAAGGACCAAGCCGTCCACGGCGGCGGCGCAGGCCATAGACACGACTGGGAGGACGTCGTGGTCTGGCTGTCGTCGAACAGTGGCGACGCTGATTTCCTGGGCGTCGCGACGTCAGGCCATGGCGACTACACCAAGACAAAGGCCTCGGACATGAAGGACTCGATGGACGGCAGCCGACCGCTGATCCAGTACTTCTCAAATGGGATTACCAACCACGAGCTGCAGATCACGACGGCCAAGGGTGGCGAGCAGGCCCTGATCGAATGGGGCGCCCTGGGTTCCAAGGCGCGCGCGGGACTGGCCACCTCAGATGCGTGGGGGGATGCGGTCATGCCCATGATTGACGACAACTTTAAAGACAAGATTGCAAAGGCTGCGCTGTGATGGACAGAGGACTGCGGTCAAGTCTGCCTCCTCTCTGGTCTTGAGACATCCAACATGAATAGGGCCTTTTGTTATTATCTGTTGTTACTGTAGATACTACCTGTATTTCTGGTTTCGTGCGATACTGAATTATATCTCGCGCAATTCTTGAACTGCTGGATGCTGTCGTTTCTGGTTAAATCGGCATTTGATCTGTGATTGTATGATTCCGCACTGGAAGACTGTCCTCGACGGCTGTTATATTCAAGCCTCTATCTATCGGGTTATGCAGCTATCGGTGGCAAAGTCCAGGCCCAGACGTGTAGCCCGATTAGGTTTAGCTGCGGTACACGTTCTTCCTCCACGATCTGCCGCAACGGCTATTCAGCACGCTCACCTTGCAAGCCTCAGACTCAAACGACACTCAGCTCAGGGGCTGGATGTCTTCATCTGCCCAAGGCACCGATTCAGCTACTCACGACCTCGAAGCCTCGCTAAAAACAGGGAGGAATCTGCTGCTGTCCGGTGCCACCACCGGCCCAAGCCAGAGCCGGCACTAAGGCGCACGCTAAGAGAGCCCGACAGGCACGAGTCACGACCCACGACACGCAACATTAAATCAAGTCCAGAGCGCTCTCCCTTCATGTTGCTACGACTGGAAGTAGGAATCACAGCATCATGGAGGCCTCGGGGACACGACAGACGAGCACATGCATGCACGCACCCTCCCACTGTTCCGCATAAGCCACGTTGATAACTGCGCATCAGATGCCACCCACCCGACCAAAAAGAGACGAGCATGCTGATGTGAGACAGCCACAGCGGGATGAATCGTTGCCGAAATAGGGGCTTCGCTCCCCCACAGATCGTCCGTAGACTTGTCCCGGCACTGGGCAGTGGCGCGCGGACGGCTGCGGCGGCCGCCATCTGTAGCTCCGTTGTCCAATGCCATATATAATTGACAACACCACCCACCATTTTCAGGGACGGGTTGCACCCTTCTCCTTGTCCCATTTCTGGATGTCGCAAGCAGACTAAAGACGCCCCGCATACCATGGCCGACATGCCATCTTTTAGCTGGACGACGCCCATGATGGAGGCGGTGTCGCGACCAGCCATTGCCGGGCCACTGCTGCTCATAGTGGCTTGGGCCGTATATCAGCTTTTCTTCAAACCGTCCGCTCTGCCAGACTTGCCCATCGTCGGCGCGCGTCCAGGCGACTGGTCTCCCATGTGGCAGGCCCGGCTGCGGAATTTCAAAGACATGAAGGCGGCGCTCAACTCGTCCTACGCCCAGTACCAGAACCAGGCCACCATCCTTCCCCTTCTCGACAGCGGCAACATTGTGCTACTGCCCCAGTCGGATACAAAGTTCCTCGCGGACCAGCCTGACAATGTGCTCAATATGCACGACCAGGCACAGGACTCCCTGCAGACCGACTACACGACCATGGATCCCTCCCTGACACACGACCCGATCCATACTAACATCATCGTCGGCACTTTGACCAAGGAAATCGCCAATCTGGTCCCCGGCTTGGCGGAGGAGATTGCGTACTGTTTTGACCGACACTTGGGCGCCGACCCGGAGTTCAAAGAGATTGGGGTTTACGACAGCATGCAGCACGTTCTCAGCGGCGTCACCAATCGCGCACTCGTAGGGTTCCCACTCTGTCGAGAGCAAAAGGTGCTGGACATGGGCATCGCGTTTGCTCAGGACATTCCCCTCTCGTCCATGCTCATGAGGTGTTTTCCTGGGTTCGCAAAGCCCCTCGTGGCGCCACTCATCACACTGCCGAACCGCATACACACGCGGAAATTCGAGAAGTTGCTGGCCCCCGAGATTGAGACTCGTCTGCAGCAATGTGGCCTGCGACAAGGTGTCCAGGCGTCTGAGAAGAGCGACGTACCGCGCCGCAATGACTTTCTACAGTGGTCCATTGAACAGGCCAAGGCGATTGGGAACCCCAAGAACTGGCGGGTCAGCGCTTTGGCGCAACGTGTCCTGCTGCTCAACTTTGCCGCCATCCATACGTCTACCTTTGCCATGACGCACGTCCTCTTGGACTTGGCGTCAGCACCTCCCGAGATCATCGAGGAATTGAGAGAAGAAGCTGCCAATATGCTAAAAGAGCACGATGGGCAGTGGTCCAAGCGCGGGCTGGCACAGCTGGAGAAACTCGACTCGGCCATGCGCGAGAGTCAACGCAAGAACTCATTCGTGGGCCTCGGTCTCATGCGCAAGGTCGTGGCCCAGGACGGCGTCACATTCCCGAGTGGCGTGCACGTTCGCCAGGGCAACTCGGTCTGCGTCCCGGCGTACTCGGTGCTCCAGGACAGCGCGGTCTACACCGATCCCAAGACGTACAAGCCCTTCCGATTCTACGAGGCGCGTGTCAGCGAGACGGAGGGTTACGTCAAGAGGGCGCGCAACGCGTTTCCCACGGCGAGTCCGGATTTTCTAGGATGGGGACTGGGCCGGAATGCTTGTCCTGGCCGATTCTTTGCGTCGAATGAGATTAAGATGATGCTGGCCTACCTGCTTCTCCACTACGATATTGAGCACCAGGAGAGTCGACCGCGCAATGTGTGGTTTGGCATGAACCGCATCCCGCCGATGAAAGCGACTCTCAGGATGAGGAAGAGGGCGACGGCTTGATACCAATTGATACCAGGGAGAGAATTGAAATTCGCCGCAAATGAGATGTGCCACCGCGCGTGCAATTTGTAGCTTGCTACTGACGAGTCACAGCGTCCAATATCATCCTTTGCGTCGAGTCCCATGCACCCAGCCCTGCAATATGACACCATCTGTAAGCGAGCGTAGATCAGTGAACCCGGGGATCCAAAACAAATTACTATGGCTCTCGAGATCCGGACTCTACCTCCTTGAACGGTGCGATGCCTGTCATGTCGTGGGGCGCTGCTGAACGGCCTACTGACGAAATTCTTCGCGCCTGAGCAGTGAGCACAGTTCTAACTTCTACCTCAGGAGCGGAACACAATCTCCGGTGGCGTGAAATACGGATAGTACGTGGCCCGCCTTGCGAAAATGACCTTGGTACGTTCTGAAGATGAAGTGAGATGAGCGTGTTCAATGATGATGAGCGATGAGGATGGATGATCCTGTGGAGGAGCAGAAGCTCCGCTTATGTAGGTTCGTACCTTCCGCCTTGTGAAGCCTTGGCGCCTGTCAGTGCTGTTAGTGCTGTTAGTGCTGTGCTGCTGATCGACACGGATCCACTGCAGCTGAAAATTTCAGCCTCAATGACCTTTACGGGAATCGATTTCTCTCTGCATCTTCCCCGGAAAATTGACATTGAATACTAATTAAGGACAGGATGCACTGTTGACGTATATTACTTGGCAAATCCAGGAACGCGCAGCGGCGAGTCGACAGATGCCATTTTAAGCTTCTTTGTGGGTGGGTGATTTATCATTAACCCTGGGCCTGGTCCCTGGATACTGGACAGACCGGATTCGTCCTGTGCAACTTCTCATGTAATGGAAAACAGTCAACAGCGGATCCTCCCATTGTCCATTCGTCATCGCAACTGACGTCAATTTCCATATTAGTCCATCAGACAGCTTTTCACATTCGGCTACTAATGCTCCCCGTTTTCTGGAGGAATGGGGCGCTCCTTCTGCCTCCGCCAACGTGCATCAGTGGACGCGCGTATGAAACTCTTATTAACCGTTCAAACTCAAGCCCAAGACGAAAGATGTTCAGAAACTTCAAGACCCGCCCCTTCCTCTCAGCACTGTCATCCTCTCACATCCGTTCACCCCAGATTAAGCCAGCCTTCACCTTCACCTCGACATCCAGACCGAACGCCAGTATGCTGCAACGATACAAACAGACCATCACCAGCGACATTATCCGTCTCATGGTCCTGGAGACAGACAAGCCGCACCCAGACACCCAGTCGGAGAAGGGCTCCTTTGGTGAAATTGTACACAGACACTTCTCCGATGCTGGGAAAGCACACCACCCACCCCTCGGCGTGGAGACGGACCAGGTCTTTGTCGTGACGGACCAAGGCGGCCAGATGCCCAAGTTCCGAGACTTTGACGGCTTCGACGGTCTTCTCATCACGGGCAGCATGTACGACGCCCACGACAACAACCAGTGGATCCTGGACCTCCTGGCGCTGCTCAAAGAGCTGTGGACAAAGAAACCCGACTTTACCTTCACGGGCGTGTGCTTCGGCCACCAGCTGCTGGCGCGCATGCTGGGGGCGGAAGTTGGCCCGTCACCCAAGGGAGACTGGGAGCTGGGTCACTCGAGCATCACCCTCACGCCCACCGGCCAGCGCCTGTTCCGCACGCATGCGCCCGAGGTGCACCTGCACCAGATGCACCAGGATCAAGTGGTCGCGCCGCCGACGCCCGAGTCGGCCGGCGGTCTGCTGGACAAGGACGCCAAAGTCGAATGCTGGGGCACATCCTCGCACACAGAGGTGCAAGGGCTGTACATCCGAAACAGGCTCTTCACCACGCAAGCACACGTCGCCTTTGACGAGGACATGGTGAAACGACAGATTGCCATGCGCGAGGAAAGCGGTGGAATTCAGGACAGCGAACACGCCAACCGGGCCAAGGAGACGGCACACCTGGAGCACGACGGCAAAGAGGTGGCCAAGGCCATCCTTCGCGTCATTAGGACAGACAAGGACGGCGGCTGGGAGACGGTCACCAACGGCCACGGCAACTGATCGAGTTCTTTCTTGTTACATGTCTTTGCATTTTTGGGCTTTCGGTGTTATACGAAGATTCGATTTAGATACCACCTGGCGTCAATGGCACCACCTACCACGGGCTGGTGCTTCCGCGCGCCTCCATGAGACTGCCCATCTCCGCATCCCTTTCCCCTCGGACGATGCGCTCCATAGCCCTCGCACTGTCCATCGGGTCTCCTGCGCCATTCTGCTTCCTGTATTCGATATCCTCTGGGCCCGAGAGGTTGCTCACCACGAACCCGGGGCAGAGCACACAGACGCGTGCCCAGTCGCGAAAGTCCCACCGGAGTTGCATGGCGATCATGTTCAAGGCCGCCTTGCTGGCGCGGTAGGCGTGGTACGCGACGGTCGCCGCGGACGAGTCGTGGTCGGCGCGCTGGGCGACCGAGCCCAGCATGGAGGTGACGTTCAGGACCAAGGGGTCCCGGCCCTTTTTGAGCAGAGCCTCCATGGCACAGGTTAGGACGTACACGCTGGTGACGTTGGTGTTGAGGATGTGGTCGAAGTCCTCCCGGGAGGTGATCTTGCGCTCTTCGCTGAGACGGTTTTTCTCAGCGATGCCGGCGTTGTTGATGAGCACATCGAGTCTGCCATAGTCACGCTCCACAGTCTTCACGGCGGCGGCCACCGAGTCGTCTGACGTGACATCCAGCTGGAGGAGGCTGAGGGAGGCTGATGGCTGGTCGGCCTTGATGGCGTCCAAGGCAACCTGGCCTTTCTCGGCGGAGCGTGAGCCGAGGAGAACGTGGTTCTCTCCGGAGGAGGAGAGGAGCTTGGCTGCGCAGAACCCGATGCCCGAGTTGGCGCCCGTGATGAGGATGATGCGCTTCGCAGACATGGTGGATGGATGAGTGGATGAGTGATAGAGAATGAAGGGGCCCTTGAAGTGAGTCAGGGGATCAGTCTGATATAAATATCATCCACGGTGCTGGCTTTGTGCAGGCGAGCGATTTGTGTTCGCCTGGATGAGGCCTCTCACAACACGATTTATTTACACCATTTCCTCTTTTCACGTTTGTCTCCGGATTTAACGGCATGTCGTGTTTCCGGGCTGCTTCGTAGTGAGTTCAAAGCACTTGTATTTGGTACGATCGGAGATAGTGTCCACGCGGTGAACGCAATTCCGATACCCACAGTCCATGACCGCGACAATGTGACGAGTCGTCATCAATGACATCCGCCTCTTCGCATTGGTATTCATTCACTCCCCACATGCCCAGCTTTTACAGTACGTTCGTAGTAGGAACTTTCTCTGGAGGGCAAAAGGTCTCGTGTGTCCAATCATCAGATCCATTGAGCCGTGGTGAAGCTTCTCGGTTTGCTAGGACAGGCCTTGCTTGACAGCTACGTCCTCGAGGTAGAGAGCGATAGGTTTCGACCATACTTCCTGGAACAAACACGGACATATGATGATAACATGCCAATTGGTCAGACGGGACTCCCATTCTGTCCACCCCGGCTCCGAAGAGGGTAGTCGGGTCGACTAGTCCTCCCACGACAGCCTCATGAGTCATGGTAGACTAGCACCGCACTTTGCTGTGGCCAGCAAGTGCGTCGGTATGATAGTTGTGAACATTCCGTGGCATTTCAAGTCTTGATACTGAACCAAATATACAGCACTCTCTTCCTATACGGTCCGCAATTCATTCTAGCATGCAGTCTTGAGAAGCCCTGCCCATTGTACAGACATCTTCCCACTATTCTGTCCCCAAGTCCCATCCATTGACCATCACATCGCCTGCACAGCCCTCCGCCTGTTTTCCACCGCATTCCTCGTAATACCAATCTTGGGCCCGGCGATATCAAAGCCATGCGACACGCCCGCATACACATGTAGCTCGACCTCGACATCACGACGTGCCAACCGCGTCGCATACTCCATCGTCTCGTCCCGGAACGGATCCAGCGCGCCCACCTCGACATACGCACTAGGCAACCCCCTCAAATCCTCGGCGCGTCCGGGCGCCGCGTACGGAGAGACATCGTCTGCGCCGCGTCGCCCCTGGCCGAGATAGTGGTTCCAGAACTGGTCAAAGTCGTCGCGGAAGGTGATCTGTGACTGATCGCGGGCACTCTTGGGATCGAAAAACCTCTCACGCGCCCGGTCGTCGAGCATGGGGTAGATGAGCATCTGCTTGGCGAGGGGCGGGTCGAGCTGTCTGTCCCTGGCCATGAGTGTGACAGCGGCGGCAATGTTGCCGCCTGCGCTGTCGCCGACGACGCCGATGCGCGCGGGGTCAATGCTCAGCGAGGCAGCATTGTCCGAGAGCCACTGGGTTGCGGCGTAGCAGTCCTCGGGCTGTGTGGGATGGGGATGTTCCGGTGCGAGGCGATACTCGACGGCAAAGGTGCGGACGCCCATCTCGAGCGCAAAGTTGGCCATGGCGGGGCGGTAGACGGTGTCGACGGGACAGCTGATCATGCCGCCACCGTGGAAGAAGAGGAAGGCGGGTTGGGGGTCTCGCTCGACAAAGTGCACGTCGTCCTTGGCCAGCTTGAATTCGTGGATGGTGAGCGCGGCGCCGTCAAAGGACGTGATGGTGTGCCGCTTCTCGACGATGAGAGGGGAGACGGGGGCCTGTTGGTTGATGAAATTGCCGAGGATGCCACCGAAGCGAGCTCAGGACTGTTCGATTGTCTCGTTGTCTTGCTTCGCGGGGACGTTGAAGAGTCGAGGGTTGGCGCCCAGATGGGCGAGGAGCTCGGGGTCCATGCGGGTGCTGGTCATTGTTCGTTTGGGAAGAGGAGGTTCTTGAAGTCTGATGAGTACTGAATAGTGCATGTGGTTTCTGTGATGATGTTTCGTAGCCTCAGTGTTATCTTCCGACATATATATACACATTGGCCCTCGAGTATTTGGGCGGATTTGGCATCTCGCCCTTCATGGTCGCCGAGCCACCCCGAGATGTCAAAGCAGCAAGGGAAACTTGGGGAAGTGTGCTGCAGCCTGTATGCAGGTGTGCTTACGATAGCCACTATCGAACGGAGGCTTTACGCCAGATCAAGGTCTTGGTGTAAGATGATTCGCCCGTTTCATTCCACGCCTGACAAAAGCCCCCTTCGGCTTGAGGTTTGCGCGAGGGAGGGCTGGTTCGTGCAGAGTGTGTTATTAACCACCGAATCAATACGCAGGCTCAACCCAAGAGCTCACCACCCCCTCGGATAGTCCTCTGGGGCCAGCCCAAACCCGCCCTCTGGCACCTTGTACAGCGACGCATTGTTATTGTACAGCTGAAAGTCCACGCCCGCCCTCGGCTCATCGTTTCCCCACCAACTGAAGCTCACGCCCTTGCCGAACGTGGCCCAGCGCTGGTTGAAGAAGACGGGCATGCGCAGCACGAGGAGGCCGGTGAAGTTGCCGATGCTGGAGGCACCCGTGAAGATGATGGTGGCAAAAAGCTGCTCCTTGCTCGTCCAAGGACCCGGGTTGATCGTATACCGTGTGCCGCGGAAGCGGAAGCCCCAGTCGGGCAGGAGCCAGGCCATGCCACGGCCCATGGGGACGAGCAGCAGCTGGACGACGGAGCCTGGGATCGAGATCCCAGGCTGACGGGGGGAGAAGACTGTGCAGTGTAAACGATTTCCGTTCGAGTAGTGAAGCTCAAGGTACTCACATGTGTTGACCATGGTACACACGCAAACCCAAAAGTACCCCAGCACATAGGCTCGGAAGCTCTCGCACGCCTCGTTCGGGTCATCGTATGGCAGCGTCACGGCACGCACCTCCGCATAGGGTGACCAGTTACGATACAGGCCAGCTCGTTTGCAGACCTCGTACGACCACTCGCCCTGCTCCATCTCGCATGCTTCGTGGCCCTGGATGAGCTCGCGCACGCGAGCAAGCATCCTCTGGTCAATGGTGTAGTCGTCCCTCTGGGTTTCAAGGAGTTCCTCGAGGACCTTGACCGACTCGGTCTCGTTCAGCGTCAGGATGGCTTGGGCCATGCGATTAGGGTCACACCCGGCGGGGAATGTCTCGCCAGCATGCTGCCCCGTGTACTCGGCCTTGAGGCGCTCGTACCAGTCGACAGGTGGGAAGTCGCCCGAGGAAGTAGGCTTCTCAGCATATTCGATAAAGGTTCCGAGCTTGCCGGGCTTGCCACTGTCCGAGGACATGTCCTCGGCCAGCACTGGGTGGACGTGTTCGCCTTGGTTGGACATGATGATGCCGTGCGCGGTGATCAGACCGGAGGCACACAGCCTGCTATGGGAAGCGAGGACGTATATAGACGCTCGCAGTGGCGATCTACATGGCCTTGTCCAGGCGGACACTCCATCGACCAGGGTGTGAGGTGCCTTGCCTCGTGCGGGAAGCGCATATATCGAGGAAGGATATCGTCCAGGACACGGTGATCAACGTTACATTTGCCAGAATCCAGGGTGTGGTGGCCCTCCGATAGCGACAAGTCGCAGGTTGGCCACCTCGATATGATGGCCCAGAGAAAGGAGAATGATCGCGTCATACTTTGTCCTTATACCTCAAATACTCGACGAACGTATTGGATCAGAGAACGTCGGCGATTTATGATCTAAAAGATCAGGCTGATGAGTACTATTTTAGCATCCGTCTGTTTGCCATATATGCTGTCGTAAAAGTGGAAGAGCACGTTGTGGGACTTCTTGCCGGCCCAAGATTCGCCGAAGTACTTGGCCAAAGAAACCGATAGCATTGTCTTGCCACAGCCTGGATGGCCTGTCAGCCAAAGAAGTGCATTGCTGCTTTTCTCGAGCCATGACAGAAATGCGTTGTGGGTGCGGATCCAGTGGCAAGTTCCGGGGATTAGAGTCGGATGCTTGGATCTGTTCATATCTTCGTCTTCATGAGCAAAGGAGCTGAAGTGGAGTACCGTATCCTCTCGACAAAGTCGCTAGCGCTGGTTTGTCTTGGCTGACCACGATCCCTGCTATAAGTGGTGCCAATTGAGCAGAGTTGTTGCTCTGTGAGGCCTGAGCATTGCACAGGGCTGTGTCAGGTCTGCACCTTCGCATAGCTAAGGCTGTATGACACTAAACTACAAAAGGCTAGATCTTATACACCAGCGCTAGCGACTTTGTCGAGAGGATACGGTAGTCTCAGACAAGTTCGTTCAGCCTCACTAATAAGGGCTTCAGCCGAAGCGCCGAAGATATACCGCAACGCCCCATTCGCTGTGTTTACTGTACACACGACCAGCTGTCCCCAACTACACCCGCTATACATTTGGATCCCTCATAGACGTAGGTTCTAGTACTTTGCGACGGTCCCTGTTATGAACGGCTGAACTTGCCGTCGCGAATGTGGCTCATCACGTGGCTAAATGCAATAATCACGTGACAATTATTACGCGTTGGCACGTGATTTTCGTGTCCGGCGTTTTTCCTGCGGGTGGGCATAGAGAAGGTATTTGCGACTCGCAAGGACTGCACGCGTTTTATTCGCCCTTCTCAACTCCTCAAGAAACTGCGCCGACGATGTCGAATCCTTCCCTCGAGCCGGAAATACTCATTTCTCGCCTATCCCATCGTCCCCGCCACCTCCTCAGAGCCATGATCACGATCACCAGCCCGCCACAATCTCCAGATTCAACGCTGGCTGACCGTGTCTGGACCAATCGTGTCTCGTCACTTACCAGCCTCGATCGTCTTCCGCCGGAAATCATGTCAACTCTCCTTGATATGCTCGATATTCAGTCGATTTCACGTTTCGCAAGGGTTTCTTTCCGAGGCGACACGTTCGTTCAATCGCATCGTGCATATCGAGACCTGGTTGCGTTTGCTCCACAGGTGCTTTTGGCGTTGGGCAGGGTAGGCCTGATCGATCTTCATTCCGTCGCTGAACTCCACACCGCTTTGCGAACGGAACGGTGCGCAACTTGCATCGAATACGGCGCGTTTCTATTCCTTCCGACCTGCGAGAGATGCTGCTGGGAATGCCTCCGTTACAATCCGTCATTACGGATGCTTTTACCTAAGGAAGCAAAGAGATATTTTGGTCTCTCGGAGCGGCATCTTCAAAGGCTACGTACCTTTTACGTTATCCCTGGCAAATATGGCATATCCGCCAACCCTGCACCGGAACACTGCAGGCTTGTTAGCGTAAAGGCAGCGAGAGCTCTTGGACTTGTGGTACAAGGATCCGCGGAAAAACTAGCACACGCTATGGCGAGGAGATGCAAGTCCACAAGACTCCTTGTCAAGGGTCGGTACCTCCAGGGCGAGCCAGCGGTATCCCAAGGTCAGGACTTGCTGCTACTGCCAAGCCAGGGCAATATTCCGACTGATAACTTCTTTGGCGTGGCTTCCATTCTGTTCTCTTCACTCTCAAAGTCAGGCAGGGTCGAGGACGGTCTGTGGTGCCGAGGCTGCGAAGTTACCCTCCGCCAATACGACTCTCTGCGCTTACCTCGGGATGTGCTTGCGACTGTGGTGCCTCCGAACTGTGAGCCACAGCGGGTACTGCTCGGCTTGGAAAGGCGGGCCTGGTCGAAAGAGTCATTCTTAGATCACATCAAGCACTGCTACGGCGCACGGCAATTGGTTCCTGAATTGGCGACAGGAAATGATTGAAACTGGACAGTTTCAGTACGAAAAGCTAACTTAGACAGCAGCTCTAGGGACGATGGCGAAACTCAACATGAAACACTGACTGCATTCCGGCCAATAATTAACTCCAGATTGCTGCTGCGTTCTCACTGCCCACTCTGCCACATCAACATATCTAACCCACTCCCAGCCTCGTGCTGCTACTTGTCCGACTGACACCCAGCTCAGTTCCTAGCATGCCGACCCCGATATTCTGTTCTAGCCTTGTCTTCCTTTGGAAGGTGTTTGGGACAATAGTTGCGCGATACCTTGTCCTCTCTGTCCGTCCGCGAGCACTGCAAGTTAGATTGACTGTCGTACAATCGGTCGCACTGCACGAATTCTCCCTTCTGTCTGCGTCCACATTGGTACAGGTGATAATATTGAATGCACATGATCGAGGTCGACGAGGGGTTAATGAGTGGACGATTGTCGTGAACGGATCAAAGGTGGAGTGGTATGCTAGCGTAGCGAGGAAGAGGACGGCAGTTGAAATGATACGGCTCTAATCCTTGATCAAATATTAGGGCGATCAACTTCGCGGATGGATGTTGACTTTCATACCTAAGGAGACAATTTACCAGCCAAGCAGGCGTTAATGATAATCTAGTGGGACGACGAGATAACCTCGAGGGGACCTTTCCGAGTCTTTTATGTTTATCGTCACCCGCAACAAGAGGGACTTGCGCTGCGAATGTTCCATAGTGTTGGCCACCCTCAGGTGCTTTTACTGGCTGTATCGTCGGTCATGTTTCACGTAGTCCTAGTTCTGATACCAAGTTACCAACCGACCTGAATAGCGCCCAGCGAAGAGCTTGGCTCCTCGCCGGCGTGGCGGGGCTTGCACTGTCCAAGTTGCGTAGTGATTGGCCACCCTTAGGCGCCATTGCTAGTCGTATAGCCGGTTATGTTCCAAATAATAGTTTCTGATAGCAACCGACCTAATAGCGCTCACCGGGGACCTACTCGGCCGGCGGTTAAATCTTAAGCCCAAAATTTCTGGTATTAGGGCGACCTTGCCACCTTGGTGAGTTGCAGGTGATACCCGAGCACGGTGCTACTGTATGCCACGGGCTCGCCGCTCGAGTCCGGCGCCAGGTAAGCGCATATTTTTTCAGACATCCCACTCGGGCTGTATGCACCTCTCAACTGCAATACAAAATTGCATCTGGCAGAACCGCAACACAAAATTGCGACGGGCAGAGAGTAACTTGCCAGACCTATCATGACGATACTGCCGAAATCAGACATCGAAATTCTCTGTCAGTGCATAGACGATGAAAGTGGATACTATCGTCTCCGGGTGGGCCGAAGAGTCCACTATCTCACAATCTCCTCGGGCGTATTCGACGACGATACTATGTGTCGGCCCTATCTCCTCATTCCCAGGTTGCCAAACCTTCCCGACTCGCCGTGGACCACTATGACTATCTCGCGGGACGAGGATGGCTCCCTCACGTCAATCATCTCTACGGACCCACTGCCCGAGATCCAGACAACCTGGCATGAACTGCACGTCGATGTGTTGAGCTTGGAGAGAACGAGGCGTTTCCGCTCGGGAGTGCATGAGGTCCAATATGATGGCGCACCTGCCATCGCCAAGATCGCATGCTTTAAATGGGACATAGCTCGGATTGAGCGCGAGACGTGGGCGTACTCGATAATGGCACGTCATCATGGCCAACATCCCAACGAGTCTCCCATTGCACCTAAGTTCCTCGGCCATTTGACTGAGAACGGTAGAACCATGGGTTTCTTGCTGCAAAAGGTGCATGGAAGGTCGGCCTGTGTCGACGACTTGACCAACTGTGAGGCGCTACTTCGCAGACTGTATCGGCTGGGGCTGATTCATGGTGACGTGAATCGGCATAACTTCCTCGTTGACAGTGTTTCTGGAAGCGGCATGCGTCTGGTTGATTTTGAACATGCCGAGGAGTTCGACGAAAGGCTGGCTAGAGCAGAGTTGCTGTCCTTGCCGGCGGAGCTAGCCGAAGAAACTGGGCGGGGAGCGACCGTGGTACTGCAATGAGGCCCGGACGGGAAAGCATGTACTTAGTGGACGAAATAAATAAGATACTTGATAGCCAAGGGTATTGGAGACTGTGTAGGAAGCTCTCGAAAATGCCATAAATGACTTCCACAGCGTGTTGACCAAAGATCAACGCGGCAGATTATTTCGCCTCGGGGCCGTACGCGATCCAGAGACGGCCATGATATTCACGGCCCAACTGCAACAGGAACACCAACTCAGAAAAGGCCGTGGCGTCGCAGCCCGCCTGATTTCCGTCTTACAGTCTGTCCAGGCATTCTCGAGCATCGTCGACACCTTAGTTTCCTCTAAACCAGACATTGCAGCCTTAGTCTGGGGGAGCGTCAAGCTCGCGCTGCTCGTGAGGATTCGTGCTGGTCCTTGAGCTTTTCTGGGCTGACCCATTCCCACTAGACCGCGGTCAATTACACATCATACTTCGAAGCCCTCTCCGGTCTTTTCATGTTTTTTAGCAGTCACTGTCCGCGATTCGCCGAATATCAAGCACTCTACCCAGCCTCTACACGACTGCAAAAAGCGCTTTGCGACTTTCATGCTTCCATCGTTCTCTGCTGTAAGCAAGTGGTTGAAGTAATTCAAAGACCATGTGTGTAGACCGGCAAATAGCGTCAAGTTGTGGCAATGCAAGCTGATCCACGGCAGGGCACAAGCAATTAACAAACGCCTTTCTGCAATCGTTTGATACTGAATTCGAGCCATATGAAAGCGAAATCAGAAGGCTGGCTAAAGATGTCACGCGCGAGACTGACATTGATGTGTGGACCATGGTATACACTATACACGCAAATCCAAAAGTACCCCAGCACCTAGGCTCAGGAACTCTAGCACGCCTCGTTCGGGTCATCGTATGGCAGCGTCACGGCACGCAGCCTGCCATGGGAAGCGGCGAGGACGTATATAGATGATGAGGCGGTGGCCCTCCGATAGTGACAATTTGCAGGTTGGTCACCTCGATATAAAGGCTACGATCAACACTCCGGGCTAGCAAAGAGGCGATATAACCCAATGGTGTACCGGCTGCTAGATAGGGTCATAGGACGCGAGAGACGAGGCCTCCTCGACCCCCTTTTTTTCACGCGTCTGTGTCCATCGAGCACCCGCATCACTAGGAGACGGGCGTCCCTCCAGACGCTGCATTTGGGAGGATCTTTGGGCGCTCGCTTGGATAAGGATGAGCCGACAACCGGTATCAGGGACGGATATGCTGCAGCGCTGTGCGAAGTCAATTACCCTGCAAAGATATCCCGACCGCAAAAGTGCCGCCCCCAAGTGTCTGGCAATTGCCATTGGCGACTGACGGGTTATTGTGTACTGGATCAGGAGTTGAATGTTAGTTTTAGGTATTTTAGCTACATTAAGAGGACGCTGACGGGCGAGGTGCAAACTAACAGGTAAGGGAGCCGGTGCGCTCTCCGGCATAGGAGTGTTTGCGCCCTTTGTCAACGTGATATAAGAACTTCAAGAAGCCCCGTGCACTTCGCTATTCAGGGATAAAAAATTCCGCTGCTTGTCAACGTGTTATTCTGTCGCTTGAAGTTGGATTCTAGGTCACGCTCGAAAGCGAACTAGCCCGGAGCATTGAATAAAAGTCTCGGGGTTTAACTCGACTCGGAGGCGGACTCGACTGAGGGAACATTGCGGGGCCAACCCAACCCTTCTCAGGACCCACTGATCCTGACCACTCATATGTTGATTCATTCATCACTTCAAGCAACCCTATGATCAGCCGTAATACCTACCCTGCACCTGCAGATTAATCGTGGCCAAACCGAGTGGGAATACAATTGAGTTCGGTTCAAGAACACACAGCAGGAACCCAAGATATCGAAGCGCCAAAAGACCTAAAAAGGACACCCAAAAACTAACCCCCGATTAGACAACCGAGGCTATACTGGGTCTTTGTAAAAGCAAGCACCCATCTACACAGCGCCGTGACAAGACTACCGAAAGAACATGAAAGCAATAATATACGCAAACGAGAGGTCCCTTGATCATGACTTGGATATTCAAGAGGACTAGACAGCCGCTTGGGGCTGGCTCTCAATACAACGCGGCGCATCGGATGGTTGTGTGCGTGCCCTGGGGCAGGACGGTCGCTGGGCCATGCACCTTTTGAGGGCTCCGCATAGGCTCAGGGGAAAAGAGGTTGCAATCACAAATATCGCGGCCGTGCGCACAGGTGGACCTGTCGGACGCGCTTACATGTAGGTCGATCATCTCGCATGGTCTTCTTCTGACGGCCACAGGCTAGCACACACACTAAGAATGTTCATTCCTTGCATGTATTGACTAAATAAATCTGAGTAACGCAACTACGGAATCTGCCCTCCACTGCTCCATGGGTATGTTGAGATTCCAGCTCAGCAACTCGGTGGAAACTAAGTGCCCGGACTATCCATCTCGAGGGAAAACAAGGGGGGGAAATCCACAAGGCGAACCAGCAGGGCCAGTTTCCAACATGCCGGGAGCCTTTCTAAAACGCGGCCAGCATGGCAACAATGGCCAGTGCAGCATCTCGCACAAGTTGACCCGGGGCGGCGGCAAATAAGACATCAGAAGGTCTTGCCTCGTAGGTGTCGGTCTCGTCTTTGTGGTCCGCCGCACTCTCCAGATGCTTTGCAACGGCCGTCTCGACAGGCACATAAGGCGCCCCGTCAACAGGACATGTCATGGTGCGGGTGATCGGCTCGTCACCGCAGACGGTGCACGTCTCCTCCGCGACGGTGAAGCCCTCTGGGACACTAGGGCGGCTGGTGATGACGGGGGGCTTGGCCATGCCCGAACGAACTTCCGTGACGGTGTACATAACGTCGGTGAGGCCACTCGCGCAGAAGGCCGGGAAGCTGGTCGTGTACGTGGTCGTGTGGGCGCACGAGCTGCAGTCGCAGGCACCACATCTGGAGATGGGCATGCGGCATTCACGACCAGTCGGAGCGGGTCCCAAGCCCGGAGTCGGAAGCCCAGGAGCGTTCGGGAAGCATTCGGTGACTGTAGAGGTCGTGTAGGAAACAGCTTGTACTGGGGCCAGTAAAACTCCCCAGAGAGCAACGGCAGAAGTGCAGGATAGAACGCTCTTCATCTCGACGGAGGCTTGGGTGCTGGTAGGGACAGGTTGAAAATTCCAAAAAGTGAGCGTGGTGGAGGGCGATGGGGTGAATCAAACGAATGACTGAAAGTGAGAAACTGGGCGGTTGGATCTTTCCGGCTGCCCTTCCAAGCTAAGATGGAAAAGGGCCTGGATTATTATATATGAGAGAGCTGTTACCTAAACAAGGAGCTCTCTCCCAGCCTACCTACCAAGTAGATCCAAAGCAGGCGAATGGATCAAAACACGAACATTCCTTCAAGGTTTTTCCCCCCAAACAAACATTCCCATGCCCTTGATTCGAGTAAGGTGGGCGCGCCAAGATTCACTTCTTCTCCGCGCGGAGATACTTATGCCAGACGTCTGGCGCTTACTAGCATAGAATTCCAATGGGTCGCTTATTTCCTGTACCGGTGTCCTATGTGTCAGTATGGAACATGAATGCAGGCTGCATACTCGCGGAAGCAGGGGCAGGCATGCGTCGCGTGGCGAGTCTGATGACTCTGATCCCTCTCTCACTCATGCAGCCTCACGTCTTTTCGATTCTCCGTGCGGTTGAGTCTCCAGTCTCCACAGTGTTCCTTTACTCGCAGACCACTTCTCGGCTCTTCACAGACTACCAGCCCAAGTTCAGCCGGCATTCGTCGGCATGATGAAACTACGCTTTTCACGCTCATTGTTTCCTAGCTACGGTCATCGGTTCAGCAGGACTCTAGGGGCATTGGACGTTGATTCTGTTGCCAAGTTCAGAATCACCCGGCTTCCAGCCGCTGGACACACGTTAAAACAGTGGCTTGTTGTAATCCCTAGTACTGAGACAATTGGAAATCAAGGGCGTTCCGTGGCCAATTGCTTTGGCGATTGCGGCAGACGAGGTTAAGCGAGCAGCCATGTCTCAGTAGTCTAACTTGAAAATGTCGATCTGGTACTTGTGATCAGGCTCCCTTGTCCAGGACTCCAGTCATCAACACAACTTTAGGAACACTCGCGCTCCATCACTCACTTGGCGCTCCACTCCCGCCACCAGCATCGCCACAAAACCGCAGAAAATGTCCCTTGTTCGGGAATGTGCGTGACATTAAATACCAAGTTGAATTTCGACGCGGGGGAGACGGCTTCAGTCGCGTCAAGCTGAGAGTCCCCAATGCCACTGGCGGGAATGTTATTGAGCACGATCTGATTTTCGTTCATCGTGAGAATATAGTCATTTACTATAAAGGCGCCAACGGCTGGATGTTGGTTTGTAGTAGATCACCACCGAGATCAGTCAATCACCTCCTCCCAGCCCTTCCCACGGTACATTAGGCAGTTCCCCAGATTGCCCATCCTTCAAGATGAGGTTCCTACCGTCCGTTTTCGCCGTCATAACGACCTAGCAAATCGTATCTGCGGAGACCCTTGACAAGTATCTAGTCGGGTATAACGTCGACCCCTCCGAGATCTGTTACACGTACATCACCGTCGTCCCCGATACCACTCCATGCACCTCCTATGTCACCACCACTATCCCGAACCCGGACATCACTGCCCCTGCCACGTTCACTGCGATTCCACCGAGCGGTACAACCCCAGGCACCGTTGTGGTTGAAACACCTGCCGTTGGTACTGTAACCCTCACGACGACAGGGCCCCCGGGAATCACTGGCACTGTCACGCAGACGATTCCGGCCAGCGGCACTGTTCCCGGAACGGTCATCATAGAGACTCCCCCAAGTCCTCAAGATCCTGGCACCATTACGATTACTACCGGCAATCCGACTATTACAGCGCCCACGACAGAGACGATTCCCGCTACTGGAACCGAGCCCGGAACTGTGATCGTCCAAACGCCTTTGACCAATCCTCCCGGCACAGTCACTATCACGACTGGCAACCCGACTATCACGGCGCCTGTTACTGTTACTACACCTGCTAGCGGCACAGTTCCTGGTACCGTTGTCATCCAGACGCCTTTGACCAATCCTCCCGGCACAGTCACTATCACGACTGGCAACCCGACCATCACGGCGCCCGTTACTGTTACTACACCTGCTAGCGGCACAGTGCCTGGCACCGTCGTCATCCAGACGCCGGAGCTTCGCATAGTCACCATTACGACTGGTAACCCGACCATCACGGGGCCCGTTACGTCGACCGTGCCTGCCAGTGGTACAGTTCCCGGTACCGTCATCGTCGAGACGCCTGACCCGACTAGTTCTGGGGGGGGGGGGGGGGGGGGGGGGGGGGGGGGGGGGGGGGGGGGGGGGGGGGGGGGGGGGGGGGGGGGGGGGGGGGGGGGGGGGGGGGGGGGGG